GAAAAGTAGGTCAAATTAGGTATCAATCGATAGAGGAGATCAAGAGGTAAGAAAAACTAGGTCTCTAAGTTCCTAACCTCCTAGAAAGTCGAGTTATGATTTTTTTTTAAAAAACTTTCAAAAAAATCATAACGTTTGGTTCCTAAACGCCTGAGGAACTTTTTGACTTGGATTTTCGTACTTCTGACGTCATTCCCTATCGATTGATGTAAAAAAATCTCGGAAAACTTTGGTTTTCAGGAAAATCGAAAAAGTGCAGTCTAACCCCTTTGGCTTTTTTCGAGCTTCTGAGGTCATGGAAGCCGATCCGGACGAAATCTATATCAATGGATAGATCTCGACGAAAAAATGACCTGAGACCAGGTTTGACCTCCGTAGGTCAACTAGGAACTGAGTTAAAGGCGATCAAACTGAGAGCTCAAAAAATTGGAAAAGTAGGTCAAATTAGGTATCAATCGATAGAGGAGATCAAGGAGGTCAAGAAAAACTAGGTCTACAAGTTCCTAACCTCCTAGAACTCGAGTTATGATTTTTCAAAAACTTTAAAAAATCATAACGTTGTTCCTAGGCGCCTAGGAACTTTTTGACTTGGATTTTCGTACTTCTGACGTCATTCCCTATCGATTGATGTAAAAATCTCGGAAACTTTGGTTTTCGGGAAAATCGAAAAAAGTGCAGTCTAACCCCTTGGCTTTTTTTTTGAGCTTCTGAGGTCATGGAAGCCGATCCGGACGAAATCTATATCAATGGATAGATCTCGACGAAAAAATGACCTGAGACCAGGTTTGACCTCCGTAGGTCAACTAGGAACTGAGTTAAAGGCGATCAAACTGAGAGCTCAAAAATTGGAAAGTAGGTCAAATTAGGTATCAATCGATAGAGGAGATCAAGAAAAACTAGGTCTCTAAGTTCCTAACCTCCTAGAAATCGAGTTATGATTTTTTTAAAACTTCAAAAAATCATAACGTTGTTCCTAGGCGCCTAGGAACTTTTTGACTTGGATTTTCGTACTTCTGACGTCATTCCCTATCGATTGATGTAAAAATCTCGGAAACTTTGGTTTTCGGGAAAATCGAAAAAAGTGCAGTCTAACCCCTTTGGTTTTTTTCGAGCTTCTCAGGTCATGGAAGCCGATCCGGACGAAATCTATATCAATGGATAGATCTCGACGAAAAAATGACCTGAGACCAGGTTTGACCTCCGTAGGTCAACTAGGAACTGAGTTAAAGGCGATCAAACTGAGAGCTCAAAAATTGGAAAGTAGGTCAAATTAGGTATCAATCGATAGAGGAGATCAAGGAGGTCAAGAAAAACTAGGTCTACAAGTTCCTAACCTCCTAGAACTCGAGTTATGATTTTTCAAAAACTTTAAAAAATCATAACGTTGTTCCTAGGCGCCTAGGAACTTTTTGACTTGGATTTTCGTACTTCTGACGTCATTCCCTATCGATTGATGTAAAAATCTCGGAAACTTTGGTTTTCGGGAAAATCGAAAAAAGTGCAGTCTAACCCCTTTGGTTTTTTTCGAGCTTCTCAGGTCATGGAAGCCGATCCGGACGAAATCTATATCAATGGATAGATCTCGACGAGAAAATGACCTGAGACCAGGTTTGACCTCCGTAGGTCAACTAGGAACTGAGTTAAAGGCGATCAAACTGAGAGCTCAAAAATTGGAAAGTAGGTCAAATTAGGTATCAATCGATAGAGGAGATCAAGGAGGTCAAGAAAAACTAGGTCTACAAGTTCCTAACCTCCTAGAACTCGAGTTATGATTTTTCAAAAACTTTAAAAAATCATAACGTTGTTCCTAGGCGCCTAGGAACTTTTTGACTTGGATTTTCGTACTTCTGACGTCATTCCCTATCGATTGATGTAAAAATCTCGGAAAACTTTGGTTTTCGGGAAAAATCGAAAAAAAGTGCAGTCTAACCCCTTTGGTTTTTTTCGAGCTTCTCAGGTCATGGAAGCCGATCCGGACGAAATCTATATCAATGGATAGATCTCGACGAGAAAATGACCTGAGACCAGGTTTGACCTCCGTAGGTCAACTAGGAACTGAGTTAAAGGCGATCAAACTGAGAGCTCAAAAATTGGAAAGTAGGTCAAATTAGGTATCAATCGATAGAGGAGATCAAGAAAGTCAAGAAAAACTAGGTCTCTAAGTTCCTAACCTCCTAGAAACTCGAGTTATGATTTTTTTCAAAAACTTTCAAAAAAATCATAACGTTGTTCCTAGACGCCTAGGAACTTTTTTTGACTTGGATTTTCGTACTTCTGACGTCATTCCCTATCGATTGATGTAAAAATCTCGGAAACTTTGGTTTTCGGGAAAATCGAAAAAAGTGCAGTCTAACCCCTTTGGTTTTTTTCGAGCTTCTCAGGTCATGGAAGCCGATCCGGACGAAATCTATATCAATGGATAGATCTCGACGAAAAAATGACCTGAGACCAGGTTTGACCTCCGTAGGTCAACTAGGAACTGAGTTAAAGGCGATCAAACTGAGAGCTCAAAAATTGGAAAGTAGGTCAAATTAGGTATCAATCGATAGAGGAGATCAAGAAAAACTAGGTCTCTAAGTTCCTAACCTCCTAGAAATCGAGTTATGATTTTTTTAAAAACTTTCAAAAAAATCATAACGTTGTTCCTAGGCGCCTAGGAACTTTTTGACTTGGATTTTTCGTACTTCTGACGTCATTCCCTATCGATTGATGTAAAAAAATCTCGGAAACTTTGGTTTTTCGGGAAAAATCGAAAAAAAGTGCAGTCTAACCCCTTTGGTTTTTTTCGAGCTTCTCAGGTCATGGAAGCCGATCCGGACGAAATCTATATCAATGGATAGATCTCGACGAAAAAATGACCTGAGACCAGGTTTGACCTCCGTAGGTCAACTAGGAACTGAGTTAAAGGCGATCAAACTGAGAGCTCAAAAATTGGAAAGTAGGTCAAATTAGGTATCAATCGATAGAGGAGATCAAGGAGGTCAAGAAAAAAACTAGGTCTACTAAGTTCCTAACCTCCTAGAACTCGAGTTATGATTTTTCAAAAACTTTAAAAATCATAACGTTGTTCCTAGACGCCTCAGAACTTTTTGACTTGGATTTTCGTACTTCTGACGTCATTCCTATCGATTGATGTAAAAAAATCTCGGAAACTTTGGTTTTCGGGAAAATCGAAAAAAAAGTGCAGTCTAACCCCTTTGGTTTTTTTCGAGCTTCTCAGGTCATGGAAGCCGATCCGGACGAAATCTATATCAATGGATAGATCTCGACGAAAAAATGACCTGAGACCAGGTTTGACCTCCGTAGGTCAACTAGGAACTGAGTTAAAGGCGATCAAACTGGGAGATCAAAACTTGGAAAGTAGTTCGAATTTGGTATCAATCGATAGAGGAGATCAAGAAAGTCAAGAAAAACTAGGTCTCTAAGTTCCTAACCTCCTAGAAATCGAGTTATGATTTTTTTAAAACTTCAAAAAATCATAACGTTGTTCCTAGGCGCCTAGGAACTTTTTGACTTGGATTTTCGTACTTCTGACGTCATTCCCTATCGATTGATGTAAAAATCTCGGAAACTTTGGTTTTCGGGAAAATCGAAAAAAGTGCAGTCTAACCCCTTTGGTTTTTTTCGAGCTTCTCAGGTCATGGAAGCCGATCCGGACGAAATCTATATCAATGGATAGATCTCGACGAAAAAATGACCTGAGACCAGGTTTGACCTCCGTAGGTCAACTAGGAACTGAGTTAAAGGCGATCAAACTGAGAGCTCAAAAATTGGAAAGTAGGTCAAATTAGGTATCAATCGATAGAGGAGATCAAGGAGGTCAAGAAAAACTAGGTCTACAAGTTCCTAACCTCCTAGAACTCGAGTTATGATTTTTCAAAAACTTTAAAAAATCATAACTTTCATTCAAGAAGCCTCAGAACTTTTTGACCTGGATTCTCAGGCTTCTGACGTCATTTCCTATCGATTGATGTAAAAATCCCAAAAGTTTCCATTTTCGGGAAAATCGAAAAAAGTGCAGTCTAACCCCTTTGGTTTTTTTTGAGCTTCTGAGGTCATGGAAGCCGATCCGGACGAAATCTATATCAATCGATAGATCTCGACGAAAAAATGACCTGAGACCAGGTTTGACCTCCGTAGGTCAACTAGGAACTAAGTTATAGGCGATCAAACTGGGAGATCAAAACTTGGAAAGTAGTTCGAATTTGGTATCAATCGATAGAGGAGATCAAGAAAGTCAAGAAAAACTAGGTCTCTAAGTTCCTAACCTCCTAGAAATCGAGTTATGATTTTTTTAAAACTTCAAAAAATTATAACTTTGTTTCTAGGCGCCTTCTAGCTATCCGTAGAAATCAGTTAGGTATTACTATGTTTTATTAGCTATTCAGCTAATTTATAATCGAACGTTTCTTTTCAATTTGATGTAAGAGGCAATGAATATATCAAAAGACGATAAAAAATATCCTTACCGAATGGAGCCATGATCTGTCGGAAATTAACACTAAACCACCTGCTCTAAACATAGAGGTGAAAAAAGCCTCCTTTTTAGAAATTACCAAAAGAAATAATGAAAAAACGAGAAAGAAAAAATGCAAAATATCAAGCCACCTAGGGGACTCGAACCCCTGACCGTTAGATTAAAAGTCTAACGCTCTACCAACTGAGCTAAGGAGGCTCACGCAGGCAGTAGAGGGAGAGGGCACATACTGCCGCGGCGGGTGTTCACGCACGTGTTAAGAGTGTCGAGTTTTCAAAAAAGAAAACTTTAAAAGGATTTTATTAAATAATAAATAACCCGTTGATAATGAAAAACTAAATTAATGTGAGAAAATAGTAAAAACATGAAATAAAGCGATGCATGTAATAAGTGAAAAGACTCATGGAAAAAAATGGCACATGAAATGGAAAAAAAAATAAACAAATTGAACAAGAAATTGAAAAAAAGTAGTATGAAATTAACAAGAAAACGTTTTGAAACTGGCAAAGTGTGCAATTATTCCTTATGTACAAGCAATTTTTGGGTTAAAACGGTTCCGGAACTGCTTCTGAAACGTTTCAAAATGTTAAAAACAGCCCATGTCACTAAAATTGCTCCGGAGATGGCGTAGATCCAGATGAGAGTCGATTCTCGCGGCAATCTACAGGCTTCGACTCGGACCTGGGGAACGAGAACGTTAACGTTGAAAAATGAGGGGGAGATTAAAATTGCTGCAAGAATCAAAAATAATTCGCTTTTGAGCTGAAAAATTTGAAACATGAGTTAAAAAAAGCTAAAAAGAGACGCGGCTCAAAGTTTAAACAGAAAAATAGCCTAGTGAAAAAGCCCAAAATTTTCTTTGACAGACCAAAAAGGCTTCAAAAGGGCCCAGCTTCTAAAATAAATGGATAAGGTTGAATTAAAACCTAAACCGAGCTTCAAAATGACTTTAAAAAAGGCTTATTTCATCAAAAAGTGTTTACAAGTGTTGAAATTTCTGCTTTTTTGGACAAAGTCGTTCAAATTCGGCTTATCACCTCATTCTCCGAAATGACAGCCATCAAAAACGAAGGCCGATCTCCGTTCCGCCACGAAAACGAGTTCACTGTGTACTCCCAGAAGCTGTGCGGATGGGACCATCTCAAATTCTTGCGCTTTTTTTACAATTTATACGAAGACTCTACCTTTTCCTGCACCCTTTATGAGTATGACCATTAAAGACAGCCGCGGGGCGGAGTTGGGCCAACAGTTTGAGGGTGGCCGCCTCGGAAAGAGCCTCCCACAGCTCACGATAGACTTCCTCGTCGTCTTCGTTCTCTTCGGAAGCATCTGGGATGCAGTCGGCGTCGCTGTTTCTGTAAATTTCGCTGGAGAAAGCGCAAAAAGCCGTTGAAATGAGCTTTTGATTCAGGATCTTCTCAGAAAAGTTGGAAGCATCTACATTTGAATTTGCATTGGCTCTTTTCCTTTTACGACGCTCGCCTAATTTTTCCCGTGAAGTGTAGTGTGTCGTGTGCATGCACTGCGGCGCTCTCTGGCGTGTTTGCGCGAAAATCAAAATCATCTCTTAATTTCCAGAAGTTATATTTTTCACTCTTTGGCGGCTATCACTTTGACACATGGCTACAGAAAATTGCGTTATTCAAACGAGATTCGTCTCAAGACCCATTGAACATGCGCCTTTAATAGTCTTGGTTGTTTACGCTTGTTTTCCATGACGTTTTGACTCCACCCCTTTCATTTCTGGTTTCGCAGATTTTCCCACTAACAAAAACGCTGTGGCTGCAACTATACGCGCCAAAACTAGAAAAATACCTGAAAAGAGGAAAATGCTGAAGAATAATAGGCCGTCGCTTGGGTTTACCCCTCGAGGCGTCGTCGAACTTCTGGGATAACTGCTCGATTTTCTTCTCGGCTTCTCCGCAAAGTCGACAGCCGTCGCCATGGAGCGCCATTGACGTTATCAATACAAATGGCTGTCCTGTTTGAATTTTTTATTTATTCTCCTGCAATATTTCCGCAGGAACCTTTGATCCGCACCAAGTCGACAACGCTCCGGTTGAACTCCTTTGAGAACCAATCCACTCTGGAGGGATTTATCCTGAAAAATTTCAAGTTTTTGGATTGAAATTTTCAGATGACTTACGCGTAATGGAATCCTAAATCGTGATTGCCAGCCAGCGCGTGGATCTGGAAAATTCGTACTGTTACTGACATAGGCAAAGTCGGAAGGACCCTTTAGGGGGCCTTTGAGCGTCCGTAATAGATTCAACGGTTTCCTTTTTACTGCCTTTTTCCGACCATTCATCGGCCTTCATCCCCCTTTTTGGACCCTTTTGAAGAACACAAACTTTTTTAAATTGAGAATGATCTTTACCAGTGACTGTGTATGACCCAAGATGTGCTACAGTGATAAAATCGGAAATTATCAATGGTCGATACTTTCAGCACCCTTTTTGGACCCATTTTCGAGCCTTTTTTCACCCTGTGTTGAGGCTTTTTCCCCGCAAGAAAGAAAGGCTCAATAAAGGTCTCAAAACGGAACCCTTTTAGGGACCATTTAGCATCCGTTTCCCACACTTTCGGCCTTTTAGCCCTCCAAGAAAAGAAAGGCTCAATAAAGGTCTCAAAAAGGAACCCATTCAGTAGCCATTTTGCACCCGTTTCCCGCGCTTCCGGCTTTTTAGCCCACAAAGAAAGAAAGGCTCAAAAAAGGCCTCAAAAAGGAACCCTGTCAGGGGCCATTTCGCACCCGTTTCCCGCACTTTGGGCTTTTTAGTCCACCAAGAAAGTAAGGCTCAAAAAAGGTCTTAAAACGGAACCCTTTTAGGGACCATTTAGCATCCGTTTCCCACACTTTCGGCCTTTTAGCCCTCCAAGAAAAGAAAGGCTCAATAAAGGTCTCAAAAAGGAACCCATTCAGTAGCCATTTTGCACCCGTTTCCCGCGCTTCCGGCTTTTTAGCCCACAAAGAAAGAAAGGCTCAAAAAAGGCCTCAAAAAGGAACCCTGTCAGGGGCCATTTCGCACCCGTTTCCCGCACTTTGGGCTTTTTAGTCCACCAAGAAAGTAAGGCTCAAAAAAGGTCTTAAAACGGAACCCTTTTAGGGCCATTTTGCACCCGTTTTCCGCACTTTTGCTCAAATCGAACCTGAGGTCGTTTTCCGTTCGACCCAAAAAGTGACCGAAAATGATCTGAATACTCGTGGAACAGTTTCTCATCCGTCCATTGGCCCTCATCCATCAAATCGCCTGGAAAAAAGATTATTTAGATACATGAGGGCTTTTAAAACCCAAGAAAAAGACGGCATCCGGGTCGAGCAAAGTGACAGCCGTCTGGTAGGACCGATACATTTGCCATTCTCTGTAAACAGTCATTTTTCCACTAACAACTTTTTAATAGACCTTTTCAGCTTATCGAACCAGTGTCCCTTGCTTTTCCCCAACAAATGCGTATCAGAGATCATGAAAGCGTGCAAATCCGATCCGTTACATCTTAAATTTCAGCTTTGAGAGGTACTTAGGAGCTCCAGAGTGGTCTCTATAGGGACCACTTTATGAACCACCTATAGGGGCCACTGAAGCTTGCGAGAGTGACCCCTATAGGGTTCCTGCTGATTTATTGTGAACTTTAAAAGCATTTTCATGGGAAAAAAAAATGAAAAAATAAGCATTTTTGAATGAAATTGAAAGACCTCTATAGGGTCCACTTGAGCTTTAAGGGCTGAGAGGAAGTGGTCCTTTTATAGCATAAGAGGTCAGATTCTAAACCCTGTAGGGACCACTTCTTCGGCTCCTATAGTGGTTCCCCCTAGAGGGACCACTCTGGAATTCCTAAGTTCTAGATTTTATCATTGCCCCCTTTTTACCTATGATTCCGACAAGGCCACTGACAAGAAGTTCCAATCACGATAAAGTAGACGAGGAACTCGTTGAACATCAAAACGTTCAAAATTAAGAAAAACGGCCAATAGGTGCAGAAAACCCGCCGTAGCTGATCGCCCAGCCCACGGCGGGGCATTCTGGAAAAATCGAAAATTTCAAAAAATCATTCTGAGTTGAGAGCCGCTTTTAAAGAGGTTCTCAGGAATCGATTATGAGAAAAAGACGTATTTTCATAATTCACGAAATCCTCTCTTATTGGAGCATATTCCAGCTCGAAATATCAGAAAAGGATAAAATTCCTTTCAAATACACAGAAAAAAATGAAATAAAAAAAAAACTGAACGTTATTATTTTTACAGAAAAAAAACCATAATAACAACATGAGCGTAACAAGAAATCAAATCTACAACAAATCCTAAAAGTTAAAAAATCTAAAATGAGACCATATAATATTTATATTCCTTCTGATGTGATCATCACTGTTTCATGAGCATTTGCAGGCATCTTTCCAAGAACTGTCCGCTCAGTTTCGCCTGGAAAAAGTATTATGAACATTTTTCCTGGGGAAACAGCTTCACAAACTTCTCTAGAAGCTTTTTTTATTTAAAAATTCCTTTGTTGTTAAGATTTACTCATAATTGGAGCACTAATGCCGCGTTTATAATAATTTCGGCGATTTCAAAACTGATGATGTGAGAAAGTCGGAACTTCGGCAGCCGTAAAAAAATTGGGTCTCCATCGAGATAACTTCCCGCGAAAATTTTCAAATTAGTTCTTCCGAAATTTTGAATTCGCGCAGAAAGTGACCAAATGAAGGACGAGAATTCATTCAACAGCTACCGAAAATCTAATTTTTCGAATTTCGCGTAATCAACTGAACAATCCAAACGTCAATTTTGAACCAGTTGAGATTATTTTGAACAGACTGAGAAATTTTGTAGAGGTCCCCATAGGGGTTCCATAGGGAGCCTTGAGGGCCCATAAATAGGGACGTAAGACCCTAAACCCCCCAAAAGGGCCCTAAAATTTCAATCCCTATAGAGGCCATCCCCCCTTCTTGGTCCCCTCAAAAAAAACCCCCCCATAAGGGGGCCTCTAAAATTTCAACTCCTATAAGGGCCTATAAATAGGGACTTAACACGCTGTCTCCGTTATTCTCAAAAATTTCTAAAAGCAACGGGTACAATAAAAAAAAAATACTTTTTTTGATTTGGATGAAACTTCACCCAGTGTGATACCCCATCATCAGAAATGCGGACCCAACTTTTTTTGAGCCATTCCCTCTTACTGTAGCCGGGTTACGGTAGGCAGGTGGGCACCTGCGTATCCCAGTATTGAAGAGTTTTTTTACTAGGCGAGTGATATATCAATCGATAGGTAATCCAATTTCAAGAACTTTTTACAGTACATACCATCTTGGGTTACGGTCGAAAAAAATTTTTGAGTTACGGTACTTTTTTGTGTCTGCCGAGTCAGTTTTTTTCGACCACCATGAGCTTGAGCCAGGAGATCCATTCTTCCTAACTTCTCAAAAGATACCTTATGAGAAGCTGTACAAGCTGGTACTGGTTTGAAAAAATCCTAGGTGGACCATCATTTCGAAAAATCGCCCCGAAGGCGCGCAATCGTGGTCTTGCGGCGGCCAAGTGGGTGAACTCCATGATGCCGGACGGCTCATTTTTCACAGATCCATTCAAATCTTTGTTTCCATTTCACTCATAGATGTCTATTATTGATTTTTATTTCAATTTGAGATGTTTTCGGGTTGACCATCATTTCGAAATTTCATTTTGAACCCAAATTTGGCCTGAAAAGGGCCGACACGGCTTTTTTCACGGGATCCCTGACCCCGTATGTGACCGCTCTCAACTTTTTTCTTTTTTGAACATGAACAAGAGTGTCTGAACAACAGTTTTATAACAATCGGAAACCCTTTTGAGAGGACCATCATCTCGAAATTTCATTTTGAACTCAAATATCGGCTTAGTTTCCCCATTTGAAGTTTTTATCATTTACAGCAAAAATCTATTCTGCCAATTTATTTTCAAAACAGGTAATCAAAATTTGGGTTCAAAATGAAATTTCGAAATGATGGTCAACCCGAAAACATCTCAAATTGAAATAAAAATCAATAATAGACATCTATGAGTGAAATGGAAACAAAGATTGGAATGGATCTGTGAAAAATGAGCCGTCCGGCATCATGGAGTTCACCCACTTGGCCGCCGCAAGACCACGATTGCGCGCCTTCGGGGCGATTTTTCGAAATGATGGTCCACCTAGGATTTTTTCAAACCAGTACCAGCTTGTACAGCTTCTCATAAGGTATCTTTTGAGAAGTTAGGAAGAATGGATCTCCTGGCTCAAGCTCATGGTGGTCGAAAAACTGACTCGGAAGACACAAAAAGTACCGTAACTCAAAATTTTTCGACCGTAACCCAAGATGGTATGTACTGTAAAAGTTCTTGAAATTGGATTACCTATCGATTGATATATCACTCGCCTAGTAAAAACTCTTCAATACTGGGATACGCAGGTGCCCACCTGCCTACCGTAACCCGGCTACAGTAAGAGGGAATGGCTCAAAAAGTTGGGTCCGCATTTCTGATGATGGGGTATCACACTGGGTGAAGTTTCATCCAAATCAAAAAATATTTTTTTTTTTTGTACCCGTTGTTTTTGAGAATAACGGAGACAGCGTGTTAAGACCCTAAACCCCCCCCAAGGGGCCTCTATAATTTCAATCCCTATAGAGGCCACCCCCTTCTTGGTCCCCCCAAAAAAACCCCCATAAGGGGCCTCTAAAATTTCAACTCCTATAAGGGCTCATAAATAGAGACGTAAAACGCTAAAACCCCCAAAAGGGCCCCTAAAATTTCAATCCCTATAGAGGCCATACCCCCCTTCTTGGTCCCCAAAAAAACCCCCCTAAGGGGCCTCTAAAATTTCAACTCCTATAGGGGAAAAAATCTCAAATAAATTCAAAAGCGTCATTACCAATTTGAACCCAGCAATCTCACCTCTCCGCTTTTCTCATTGCGTTCGAGCAGTTTGACGGGACCCTCGATGTGGACGAAATTCGTGCGAGGATTGTGGAAGCCTCAAGATTGCCGAGTTTCCCGAGGAATTTCTTCAGATCAAACCATCACACTCAATATTTATAGCGAGAGTGTTCAACTGTCCGACGGCAAAGTACGCCAGATTTCCATCCGTCAGAATTAATTGAGAAGTGAAGGGCCGCGTCACGTCCGTGTACTGGGTGAAGCCTGCAAAATGCGGACAGTTTGAGAAAAAAGGACATCAATCTATTGAAAAATGATCAGCTTTTTGCAAAAAAAAAGTTGAAAATAAATAAATTATTCAGGATTATCCGCAAAAGGCCAAAATTTTTTCAAATTCACTGCCTTTTTTTCCAGAGGTCGGTTTTCTCAAATTTATCTTCCTCTATATGGATTATAATGCTCCAAAGAACTTTAAAAATGGATATTTTCCTATTTTTGACTGAAAGGCTCACTTTTTTTCCCCAAAAATCTACACACAGGAGAATCAGAAGAAGTCCAGCTTTCATAAACAACCAAAAAACAGCCAATATTTGGACGTTTGACAAGGGGGATCTTTTTACTTTACGGTTGGGATTTTCCTGCGAATTGGTCAGAACGCTCCTTGATGTATCAGAAGAAGATTCTAAAAGTTACAACCTGCACAAATTCCGAAAAGACGCCTCAAATTCAAAGAAAACCCCAAAACATATGAAAACAGGCTGTTATGAGATTCTAGACCCTTATTTCCCGAAAACTAAAAAGCTGTGTAGGTTCATACTTTCAGGATCTTCTCCTGGTACATCAAGAAGTGTTTTGGCCAATTTTCAGGTAAGTGAATTGACCTCTCCTGGGAGGCTAGAGAGAGTTCAAAAAAAAATTGAGAGAAAGAAGCAAAATAGCTGTTCAAAATATTTCTGTGCTGAAAAAAAATTCTTGAATTCTCATTCTGTAGCCTTCAGAGTTCCAGTAGATCTTCGAAGAAGATACCTTATTTTCTCATTTTTTTTTTCTGCCCAACATACGCTTCACCCTGCAGCCTACCCTGGGATCCAGTAGGCTGCCCAAACACATATTACAAGTGAATGCCCTTTTTCTGAAGATTCTCTTGATCTACTGCCAATCACCTTGAGCATGAGCCTGAGCACACAGGGTGGAGAAAAGGCTGACGACGGCCTGCGCCTTGGCGGCCTCGTCGAAAAGGCCAAGTTTGGCGATCAAATGGTCCTTCTCAGCCCATTGGTTGACTCGTTTGCTGAGGTCGGCCAGGGACTTGATCGCCAGGACGCCGTAGGGATGCGTCTCTTCCGATTCGACGTGGAATCCCGGGCATTGCCAGAGCGGATTCTCGTCCGGCCACAGGTTGAAGACCTCAAATCAAAGGTCATTTATTTTCTTGAATAAAAATCGTGCCTTGGGGGAGAACAAGACATCCTCAAGGTCGACGTTGTCCAATTCGCTGAAAATGGGTCTCGTCGCGAATTCGCTTTCCAACGAGTGAAGAGGCGCCGGCTGTTCGTGGCTCCGCAGTTGGGCCGCCAGTTTGTCGCGATGTACGAAGGCCAGTTCTCCGAGTTTTCGTCTGGAGATCAAGGAATAAAAAAATCCGAGGGAACATTTAGACAAAAGTTCTAAATGATCAAAAAACGTTTGATTTTAACATGGAAAATGTATATGATCAAAAAGCTTCAAAAATCGGGCCGACAAAAAAATTGCCGTGGAAAAATTAGCGTAAAACGACGAGCCGCTTGAACTTCGACAGCATGGGCAAAAAATGGTTCGCGCTCCATGGAAAATAAAAAAATATTCGGCTATTTTTTCAAGGCTTTTTTTTGCGTTTTTTTTTGTCATATACCCCATGAAAAGCAATACGAAAACTTTCTGGAAAAAAACCAAAAAAACTTTCTAAATTCATCAATCATCAACTAGAAGAAGTCGCCGTGGAAAAATTAGCGTAAAATGACGAGCCGCTTAAATTTCGCCAGCGTGGACAAAAAATGATTCGCGCTCCATGGACAATAAAAAGAAATATTCGGCTATTTTTTCACGGTTTTTTTTCTCATATACCCCATCAAAAAGTCATACGAAACTCTTTGGAAAACCGAAAAACTTTCCAAATTTATCAATCAATAATTAGAATCACCTATCGTCGCCGATGAATTTCGGGAAATTGTGCAGTTTTCGGACGACTTTTCGCGTCCCGATTTCCTCCTCGTCGTACAAAAACATGAAGCCAGAGCGGATCCAAAATGCTTCACTTGGCACGTCGTAAGCTACCTAAAAAATTCTTTGAATCAACAAATATATATATCTTTAAAAACCCGATAATCAGCCAGACGGTGAACATTGTGGACGAGGCTCGACATGGCGTCGTCGATAAATCGAGATAAAAGTTTTTGGGCGCTGAAAGAAGCTTCAAATCTTGGGAAAGTCATCGAGAATCGAAATCAATGAAGTTCCTCAACATTCAGAAAAAAAATAAACTCCTTGTAACTTTACTTAGATTTTTTTCAAAAATATACAACGCTCTCGTCATGAATATCCTAATATTCAAGAAGAAAAGGTACCAAAGAGTTAGATTCATATTTTTAATTTATATTTTTTTAAAGAGTTAGATTTATATTTTTTTGAAAATAAATGTTTTGAAAGTTTTTTTGAACCTCCGCCCCTCATTCTTATTGTAGTAAGGATTGAAAAAAACATCAAATCAAAAATGTGTTTTTCCTTGTTTTTTTCAGCGGCCATAAATCGTTCCGAGCCAAATTTCTAACAAAACCTACTTTTTCAAAAAAATTATTCTTCTAAATTAAAAAAAGAAAAAAAAATTTTTTTAGAATAGTTTTTAAAAAAATATAAATTTTATCCTGAAACATTATTTTTACAAAAAAATATGAAGACGAACGTCTCCGGGTTAGTTCCGACGAACATTCGGATCGTCTCGCTGGATCTTTTCTCGAATTGAGCCATCGGCGGAATCAAACCCTTGTAATATTCGTCCAAGGGGCCGCTCTCGACTCGCGTCTTGGTCAGGTACTGGTAAAACTTCAAGCAATCGATATGGGCCGGTACAGAAGGGAGGGCCCAAGCTTTTCGGGTAGCCATCAGCGTTGGGTGCCAGTCTCTGGAGAAATTTCATTGTTTTCATCGTCAAACTCATAGGCAGAGTAGGATTGTGGAAAAGGCTCCACAGAAATTTTTCTTTTTTTCTGCCTTTTTGCGCCATTTTATCGGCTCTTGTGCACCTTTTTTGCTGTCTCTACCCTTTTACACCATTTCTTGATCCCTTGAAAGCACAGAAAAATGGAACGGCTCGGTAAAGGGACTCTTTTTGCTGCCTTTTTTGAGCCTCTCCCTTTTAGCGGCCAATATCCACCATTCCGACTAGGCCCGAGTTTTAAAGTCCCTTATAGCTCAAGTTTTCAATACTTTCCAAGAAGTTTTTCTGCTTCCTACAAAAAAAGTTGTGTTTTTTTCACCTCTTTTCGATTCTTCTAATCAAAATTGGTTCATAAGAAAATTCCTTTGAAACTGAAACTTTCATTTGTCATTTTCTGAAGTCAAATATACAGTTCAAGGCTGAAAATTAGAAAACTTTGAAAAAAGAGAAAAGAAACTTGAAAACAGATAAATTTTCAATGTTATTTTTCAGAAAAAAAATTCTTAAGACTAACAGAAAACCAAAAGAAACGATCCATTTTGAGTCAAAAAGAGGTTTTTAATAAAAAAAAATTTTTTTGTCCATAATAAAAAAACTAAAATGTATGAGACCTCCGGGGCATATTACAGTATAGCCCCCCGCATATGTTGGATATCACCCCCCCGCGACACGTTCGAACAAGCCCCCCACTCTTATCCAATATAGCCCCCGGAACTATCCAGTATAACCCCCCACACCGAAAAAAAGTCACGCAACGATCACGCAGGACACGTGTCAGAGCTTCCATTTTTTTAAATTTATTTTTCTAATTTTTTTCGTATCATTCGTCGTTCTTGGTTGTTTCAAATGGTTTTTTGTATTTTTCGCATGTAAATTCGTGTTCTTTTTGTGAATTTAATAATTTTTTTGTGATTTGTTTTTTTAGACCATGGAAGAAATTAGGTCGCTGACCGAGTTTCATGAGAAGTTCAAGTCAGACAAAGAAGTTTACGGGTACGTCTCGCCGAGATACGTACGAATATCATAAAATTATGGGGCGCTGACCACTTAGAAACATTTAAGACGAACTTCATTAGTTTTCAATCAAGTAATTGTTCTGAGGAATAGAATTTTTTGCTTTTTCTTTTCATGCACATTAATTAATAAATTACTTAAGAAAATAGGCTTAGTTTTAAGGCTTCACACGGAGGCGGAGCGCGCATAGCGCGAAGCCGACTGTGGGTCGCTTCGAAAAAACTGAGCCACAGTGAACGATTCGTCAAATAAATGAAATACTTGACATAGAGGGGAGTCATTCTGAAATGGAGGGGGGCCATTCTGAAATGAGAGGGGGCCATTCTGAAATGAGAGGGGGGTCATTCTGAAATGGGAGGGGGGCTTGTTCGAATGAGCTCTGGGGGGACTATTTCAAAGCCGTGCGGGGGGCAAATATGAAAGATTGCCTAGGCATTTCAGAATCGCCCCCCGTTTTGTACTGCGGGGGGCCATTCTAGAATACATATTCACCCCCCGCGTTCGATTCTTCCCCCCACATGAAGTCCTCCTATTTTACCCCCCACAGATCGGAACTTGGCTTGGTGGGGGGCTTGTTGGAACGCGGGGGGCAAAAACAGTGTGGGGGGCGATTCTGGAATTTTCCCGACCTCCGTTTGATTGATACTGTGTACAACGGGAAAAACTGATTAAACACTAGTTTTTTAAAAATTCTATCAACGATTCCGCTTCACAACAGGTACATAAAATCCGAAGGAACAAATTGACTTTATTTTATTTTTTTGAAAACTTCCAACAAACCTTCTCCATGTCCTCTCAGCCCTCGACCAAGGTCTTTCATACGGCGAAACGAAGTCGACTTTTTCCTTCACTGTCGGCAATGAGTTGACAATTTCCGCTGTTTTGAAGTAGTCGAATAGCCGAATTCCAGCCCCAGATGCGTCTCCGGCGTTCTTCAAATTTCCTATTTGCTTTGGGAAATTTTTCAAAGTAAGCAAGGTTAATTTGGATCTGGGGAGATTTTAAAATTGAACAATGTTTTGAAAAAAAAATCTACGATATATCAAGAGGACTTATGTATGAAAATTTACGCAGCTGATTTCAAAACGGAATCTTTCTGTTTTTACTTTTCTTTAACGCTTCCAATCCACGTGACCTACGAATCCGCCTGAAAAATTCACGTTTACCTTTTTTTTTAACTCATTTACGCTGCGTAAACGCATACCGCCTAATTCTACGGTGATTTTTTTTGCTCTGAAGATCATTCCAATGAATTATTCGCACCGGAAATTCTTCCTGCAGCATGTGCTTGGGCTCGTGATGTCTGTGCGCTTTGCGGTAGTACGGTGGCCGGTAGACAGTCGCCGGTGTCGCCTTGCGCGTCGGCGGCTGCGTTGCGGTCGGAGTGACGTCAGCGGCAGAAGCGGCCGATGACGTGCATCGCTTCGAGGCGAGCAACGTCGCCCCCCGCGACTTCAACCCATGCATTTTACCTGAAAAAACGTTTCGATTTGATGAAAAAGTAGAAATTCAAACTCCTGACAGAGCTTTCCAGTTGAAAAAAAAACCTTACCTGGAAGAATGGATAAAATTTTGAATGAAAAAGACTAAAAAAACACAATCAGAAATACAAAAAGACCGTTGGGAACGGCACGACAACAAAATTAATTTCGCAAAATAAAGTTTCATGAATTTATTCTTCAATATACAGAAAGTACATGTCTGGAAAGAGGAGATCAAAAAGAAAAGATATTTTTAAAAAAATGACCGTTTTTACAAGGTAGCTCACAAAATTTTCCAGAGCTTCTCCAATGAAATCAATGTCAGAGACTGAATGAATATGGCAAAATCATAGGAAACAGTACGAAAAAAAATCAAATCAAATCAAATCATTATTTCAGCGACATTAAAACCCGGACCAGCGAAATAATCAAATATTTGAAAAACAAAAAAAAAACGGCGTAGGAGTGGTAAAAACCATGTGAAAATCAAAATCCTCGGTTCTTCCTAAAACCAATGGACTTGAAAAAACCGCAAGCTTTATCTGATCATGTTTCCTTCGATTAAAAGTATAAAAAACACAAAAAACAAGAATCAAGAGTCAGAAATGGTGAAATCGAGAGGGGCGAAGGAGTTAACAGGAGTCGTGAGGTTGGCTGGAGCGACTGGACGTCGTGGCGGCGCTGTCGTCGTGATCACCAACGTCGTCGTGGTGGAGCTGGAATTTCTGGCGGCTCGGGACCTTGTCATCCGAACGTTTGGCATTTCCAGTGCTGCAAAAGTGATTTCCAAGTTCTAAAACACTAAAAACTGGTGAAAAATTCTTACTACATGAGTTTTTCTGAAGATTCTAGTACCACGGTATCACGATGGTTAAATTACTCCCTCAAGTTAACAAACACTTTCGTTCCACTTTTTTAAACTAAAAAAGGCGTTCTTGAATCATTTCGCAAAGCAATTTTCACTGTGAGTCCCCAAAAACTGTAAAAAAATTATTAAGAAAAAAAAAACATGGTGCATCACTGGTGGGCGTTGTGAGGTCGGCGGCGATCGGCGTTTTGAACTGAAAAATATAGATATTTATTAGAAAAAAGGAGAGATCAATCCGAAATTATCAAACGAACATCAATAGGACTGCTGGTCGTGCTGGACGTCAAGGCGCCGTCCATTTCCATGGCATCCGTGTCAGTTTCTTCTTTTTTCATCTTTTTCTGGAAGAAAACATCGGATTTATCATTTGAACGACTAAAATTCAACCCTGATCCTGGAAAAACACAATACTGTGTCAAAAGTGATTCAGGAATTATTAAAATAACCGTCAGAGGGTCGAAAAGATGACTAAATTTTAAATCGCATGGAAATTACTTTGATTCTCTCAACCCGAAATAAAAAAGATGCTTTTCGATCCTTGCGAAAAGTTTCAAGAAAAAAAAACGGAGCGAAAAATAATTTCAAAATAGTTTAGTTTGCCTAGAAAAATTAAAAAATGCAGAAAAAAGTCACAACATTTTCTAACGAAGGAAAAGCTGGAAATTTTGTCTCTCAGTTTTCTTCTCAATTTTTAACTATTGAAATTAGTTTTAACACTTTTATATTTAAAAAAATTATTCTTAATGTAGCTTTAATATACATATAAACAAGAAACAGTAAAATTCCTATTTTCAAACAAAATTCAAATATTCATCAATAAAACCTAAATACAACATTATCACACATAAAAAGAAAAAAACCTGTCTTTTCTCCAAAATCTCCGTCAACATCGTCACGTCATCAGCCATCAGTTCGATTTTCGTCAAAGGTTTTCGTAGCATTGACATTTCGCTTTATAATACTTAGATTCGCGGTAAAATCTTTAGAAAAGGAAATATTTCATGCCTCCCGTAACAATAAATATTATTTAGATAATAAAAAAACTCGAAAATTTTATTCCAACCGATTGGAAGCCGAAAGCCATAACAATAGGAGTTAATTAAAAAAGAAGAAACAACCAACAATGAAAAAAAAAACATGATTAATCCAACAAGTCATCATTTGATAGTTCCACCAACAAAAGAAGAGAAAGAATACCGCAAATAAATTCATTAAAACTTCAATTTTGAAACAGAAATGTTCTGATTTATTGAAAATATAGAGAAATTTCATTTCAGAGTCAAGAAATTAATGAAAATATTGCGGTAGTTACAAATTTAATGGGATTTGGAGCGAAAGGTCTTAGTTGGCCTTAGCTTTCTCTTTTTCTTGTCGAGTTTTTTCGAGTTGGAGGCCGATTTGCTGGGCTCGTAGGGTCAGGCGTTTCGTGTTGTCCGTCACCTTGAAAAAAATAGGATCTTAAAGGAAACAAAATATAGAATTTTCGGTTAAAAAGATAAAAATAAGTTAGAAATTTCGGGAATCACTGATTTCACTTAATGAATATTTTTTGAGACTTTTTGAATTTGAAAAAAAAAACCTGTTCATGGATGCTGATCGCCTTGACGCCCATGACGACCTGCCCAAGTTTGCTGTCGATTTTGGCGCCTTCGATTCGATAAGTTCGGATCAAATCGACGATCCAGCGCTCGGCCTCTTCCTGGAAAGAGTGAATTTATTGAATTTCCTCAAATCGGCCTTAAAACAGAAAAAAAGAGGCTGAAAAATAAAGGCGATTCGTGAAAGCTGTGAAGAGTTTTTGGAAGTTTCAAGAGACAACTTTAGATTTTTCAAAAACAGCTTCTTTGATCTCATTTGATTTCTTTTCGCTTCTAAAAAATCCCTAGAAAATCTACACAGCAAAATTCTTTAAAATCCATGATTTTCGACTAAACCTGGGTCATATTGAGGCGACGGGCGAGCATTTCAATCGTGATGCACTGATGGATTCTGCAGAACATTTCGAAGATCAGAAGACGTGCCGATTCGCGGAATTCGTTCAGACAAGCCGTCAGGAAGAAGTCGTTCGACAGGACCTGCAAAAAGTTCAATCTTGTTGAAAAAATCAATTATCTGTTTCTCAGGACCACAATTCCCACAATTCACATCTTCTACAAGATTCCCTTCAAAAAAGCATGAAAATCAAGTTTTTTGAAAAGTTTTGCTGCACAATTTCAAGATGGAAAATGTCTATTTCTTGTTTTTTTTTTTTCCTTTCATTGTCTGTACCTCTTCGCATTGTTGGAGCTTCTCCTGAGCCTCATCGAAATCGTACTTGATGTAAAGGCAAGTGAGGAAATCCGTCACCGGATCTTCGTAGTTGTGTCGCTCCTGGAAAAAAAAGATCGTTTCGAAATTCCAATAAATCTTCTTCTAAAAATTTCAAGACTTTGATATAGTTCAGACCAATGAAAAAAGTTCGATTCAGAAAATCCTGGACAAAAAATCGCATCAAAACTCTCAACTTCCAAATTTTCCCATCATTTTTCCGCCAAACCATCTTGAAAACCCACAATATCAATGACTTTGATCAGATCCTTCAAGCTGTTCTTCTGACGATTCTTGCTCGTAACAACCGCCACAGCCAGATAACGCAAAAGATGAGGTGCCAGAACCTGGAAAAATCTGTATTTGACGATCATTTGATGGGGATTTTCACTTGAATCGCATTGAGATAAGGCTGTTGGTTGAGGAAAAGGTCGACAATTTCGTCGCGTCCCTTGGGGAAGTTGAAGAAAACGAACAAGGCCAAGTGCATGAGCCAGGCGCGCTGAAGATGTTCACATTTATCGATTGATTTTCGGGATCGATACTTGAGTGACGAGTTCCCACTCGGTTTCGAATGGATTCGCGTCGATGTAGGCGCGAAGTTTGATCAGATCGTCGCGAGCGTGTTCGAATTCCTGAAAAGTTGTACTTTAATGCTTTTTGACGAGTATCTTAAAACTTTCATTATACCATTTTCGAAACGTAAGAAATTTTTTTCTTTGAAATAATAAGTTATTTGTTTATGAAACCCCCTTAATTTGTTCGGAGGGAGACGCGAAAAAATTGAATTTCATAAAAATATTCGAATAGCATTAATTCACAAAATCTTAGCTTGAAAAAAATCCTTTTTCAAAAACAAATAGAGAACAAAACGCACTAAAATTAATCAAATCACAAAATTTCTTTCAAACAAAAATTATACGAATCAAATTTTTGAAAAATTCCCGCTGCGAAAAACTGCCACAACTTAAAAAAAAAAACGAACCTGGAGCAAAATCTCGCTGGCCAACTTGCCATAGAGGGCGTTCAAATAGTTGGGATCAGCTTGGTTGACCAAGTTCCGGTAATAATACAAGCATACCTATACCAAAAATATATTTTATTGCAACAAATTTGAGATTTTTTACCGATGAAACTTGGTAATTTCCGCACTCGTACATGAACTTGGAGTACTTGTACAGGACGTCGATCATGTCAACGGTGAACTGAAAAAAATTCATCAATTTTTGAACTTAATTAGGATTTTATCTACTCAAAAAAGATTTTCAAAAGACGGAAAAGGTTTTTAAAATATTTTAGGACGCCAAGTTGGAAATGGTGACTCTTTACTATATATAAAATTTGTTGAAACATTTTTTCGGTTTTTGCAGGCGCAGAATTTTCAAATAATCTGTACTTTTTAAGGCTCATTTATGTAGCAAAATCGTCTTTCCCCTCAAAAATCTAGCCATTTATATTTTTCCTCTCAAAAAACCTTGTGATTCTGTTGGAGGTACTCCAAAACACGAGTGTTTCCATCGCGATCCCTCGCGTTCTCGAGCATTTCCTTGACCTCAGCCAGCTCCAAAATGGCTACCACTGGGTCGACCTTAAAAATGAATCCTTACACATTTTTTCCAATATTTATCGAAACCTTTGCCTTCAGTTCATCTCTTTCCTTGAGAATCTCGGCTCGTCGCTGAACCAGTTCCTTGGGAACGTTTTTGCCCTGAAATTCCGTATTAAAACTTTTTCATTTACTCGAATTACGTTATACGACTCGATCAAACTGTCGATCATGTTGGTTTGGTTGAGGATTTGCCGATGCATATCCAAAATCGAGGACTCGTCGTAGATCTTCAAGGTAATACCATTTTAAATGATATATTTTTTAAAAGCCACCTCTCTTGGTTCGATGAATTCCAACAAAGGGATAACCAAATGAAGGTCGAAGAATGGCGCCATGCGCTGCGTTAAATCGAACTTTGACATTTTCCTGGAAAGTTTCGAACTTCATAATAAAAGAGAAATTGAAAATACGCCTAGTAAAAACAAAAAACGAAAGCAATTCTTCAAAGATAGTTAAATATTCAAAAAACGAGAAAAAATAAAATCATTTCAAAAATCTACATTACGTGGTTAACCTGATTAGAACAAAATTCTATAAAACCCAAAAGCTACCTCCACTATCGTTTGAAAATGAAAATATTTTCAATAATGTTGGCGTCGAGCATATTCTTTCAAGTGTTCACAGATTTGTGCCATGATCAACTTGGTTTTAAATATCTACTTATTATGGTTCTATGTTTCTTTTCTTACACAAAACTTTTTTTTTCTTCACAGGTGGGGTTAGTTAATCCACCTAGTGGTCTTTTTCCCTCCCTGCAACATCACCATACCATCCCGATGTTGCGAAAAAAATAAACAAATTGAAATTGAAATTGAATAAAAAAACAGCATCTGCTTTTGGTTTTTACGGAATCCTGTGAAAATTCGAAGTTAAATCATGTCGCACCAACTCAAAAACAAAAAAAAAACAAAAAATTCCATCATAAAATTGTACCCATAAAAAAATTGAGCGGAACTCAAGAAAGAAAATTTGAAAAAAAAACCCCAAAACTTGGAATTGTCACTCATCCTATTTTTACTAATCTTGACCCCAAAATATATGAAAAAAAAACTCTCAAGTCAAAAGATGACAAGCAGCAACGTCATACTAACCTCACAAATAAAACTAAACGCAAACAGGCTACTTTGTGATACAAAAACAAAAATAAATGCGGACAAAAATGAAATAAAAATCCTAACGTCGTCAAATACAGCGCATTGGCTGAGGCGCACATTACGGAATAAACACGAGCTCACGACTTTTCCTGAAATAAAAGGTGTTTGGGAATCAACCAATTTCTTTCATAATTTCTCAAATTTAAACAATAATTTTTATTGCAACGCAGGCAAGTATACACATATAAGCGAACGGAAGAAATTGAGCTGGAAATAAAACTTTTTTTCAATTTAAAAATTGTCAAGATGTCTTCGCATGAGAATTCGATGGGTGGTGGTTTTCCTGGACCAGAAGAAGGTGACGGCGCAGCAGATCAGGAGCAGTGTCGTGAATCCAACAACACAGACGACGCTGACCGGCCGCGAAATACAGACGTCGTTGGGTTTGGCGAATGTCAGCGCGTTGGGCGGTTCTGGAGAATGGCACCATTCAGGATTTCTTATGGATTGTTTTTTGCGTTATTCCTTGAAAAACTGCACCTTTTCTCTCTTTTTCATCGACCGGCAGTACAATAACATCGACCGTGACGTCCGTCTCCATGTTTCCAGAACTGCCGAGTCGATTTTTCGGGGGATTGGAGGTCGCAAACATTTTTGAAGTGGTATGTTTCGAGGGAGTCAAGGTTCCAATGGTAGTTCTCACTGTGAAAAATGGACTTGATCAAAAAATTTCGAAAAAAATAAACCTGTAGATTTCGGTGTAGTCGTAGAAGTTGGTTTGAAGGTCAGAAGAGCTGTAAGATGGTTTTTTTTTTGAAAAAATATTAAAACTCACCCGGAGTCGTCAAAGTCGTCACAGTGATGGTAATAATTTCCGAATCGTCAGGATCTGTTTCGTTAAGTGGACTGTCGCGGTAGGGAGACCTTAAAGTGGTTATTTAAGTGAAAAGAATAAAATAATATCCAGGGTTTTTGAAGTGTAATAAACCTGATTATAGCCTCTTCCATTCAAAAAAGTTTGAAAATCCTGTTTTCCTTCACAAAGACAACTACCTTACTCGAAAAGGTCACCATTTGCTACAGTAAACCCACCCTGCATCAACCTCCTCGACGTTTCCACGCGGCTCGCCCAGGAATCCAGATCTATCGGCGCTTGGGCCTCGATTAGGCCCGAGGAACTCAGGACGATGGGGACCGACGATGACGGGCGGCCCTTGAGGTGGTCCAGCTCCAAATGGCCCAGGTAGTCGGACGAAGTTCGGAGGTGGTCCTGGCTGAGGTAGACCTTGCGGAGGACCCTGTGGAGGACCTTGCGGCGGACCTTCAGGAGAACCTTGAGGCGGCACTCCTGGACGAGTCTGAGGCGGACCGTCGACGCCGCAACTCGGAGGCTGAACTTTCAGAAATTCGTTTCAAAAGATACATTTCTCCTTTTGAAAATAAATTTATAAGGTACGGGAAAATCGAACAAATCTTTCAGAACGAAAAGAAGAAGCTCATTATCAAAAAACGCGACGCGAGCCGCAACGCTTACCGTAATCCCTTCACAGCCGCCGTCGTGCTTGTAGCACAGCTGTACGGTACAAGTGAAGTACAATTGGACCTCAAAACCAACAATTTTCAACATATCCCAAGATAGATTACCTTATCAGCGTATTTGAAGACTTGAGCATGTGTAAAGGCTGATATCGAGTTATGATCATAGTCAATTTGAGGCAGGAGGTAGGGATCCGTGGTACAGCTGGAAACGAGGATTTAAGAATGGTTTCAGAATGGTTTCAGGTGGTCAAAATCACTTTTTGAAATAGATTAAATAAAAAAACTGGACAGATAACTCGATGTAAAGAAAAATATTCCCCATTAAAATTGAAATTATTAAAATTAAAATTCATTCTCAACTCAACAAAATCACTAAGTTCTAAAGGGACCATTAAAACAGACCCGCGATCATCGACGAGCTCAAAGTTCTTGCCATGACCATCGTCAGCAAAGCAGCTGTGGATCAGAATGCCGTAAATCACGCTGGCTCCTGAAGGTATCATTTTTGCAACCGAAATCTTCCAAAGGGCAAAACTGACCCTGATCGCACTTCCAAACATGCGTGACCTTTTGGCCAACTTGGGCAAATCTTAACGGCGGCCCTTCGACTCCTTCTTTTAAATGGTAGGTGCATACCGGTAAAGAAAACTCTTGCTCTACTGTTTCTGGCGCCAATGTTCTGCAAAACAATGCGTTTCAGAAATAAAAACACAGAAAATCGTGAAAAAATAATTCAAACCGACACTCAAACGACTAAGTCGCTTATAAATTCACTTATATTTATTAGAATCAACAAAAAAACATGTTTCCGGGGGATAATCTGATTGAAGAAAACATTATTGAATAAAAGAGAAAAAAATGTATGGCGTAAAATTGAATGTTTGGTGCATACACATCTTTATTTCAAATGCACTAATTTTCAGTTTTTCAAATTTTCAAACTGTTATCAATAGTGCAACTCACCCAACATCAACAGCAGCATCAAGACTTTTAATCGATTCCAAGAAAAAACAACGCAAACTGAAGGCTCGGTCCATTCCAGTTACGAAGAACTGAATTTTTGAAAGTGAATAAAAAGGAAGTTAGCAAAAAACCGGATGAAAAGAAACGACAAGAGTGAAGGAAAATGCGATTCCTCGGGGATGAAGCTGAAAAAATATTGTTAAAACTTTTTTTATTGCATAAATGAAAAAAAAGCGGGAACCGTTCTCTGACGCCGCATGTTACAGGCGCCAATGGGAATCTCAAATCGTTGATTTTCCAGTTCGAAAGATTGCTGAACACAGTGATTCTTGTCGGATTCGCCTTCCACATACAGTCTTCCTACAAAAAAAAAATAAATAATGATGAGAACATTGAATTTTCAAGTTCAAACTTATAACTGAAATTTTCAATTTTTTTACAACACAAATATAGATTTTTAAAAAATTCTGAATATTTTTTTGTGGAAAATATTTTCAAAAAACCTGAGTTAATCACCTTTGAACGGTTTCTCCGTATTAACTGTCACAGAAATTGTGTCGATTCCGCATTGGACGTCCGGCCTGCCAACGACTCCATTTTGAATATCGAATGTGCGGACATTTAATACCTGAAACCTTTAGTCGATTAAAAAAAAAATGAGAGATCAACCGCGTTCAAGAAAGACGCCAGAAAAACGTTTGAACTCAGAAAGAAATTTGAAAAACGACCGATAAAATTCCGTCTATAACTTTCATCATACGCAAAAAAGCTGTAGTGGAATGTTAAAGTTGAGAAAAACGACCGCTTAATAAACAATTTAGTTTGTTTATAAGTTCAAAAGAAATCTCAAAGTTTCCCACAAGATATAAAGCTGAGAGATCCACTCTCCAACAATAAAACTGACAAAAAAGGCCTAAAATTGTACAAAAAAGCTCAATTAAAATGATAAAACCCACATTCAACAGGATCAGAACGGCTGGAAGAACCGGCTGCATATTATTCTCTGAGGTGCAGGAGTCCGGAGGGAGTCCGTGTGGTGTCCAGGATGTTGCCCGTGGCGGCGAACTGGTAACCGGCCATCGGGACCATTAAATAAGCACCTCGGCGCCAGACCGAAGTATCCACGCCCTTTCTTTTTTTTTCTTTTTGTTTCTTTCTTGATCTCTTCATTGGCTTGGCTTGTTATCTTCTCTTCTTTACGGCTGGAAAGTGGAGAAAGTTAGGATTTTTCTGGAATTTCTAAAAAATTCGATGAGGTTGAAATGGCGTTGTTCATCGATAAGAAGTTGAAGAAAACTGAAATTTCGAGTCAAGAAAAAAAAAGTTTTGAAACGAAATACGAACAATAATTTTAAATCATGAAGCTTACGTTTGAAACAAAACTTTGTTTCATTTTTTTCTGATGAAATTTTTCGAAAAAAATCTCAAATTATCACCTGCCAAAACATTTAAAAAAACGCATTAAAAATATATCTTGGCGTAAGCCATCGGCGGTCGGGAGCAGCACCTGATACGGCCTGACTGATTTTTTCTGATAATCAGCGTGAATCGAACTTCCATATTTGAACCTCAAGGGCCTTCCATAAGACCCGGTGACAATTTTTGGGAGCTCACTGCAAGTGAGCAAAAATTGAGAGAAATGGGACATTTGGGGGGAAAAACTATCAAATTCGTGATTTTCTGAGCTCCTGATACAATGGGGCGCCCCTGACGCGCAAATTCAAAAAGGGCCATTTTTTTGATTATTTTTGATCAAAAAGCTTTTTTTAATAATATTATTTATTTACAGGCAGAAAAAAATAACATGTACAGAAAAAAAGAGAAAAAAATTTGGCATTAAGCCTGAAATAAATAAATAAAAAGGCACTTGTTTTTTTCCACCCATTTTCTATGTTTTTTCTCGTAGTAAAAATCTCGAAACGCGTTTCGGAATAGTAAAAAGCAACCTGCCGTATTTTTAAATACCGCTCTCAAAATATCTCCTCTTCAATTCACTATTTTCTGCGTATTATCCTCCCCAACATGCTTAAGGAAGAAAGCTGGCGCAAGCCGTTGCCAGTCGGGTGCAGATTATCATTTGCTCGATGGATCTATCCCGCTTATTTACAGAAATTACTTTGAACGTGTGACGGGCCTTCCATAAGACCCTGATACCAATTTTTGGGAGCTTACCTGGCGGTAAGCTTTTTTAAGATAATCTGTAAAGTGCGGACAGTAACATGCGTGTTTTTTTTTGTCTCTATCAGAACCGGCTAACAAGCAAAGAAGAAATGCAACTAATAACGTTATCTTCTTCTTCTTTTTTCGAGTTTCGGCGGCAGGATAATCGTCCTCGGGCTATCGTTGATTGCTATACAATACTCGAAATCAAGCATTCATGCAACTATTTCAGATCGAAATGAAAACAGACTCCAGATTTATTAAAATGCTTTGAAACCTCCTCCGTGAAGATTCCAATTAACAAGAACATGCAGAAAAAAAAACGATCTTTTAGAATCAAGAAAAGATCTTCAACTTTGAATTAAGGTGGGAGTAACCCTAAAACGGATTTTGTTAGAGTGTTTCTTCCTACTTCGAATGAAAAAAATTGAAAAATAGTCACTAAAATACAAAAATCTGTGCTCCAAGGATGTACGGCTGTTTTTGAATTCATTATTTTCATGAAATTGGGAGAAATTTGGAAAGTTCAAAATGAAACCTAGTTAAAGGTTGATTTTGAAGAAAGGCTGAAAAAAAGGCCGCAAAAAGTTGAGAAACTTTACTAATAAGTGATTGGAAAGATTAATTTTTGTGCACACCGTTTTTTTTGCGACTTTTTTTTGGTCGTTCAGAACATTATCAAAAAAAAAGCTGGAGAATTCACAAAATTGTCCATAGAGCGCGATTGTTTTTTTTTCAGTTTAATGGGTCTTAAGAGTCGAAAACATTTTCGGCAATGCCAATATAGCCGCAGAGGATATTCCTTGCTTCTTCAAGACCATTGTCGTCGGCAACACACACTGAGCAGATCATTTCGCTGCGCATCAGCTTTGCCAGCGCTTCTTGTAGTTGTTCATCGACCTGAAACTCCAAAATCAGACCGGAAATTGAGGTCCTCCAGCTCACTTCATTCACCATTGCTCGTGTGATTTGAGCCGAGCCACTGATATATTTTATCTATAAAAGAATGATAATATTTTGTTCGATCACCAAAAAAGAACCTTGATCAAACTATATTCTATTCCGGTTTGTCTAACTAAATTATTCGGATCGGAAACCGGCCAATGACCCTCAATTTCATAATTTTTGTCACGAGTTCCATCGATTGACGAGATTTTCTGCTTTCGAATCTGAAGTTTCGGTTTGGAGAAGATTGTACTGTTGGCCGCATTTGGAATGACCCAACCCGTGAAACTTAGGATTTGAGTCTTTAAAAGTGCTAGGTTAGGAAAGAAAACACGTCTATATTCGATGTGCCACAAGTTGAAGTTTCATGGAACGACACTCCGCTGTTTCGATTTGTGCGGTAGCGCGCATCATGCGAAGTTGCCAACCTCGGCCACGCTAATTTTTTTGGTTTTAATCTTCATTTTATAAGCCACTCTCTTTATGAAAAAATCCATTAACCACTGCAACAAACAGAAAAAAAAACGATGAAAACATTAAAACATGGCTTTAACAAAAACACACTTTTTATCGCTCTTTTCGAAGAAAATCATGAAATTTACTTTGTTCTTTCGTTTACATTTGTACAACGCAATCCTTTTTAACGATAATAATACATTTTAAAGAAATAAAACAATTAAAAAACGGTCAAAATTAGAATTAAAACCAAAAAAATGCGTGGCCGAGGTTGGCAAATTCGCACGATGCGCGCTACCGCACAAATCGAAACAGCGGAATGTCGTTCCATGAAATTTCAACTTGTGGAACATCGACTATAAAAGCTCTCATTTTTGATAATTTCAAGCTATCAAAAGTACACTATTACTGTTAGGAATCTATGAAAAAGCTACCGTAATTTCTTGATTTGTCCCAAAATACTGATTGTAACTTCGGTAGCGAGTGATCCAGGCGATGACGAAGTTAGACGATTTTCTTTTTCCAAACTCACTTTTTCTGAAAATTTCCATTGAAATGGGTTCTATTCGTAAAATGAATGGGCTACTAAATGGACTAAAACGTTGCGACTGTGCAGCCGACTTTAGGCGGCTTCCGCGCTTCTACACTACATGCTCAGGTGAATCCTGGGAAGGCTACTGTGAAGGTATTTGGAAGCTTACGCCTTCTATACAGCTTCCAAAAGCCTGCTGGTGGGCTTCTCGCAGGCTGATCATAACTTTAACATTTTTACCTTCCAACCCCCTTCTGAAGAAACTTTTGCAGCTCCCATTTTTCTTCCAACCTCCTGCTGGTTACCTTTTTAACGCCTTCCCCGAATTCCCCTGAGACCCTGGGCCCATTGCATCGAAAAAAAGAATAACTGACTGAACGACAATTTCCACTTCACTGCCAATTTTGACGTCGTCAACTTTCGAATCCAGGTACTTGACAATTCCCACTACTCCAGGAGCACAGCCAGGCGTCCAAATGTGCCATTTTATGCCTTTCTCATTGTTTTCTGCACCAACAACAAGACCATTTTCCATCGTTGTGTTCTGAATTATTTTAGTTGTTTATTTTTCTTGATTAAGATAACCTCGTAGAGTTTTGCACTTTGAACTTGCCATCTCGAGTTTCTTTTTTTGGTGATCTGCAAACTTTTGTTTTAAATTAGTGTCTCCCCGAATTTCTCGTACCATGAGTGAATCGAAAAAGCTCTTCAAAAGTAGATCTTTTTAAAAACGAGATTAGTTTTCAGTTGTTCATTTTGAAAAAAAAAAACCATAGATCATATGATATCAGCTTTTAATAACATTTTGTCCAACTTTTTCTTAACAAATTTTTTTTTCATTAAGTTTTATAGAGCTATCATGCGAGCTGCAATGCAAAAAATGGGTAAAAATCTAAAAAAAAAATTAGATTATAGTCCGTCTATCGTGACTTGAAAGAACGGGTCTTCTCTGCGCCCTCCTTATCTCTCGACGCCCCTCTCATGTTCACGTGCTATTTCCATTTTTCTCTGACCTCGGCGGTGAGGGAACAGAGAGACGCAGACACGCATAAACTGTCAAGTCGCAGCGAACGGACTATACATCTATTTCATCAAGAAAGAAAAAAAATTAATATAAAATAGACAAAAGGCGAGAACAGGACTCGAGCCTTGATAAGCCATTTCTAAACCAAACTACTCATCCACTAGACCATCGAGAACTCAAAAACAGAAAAAATACCTCGATGGACTTGTAAGCGCCGGCTGGGAGAAGCTGCACGCCAACTTCCACGTCTTTGAATCCGCCCAAATTATCGATCAACTCATTTTTTCTATATTCCCTATCCAAATAGTCCTTTACCGTCTCTCTTTCCTAAAGTCTCTTCTATTATTTGTTCCTTCCCGGGTCTGTTTTCACTTCGAAACTAGGGACTGCATTGACCTGAACGTCTTCGATTTCCCAACAACTGTTAGCGAATCGAACCTGGAAAAAAAGTTAATAAACATTTTCATTTGGGGTTTGAATATGAAGTTGGTGCAAGGAACATTCGAAAGGTATAGTCTGTGTGCCACGACTTGAAATTCCACGGAACGACATTCCGGTGTTCCGCTGCGTGCGTTCGCGAAGCGTCTTTCAAATCTAGGTCACGCTTTCAATTGATTTTTACTGCTGTGGGAGCGCAGGAAAGTAGAGTACCTTGATGAAAGAAAAAAAAAATTAAAAGCGCGGCCAAGGTTCGCAAAGGCGCGCAGCGGAACAGCGGAGTGTCGTTCCCTGAAATTCCAAGTCGTGGTACACAACCTATAACAGTGAAGCCTTGTTATTTAGACATTTCAGAGTGGACCCTATAGGGGTTTAGAGTCTGACCCCCGAGCCCTTTAAGCCTTAGGTGGCCCTATAGGAAATTTTGTTCAATTTGAAAATTGAAAAAACAAACTCGATCATTTTATTCAATTTTGATATTTTTCCTTCATCACGACGGTAATTTGTTGAGCTTTCCGCATGGAAATTATTCTTCTAATAAATTTCATAACATTAATCGACTTGAATGTTTCTTATAAGAACCACTTTTGCAAAATTTAGGTGCCCCTATAGGAACTGATAAAGTAATCCCTAGAGGGGACCCTTCAAGGACCCCGAAGGTTGCCCTTATAATGACCACTCTGAGGTTCCTAAGTAGGGTCAGTTAGAAGGAGCGCCTGCGCGTCTGGGTTTCGCTCTCAGGGTCATAGGTTCGATCCCCCGTGGAAAGATTTTTTGCTGCCATGTTTTTGCAAGTGTTAAAAAGTCCGTCGCTGCGTGTTTCCAAAAATGAAAAGTCAACCATTCTTCCGTTCCCGTCGTATTTCACCAGTTGATTCGAGACAACTCAAGCTACCTTGATCTGAGCGTTGTGGTCAGGCCTCGCCAACTTATCCGGATCAGAAATCGGTCCGAAATCGCCGATTTGAAACGATCCATTACCCAAGTGCTCCGCTTGATCGTTTTCGAACGTCATCTACGAAAATCATCTTTTTTCCGCTGAAACTGAGAGCTTTTCGAGGTCTACCGAGAGTTGGCCATTCGAATTGACGATTTTCGGCTCAGCATCTGTGCAAACGTTAGTGATCCAGGCGATTTGAAAGTTGCCTCTGATCCGTTCTTCATACTCGCTGTTGCTGAAAAGTTGGAATCGGATCGAGACGGCCGCATTTGGAATGATTTTTTTTTCTTATAGAGCTTTAAAGGCATAGGGGCAGTAAAAAACGGTGTTTCAATTCAAAGCAGCACTTTGTAGAGCTTTTCATTGCAAATCGAACGGTAAACTTGAAAACGTACCGAACTTCCTAGTTTTGGAGAGAAAATAATTCAAAGTCGGAGAAAAGAAAGTTTGAGTTTCCGCCAGGCTTGTGCGTCAGGACGGGAGGGGGCTTGAGTAATGGCCGGGGGGCCGAGAGGTTGACGGGGCGGCCCTCGCACAAGCCTGGTTCCCGCGAAAAGGGCGCTTTGCAGTAAAGTTGCTCTATGGACAACAGGCTTCGCCATCTTCCGGATTTTCGCTTTTTTCTTCGTTTCTTTCAATTTTCAATTTTTTCTGTTGCCACCAAAGTTCTTTTCGTCACAAAAGCTTTCTATTCATGTATAATTTGCGAACTTTGATCGCAAAAACGCTTATCTGGTGAAAAATGATGATTTTACACAGGTTTCGATTCGGATAGCGATATTTTGTGTTATATTATCGGTGTGTGTTTTTTGTTTTCTTAATCAATTTTTTCAGAGTAGAAACCCTTAATTTGAAGCAGATAGCCGGTTATTTCTCACAAAATGCGAGTCTAATGAACGTCCGCAACATCGCGTGCACATCTACTGTATACAGTTGTCCGCATGCCGATCAAAAGCTTCTTTCAAAATTAAAGGCGGAAAAGTAAAATCGCTTTTTTCTTCTAAAGTCATCTGTAATTTTTTTGAGTACACCATTCGATTCGGAAAGAAAAACTATACAAGATACTGCTTTCACCTAAAATCCCATTTTCTACTGCCCCTATGCCTCTAAGCTCTACAAGAAAATGAGAAAAGGTCTGAGCTTAAAATAAATTCATTTTTGTCATTTCAATTGCTGTAGTCTGTTCATATTTTAAATATCAACTTCTCCCTCAAGCTCCGCCCCTAATGGTGCGATAAACCAATCAGAAAGCGAGCCATCCACAGAGCGTTTTCGAGTGACGTCATTGTACTTAAAATTCAAGCACAGAGCACATGTTCAAAAAAAAATCCGCAAATATCAAAATAGCCGCCAGAGAGTTGAAAATATAACTGAAATTCAGATGACCACTAAGAATAACTGCCGAGATAAACGCGAGACGCTGGCGGTAAATTGACGAGCTCGCAAACATCTCGCTTTTTTTTTCTCGCGCCGGTCTCGCATTTTCCCGTGCGTGAGCTCGCACTTTTCTAGGCGCGACCTCGCATTTCTCTCGCATTTTGAAAATTTCCGAAATGCAAGATAAATGCGAGGTCGCGCCTAGAAAAAAGCGAGATGTTTGCGAGCTCGTCAATGTACCGCCACCGACCTCGCGTTTATCTCGTCAGTTATTCTTAGTGACTTTGAATTTCGCAAAAATCACTTTGAACACGGCATGTGCGAGGGTGCCGCAGTGCATGCACACGACACACTACACTTTACGGAAAACATACGTGTAGCGTCGTCCAAAAACGTTTTGTCCTTGTTAATATTTACAATAAACTTTATGATAGATTCTTTATCAATATGAAAATAACTTTTTAAAAAAACTCCTCACTTCAGCTTCAGTGTTGTGAACTCAAGGAAAAAATTCCTAATTGAAAATAAAAGAAAAAAATTGTCGAACAGTTAGAGTTATTCCATAGAGGGGACGAAAAACTGAATGATCAATTTATTGTCTGATGTTTTTATCGTTCATTTTTCCTGATTTGAGTGAAGACTACAAACTTAAAGAAGAAGAAGAAGATAATAAAAAAACTGCAGTTATAGTCAATGTTTCCCGACTTGAAAGGCGAGGGAAGCGGGACAAGGGGCGGGGCGCGTAGCGTGTGCGTACGCGGTTCTTGGCACGAGTTCAATTCAACCGCCAGCGACCCTTTGGAGCTCTCGTTTATCGCTCTTTTTCATTTCTTTTTTTAAATTATTCATTGATTTTTTTATTCATGTGTGCATTAAATATAAATAGAAAAAATTAAAAAATAGCGGTGACCGATCTTTTTGAATAGTCGGTGCGCTTAAATTGAACTTGTGCCAAAAACCGCGTACGCACACGCTACGCGTCCCGCCCCTGCCACGCCTCCCTCGCCTTTCAAGTCGTGAAACATTGACTATATTATAGCAGAAGTGGAGGATTGGGAAGGCAGCCCTTGGCTTGGCGGCCAAGCCAAGCCATTTAGCCAAGCGATAGAAATGAGTCATTGACTTACTATTGAAAAAGTCATTTCTGCTTTTGGGCGTTCATGGCTTGGCAGGCGGGGCGGCCAGTGGGCAGCCATCCTCCACCTCTGTATTATACTATTTTTCACTCAGTCTCAAATAAATAAATAAATAGATAGTTTATTCACTGCCATTATTTAACATAAAAAAAAATAATTGAAGAATAGATGATCAAGTGAAGGAATAGGCAGAGAAATAACAATACACGGGAAAGAGTCAACCCCAACGAGTTGACGGGTACCCGGAAATATGGAAAATTCACAGGAGACGAGTGGGGATATTTTCATGAAAGGCTTCAAACGGAAGAGCATTCAACTTTTTACGCAGAGTTTCTGGGGTAACGTTAAAATCTAAATAAGAAATTAGTTTATTCCAAAGAGGAATAGTTCTAGAAAAAAAGTCATTAGAAAACTGACCAGTAGTCCGTAGTCGAAGTGGATTCCTCTGTAAAAGGGATAAAGAGAAGAATTTATTACGGTCGAGAAAAATGATCAGAGCCACAGATGATTTTTATGCAAGGTGATAATGTCACAAATTTCACGACGAATGAATAACGGTTTGATGTTAAATTGACTAAGGCGATCTGAGTAAGAAGTGAAACTAACATTACAACGAATGAAAACTTTCCGACTAAAGAGACGGAGTGAAGATTCGAGTTTGTGAGTTTCATCAGAGGAAATGGCGGGTGAGAAAAGCTCGGAGCAATATTCAAGGACTGGATTAACGTAGGTTTGAAACATACGGAAGTAGTTAAAAGGTGAAGAGAACTTGAAGGTATTCAGTATTTGATTAGAACGTAAGGTGGCAAAAGCAGCAATACGGCTGATGTGTTGTTTAAAGGAAAGCTTGTCATCGATAAATAAACCAAGGTCACGTACTATGGAGCTTTGAGGAACAGCTTTGAGGAGTCAAGCCATTTAGCCAAGCGATAGAAATGAGTCATTGACTTACTATTGAAAAAGTCATTTCTGCTTTTGGGCGTTCATGGCTTGGCAGGCAGGGCGGCCAGTGGGCAGCCATCCTTCACCTACAGTACCGCTCAAAAGTCTATTAAGTTTTGGTTTTTTGGGGATATCTCAGCGAGTACTTATCCGATTTATATATAACTTTCAGGGATAATGTAAAATATACTTTGAAACATATACGGTATACAAAGACATGTCCGCAATGACTGTGACGCGTTTTAGGCATTTTTTTATTGAATTCCATTTTTGTTTTTTTATGCTTTTTATTTTTTTATTTATTTTTTTATTAAATTTTTTTAAAATTAATAATGTTGCCATATGATTTTTTTCATGTTTTTCAGACATGGGAAGTACCTTTTGGAAATAAGAATTTGACTGATAACGACAAAAGAGCCATCGTTGTGGGTCGTCAAAATGGACTGACCATGATGACGTTGGCAGGAATGTTCGGCGTGACAGAGGCGGGCATTTCTCAGTTCCTAAAGCGTCAGAAAGCTCAAGATGGCTCTACTAACAGCCAACGCACTGGAAGACCACGTGTCACTGATCGTAATGACGATAGGAACATTTTTGAAGACGTCTAGAACCAATCCAAGACTCATCGCCCCCTGCGATCAGACGGGAAGTTTTTCTTGAATTCGCCATCTCCGCCATCCGTCTCGACCGTGAAACGACGTCTGAATGCTGCTGGAATCATGGGAAGACGTCCAGTGAAGAAACCGCTGATTTCTGAAAAGAATCGAGCCGGCAGGGTGAAGTGGGCGAAAGAGCATCTCAACTGGACCCGTCAAGACTGGAACAAGATTCTGTGGTCCGACGAAAGCAAGTTCCTCCTCTTCGGGAGTGACGGAATTCAGTGGGTTCGTAGACCAATTGGGTCCAGATATCATCCGAAATACCAATTACCCACCGTGAAACATGGTGGAGGTTCTTGCATGGTGTGGGGCGCCTTCTCTGGAAGTGGCATCGGACCGCTTCATCGCGTGAACGGCATCATGGACAAGCACGTCTACAAAGACATTCTCCAGAACCAGATGTTGCCGCACTTGAGAGCCATGGGCCGTGGGAGTGTTTATCAACAGGATAACGATCCCAAGCACACTTCACTGTTCGTCAAGGTGAGAAAATTGACAAGTAATTCGTATGGTTTTGAAACTCAGGACTGGTTCAAGAGCCGTCGGGTCATGGGGTGGCCAAGTCAATCTCCGGACCTGAACCCGATCGAAAATCTCTGGGAAGAGTTGGAGCGACGTTGTGCCAACAAAAGAGCCAAGAATTGCAACGAGAAGTTTGCTCAACTGCTGTCTGAATGGAATCAGATCCCCATGTCTACCATCGACACTTTGCTCAATTCTATGCAGAGAAGATGCCAGGCAGTGATTGACGCCAGGGGCTTCGCAACCAAGTACTAGGTCCCGAATATTGTTTTTAACAATGTTTTGTGTTGATAAAAAATTTTTTTGTTGAGCTATGATTTTTTTAATTGAAAAATAGCAAAAAAATTCGATTTTTTTGAAAATTCGTTTTTTTCTCGAAAAAAATTATTATTCTTTGAGCTAGCAACTCGAAATTTTGCCAGAACACGTATGTCTCTCTCAGAAAACTATGAAAAAAAAATTTGAATCGATATCGCACTTCAAAAAAATTTATCCCCAAAAAAACCAAAAACTTAATAGACTTTTTGAGCGGTACTGTATGTATTATACTATTTTTTTCACTCAGTCTTCTATCAATTGTCTCCCAATCCAGAAAAATAAAATCTTTTACGCTGATTTTCAATATATTTCAAAGATAGCTACTTTTTTTGTCACTCCAACACTGACCATGCAATGAACTCCACACGAGAACCGATGTCGAAATTGCCAGTTTTCTGACGATCGCAAACCCATCCGAGATATCCCACCGCACATCCGGGCGTCCAAATCCACCATTTTTTATTCTCTTTTTTAACTACTATTCCGGATTCCGTCGTAGTGTCCTGCAGAAACTTTCCTTTTGCGTTGAAAGGTTCATTTGCTTTTCGGTTTACCTTCTCAAGATTGCTATTGACTAAGCGCCATTTGAAATTGGTCTCTTCGCTCTTGAAAATCTATAAAATATTGATCAGATCGATTGGAAAACAGTTTCGTTCCAGTGAGCTGAGAATAAATTCGGAGAAATGAAGTTCCAAGTGGTCCTTTTAGTGTTAGACTACCAAACCAACAGAACAAGGAAAAGAGTTCAAATTGGTAACTTGATAGGATCCGCCAAAACTCCAAGAATATCCCCTAGAAGGACCACTCCGGCTTTTTAACCTACGTGGACAGATCTGTAAAGACCAGTAGGAAGAGTATCTATCCAAATCACGACGTTCTTATATTCTTGCAATTGATTTATGACGTCATTCTTGATCAAAGTCACAGTTGAGTAGTACATCGGATAGCGCTCCTTCTGAGAAAACTTCATGAGAAACAAGGGGAAAGACCTCCTTACACGGATTAACGTTGCTTGCACCACTGTCAACTGATTACCTTCCAGTTCAATACGTGCATTGTAGAACCCTCCCTTTTTGATTATCCCGCGGTTATCCTGAAAAGAATATAGTCCGTGACATCGAGGAAAAGGTAAACCCGAACGGTTAGTGAAGGCAGATAGTCACCCGGCGGAAGAGTTATCGAATCTCCGCAGCGGTGCATTTGATTCACGGAAATCTGTGTGTTGAATGCTTGTGGGATGTTTGGAGCTGAAAAAGGAGACAATAGGTAGTTTCCTTCCTGGTGAAGGACGAGACTCGTACAGATGGGAAAGTGCAGAACTCATTCAGCCCGGAAGGAGGGGTTGGCTTACAAATATTTTGGAGAAACAAAGATTAAGATCAATCTTCGACATCAAGGAGGCAGTTTTGGCCACATTAATACATGTTTTAGCCTTACAGTGGAAGTATTAACATTAAACCAGGAAGATTTGGGAGGAGGGTCGGCCGCCTCTAAAAATGATGTGGCATTAGCTCAGATTTTATCGGCGAAAATTAAGAAATTCTTTTATTCAAAAAAAAAATTGTCCCTGAAGCCAAAGAAATCTATCAGGCTGTGCTGTCCGAAAAATTTCGAAATTCTATATGTTCCCTTTGAAGTGCCATAATATCAAGCAAGTGTAAAAACCTTCTAGTAGTTTTGAGTTGAGTTTCATGCTAGGGGTATGTGAGGCGCAGTCGCCGCGTCTAGCTCTTAGTACAAACTGAAATAGACCAAGGTCGACATCGTACGTTCGTGTACTACGAGTGGCTTCTGGGCAACGACACGGGCGCCGCGGTCGCCAACATCTGCAGAGCGTGCAAGGAGGATGCAGTGTCCCAACGCACAGTCAGGAGATGATTCAATCGTTTCGGGAGCGGCGACACGAACCTCGAGGACAGTGAGCACAGCGGGAGGCCTTCTAGAGTGGATAGTGACGAATTCCGTCGCTGTATCAATGAGAAGCCGGAACCACCCGTGAACTGGCGACGACGCTCGGCTACAGCAAGTCCACCATCCACAATCGGCTCAACTTACTCGGCTACCACTAAGTTCTGGCTTGTTGGATCCCCACCATCTGACGAGCGCCAACAAGCAGAGTCGCGTGTCAATCTGTTATTCTCTCCTCTTTCATCTGCACGCAAAGAGTTTCTACAGGACCTGGTCACTGGGGATGAAAGCTGGGTCCTCTACGACAACGACGCCCGCCGTACCGTCTGGATCCCGCGCGGAGAAGAGCCTCCGACAACGCCGAAAGCCGACCTGCTCCCGCTGAAGATCATGCTCTGCTGCTGGTGAGACGCCAAGAGCATTCTGTACTTCGAGCTGCTCCCGCAAGGCAGGACGGTCACCGCATCCATCTACACCGATCAGCTCGAGAAACTAGCCGCTGCCATCCGAAAAGCGTCCCCGACGAGCCCCACCTGCTGCACGACCGCCCCCACGTGCCGAAGGAGACCCAGCAGAAGTTGACGACGCTCGGCTGTGGTTGCCCATCCACCGTATTCTCCGGACCTCGCCCTCTCCGAACACCACTTGCTCCGCCCGCTGAAGTACCAATTGGCCGGAAGCAAATTCATCAACTACGACATCTTCAAATCCGACATCGCGGACTTCTTTTTTTCTGGGCGAAGGGCATCGGCGACCTGCCCATTCGATGGGCCACTGTCGTGGATAACTGTGGTTATTATATTGTTGATTAGACTTGTTTTTCGATAAAGTTGAAAAAAAAAATTAAAAACGGTGAAATTTTCGGACCAGAATTATTGGAAAACCTGGTAAATGAAATAGATCTTTTCTCTTTTTTTCACGCTTCGGGAAATACTCAATGAAATTTCTCACCCATAGTCGCCAAGTTATGGTCGTTCAGGTGAGGTAGAACTACGCCGTTGGGTGGAAGTCGCGGAACTCTGTCATGGCTCTGTAAGAATAATCTCGAATAACTTTAATTAAAAATCTCAAATTAAGGAAAAAACTTAACTTTAAGGTCAATTGTCAAGTTAGAAAGCCTACGCCTGTAGGTGTCCTAAATTCACCAAAAAATTCAGAATTTTTTTCTCAGTAACCCATGGAACCGAAATAGGGGAGCAAAAATAAGAGCTAATAACTCAGAGAAGGGCGAAAAAAAACTCCCGATACTAACAGAATAATCTGGAGGGGCGTCTGGGGGACGAACTCGTGATCTTGATCGTGAACCCCCGCGCTGAAAACAGAAATCAAGTTATAACGAAAAAGTATGAGTTATGATATAGCTGATTCACGGCTGGCTTGAGCCATCGGAAAAAGGTTCCTGACACGATAATTCACGAGACAGTGCTTGACTCGTGGAGAGCACAGACAGGCCACGCCCCCTTAGCGTCTCAAGCTAGCCGTGAATCAGCTATATCATACTACTCTAAAGCGCGTGTATGCATCAAGAGCTAGAAACTATTTACACAGCGGTTATATACTTCAAGATGCCGCCGACCATAAAACGATCCGCCCCTGATTTTATCAAAACTTATAGCAGAACCATACATCATCTCATTAAAATATTAGAAGCTTATGGGTGTGTAGGTCGCTTACAAAAATGGTTTTCACAGTACTTAACCAATAGAACTCAATTTGTCCGCCTCAATTATGAGGTCTCCAACGAAACCGAGGTGTTGTCTGGGGTTCCACAAGGAAGCTGCTCAGGACCGTTGTTTTTCTTGATTTACATAAATGATATAACTAGTGTCGTAAAACATAGCAAAATGCTCATTTATGCAGATGATGTAAAATTATTCATAAGCTCAGAAACTGATAATTATAACCTCAAGCTGCAATCAGACATTAACTCAATAAGATACTGGCTTTTAGAAAGGCAACTCTCTATTTCTAGCTCTAAAAGCGTCTATGTGCGGTATGGTAAAAGAAGGGGAATCTGGAACGACTATAGAATAGGAGAGGAATCCATCCCCAAACAAGAGTTGATTAGAGATTTAGGAGTTAATTTCAGTTCCGATCTGAAAATGCATCATCATATCGACATAATAGTCAAAAAAAGTACTCGTATAATCAATAATCTTTTCCGTTGCTTCACTTTTTCCGTTAAAAACTTTATGAACTGTTATAAAGCCAAAAGGCTACCAATTTTAGAGTATGGATCGGAGGCATTCTCTCCACTTACCCAATCTGACATAAACAGGCTAGAATCGGTTCAAATAAAATTCACCAAACGGCTTCTCCCAAAAGAAACCTATGCTGTAAGACTAAAATCCCTTTCTCTAGACACTCTATGGACAAGGCGACTGCAAAAAGATATCCTAATTACACATCAGCTCACATATGGTTATTATTGGTGCCCATCTCCATTCAAATTACAAACGATATCAAATAGACGGAACCAACTGAGAGGCATCGGCCTTAAACTCGAACCACCACCAATCCATCATGTTCACTATAACTTTATTACGCAACGCGTGTATAAATACTGGAACGGCTTAAACAGAGTTATGGTTTTTGAGGATGACCAAAGAAGATTTAAAAATTTGTTTGAAAAAAATTGGTTTTTTTGATAAAGGAAGCTGCAAATATCACAAAATGATTTAACTCGTTTATAGATTACTTTTCTTTTTGATTCTTTTTCGATTTCGACCTAAAAATATTCTTAGATTAAAGTGGAACTTTATCGAAGTGGAGGCAAATATAACTTTCATGGTTCTCTTCCTCTACGCCACAGACCTGTCTGTAAGCGAAATAAACATTGCATTTCATCTGCATCACACCCAAGCCTTTTTCGAGCGAAAAAAAATTTTTGAAAATGTACTGACACGGGAAGTGCAAAAGGTCGAGGTATTGGGATTTAATGAGACTTGGTGTATAGGTACTTTCGAACATCCTGAATCCAAAGAAGTTGAAAAAAAGTGCGCCTTTTTGGTTCTTGTCGAGTTATGGCGCCTCAAAGTTTGCACGCAAAAAATGCATGGGAAGGGAGGAGGGAATCTCTTGCGGCGGCTAACTCTAGCTGCCAGCAGGAGGCGTGGTGTAGTGGCTAGCGGCTTAGCGCTTTGGAACCTACGCGGATGGTTCGAACCCTTTTCGGTGAAAAATTTTTTGGCCTACTTTTTTCTTGAAGAAAATAATAAAGTTTTAAAGATGGAACAAAAATTATCGCTCTAAATGTTCAAATTCACAATATTTTTGTCGTAAAATTCTCGATGAAACTTTTTTTGTGTTCCATCTTTACTTGTGGTCCGTAGATTCCTTTCTTGAAAAAAAGATTTATGGATAAAATATCTTTTTTCTTTATACTCCTATGAAATTTTGTGCTGAATAGTTTCTTAGCGAAATCCATTGAGCTTGAAAGTGAAATTAGACGAAAACATTTTTTTTTGTCGAGAATATGGCTCAAAACGACAAAAAATGTGAACTTGAACATTTTGAGTGGTAGGTTGTGTTCCATCTTTGAAACTTCATCATTTTTTCGAAGAAAAAAAATGGCAAAAAAAAGTTTTACCGAAAAGGATTCGAACCTACATCGTAGGTTAGCGCTAGGCCGCTAGCCACTACACCACGCCACCTGCTGGCAGCTGCAATGAGCAGCAGCAAGACATTCCCCCCCTTCCATCTGATGCATTTTTTGCTTGCAAACTTTGAGGCGCCATAACTCGACTAGAACTGAAAAGGCGCACTTTTTTTCAATTTCTTTGGATTCAAGGTGTTCGAAAGTACCTATATACCAAGTTTCATCAAAAGTTTCTGAAAAGCTATCTGAAACTGCAATGAAGCGATTAAATTTGGAATATTTTCTTTTTCAAAAAACTTACGCCTCGCCCACTTGGATTCCTCCTTCTTTGCTGATACGGCCCTTGGGTATCCTGAGAATTTCGAAATACGAAAATTATTACGAAACCAATCAACTTGTCTCTCCCAAGGCAAACCCGAATCATTTGGAGGGCCCCCGTTCATGGTTGCTTTTTTAATGAAACTTTTCTTCAAAGATCTGAAAATGAAATTTCGGTCGATACAAAATGTCAAACTCACACCAAAATGGGGAAGGGACGGCCGCGGAGTTGTTCCCGAAACGATAACACAGAAAACTGATAACGGAAGAATGGCTTTAGAGTACTCTATCGAAAAAATCCTAGCGTCATTTTGTTTCGCACCGATAAAATAGTGGGTCTTTGTGGGAATGTTCTTCTTTCTCTTATGAAGCCAGCACTTGGAAAGAAGAATTCATTCAAGATTGAGAACTTAGGAAAAAAGGTGCTGACTTTCGCGAAGTTTTCATTAAATTCCTGACGTTCTTTTCAAACCAAATTCATTTTTTCACGAATTTTCTATTTAACCTAAATGTTAGTCACATCCATATCTGGTCTTACGAGTTTTTCTGAACCGTTACCTTTTTTCTATACCAAAAGGTTGGATTCAAAAATCAGGCTTGTGCGAGGGCAGCTCATCCTGACTCGTAAAGCACAAATTTTCGTCAAGTCAAATGTCAAACTTTTTTTTAGGGCAAGAATCAAGTTTGGGGATCTTTTTTCACTTTGATATTGACAGAAACTACGATTTAACACGTAAAAATTGTTCTTGGATGAAAATTTTCAGTAAGTATGAAAATTTTTCTTCAATTCCCAGCCGCTCAATCTATTGCCGCTTTTATCCTCATACCATTTTTTTTTTCTCGGAAAATGATTTCAACACATTTTCTCGTTATCCACTACTTCTCTCATCTCTTTTTCCATAATTTGCTCAGAATTTTTTCTTCACGATTAAAAAACAACGCCAAACTGCCTTCTGCAAAACGGGACTCTGAAAAATGGGGAAGCCAGAGGATTTTTTTGATTTTACTTCTCACAGATAAAGTCTACAGAGCCTGAACATTAGTACCAAACCATCATATTCAAATTAAGCTCCAAAAAACTGAGAAACCAGAGAATGACTCAATTGTTTTATTATTTTAGCTTATCAACGGCTTTTTCTAAACGGCCGCAAAGCAAACATTTGATAAGAGTTTATCGGTGTCGAGTCAAACGACGGCTCGTTGAACGGAGGGCGATCGTCGGTTTCTCGAACCGGAAGGAAGACGACTGCGTGCTTCCAACAGCGTCTTCGTGAAGGGCATCAGCGGCTTTTCGCAGAGTTTGGCCTAAAAAGCATTACTGGTATTGGGTTAGGGCAAAAGCAGGCTTGTGCGAGGGCCGGCCCGTCAACCTCTCGGCCCCCGGCCACTTCTCAAGTCCGGCCCAAGGGAGGCCTTAAGCAAAAATGGCCGGCCCGGTCCAAAAAACTCAAGTTTTCTTCAAGTCGAATTTTCCGCTTTTTTAACGAGAAAAGTGGTATTTTTGTTTGTTTTTTTCTCATAGAGTTATTAGAAACTATAATTGGACAAGTAAAAATAATTTTCCGTGAAACTTTTTCGAAATGAAATTTAAGATTTCTTTCGAAGCCCGGCCCACGCAGGCTTTTTTTTTAAATTGTAGGCTCAAAGCCCGGTCCGGGCCGCCCGGCCTGACGCCCAAGCCTGCGCAAAAACACAAGCGTTGAAAATTGGTTGGAACTTACAAAGGAAAAGCTTGGGAACTGAATTCAACTTTGCTGAGATGTTCTCCTTTATCTTACCAGGGAGATCGTTTCACTTTGCAGTTAGTTGGGAATTTTTTGAAATTTGGCCAGAGTACTCCTAGATGTACCTTATGAAGATCTGCACAACTTTTCAGTTTTTGAGAAATGTGAGCTCAGAGACCTGAAATAGCCTATTTTAACGGATTTTGAGGGCCTTCCTCGACTTCAAGGCGCATTTCAAAAAATAGGAAGTTGTGCAGTTTGAGACTTTCAGAACCTTCATCCGGTACATTGAAAAGTGTTCTGACCAGTTTTCAGGGAATTACCAATGTAAAATGACCTTCCTTGTTAGCTACAAAAAACCTATCTAACTTCAGGAACAATTCATGCTTTTCTAAATTCTTTTTAAAAAAAGTTCGAACTGAGTTTGGTACCAAAATAATACTAACTCCGTTGCTTCGGAGGAAAATAGGTGAACAAACTATGCTTAAAAATGCCCTTGCATGAGAAAAGTTTTGAAACAGAGAGTTAAAGAAGGGAATGATTCTGAAACGTATTGGAGCTCATTGAAAATTAACAATATGTCGCACGATCCGCAGGAAAGTTTTTTTTTTTCCGATCACCTAATAACATTTTTGTTATTCCTGAATTTCCTCCAATTTCCAAGTTTCAACAAAAGTTCCAATCTTGTCCCCCTTTCTCAAAGTCTCTCACCTGCCCATTTTGCAAGAGAATCGTGTTGAATTGACACGACTGACGACGCATCGACTTCAATTCAAAAGAAATGTTCGCATTATAAAGAGATACCGATGAAAACCATGAAAATGCGTTCCTCGTTCGACATTGGCATGTTTCGCGTCACATCCACCATACAATTGTCGCTAATCACCAGGATCTGTCTGGAGAAAAAGAAAGGGTCGTTATTCAAGATTCCTTGGAATATGTTTGAATAGTTCCTAACTATGGTAAGTCACGTTGTCGACCTAAAAATGACTTTCAGAAGAAAAAAAAAAATCATAACTGATCTTTCAAGTCAATTATTGGATCCAGAATGCGAGATTATCGATAATTCCTTAAATTTAAAAAAAATTCAGTTTTTCAACGTCACGGAGACCGATCTCGGCACCCTTTCCACCATAGAAATTCGTTCAAACCACTACGCTACGTCTTTCAAAAAGTGATAGGAGCTTCCAAACTCGTCGTCAGAGTTGGCGACAATGTGCGCGAAGAATCTGGCGACTCTGGCGCCGTAGGCCATCGTCGATTCGGATTTCAGGACCGAAGCCTTGATCATCGGCTCATAACGTTCATCGATCGGGTTCTTCATGTTGGAGAACTGTAAGACTTTCTGAGCTTTTCTTGAGCATATATTTTTAAAGATTTTTAGTTGCATGATCAAATTTTGCATTGATAAACCCTTATTTTTCTAAAAATTCATACAAGGGGTGTACAAACTCAGTTCTAGGAAGATAATTTCACTCCCATAGGAGTTCATTTTTCTTGAGAAATCCCTGAAAATTGGCCAGAACACTTTTAAAGGTATCAGATGAAGATCTTGAAAGTCTCAACCTGCACAACTGCCTAGTTTTCGAGAAATAAAGTCTCAAAGTATTTCTCAACCGCTAAAACCCACAGTTCGAGGCGAAAACCAAGCCTTGTGCATGTAAGGCGGGTACATCTGTCGCCAAGGCGCCAGGGCCGGTTCGATGCAAATCTGAACTTCTGAATCACCTTTCACGTCAATTTTTTTCCATATTGAATTCTGAATAGAAAAAAGTAAAAGTAGCTTCGAAAGGGATATTCATTGCTTGAAGCAACTAAAGGAATCTAAAATGCAAGCACATGTACAATTTTTTTGAATTGATTTTTTTGAAATAATTTACCGAAGTTGAAGAACTGTCCATGCCCTTGACGATGGCGCAAGCTGTCTGTACCGATTTCAAATCCGGCGAACAGTAAATCTTAATATTTTCGATTAAAAACTATATTCAACTATTTCAATTAGTATAGCAGTTTGCAGGCAATAAAAGAGTTATTTTTGACAAAAGAGCTCCTGAAATTGAACAGGCTTCACTCATTTGAAAATATTCGAGCGCCATTTCAAAATAGGAGTGAAAATAGGATTGGAAGCGAATTTTGCGTTCTGAAAACTGTTTTAAATGAATCACTTTGAACGCACTTCAATTATTAAGAAAACTTTTTCGAATGGAATTGTAAATAAATTTGTTTTTCAGCTCGAGGAAAAAAATTTTCTACTTTCCGACTTTTGTCGGTTCTTCAGTTCATTTTTATATTTAAACACAACTAAAACTAACCGTAAAAGGAACAAAATCAGCTTTTCTTAGCCCTCGGCCGTAGGTTTCCGCCACAATCAGGCCTCGCTCAGTCAATGGCGGATCAAAGCGATAATGTTCGATTGGTCGTCTGATGAATAATGTCTTTTTAAGGATCTTAAGAAGCCTTTTTTAAGTCAGAACTATATAAAAAACTTTTTTGCAAACTTACGGTATAATTTTCGTCGGCATGTTCATATCATAAGGTTCATAGTTGGTTTCTCCTTTTCGATAGCACAATCGAACCCATTGAGGAAAGATTTGAGCCACTGACTCCGCATTCGACACTAAAATAGCCTTCTTTAAATCTCAAGAGCTTAAATTAGGCTTGGAATCCCTACTATCGAAGTTTTCCAAAGAAAAAGACCGACAATGTTCTATTTTCGAGTTCTCACTACACCGTGATAGAGAAAAACGGCAGGCAACTTGACAGACTCGGCGCCTTGCCGACTTCGCAGCCGCCATAGCTCAGTCGGTTAGAGCGTGGGTCTAATAAGCCCAAGGTCGCAGGTTCGACCCCTGCTGGCGGCAAATCTTTTTGTCTTTTCGTTTTGAGTTTTTCAAAATGGAAATAAAACATACTAGCCAGAATTTTTAGATCTTTTTTGTCGTTTCCTCGTTTGTTCGCCAAATTTTCCAGAAAACTGCCTTTTATTTCTTCCATACTAACACAAGTTTCTTTATTGGCTGCTCTTATGTTCACTGAAAATGATGGTTAATTCAAAATTTGGAACAATCTCAACCGTGTTGAGTCGTTGAAGTTCGAGTTAAAGTTGACAAGTTCTCCATTGTGAGAAATGATTTGAAAAAATATACTTATCACGCGATTTCAAGTTGATTTTTTTTTTTTGAGAATCCCACATTTCTTTCTATTTCCAGAACAGTGTTTGCATTAAAAGAAATATCGAAATATATTATAAATCTTTAACCTAATACTTAAGTTGTTGATGAAGAAAGGTTCCCGCTTATTCATCCAATTCCACGTGAGGCGGAAATAAAAAAAATACTGGGAAACCCGAAAAACCGGGAAAATCTATGTCTTGATAAGCCTTGCTAATGTTGCTAAGCAACAGCGTTGATTAAATAATAAAAAAACGAAAGAAGAAAAAAAGGAGGAGGAGGAGGAGCCTCGGCGCTGTTTCGCCTGTTGAATCGGGTTTATTTTCACATTCCTTTGCTAGGTCCTAATATTTGCGATTTTGAATTTCAAGAGTTGATTTTGGAATCATTGATAAGCTTCAAAACTACACTTCAGTTACAATAGAAAATTCAAAAAATCAAATTTTTCTTGTATTTAAGTTTGCAATTTTATGAAAAGAGTGAAAATGGACTTCCTGAATTTTTTCAAGTTCGAACTTGATAATTAAATGCGAAGTTTCGAAGGAGTAACCTTTTTTCTCCACCCTACACTCTTACTCCCTATAAGAATTTCCAAACTCCAAAATTTTATAGTTTTTGTTTTGTTTCTATGCTGTAAGACCTGTGGAGTTATACAGATGCGACCGAGCGGCACGATCCATCTTTTGCTTGTTCTTTCATTGGCGGGATTGGCTAGCGGCGCTTCATCCGCTTGTATCTCCTTTCAATTGGATGACTCCGCCCCACTGGGTAAAAGAATGAAAAAATAATCGGAAGTCGCACGTGGAATGACTCAAGACATCGTAGCTACAAATAGGTTGCACCCGACCTTGAAACGACTTACGCTGAAATTTTTTTTCAATGTTACCCATTTGATCTACTTAAAAATACAAGACCGCCACGTTGAGCCATCCACGTGTAGTCAAGGGGAAGAACCAAAAAGATGAAAATTGAAGAATTTTAGAATCGGCACATGTAAACGAGCAAGATGGGCCTGTACAAATCTATCAGATAGAGTTCGACTCGGAATCTACTGGCAATTTGACTGGAAGACGAGTCGACTTTCTAAAAGACACTGTGGACTTTAACCAATGTCCCTCAACTTGTCTCTCCTCGATCGCCGCCTTCAACGACAATTCCCAAGGTTCTTTCTTGGTTCAATCAAGCTTCATAATATCTATTATGGCCCAGTACGTTATCCAACTAGTTAACTTTAATGGAAAATTATAAATTTGTCCGTTTTTTTCAACTAAACTCTCAAAAAAAAACTCAGATGTCGATCATTCCACAATTCTGCATTTCTCCTTGGACCAGTCTGGTTACCTTCCGCCAAACTATCAGTGAGCTATTCATTCTGATTTTATCATTTCTAATTTTGTAACCAAGCGAAAATCTTGGCAACTTGAATGAACATACAGACTAAACCGCGACCTTCCAAAGTTTTTCTGCGGAAAAGTATTCGGTTTTTGTGGCGCCACCGTTCCCGTGTATCGATATTATAAATTGACGGAGAAAGGAGTTTGTAAGTTTTTTTTTTCAAGACTTCAAGGCTTTCTGAAACTCTTCAATCACTTTTTTAGCTGAAAAAAATCCTCTTCAAACGGATTAATCAATGTAAATCTCAGATCACGCCTATTCCTTTGGCCCCTCTCAGTTATTCCCAAACTACACACAAGAATCGTTCCCAATCTGCTACGCCTGGGCTCCGCCGGCATTTTCTCCCAGTTTTGGTACTTTCTTCCGACTTATTTCAAAAAATCTAGTATTTTACGTTTAGAACCTTCAAATCCATTACTTTCCGAGCAGCCGAGCCAAAACTGCGGATCCGGTCTATCCGTCGATGGAATTTCTCCTCTTCTACTTTCCGATTTGAATGTATTTTTCAATAATTTAACTTGTAAGTTGTATTTCTCACGTTGTAGTCTGTTTGAAGATCAATTTAAGACACCCTCGCTGACCATTACTTCAGTACGCGGCCTGATACCTCTTCTCAACTTCAAGGATACACAAAAGGAGTGAGGACATGGTTATTATTATTTTAAAGGTGCAAAAGGCATCAGTTAAGAGTTTCAGAAGTTTGATAGAAAAATTTTATGATTATAAAACGGTCTCAGGAATCTATCGGCAAAGTATTAACGTTTGACGACCCAGCCTGTGGATGTTTGGTGCAACTTCGACAAATGTACGACAATCAGAACTTCACCAAACCGGGTGAGACTTCTTCTTTAAGTTTTCATGCTGAGAGTTCTTTTTTCAGGCCGGATCGACCACAAACTGGCCCCACTAAGCGAAATGAACCGAGCTAATGAAAACTACATGCCAACGGGCGAGAAAATCTACTGTGCGAAGAGACTTGGCGACTGTGGAGCAACATTGCCGCTGTGGAAACAGTACAACTACTATACAGTTGGTGAGTGTCTTATTTTTTGCACTGAAGTGATTTCAAAACGCGAACTCCAACTTCTTAAAAATTGATTTCAGACTCCATGCTGACGACGGACTCCAAGCTGCTGCCCTACTCATTCTTGTACCCACCCGGGGTTCTGTGCTACATCTGGGCTCCAGATTATAACGGATTCTTCGCCACACAAGCCGCAGCGACGACGTTAGCACCAACAACTTCCAACGAAACAATATTAGTCGGGGAAATCGCTGGTACAGCTCCAACTTCCGGAAACCCTTCAGAAGTCTCAACAGCGACGCCAGCGACGTCTTCAACTGACCAAACCGCTGGAACTGCTCCAACTTCAGGAACACCCTCAGAAGACTCAACAGCGACGTCTTCAACTGACCAAACTGCTGGAACTGCTTTAACTTCCGAAACGCCTTCAGGAGACTCAACGGTTACTGCAGCGACGACAATACCTGAACAAACCGCAGGAACTTCTCCGACGTCAGGAGTATCTTTAGAAGTGTTAACGGCGACGCCTCCAACAGAAGGCACAACCGGATGGACGACACTTCTTTCAAATGAATCTTCTCCAACTGCTGAAACGCTTCCTGGGATTCTGGCAACAGTAGGAACGTCACCAATAGATGGAACGACAGCTCTTCCGGAAATATTGACCACTCCAGCCGACGGAGAAGCGACGACGCCATCAACAGGTTTAACGGTTGGAACCTCTCCAACTGGAACGATGCCATCTATCGATCAAACCACTTGGGCAACGACCCCGGTTATCTACTTCACTGAAGGATCAATCGGAACTGCCCCAACAGCTGAGCTTTTTGCTACTGGATCGCCGTTATTCGTGGGCACGACTACAAGCCTTTCCGACATTGGAACAGCTTGGACGAACTCAGAAACGACCTCAACGGGAGGAACAGCCGGGACTAGTGAGCCTTTTGCGACTGGGGCGCCGTTATTTGGAGTCACGGAAGGACCTTTATCTGGAACGACCTTGACTGGTGAAACTGTTGGAACTTTTGGAACGACGTTCGCGACAATTGGAGTATTTGGAACGTCAGAAACCACGACTTCTTCATTGAACGAAATGACTGGCACATCTTCAGCGATCGGAAAAATTGAAACGTTTGAAACGACGCCCAGCTTGAGTTCAGTTCCCTTTACAACTTCAGTTTGGAGAACATCTCCAGAAAGCTCGACGGTTCCTGCCTGGGGATCATCTTCGCAGCCAACGCTACTTGACTTAAGACCTAGCGAACTTCCACCAACATCATTCCTTGAGAACTTTACTGAAACATCTTCGACATCTCCTACCTTCACTCCAAAACCATCACAGAACTCGTCAAACTCAACCTTCATTTCTGATCAGCCTGTTCTCACCTGGTACGACATTTTATTTGCTACTGCTTCTCCCTCCAGACCTACACGGGACCTTTTCGAATCTTCTAACGATTCAGAATCCTCAACTGCAGCCCCAGCAGTGGCGCCACAACTAATTAGAGATGCAGAGTCTATAGAAACTACTACAGTCAAATTCGAAAATCAAGTTCAAGACATCCTCAACAATACTGGCCAATGGATCAGTAGCTACAATGCGTCAGGATTGTCAGAATTTCTGAATAACACTGGAATCACGATTAGTCAGTTGAATGGATCGCGATTCGCGGAATTCCTGAACAGTACAGGCAACGCAATGATAGGATTGAACGCTACCGAGCTCGATGGATTTCTAAATCTGAATGCTTCTGAGATCTCTAGCTTTCTGAACAGCACTGGGAAAACTATCGGAAGTCTGACTGCTTCAGATATTCAAACCTTTTTGAACGTCTCGGGCAATACGATTAGCCATTTGAACGCGTCGGAAGTTCAGAACTTCTTCAACAACACTGGAAACGCAATAAGTAACTTCAATGTTTCTCAAGCCTGGGACTATTTGAACAAAACAGGAACTGCTATGAGCAATATTAGCACGGCTGATGTCCAGAACTTCTTTAACAATACCGGAAACGCTATCGCCAATTTCAACGGTTCTTCAATCTCCAACTTCTCCAACAGTACTGGTATTGGTAATATCAGCACGACTGATGTTCAAAACTTCCTGAACAACACTGGAACGGCTATCAGTAACTTCAACGCTTCAGAAGTTCATAATTTCTTGAACAACACCGGAAACGCTATCCACAACTTCAACACTTCTTCTATTTCCAACTTCTTCGACAATACTGGGAACGCCATCAAGAACTTTAGCGGAACTGACGTCCAAAACTTCTTGAATAATACTGGATCCACCATTACAAACTTCAACACTTCTTCAATTTCTAACTTCTTTGACAATACTGGGAACGCCATCAAGAACTTTAGCGGAACTGACGTCCAAAACTTCTTGAATAATACTGGATCTACCATCACCAACTTCAACACTTCTTCCATTTCCAACTTCTTCGACAATGCTGGAAATGCCTTGAGCGATCCGAAAAACATCACGATATTCGACCAGACCAAGAATTTCTTCAGCGGATGGTTTGGCAGCACTTCAGAACAGAATCAAACCCAAGTGACCGCCCAAGAAGACAAAGAGAAGTCGAAAAACTCGATTTTCGGAGAATTGTTGGATACTTTCACGGTAATGAATAGAGCCAAAATTCTTCGTGCTCTTGAAGAAAAAAATTTTTACTCTATACAAACTGTTTTCAGAACTGAGCTCTTCCACAACGACGAACAAGGAACGAACAACTATGCAATGATTTGTGGAATAAACTTTTTCTATGTTTCTATTTTTATTCGGTTCAAAAAATGACGCATCACAGTACTTCTGAACGATTTTTTTTCCCCAGAAAAACAAGAAAAAAATTTCTTTCCAATTCTATTCACGTGAAATTCAAGCTCTTTACAGAGTTTTTTGGTTTTTTTGGCCCTCGAACGTCGGAATATCAAATTTTTTCTCTCTCAATTCTTTCTCTTTCCGATTTGCTCAACAAACTATGACCTGAAAACGTCAATTCAAATCCGTTTATTCATGCAAATTCGGAGTTGTTCAAGCCGTTCCGACCCCAATTTATTCAATTTTTCGGGGGCGTTATGCTCTCAACACAAGAGCAATATAAAAATGCAACAAAGTAGGAAGAAAAATTCGAGTTTTGAGCCCCCGAAAATGATCCTTTTCTGGGTCGCTGTTTCGTTTCCAGTGATTATTCTCGGGCAAAATTGCCCCATGGGCAATGGCTTCACAGCGGCCGAGATGTGTGGGTTTTGTTCGCACGAATGATAAGGGAAAACTTGAAAACACTATCTAGAAAAAAAGTTCTATCGTTGGAGTGCACTTAGTCAGTTTTTTTTTTCTCTCCAAGATGTACAATAAAGTTTAAAAGATGGGGTTCTCTTTCCAGTTTAGTTTTTTTGCCATTAATTCTGTGGATCGATTTTTTGTTTCCTTTGCATTTTTTTCTTAGTAATGTACTTTCGAATATCGCTATGTATACAAAAAAGTTCGTTTCATCGAAAGGACGTTGAAGTTAGGTCATTGATGCATATGATGAATAGGTCCTGCATTAATCTATTGTTATCTTTTTTTCTATTTGAACTAACTTTTTATCGGAAGGCTCATTTCTATTTTACATATGAAATCTTAGCTTACATGTGTTCGATTGAACTTTGACAATAAAGAAGGCTTATCGATTATTTGAGAATATAGTTTCAAATCTATACAGCTCTGCCACCTTAATCTCACTCAAAATGTGCCATTTTTTGTAGGAAGCAACTTATTTGGGAACAAAGGTCAGAATCATTTACAGCCGAAATATCCGTGTACCAGATCAAAAACACACGAGGACACTACCCAAAGTACCGGATTTCAACCAAACACCTCCATCATCACTCAAAAATCGTTGGAGATGAAACAGCGCATGTTCCCCTTGCAGAACTGAACTCTACGTTTTGCCCCGACTCGTGTCTTTGGTCCTTGACGGCTTATGAAGATCGTTGGTTTTCCATTCTTTTCTGTCAAAAGGGTCTATTCAAAATTTAAAAATGGCATTGAACCTTACGTAACTTAAGCGGCGTCAAAACTCTTGAATGATCCCTAAAAATACTTAAAAACGTCCGAGGTCTGGACTCGGACTTTGGTAACGTGAAACGGACGTGACGGGGCATTTTTACTGACTTCTTTAGTAGCGTCAGCACTCTTAAGTGATCCCTAGAATTGCCCAGAAACGTCTAGTTTTCGTTATCGAGGTCAGAGGAGGTCTCAATGATTGATTAAATTCTCACTGGAGCAATCTTTCCAGCGACATCCGTCTCGATCCTTCACGAAAGGTCTCCATTTCCGGCGTTCATTCCGAATGGGTACAAATTAACCCATCCAACCAATATATCCTGTTCACCCATTCAAAATCGCTGCGGAGCAACGGTTCCCCTCTACCGCTACTATCGCATCACGGACACCGGCATTCGTAAGTTTTGAAACTTTGAAGGTGCAATTCCGATCTTTTTCGAACCTTTTGAAGTTTCTAATAATACAAAGAAGTTTTATGCAAACTCAAATTAATTAAAGATCACACCTACTCGTTCCACGACTCCACTGAATATCCAGGATTCGTTCGAGAATCTTCCCCGCTTTGCTTCGTTTGGCCTCATCCAGAGGGTTTTTTTATTTTTCAAAAATTGTATATATCCTTAAACAGATTCAACTTGAACGAACTTCAGTTAACTTAATGGAAAAATGTTCTTTGTTCTAACAAAATTCCCTATTTTTCAGTGAATCGATCGGTTCTCTACTATCAAGCCTCCCCAACAAACCAAGTTTCGCTGCCTAAATGCCAAAAATCGATTTCAATGGTCAATTCGTCCTTTCAAACGCCTCTCCGAGTCTATTACAACTACTACAATGGTGATTCAATCTTCGAAGGTAATATTTATAGATTTCAGGCCCTACCAACACCTTGCGCGATCATTTCACAACAACTCTGCCTTCAACAAATTCCCAACTCAAAGGATACCAATTACAGGTAAAGTTAGTTATTTGAAATTGAGAAAATAATCATTTTAGTCAACTCTCGGCTGGGTTTTAACGAAAAGCTCTGTAAATTGCGACTGTTTGGTACATCTTTCACAACTTGTTGACAGCCAGGATTCGGTTTTGGGTTGGTTTTTGAGCTATCAAAGAGTTTGAAAGAAAAATGAGCAGTCGAGTGCAAAGTTTGAAGAGTATACGGATGTTTTTAAAAGCCGGACTTTCCAAAAAAATTTTTTTTTTGAGTCCGCCTCGACCACAAACTAATCATCGACGGTTTCGAGCCTAACCAACCCCTTGAGCAGTACCGAAGGACTGGAGAAGGATTATATTGTAGTGCTGAGCAAGGGAAATGTGGCGCAACTATTCCATTGTACAAGCAATTCGATATTTTGAACATAGGTGAGTTTAAAAAAACCTTGTAAAACTACAAAATGATCAGTAAGTTCTTACAAACACAATAATTTCCTTTTTTAAAGACACACAATACACGACCACGCCGACACTTTTGCCTAACTCTGTCTTCAGCCCCTCAAACCGTCCGATTTGCTTCATTTGGCCGGTTAGAGGTTCAGTTTTCATTTAATTCTCTAAAAATCAACGCTTTTCCAGAACAGAAAAAGTCACAAGCCTCTGTAGTGCATGTGGCTCCTCCTCAAAACTTGTCGGCAACCGAGACTCTTTCTCAACTCAAGGCACCTTCGGGACCATCTGGAAACATCAGCCGAGCCCATCGGTCGTCCAGAAACCTTCATGACTCGAAGAAACACAACAGCACTCTTGCAGGGTCGGGAAAATCGAGTCACACTTCTGAACTTGGCGAAAAAATCTACAGCTCCAACCATGGTGACAAGACGTCTACAATTTCTCCTGAGAGAATTGAAGCTCTTCGGAACTCTAACCATGGTGTCAGATACTTTGGTGGAAGCCATGCTTCTCATCCTTATCCAAATAAATCTGGAGCTACTATTGGAACTTCTGAAGACATTAATGTTGGCGAAGTTATTACGTCATCTTCAAAAGCTATGGAAGCACTTGGAACCACGACTTCTTCACCACAAAGTCCACCAGAACGTTCTGAAATCGCTGAAAGCACTACTGGAAGTCCTGAACTTAGCGGAAGGAATCAAGTCAGCGCCTCTACTCCACAACAGAACATTCATACCGCGACGTCCCCTAATAATACTTCAGAAAGGGTTGTCTTCACTGGAACCACAAAACCTTTACCAGGACCTTCTACTTTCTCCGAGAGCACTACCGAACTGTTCAGTACAACTTCTGTTTCTGTAGAACGTTCTGAAACACACGGAACATCGACTTCCCCTCCAGAAATCACAGACAGCGTTACCGGAGCTACAAGTACTGCAACCGAGATCACGGAAACCACTGGATCTACAACTTCTTCTCTTGACATCCTAGAAACATTCAGTACTATTTCAGCTTCACCAGGAACATCTCAATCAACGACTTCTTCTCCCACGGTTCATGCTGAAACTTCTGAAACCCCTACTTCTTCTCCTGATGACAATACTGGAACGTCTAGTACTTCCACAGCTTATTCAGCGACATCGCAGACAACATCTTCTCCTCTGGAAGCTTCTGAAGTCACGGATAGCTCTACCGGAACTTTCCGTACTACCACGTCTTCATCTTTTGAAAGTTATTCGGGACGTTCTGCAGACCCTGGCAGCCCTACTGAAATTTCCATTACTGGCACACCATCGCTGGAAACAACCGAAACGACAACCTTCATTCCCGATTCCGGCACAACCAGCAGACTTTCCACAGAGACTAGCGAATTCCAGAATGCTCAAAACTCCAGTGCTGCTAGAGCTCCTACAAAATTCCTTGGGACTGCCATAGAGACTCCTGACTCCAACTTCTCAAGTCAGTCTTTCTCTGAAAGCAGTACGCAGACCTCCAGTAGTGCTACATCTACATCAGAAGCCACCGAGTCGAAAGCACGAGATACAGAAAGATTCACAGAGCCTTCTCAATCTTCTGACAGCACTACAGGGACTCCTTATCTGGACACAACTACTTCCGAAGCTACAATGTCCACTGAAACAAATGGTGTGACTATTTCTTCTCCAGAAAGTTCGCTAGATCCTTCTCGAACTTCTGACAGCTCAACCACGACCTCCAGTGTTATCAGAGCTTCACCTGAAGTCCCAGAGTCCATCAAAACAACTGGAGCTAGAGAAAATTTAACAGTGTCTTCTCAATTTTCTGACAACACTACAGGGGCTCCTTATCTGGCCACAACTCGTTCCAAAGCTACAGAATCCCCCGAAACGGCTGGAGTCACCGCTGTTTCTACAGGAAGTTCACTACATCCTTCACGAACTTTTGACAGCTCAAACGAGACCTCGAGTATTATCACAGCTTCTCCTGAAGTCCCAGAGTTCATCGAAACAAGAGGACTTACAGAAAGTTTCACAGAGTCTTCTCAATTCACTGACAGCACTACAGACGCTCCTTATCTGGCCATAACTCCTTCCGAAGCTACAGAATCCACCGAAACGGCTGGAGTGACCATTGTTTCTTCAGAAAGTTCGCTAGATCCTTCCCGAACCTCTGACACCCCATCCGAGACCTTGAATACTATCACAGCTTCTCCTGGAGTCCCAAAGTCCACCGAAACAACTGGCGCTAGAGAAAGTTCACTAACTCCCTTGCAAAAACACGATACAACTACCGCAGCTCCTCTCAAGACGACCTCGCTTCGTCCGGAGCCTCAAAAACCGTCACCGGAATCTTCCGAGAAACCGAACAGCACCACTCAAACTCTCATTATTTCCAAGACCCCTTCTGAAGATTTTGATCCGACCGACGACTTTGGTACGCCTTCGAAGCTTTCCGAACGCCTTCAACTGTTGAAACCGATTTGGGTGATACCGACATCAGATGGATATATTGAAGGTAGACTTGATCAAATACTTTTTTTTAAATGAAATTAATTTCAGAGGAATCAGCTACGGGATCATCACCACTTCTAATGTACAAAGTTTTGTTCATCTGACAAAAAAAATTATGTTAATAAATGTTAATAAAGATTATGGGTATAAGTTGTGCGAATTCATTATTTTGTTGGGAAAAAGAAGAAAAATAATAAACTTCAAACACTGACCGCTTTTTGAAAGCTTCTTGAAGAAATTGTCGAGCTTCAAGGGCTTTTTAAGGTTCCAGACACTCTAAGACATCTTTTATTGAGTTTCGTAGCACGGGAAAAGATTCTGGAAAGAAATGTTCATAATTTATTTAATTATCTAGTCTTTTTTTGTAGTAATAATACTACGCTTCAAGGAAAATCAATATGAAAGTGACTTTTTGCATTTCGAAGAGTTAAACTAAAAGAACCTTTTCTAATCACTCAATTATGTGGCCAATCGCTGAAAATTCAAAGCTTTAGAAAACTTTTTGATAAAATAGTGTTGTAATGTGAACATTTTTTTAAATTTTTAAACTAACTGAACAATTTCTTTAAGAGATTTTTTTGAAGCTTAAAAAAATAATTTTCGCATTTTGAAGGTTTTTAGCATCCCTCTGCTAATTTATATACTCTAGGATAAAAAAAATACTTCAAAGAACTTGAAAATCAACGTTTTATTCATAAAAATCATTTCAAAGTTATCGCTAGCATTTCAAAAATGACCCATACCGCCTTGAAAGGTTTAAACTGTGTAGTTCAAGTGACATTATTTCATTAAACGGACAAAAGCCAGAAAAACTTTCAATTTTTTTTTAAAGATCGGAACTAAAAATTACTACTACCAATACTACTACGGATTCTTTCCTACTCCAAATGAAGGAAAAACGTGTTGTTTTCAACGAGCAAGAACCATTAATGAATATAAACTGTGCAAATAAAACGGCCTCCAAATTTGGTCCAGGAAGCAAACAAAAAAATTAGTGAAACACCACTGAAAAAAATGATGTCACCTGCCACTGTTAAACGGATTACAATGAAAAAAAAAAATGAGCGTGAAAAACTTGAATAGAATTCGATTCAACAAAAAAGAATCGATTCGGAACCAACCGATGCAAATTTGTTGTTATTTTGTTGATTATTGGCTCATTTTCGGGAATCACGTGCAAATCCATTGAAATGGGCGGTGTTTTCGAAAGCAGACGGTCCTATAAATGGCGCTTGGAGTCCTGAAATTCCATAGATTTCCCATTCAATCATGATCTGGATTTGCTTAATTCTTCTGCCGCTGGCACTCGGCCAATTTTGCCCACTTACAACCACTGTTCCTACTTCGCAAATGAGTAAGTCATTATTTTTTTTCTGATAATAAATCACATTGAAGAGAGTGAAAATATTCAAAAGTGAGCCATATTTACTCAAAATCATCCTAAATTCAAATCTCATGAAATTACATGGTACAGAAATTTTATTTTCATTTTCGATCATTTTAAACTTATAAAACTCCTCAGTAAGGATTTCTTGTCCCGGTTTTTACATTTATACGAGCTACAAATGCAATTTTTACTTGGCCTAAAATTCCTATCACATTAAAAACGCCCTTATAGAAGCAGGCTGCGCGCATCGAAAACTTTTCGGAAGGAATCTGTAGCTCGAAAGTGAATAAAATCGTGACCCTAGCGCGGAATAGGCTATAACATTTTTACAAAAAAATGGGAAAACAAAAATGGAAAAAAAAAGAAATTTCTAAAAAATGTCGTAGATTAAAATGTTTTTGTGCACTCCACGGTGTGTGCACAAGCTTCTCATTTGGCGTCTTTCAATTAAATTATATTTTTATGTAAATTAGCGATAGTTTATATAACTATGCTTTACTTAGGATCTTCAATGTAGTCCCTATAAAAGTCAGAGAAAAGAAATAGTTTCTATATAGGGATCAAAAGTTCCCACCTTTTGAAGTCAAAGACATTTGATAAGCTCTATTTTTCAGCTCCAATCTCAGTTTACCGCTCACAAAACGCTATAACGACGACAAACACCGATCCAAAGTACCGCATCCTGCCGGACACAGTGGATTTGGCGACAATCAGCGAGAATACAGTGGCCGACAACGCCGTCAACACCAACATGTACCCGTACAATACGCTGAGCAGTGCGATCGTCAATGGAATCGACACGACGACAAACTACGCCAAAATCAACGGAGAATCGGCCTACACGATTCCGACGACGACTTTGGGAGTCAATTCGCAGATTAACAATGGCCAGTGTCCGTCGTCTTGCCTTCTGCAGTTGACCGCCTTTGAAGATCGTGAGTGTTGTCTTTTGAAAGTTTGAAGATTAGGGAAGTTTCCATTTACCTCTAAAAAAGTCTCCAAAAAACTTTTCTTCAACTCCATTAATTCCAGCAACCTACTCTTCGATTCTCCACGAAAGAGCTTCTTTCTATCCGGCGCCGCCATACCCGGCCTTCATCCCTGCCGGTTACCGAAGGCTCTACGAGGGAATGAACATGACTTGTTCGCCGGTTCTCAACCGCTGTGGAGCCACCGTACCTGTCTACAGGCATTACCGTCTCGTTCCAGGAGCTATTCGTGAGTTTTTTCCTGATCTTCCAAATCTTTTTTGATTATTTTTGACTAGCGGAAACTTCCGGAATTTTTTTCTCGAAATTGAATTATTCATACAGTAACCCAATTGCAGACCACGCTTACTCGTTGCGAGACGCCACCGTCATCCCAGGATTCGCACGTGAGCCGGCGCCTTTGTGCTACGTCTGGGGCCAGTACAACGGCCTGGGATGATTTCGATTATAACTTTTGAATTTTTATTGTTCTGTACATTAATATTCGCCTTGAACGTGTTTCCTTGTCTCTCGACATTAAAGTTCTGCCAAAACTTGCGAGAAGCTGGAAAAAAAATATTTAATTCTCTTTTTAAATTCACTAAAGGTGCCCGCGCCTCTTTTGCAATAAACCGTGCCGCTTTTGCAGTAAGCCACGCCCACTGACAACGGTATCAAAAATCGCCGAAATTTCGCAATATCTTAACAGTTTTATCAATCAAATATTTTTAAAAACCTTTCTCAAATGGCTTCTAAAAATCATTTTCCTTTTATAAGAGCTGTTGCAACCAAGAACGTGCTCTCATCGGCACCACTCGCTTCGAGCAGTGGAAAAAAGAACAGAGGAGCACAGACCTCCGTCAACTGTCCCAAATCCGGGATCTAGAAGAGCACATACAGCGCGGGAAACATCGTTGGGGCGGCCACGCCATCCGCAGACAAGACGACCGCTGGTCCACGAGATTAACACACTGGATTCCGAGAAACATCAAGCGCCCACTCGGGCGCCCACCGACCAGATGGACGGACTACTTCCCATCAGTCAGCCATGCCGCCACTGGATGACCGTCGCGCAAGACCGAGCCGCCTGGAGAACGTGTGGTCCACGCTGAGAAGCGAAGATGGACCATCAAAGTATCAAAGTAAGTAAGTTGCAACCAAAAGTTGATTCCAGGCAGGATTTCTTGATTTTTCACTCTGGTCTTATCACGGAATGAAGTTCACGGAGCGCTTCTCAAAAATAAACTTAAAAAGGGCAAGATCAGATAAGAAAAAAAGATTACGTGAAAATGAACGCGACGATTCGGGGGACGTCCTCGTCATTACAGCGCCCGTCCACCGTCGGAGCACCTTGCCAACTTCTCAAAGATGAGCGTTCCGGAAACCGTCGAGCCTCAATGGGTCGCCGCCAACCTTGGCGTAAGTTTGTCACTCATCCAGGCAGCCGGGTCGCAGGAGATTCATCGTGCGACTCGGCTGGACTAGGGCGTTGCTTAAAACTAGAAGAGCTTTGATATACAGCCCTTCAAGATTCTCCGTTGATTTTGCGTCAATTTAATGGTAAATATGAAACAGCTGGAAATTTTCGATACCAGGGAGCCCCAGAAACAGGAAACTGATAGAGTCCACTTGCAGAACATCAAGCTGTTGGACGCGACGTACACGATGAAGCCAAAGATGGATCCCAACGAGTTCAAGGCCAAGTATTACGGCAAATTCGGCGTCATGATGCATGAACTGGTCCGTTTTTTGATACTCTTTTGAAATTGAAGCGCATCTTTCAGAAAAACCAAGAATACCTGGCGGAGCATATCACCGGCGCCGCTCATTTCAACGCCGACATTGCATACTACCCAACTGAGTTTGTTTTTAGTAGATGTTTAAAGCAGCAATGATATTCGAAAAGTACCCTTTAAAATCGAAGAGGCGTCAGCATTGCTCATGTTACCTCAGCAAGGGCATGAATTACAAAACAACCTAAAAAAAGAAAAACAAAACCAGCCCAGTTCATGCCAGAAAATGACACTGTTTCAGAAACGAGCGTTTCGCCCTGTACGACTCGAAGGACTTTGAACAATATGTGCGTCGCCTTGGCGTGAACGTCGGCGACCATTTGGTCATCTACAGCCGTGGCCCCAACGGCGGCATTCCGTTTGCGGCCCGTGCCTGGTGGACGTTCCGCGTGAGTTGCCCCGGACTCGGCGCGGTTTACGCGCCATTTGTAGCTCTACGGCCACAACACGGTGAGCGTGATGAACGGCGGTCTGGAGGCGTGGAAGGCCATCACCGGCGTCGTCAAGTCTGGCGAAGACCTCATTTCGGTAACGAAGGAGATGTCGTTTTTGATCCTGATCTGAGCGATTTAGCCTGGAAACTGGGAGGCGAAGCCGCTGGACAAGACCTCGCTGGCCAGTTTCGAAGAGATTCCCTTTGACAACCTCGGCAGCGTCGTCTACCTTGACGGCCGTCCGAAGGAGCTCTGGACTGGCAAGGAGCCCCTGGGATATCCCAACTCTTGTGAGCCTTTTCTTTTGTTTTTTCTAAAGCTTTTTAGAAGCTTTTTTCAAGTTACAAGGCTTCTTCTTCACCTGGATAAAATCTTTTTATACCTGGAGAAAACTTTTCAGCGGCCACTGGATCCCGTGTCAAGGGAGCCAAGCATTTCCCACTGACGGAGGTCATCGGCCCCAAGGGCTACAAGAAGAAGACGGACGTTGATGCTGGTTTGTCCTTGGGTCATTGACCGGATGTAGCATTTTTGTGAAATGGAATTTTTGCAAGTTTTAGTGGTCCCTCTAGAGGTTAAGGGGAAAACAGCCCGTAAGATATAGACTAGCATGTCCCCTTTAGGGTCCACTAACTATAAGCCTTGAAGGGACCGTTTTAGTGGTCCTTATAGGGGTTAAGGGGAGAAACAGCCCGTAAGTTATTGACTATAACGTCCCCTATAGGGTCCACTAACTATATAGAGACCGCTTTTGCACGTTTTTGTGGTCCCTATAGGGGTCAAGGGGAAAAACAGCCCGTAAGTTATCGACAAGCATTTCATCTATAAGGTCTACTAACTATAAGCCTTGTAGCGACCACTTTTGCAAGCTTCAGTGGCCCCTATAGGGGTTGATAGAGTGGTTCCAAGGGCCCCTAAGGTTGCCCCATAGGGACCACTCTGGAAATTACGTCTCATTCATTGTCGCCATGAGAACAATTCCAATAGTTTTCAAATTCAGTGAAAATCCATGAAATTTCAGCCATTTCCAAGCTGAACATCCAACCTGGCCAACAGGTGATTCTGTCGTGCAACCTGGGCGTCGGCGCCGCAGCTCTTTACCTCGCCTTTGCCCGCTCTGGCATCCCCGCCAAAGTGTACAATGTTGGTTTTTTTTTCTTTTTTTGAAGCTCGAAAAGTGCTAATTTTAAAAAAAATTGTTATTTTTATCACTGGAGCACGTTTGACTATTAAAAAGTTGGCCTCAGAAGGCTCATTTCTAAAATTGAACATTTTATCGATGGAGCTGGCCTCACTGACGTTTATTTTGTTGTAAATTTGAACTAAAGTCTCAAGCAGCATATTTTGCTAGTTTTTAAGAGGCTCTAATTCCTTTTTTGATTTGAATTGTCTCGGGAAATTTTTTTGAAATTGTTTTTTTCCATTCTGAAAAAAACATTTGTTAGAAGTTTATTTCACTGGCTATAACTTTTTTTTCCGAATATTAAAATTGAATACTTGCAGGGATCGATGCACGAGCTGGCCCACCGAAACCCCGGAGTCATCACGGAGAAGGGACAGTAACTCACTGCGACGTCTAAAACAGAAAACCAATGAAGAAAATTTTTGTATTTTTTTTGTTGCGTTTAATGTTAATGGAGAGGAATTTTGGGGTAGTTGATTTATTATCAGATTAGATCTATAAGAATAACTACTGAAAGGAATATTTTCTGAAGGCTTTAAAAATTTTCCTCGGGAAGCGAGGACTGCCTTGGGAAAAAAGTTGGATCTCAAGTCTTTTAAGTTTCTGGGAAATTTTTAGTGGTCACTATAGGGTTTTGACGTTTTAGTGGCCCCTACAGTAGTCAAATTAGTGGTGACTTAAGGGGTTAAAGATTAGTGGCCACTATAGAGGTCTAAGTGCTACTACTAGACCACTAAAATTTTTAGTGGCCATTTAAGGGGTCAATGGAACAACATAACTGGTCCAATCTGTTTGTTTTTAATTTATCAGAGCTACTGGAAGGAATACTGGATGAAAAACTACTGGAGTGGCGACTAAACGGAAAATAGTGACCACTATAGAGGTGGGTTTAGTGGCCACTTTCAGTGTCCTCTCCAAGTCTCTATAGTGGCCACTAAAATTGAAAATGCCAAAAGGATTGTGCCTCATGCTGGAATCGAACCAGCGACCTTCTGTTTACGAGACAGACGCTCTGCCACTGAGCCAATGAGGCGCCTGCCTTCCTTGCACCCTTGTTCCCCACACTATTTTGCTGCTCCACACGCTCTGAGAAGGATGAATCATGAAATTGTCAAGTCCCGTCTATCTGAGGAAACCTTGCTTTACATTTTCTCCAAAAAGTTATTTCAAAGAAAGGTTGCCGTGCATCAAATTCTCGGCTAATTTTGAAATAAATAACTGCTGAAACAGGAATGTCATCTAAGAAGCTCCTTGCACGTTTTATTAGCTTCGTTTACTTTTTATTTATTTGAAGTTGCAAGGCTTTTATCCCAAAAGGGCATCAAGTGGAAGCTAATTTTTATCTCTCAACATTTAGCTTTCCAAATACTTCGTTTCCTATTGAAGAGAAGCCCATTTCGAAGGGTGGAATCCTCACAAATTGTATCTTCTCAACATATTCAGTAGCAAAGCAAATAAACCAAAAATCATGGGAATCTTTTTTTTTTCTCAATCCATGTCAGCTGATGGGATTTGTTCTTTCCAGCTGAGAAATTGGAAGGGAAATGTTGAAATGTTGAGGTTTCACGCGGTTTTTTCGAGAAAAAAAAATAATGAAAATTGCCAAATAGAAATGTGACATGGTTTTTCTCTTTTTTTTCCTCTTTTCTACGGAGAAATAGGTTTATTCAATTATTTGGTAGTATCCACTGATCCGATGCTATAACTGAAGATATGGCTCTCTTGACCTCGAAACATTTCGAAACAAAAATTCAGCTCTCTCATTGAAAGACCACTTTTCATCAAAAAAGAGACACGCGAAAGGAAATTCAAATCTTTCACGAAACTCGACACTCTTTTATGCTTGTTTCACGTGATTTTTCACTACCAAAGCAAAAATTGAATAATGATTTTCAAAAAAAAGCAATGCAAAAAGGAAACTGCCTCATGCTGGAATCGAACCAGCGACCTTCTGTTTACTAGACAGACGCTCTGCCACTGAGCCAATGAGGCTGGCTGTTTGGCACACCGCAGGTGTCGTTGTCATACCTTTGCGGGGATAAAGATAATTTGAATTATTCTGTTAAATTTATCATTTTTTTATTAAACAATACAAATTTTTTTATACAGCGAAAGATTCAAAATTATTGGAACAGGAAAAAAATCAGTAAATAAGAAGGGTTAAAGTTTTTCGAAAAAGCTTCTTTTTCTGATTTCAACTCCTTTTTTTGAATGTTTCTTTGTTCTTTCGAGCATTCAAATACACTTTTTTCTCAATTTAAAGAATTTAAATCAAAATCCGTTCGATAAAGTTCGGAGAGAAGATGAAAGTGTGCGACACTTGCTTTTGCCTACTGGGCATGTTATTTTTTTTCTATTTTTTTTTACTTTTTCCATTATTTTTTTCCGTTGATAAACGCTTTTTTTATGCCGATCTTTCAATGTTTCAGGTACGGGTAATCGTCGAGGTTTTTTTCTTCCCCCAAAGTTTTTACTCGGTAACAACGACCATGTTGGGGAAATTCATCATTTCTCATCGAAGCAAGACGCGAAAGCAAATAAAGTAAGTATTTCTTTTCCCTTTTTTTCTAAATGTTAGACTTTGAAAAAAAGACGCGATAAAAAAATTAAAAAAATAAAGTATTTCCAATTAGAACGGAAGCCACTCCAATCACGATCCAAAAACACGAAAAAAAGTGTTTTTCAGGATTTTTCGGCTTCCTTCTTGGCTTCGAAAAGGCTTATTTGAAGCCACTTTCAAAGCTTTTCCGCTTGTTTCAAACTTTATAAAGCAACGAATTTTTTTGTAGGAGAAATACATTCAGTTTCTATTTAGAAATTTGGATTGTATATCAGTAAATTTTTTGAAACTTGAAGGACGTTTCCAACCATAAGTTATCTACTGACCCATTTAAATCTTAATGATGAATTTGATAAATTGAAACGATTTTTCAAGTTTCATTCGATTTGCTTCGTTTTTCTTCTTCACCTGTTCCTCTAGGTACCCATAAACGGTTTTTTTCAACTTGAAAAATTGCAGGCTTTCTGTTGACGTTGAAAAATTGTCGAAAAGGAAGGGAAAACTAGGGACAACGTTTGATGAATCGCTCATTTCGTGCTATTTTTCAAAACCTTCACCTTAAAGCTGGAAATTCAGAAAATTTGAAAGAAAGTAAAAAAATGATTTTTTTGCCATTTTTTTGGGATTTGTTAATTCTTTCTCTTCGATTTTTGAGAAGATTGTGAAAAAAATAATAAAGGAATTTCGGAAAGATGCGGAAATTTTTAACATTCATTTCGAAAAAAAAATTGTTTTTCAATTCTATTCTTTGTGTTTAGAATGGCTCGAACTTTTTTTGGAACCTTGGCCATCAGAAAAAAAAACCGTTCAGGCTCAAAAATAGCGACCTCGACGCATTGAGCCATTCCAACTGCGACCGAGTTCAGAGTTGAATTTTTAGTCTCTTGAAAGCCCAAAAAAAGCTTCTAGAAAAAAGATATAAGGAGCTCATCAACACGCAAAAGACCCCATTACTGCAGAAAAAAAGGCAGAAGACGAAGAAAGGCTTCTTCTTTATTCATGACTCTTCAATGGACATTTCTTGGTATTTTGCAGTGTTCGTGTGGTTTTATACGCCAGCGTGGTCGCACTTGGAATGGCTTGGTGCGTCGCGGTTGCGTGGGAGCCCTTCAACGATGGCATATAGGAAATTTTAAAAGGCTTTTAAACTTTTGAACTCAAAAATATTAAATAGCTGTTATCTATGACAAAAAGGTGCCTGAAGGTTAGCGTTTTCAAGACTAAATTTGCAAATTTTGAAAATTTTTTTCACAATGGATAACTGGAAGATATCTTTTTAAGGATTCTCGATAGTTTCTGCGAAAATTTTAAGTGGCCACTATAGGGTTTTGGCGTTTTAGTGGCCACTATAGTATTCAAGTTAGTGGCAACTTAAGGGGTTAAAAATGAGAAGCCACTTTAGAGGTCTAAGTCCTAATACTAGACCACTAAAAGTTTTAGTTGCCACTTTAGGGGTCAATGGATCAACATAACTGGTCCGATCTGTTTGTTTTAAAATTATCAGAGTTACTGGAAGGAATACTGGTTGAAAACTACTGAAGTGGCCACTAAAACGGAAAATAGTGGCCACTAGAGTGTCCTCTCCTAGTAGTCCTTGGCGAGCCTCTATAGTGGTCACTAAAAATTTTTCCAGTTGCTTTAATCTTTTTTTTCGAAGTGCGTCCATGGAAACAATTTCAAAAGTGAAAACTAGATCGAAAAATCTCAAGTTTCCTTTTCAAATCACAGAATTCCGCCAAATCTCCCCTAAAAATCATAAAAACTGAAACAGGCATTAGCATTTGAAAATGAAAATAATTCCGGAGAAAACCCTCATTTTTTCTGAGAAAACACTCAGTTAGTTGAAGACTTGTGAAATGGATTATGAGGTAAGAAGATTCTGAGAAGCTCTGAATTAGAAGCTTTCAAGCGTTTCAGACAGCTTTCGAGATTTTGAGAAGAATCCAATTTTAACCCGATTTTTGAGATCGCGAACGGCATGAGTAACCACTGGCGGGCTAATGAAGCGGCTTTGTTTTGATTTTTTTTTTTTTGAAAGTGTAGTGCAGTAGCTTTTTCCATGTTCCATATGAGTACGTTTCAAAATGCAATTTCAAGCAAAAGAAATTTCATCTTATTTTTACCTCATTTTGGATGTCTTGAAGCGTTGCAAAAAAAGCAAAAAGTAAAAACCCGAATTTTTCATTTTTAAATTTATTCTACTATTTTTAAAAAGTCGATTTTTTTGCCTGATTTTTTTAAGTCGATTTTTTTGCCTGGTTTTTTTATGATTTTTTTGAACAAAAAAATAACTATATATTTTCCTTGTCTTTTGTGAAATAAGTTGTCAAAAACGTACATAATCACAAAAATGGATTTTTCAAAAATCCAACTTGACGTTTTCTAGCACTTTTTTTCTAATTTGTTTTTGCTAACGCGCCTCGAAACCAAAAGTCATGAAGCAGTAAAGTCATTTAGAAAAAAACCTCTCAAAGTGCAACCACATAATCACTCAGAAACTGCTTCCAAAAAACCGGGATTTTTTTTTCCGTTCTCTGCTCTCTTTAAGGAGAAAGGAGGCGGAGCCAGCTGACCACGCCTCCTTCTGACGGGCTCCCGGAGCATTCTCCACCCGCTCTGCTCTCCGCGGCAAGTGTTCCATCTGTGTCGGAGACCCTTTTCGTCCTTCCCCCCTTATTTTTTGTTCGGCTGAAAAAGTAATCAATATATTTTTTATCGAGAAAATAATGCCTTCAATCGTCGGTCAGTCGCTATTCGCCGTCGCTTTGCTCACTGTCGCCCTTGTCGACGCGGCGCCAGCGGTTCGTTTTTTTTTTAGACTACTTTCACTGTTTCAATCTTTTGATCCTTGACTTTTCTTCTCGAAATTTTATAACTTTTCTTGACATTGCTGTTTCAGTGGCGGACAGTTTTTATATGTTTCACGAATCTAAAAGATTCTGTTTTTGATTTTTTTTTTTCTCACATTACTGTTTCATTAACGGACAGTTCCCATATGTTTTACGAATCTAAAGGATTCTTTTTTTTAAATTTTTTTTTTTGGCTTCACATTTCAAAAATGAGTTTTTCTTCCTGTTTTTTTGGGTTCTAGATAGCTGTTGCTTCACTTCGAAAATCGTTTAATAATTTTTGATTTTTTCGATTTTTCTAACTATAGTTTAGTTTCAGTGCTTCGTGTCTAAAATTTAGAAGAAATTTCAATCAGCAAACGAATTTTTAATCCATTTTTTTAGAGCTCTGAACTTTTTTTCCAGCTAGAAATGATTAAAAAAAACCCTTCAAAAGTTCATTCCGATTATCTTGAAGTTGCAGTGTTTTTGAATTGATTGGGCCAAGATTTAGGGATCTTCAAAACGCAATCATTTTTCCAACCCCTTTTCACTTTCTCGAAGTTTTTTCCCTGTCCTCCCCGTTATTAAAAACGTACTTTGAACGTTTCCCATAACCGGAAAGGGCTCGAAAAAAGTCCGCCCATCAGAAACAACCTGAAAAGCTTTTCATAGGATGACATGAAATGTTGCAATATCTGGAAAAGGCGTCCTCCATTTTCCAAAGAGCCCGACACCGAAATGAGATTATTTACGAGAGGCGGAGAGATGCAGAGCAATTGGATAGAAAACCCCGGGGCAAACATGCCCTCGGGCCCTTTTTTCTCCTTTCCATTTTCTCCTTTTCATTGGGAGGCCTGCCAATTGAGAGGAGCCAGTCGGGCGGCGGTAATTTGAAGAAACAAGTGCGCTCTGATGAGAATTCCTTGTTTTGATGGTCTTTTGAAGGATTAATTGGGTTCCGAGGAAGTTTGCTTTTTTCGGTGGTTTCTTAAGGACAGTAAAAACGTCGGGAAGGATTCTCTACGGGAAATATTTTTTGAAGCAAAGGTTCTTTGAAGAGAATTCCTTGTCTCAATATGATAAGTTAATTTTCTTTTAAAGATTCTCATGTCAATATTTAGGCCTTGAAAGAGATAATTTTAAGAGCAACTGCGCTCTGATGAGAATTCCCTGTTTTGATGGTTTTTTGAAGGGTCATTTATTGGGAAAATTTATAGTGGGCACTATAGAGGAGAGGACACTAAAGTGGCCACTAAACCCACCTCTATAGTAGCCACTTCAGTTGTTTTTCATCCAGTGCTCCTCCCAGTAACTCTGATAGTTTTAAAACAAACAGATTGGACCAGTTATTTTGATCCATTGACTCCTAAAGTGACCACTAAAACTTTCAGTGGTCTAGTAGTAGCACTCAGACCTCTCTAGTGGCCATTAATTTCAACCCCTTAAGTGGCCACTAATTTGACTACTAAAGTGGCCACTAAAAATTTTCCCAGTAAGTTCCGAGAAAGTTTGCATTTTTCAGTGGCTTCTTAAGGGCATTCAGATGGTCATGAAGGCTTCAAATTTGACAATTTTCCAGCCTAAATGGAGTATGATATTTTCTATAAAGCTAGTTATTAAAGTTCATGAAAAGTTTTCTCAGACGGCTTCAAGAAAAATAAAGGACGTGAAAATAGTTATGTTAGCTTTTTGAAAGCCTGAAGTGCAACTTTGATGAAAGCGAGCTCTATTGAGAATTTCTTGTTTTGATGCCCTTTCATCAATTTCCGAAAAAGTCTAGGCTTTTTAGAACTTTTCCAAGATAGGAGAGTTCTAAAAAAAGGTTTTTTCAATCTCTTGTTTTGTACCTGGCTTTTTAGTTCCTGGATAGTACATGTTTTTTGGTTTTAAAATTTAGTCTTTAATATTTTTCTCAACAGATGATACTATTCAAAAGACAAGTTTAGAAAAAGCTTCAGAAATAAAAAATGTTTCAAGTAACTTTTCTGAACTTGACAACTTCTCATTCTACGGTGCACTTGACAGGTTTCTGGAAGCGACAAGTGGGATTTCCGATCCTTTTGATCGGAAGTTCAAAGGTTTCTCTGCAGCAGAACTTTCCTGGGAGCAACTTTTCCGTCATTTTTAACCACCCACTGGGTTTATTTTGCCAACCTCCTCCAATAAATCTCGTGATGAAAAAGCTTCAGTATTAATCCGCTGCGTGGATCGGATATGAGCTTCTTCTTAAGCCGTGGAAAAGCTTCTGGGAATCTTCAGTATAGAGGGTGTGGTATTGGAAAATTTTTTAAAATGACATCATTGAACAAAAAAAAACTTTTTATTTGTTTCTTTGGTTTCAGGAATTTTTTGACAGCTTAAAAAAATAAATATTTGAATATTTGAGAACCTTGATAACGATAAGAGATATAAGAAGGTTTTAGATCCTTGATAAGTTAAAGAAGGGCATCGGCTCTTTGGATCCGTGACTAATAGAAAAATATGGCTTTTTTATATGACCTTCCTGTTTCAAATCCAAAAGTTCATCCTATTTTTTTCCGTATTCGATACACCTACAACTCCGGGTTATCTTCAAATTGAAAAGGAGAAAAACGAGAGGATTACCGTAATCTGTTATCGTGCGTCAGAGCAAACTTGCTCCCGGAGATTAGTTCCAAAATGATTAAACTGAAGGCCAGTTGAGGGGTTCACACTTCATTTGTTCCGATAATTAGTGATTTTGGTACTCCGGAAACGATGAATCACCACGAGATTACTGTACTTCCGGTGACGAATCCCAAAAACGCCTTTTAGAAGATAGGAAATGAGATTTCCTCCCGTTTATCCCCATTTTTTCGAAGTTTGACCTTTTCCAACATTCTCCTGAATCTCGAAAAAAAACCTGTTCGTCGAAATTTGTCATCTGAAATGAATAAATCTTCTCGAGAAAACCCGAAAATAAACGTGTATAAATCATTTGAAATTTTCGCCAATTCTGTCTGCGTCTCTTGCTCTCTCGTCAGCTCTCCTTTTCAGGAAGCTTTCCTCAATAGGAAGAGATAAAAGGAAACGAGTCGATATCCCAAAGGGGACCTTTTTTTTCGTCTTTTATGGCTTTTGGCACTTTACTTTTGAGGGGGGAGTGGTCTTTTAAGGGGTTGAAAGTTTTTAAAAACTTTGATTTTGAAATCGTATGTATTCATGCAGAATAAAGCTTAATACATTAAAAAAATGTTTAACTTCAATTTCCAAACTCTAGATTGCTGTAGAGGCCTCTTTAGTGATAAAGAAAATTGAATAATTAAATTAGCACCCATTTTAATTGTTTAAGGCTTTTACACTTCTCAATACCCCGTGTGATAGCGATTTTCATTAATTAGCACGTGTAAATACTCCTGCTGAAACAGCAAAGGCGCCTCTCGACCCTCTCATTTTCAATTCTGTCCGCACTTTAAAAGCCTCCTCGAGAATCGGCTTTCCTTTCTTATTCAGCGGGTGTTCATTAGCGAGAAAGAAAAAGGTCCATTCTCTATCCTTTCTCCTTTTTTTCTCTGACTATACAGCTGTACTATTTAATGTTGTTTTTGGGCCTTTTGATGATAATTATACTGCGAATCTCATGGGTCCAATTAATTTCCCTCCCCTAGGAAAACAAAGGGAATAATATTTGGGCTCGGTGGATTTCTCAGATGAAAAAAATATTCTGGAACTTTTTCATTTTATTGAATTTTCAATGATACAAATAGAATTGGCTTCATTTGAACCCTTTCAAAAATTTTTCCAAAAAAACTTATTTCGATAATTCAATGTTTCAAGCTTGCGAAAACTCAGAAAAGATTAGTTTTCCCTTTTTTTTCCGAGGGCAGCAGGTGCTTCTCAAGCCGGAAGTCTGCTGAAAATTTTCACCTCCAAAAATTTTTCGGTTAAGTTTTTTTGAGTGGGATGATAAAAATTCACTAACTCTTCGATTTCATAATAATTTCTTGTTTCCAAAACATGCCCTTCAAGTATCGTATTCAATAGTTTTACTCAAAACTCAATTATTCGGAGGCTAATTGGGTCGGCGGCGGTTAACTAATACAATTCTAGCCACACACATGGGTTCTGGCCAAGATTTTAACCTTTTTAGAGGATTCCTTGAGCATTTCCAATGAGGAAATCATCTTGGAAAATAAGAAAAGCGATTTTTGGCGCAACGCAACCGCGACGCGTCGAGCCATTTCACTTGCTGTCCTGGTTTTTTTGAATGTGTTAAATTTTTTTCTTGAGGAAAAAAAGGCTATTTTGAAATTTTTTTGCAAAACTTTCTATGTGGAGAAAAAAATTGTTTTTGGACTCAATTTTTTTGTAAAGTTTTTCCGCTAGGATCATAAAAAAACTTTTATATAAAAGTTTGATATAAATTCTTTCTTGAAAAAAACATTTTTTTCTACTTCAACTTTAATCGGAAATTTTTCTGAACATGCTGGAAAAAAACACGTTGCAGCTAGGATTAACACAATTTCAATATTTTGAGCGGTTTTTTTCATTCCATCTTCAAAAATTCATCATTTTTTCGAAGTAAAAAATTGGCAAAAAGAAAGTTCACCAAAAAGGATCCGAACCAGCATCATAGGTTCTACAGTTCTGGATCACTAGCCACTACACCACGCCGCCTTCTTGCAGTTGAAGTGCGCCGCCGCAAGACGTTCCCTCCTCCCTTCCAGTGAATTTTTCGAGTGCATACTTTCAGGCGCTATAACTCGAGTAGAACCAAAAAAGCGCACATTTTCTCAACTTTTTTGGATTCAGGATGTCCGAAAGTGCCTATATACCAAGTTTCATTAAATTCTAATACCTCGACATTTTGTAAAGGGAATTTGATAGTGCTGATCCACGGCGTTCCCAAATTTGGTGGGGAGACGTCAAAAAATTTTGGCGCGAAGCTTGAAATCTCAAGTACGCAGCCAAATTTATTCTTCATGCCGTTGAATACTCAGTTTAATTTGCAACGATAGGTAGCTGTGACGTCACAGTCCTTTTATCCGAAGCGCGCACTTATTTTTTTTTTGTAAATTCAGAAACTTTGACGCCTCGCTCACCTTCCCTCACCCCGTTAGGAATGCCGTGTGATCGCGAAAAATCTCTCGAAAATTAGAAAAAAGCTCACTGAATCGGCCACCGTAACCCTAACCGTCCGCATTTTCCAGAGCGCTTAGAAAGGTGTCGATTCTATGCGCAAATTGCCGTGCTTCCGTGTTTGCCAGCGACACTGAACCTCAAGAAACAAACGAACACGCGAGCCGCTCATTTGATACAAGAACGCACATCAATGACTAATGCTCACAAATACTTTCGCTTCCTAGCGGGAAAAATCGCAAATTGGATAGGGAAATATTTCGAGAGAAAGTTTGGAATTTCCGTCTTTTCGTAGTATCCTTTGTAGGTTTTTATGGCTTCTTAAGCCTATTTGGGGAAATCTGAAAAATTCCTTGAATAATCAGGGAAGAGCTTTTCGGTTTGACTCGTTGCCCACAAGCATTCGACACACAGCCTCTATAGGGACCGAAAAAGTGGCTCCTAAAAGGGTAAAATTGAGGTGTTCCTTATAGGGGTTTCAGGTCTGGCCCTTTAGCCCTTAAAGCTCAAGTGGTCCCTATAGGGGCCATCTTTATTCGAAAAAAGGTTAATTTTTTAGTTTTTTGAAAAGAGTCCATAAAAATTATCGACTAGCATGTCCCCTATAGGGGCGACTAACTAAAAACCCCCATAGGGGCCCTTTTGCAAGTTTAAGTGGCCCCCATAGAGGTTGGTGTAGTGCTCCCTAGAAAGGACCCTCCAAAGGCCCCTATAGGAACCACTCTGGAGTTTCTAACCACTGAGCCTTGGCTATCAATCAAGAAGTATGGTGCGACTTCTGAGCTCTCGAAAAGCTTCAAATCGAATTTAGAGGGCTTCTCTTTTTTTTTCCTGGACCATGGCACATTTTCTTCATTTTGAATCAGTTGGTTGGACATTATTTTGAAGATTTTCGATATTTCACATCGACTAGAGTTTTAGCTTGAAGTTTAAAATTTGAAAGCAAACTAGAGATTTTCCGTAACGCGAAACGGACATGCTCCGGATCTTTCTGGGCACTTCTAGGGATCACTTAAGAGTACTGACGCCACTAAATGGGTCACTAGAAATGCCCTGACTCGTCTGCGTTACCAAGGCCCGAGCCCTCAGTCTTTCTTTCATCGTGACGCATTCCTGAGGTCCTGTCTTTAAATAGGGCCTAACATCTAGGAAAAATGGTCTCATACAGAAGTCCCACTGTGAGCTGAGACCATTCCCTGGTAATTTCCTTTTTCACTCGCCTACCCTGCTTGCCAAGAGCTTCTTATCATCTACAGCTTACTTACGAAGATTCAATAACTTTTTTTTAGTTGTTCAGATCCCAAAAATCACTCAAAGGATCCTAGCTTCAACTCCTAGCCACTAAAAGCTCAAGTCTCTTGGCCTAGCCTACTTTCGTTCTTGCATACTAATCAAGTGTTCAACGATCTTTCGGCGGCGGCGTGTATTTAATAAGAATGAATGCATGGGTGAAGGAAAAAAAGAAGTATCGCAATTCTGGCCGACGAGAGCCGACCGATTAATTGAATTGCCGCCCGCTGCAGCCGGTGCCGCCGGCGAAAAACATGAGTAAAATGGGATTTCTTTTTACTTTCTCGGATCGGAGCACAACTTGAGAATAACAAGGAGTTTACACCTGTCCCTCGCTTCATTTTGAGCCTATTGAAGGATTTCCATTCTTGGAGTATACGTGTCTGAAAAGAGATTTCCTGTAGAGCTGAAGCTTCCGGATTCTTTTTACGATACAAAATGAAGTTGAAAATCGATCTTGACCTCTTGGCTCAGTGGCTAAAGCGTCTATTGCCAATATAACGAGCTGGGTTCGAACCTCGCGGCCTTTTTTTGCCATTTTTCCTCAAATGTGAACAGAATGATTCCATAGACAAAGTCGGAAGAACCCTCCGAGGGTCGTTTTTTTGGACCCTGTTTGCAGCCTTTTTGAGGTCTCTTTGCTGCCTTTCTTGCCATTTTTCCTCAAATGAAGTGATGAACAGAATGATTCCATAGGCAAAGTCGGAAGGACCCTCCGAGGGTCCATAAAGTCTGCTCAAAGGTTCCAGAAATGTTCTTTTTAGGGTGACAAAGGATCCTTTTTCGCTGCCTTTTTGCACCATTTTATCAGCCCTTATGCCCCATTTTCACTACCTCTCCCTTTTTCCACCCATTCTCGAGCCTTTAAAATTTAAGAGAGTATGGAAGGCTCGGTAAAGGGACCCTTTTTGCAGCCTTTTTGAGGCCTCTTTGCTGCCTTTCTGCGCCCTTTTCTGGTTCAACTTTAAAGCTAAAAAATGTGGTTGAAATTGAACTCGACTTCTTGGCTCAGTGGCTAAATCTTCTATTTCCAATATAACGAGCTGGGTTCGAACCACGCGGCCTTTTTTGCCATTTTCCCCTCAAAGTGAGAAAAAAGGTTATTCTAAACCCCAATGGACCAAGTGTTTTTTCGGATTCTCTGTGTCTCAGTGGCTAAGAGCTCTGTTTGCCATTCTAACTACCCAGGTTCAAAAACTACACCCTTGTTTTGCTCTTTTCCATCAAAGTTAGTAAATAGTATGCTTCCTTTTCAAGCCATATCATTAGTCATTAGGCCGTGACTAGTCGTTTTATAATTGGATCATGATGCACTTTTCCTCTTACTCATCCATCAGAATAAGTAATTTCAAAATTAAATTCGAGATAATTAATTGAGTGATTAATTTGCAGCCGACCACAAAGACGATCGAGAAGACGAAAGGTTCAAATGTGAAAAGCCAAGGTGATTTTATTTTATTTTATTGTTTTTTTTAAGCTTTGAAAGTGTGTATTGTATTCGTTGAAGACATGAAAGCGCCTTAGTTAAAAAAATGTTTTTTTATAATTTTCATCATTATATTATCAAATCTGAGCCGTTTTATCGATAGAGCACTCTAAAGGGCGAAAAATAGCCTTGATAATTCCATGATTTTCAGTAAATGCGGGAAAAATGCTGCGGAGAGGGAAGCGGCAGGTCGTCATCGAACAGGCAGACGATGACGAGAACGACGGCGAAAATGACGATGAGATTTTGCGCCAACAGTTGTCAGGTACCTAGGTTACTGTACTCGGTCGCACTTGGAATGGCTCGGATCCTTGGGTTCTATTGTAGCTGATTCACGACTGGCTTGAGCCATCAAAAAAAGGGTCCTGACACGATAAGAAAAGAGACAGTGTCTGGTTGGTGGAGAGCACAGACAGGCCCCGCCCTTTTGCGTCCCAAGCGGTTATAACCAGCTACTGAATGGACAGCCATTCCAAGTGCGGCTATGGTTTTTCGAGAATCTTGTAAAGTTCTCGTATAGCGGATTCACGGCTGGCTTGAGTCATCGAAAAAAGGGTCCTGACACGACAAGAAAAGAGACAGTACCTGGTTTGTGGAGAACGCAGACAGGACACGCCCCCTTAGCGTCCCAAGATGACCGTGAATCAGCTATACTATGAAAAAGTTTGAATTTTGAATGCGAAAAGTCCATTTTTTTTTTCTTCAAAGGATCTCTTGGATTTTTGTAGTTTTTATAAATTTTTTTAGAGTATTGGTATCCCAACTACGAATTTTTGTAGCTTTTGGTCTCTTTGTTCGAAAAGAAAAAAAAATCTCTTTCGATCACTTCTTTTCCCCACTACTAAATTTTGAAGACTTTATTTTTCCTGTTCTCTAAAAAAACATAGCTGAAAAAAATTCCAATAAACTTGATTTTTTTCCCTATTCCCAGCGCTTTCAAAAATAACAGCTGAAAAGGATTTTAATCAGCTTTATCATGAAGCTCTTGAAGATAGAAATCTTACTATAACATATTTCTCAGTCTTCACAAAGTGCAGATTTTCTGAATAAATTGGAGCTCGAACAAAGCTTTTTGTTGGTAACTCGATGAAGTTTCAGGCCTTCCTGGCTCAGAAAAAAAAAAGAATCTGTGCCTGGAATAACGGAAAATAAGAAGAAAAGCTTTGATATTGTGAAGTTAATAAATAAATTTTGAATACTATTCTTTCCCCTTTTTCATTAAGTCTTTACGAAAATTTATGAGCATCAAAAAAGAACTTTTTAAAAAACACCGTTCGGACCTGAAGGACGAAACGGACTAGAAACCACAGACTTTTTTTAGTCATGGAATCGGATTTTTGAAAACCATGTTGATATCCTGGAAATACGACTACAGATGAAAAAAAAAGATTTAAAAAAAAATGTTTTTCTAGCCATTTTCGAATCAAAACTTCAAAAATCTATCTTTGCAGAACTGAGCGACGATCAACTGCTTGTATTGGCACAAATAGTACAATCAGAAATCGATAAATTCCAACCGGATCAAATTGTCGACGCCTACGAGATTGTCGAATTGCCGGATTATGGTAGGTTTTGAGAGAGTTCTAATAGATTCTGCAAACTGACTTTTGATCCAAAAATAGCTGGGAAGGGGCTAAAATTTTTTTGATACTGAAAAAGGCAACTTTTTAAGAGCTATTTTGTCACATTTTTGTCAAAAGGCTGTAATTTTGATACTCTTCAAAGTTCCAGCCGTGTGGTACATTCTTAGGAACTGCAGAGGGGTCCCTATAGGGGGCAAGCTTTGGAGCCCTTGGAGGGTCCCCTCTAGGGATCACTTTACCAACCACTATAGGGGCCGCTAAAGCTTGCAGAAGACGCCCCTATAGGGAGTATGAACTCTGAGCGAAGAAGCATTTCCATGCGAAAAACTGAAAATGAAATTGGAAACCCCTAAAGGGTCCACTTGAACTTTGAGGGGTAAGAGGTCGGTCCCTGAACCCCTATAGGGGCCACTCTGAAGTTCCTAAGTTGCCTAGATTGTCTGCGGGAAAAAACTCTGAGCTACTCCTAGTTTTTTGAACTTCTGGCTTTTTGCTGACGAGAGTTGTATAAAAACTGACGATTTGGTTTCGATCGATAGATCCCAAGTTGCAGTGACAGCGCCGATGGAGATGATGCCAAGGGACCGGAGATCAGCCAGCGGAATCGACATGGACGAGATGCGAGAGCTGCAGGAGGCCCTCAGACAGCCGATGATCGAAGAAGAGGACGACCTCGGCCAGGAAGACAGTTTCGACGAGCCTGAGGTGATCTTTTCGAAGGATCTTGTTGGGCTAAAGTCTTATTTCGAATCTCTCTTCTTTCCAGATGGGCTAGTCAAAATTGGACTTTTCTAGCGCTTCCAGGACAGCTCATTCCATGTTTTCCTTTTTTTTTTTTCCAAGCTACAGAACCCTTTTCTTCGATGCGCGCGGCTTGTCTGGGTTCATGTGCCTTTAATATAACGATAACTTGAAAGCTGCGCCTTTAATATAACTGCAAATGGAAAGCTGCGCCTTTAATATAACGAAAATTTTCAAGCTGTGCCTTTATCAAAACAGAAATGTTCAAGCTGCGCCTTTAATAGAACGGAAATTTTCAAGCTGCGCCTTTAATAGAACGCAAATTTTCAAGCTGTGCCTTTAATATAACGAAAATTTTCATGCTGTGCATTTCTAAGCAAATAAAATTACTTTGTGCTTTTTTAAAATTACACCGTCTAAATCTTATTTTAAGTGGCCATTTGTCTTTCAGATTCACTGAGTAACCCATAACTTGCCTTAAGTGATTACTACAGTACTTATAAAATGATTTCAGATCGTGGTGGTACCAGAAGAAGTTCTAGAAGCGGCGGCGGCAGAACAGGAGCTGGACGACCTCGAGCTTCGCGAACGGATCGCAGAAATCGCCGGAATCCTCAATGAACGTGCCAGTCGTCGTGTACGTCTTCTTTAAGGACTCTGAAGTACCCAACGTCCCACAATCGCCGGTTCAACACGAAATATCCATATTTATTATTTTCTTTTCACCTGTTTTCATCTAACTTTGATTGTTTTTCCCCCGCCAAAAGTGTCCGCATTTTTGTGATAGTCAGACCTAGTACGACGACCGGTGCCCCTCCCTATTTTCCGATTTGATCTCCCTAACTTGCCAGCTAACAAAAAGAAAAACCAACCAACCAACAAAAACGACAATAAAACTTTTCTTGTTAGTGAGATTGATTTTTGAAAGGAAAAGTCAGCTTTCTTTTTATTTTTCACATCTAAAATTTCAGGAATCTTCATGAAACACTTAGAAAAGAGTACAGTAATTTAAAAATATCAATAAAAATAAGATTGATGGATCATTACTGTCAATTGAAGATAGTCAAAAAATCGGTAAGAAAGTCAAGAATTCAAAAATCCTCTCGAAATTCGTTTGGAACTTCAGTCGAAAACCCAAAAATTAGGTCTGAAACTTCATATTTGCGTCGAGGATAGATTAAAAAATTTACTTGGCTGAATTTTCTCAAGAATCTCGATCGAAATTAAAAAATGCCTTGCTTTCCATTGCAATGTACATAGAAATCAGCAGGAAGCAAAAGTTAGGATCGAGTTAACAAATATCGACAGGAAGAAAGAATAATGAATTAACAGCTAAAAGTACCACAGAATACATTATAATTACTTGACAATCACTGCTGAGGCTGCTGCTGTACAGCGTTATCGGCGACGAAATTGTCCAAAACTTGGTTGATGCGTTGTTTCGCGACGGCGTGCTTTGCAGACGGCAAAGCGGTCAGTTTTTGGACGACGCTGTTGATGAACTTCTCGTGCTTGTTCGGCACCGAAGTCATCGTCTCCCTCAACTTCCGTTTGGGGTCACTGAGCTGATCCAGCTCCACTTTCGCGTTGCCCACCAGATTCTTGACGAAATCAGCGATTTTTCTGGTTGCCGGGCTTGCTGGACGGCCTGAAAAAAGGACGATGACTTCCAGCTTTCAGTTCTGCTGATTTTACTTTAAAAATTGGTGCAAACATTTGAGAAAACTTTCGAAATCAACTTTATTACGGATTTTGAAATTTCAGAAATTTATTTTCTTTTTTTCAAGTTTGTAAGTTTTTTTTGCACTTGATTTAGACTATAAGAAATTTTAGAAACTCAAAAAATTCATGGTATCAATTATTATTTACTTATTATTGCAAAAATGTAAAAGTTTTCATATAAAATCAATTTCAAAACTTTGAAATTAAAGATTTTTTAAAAATTTTTATCAAGTTCAAATCAAGTGCATTAACACTGAAAATCCTTTCACAATGCATTTTTTTGAAATAGAGTAAAATACACAATAAACTAGCCTTTTCTCTTTGTCGGAATTTTCACAATTTCAGGAGCTTTTTTGGCCGGCCTTTTTCTCTTGACTTCTGGCTCCTGTTGGGGTAACGGATTTTGGACCGGCTCTCCAGTACTACACTCATTTCCCTTCTCAGATACGACCGCTGGCGCCTTCTTCTGAAGTCTGAAGACCAGAGAATTCGAGTAACGTCTCAAGAACCAACCTTCGATCTCTTCGCAAGAAATTCAAATCGAAATAGAAAATGAAAGTTATACGACAACACGGATCGAGTTCTTCACGTTGATATTGTGCGTCCCAGCCGGTATACAGCTGTAACCAGATATCCCTCGCCGATTCACCTTAATTTGCTAAATTATTTTTCATTCCCGTTTTCATCAAAACCCCCGGATTCTCCAAGGAATGAACATTTGCGTTCGAGCTCCACAAAGTGGCACGTTTCACTTTTCCTCTTTTCCGACTTGGTCAACCTCGGATCTCCCCAAAGCATCTTCTTCTTGCGAATATGGTAAATGAACTTCCGGACGTCCTCCATTCTATACTGAAAACCAGTTTTTGAATCTTTCGATTTCAATTATTGAAATTACATATCCGGGCTTTTCAGGGACGGCGGGCTCTGGCGCTTTTTGCATAGCCTGAAAAACAGATACAAGTGGAAATTTTCAGATAAAACTTTGAAAGAAAAAGAACAGCGTTGTGGGGAAAAAACTGTTAAAAGATACGGTATTTGTTGCCGCAAGCACAGCAACTTTAAGGTTGCGGCACATGCGCAAAGGATTTTTTTATAACTTTTTAAACTATTTTGCAATTTCAGAAATGTACTTACATTTTGACTTGTAACTTTATCGAGGGAAAATTCAACACGTTCAAAACTGTCGAAAAAAATTGATTTTTTTTTTCAATGAAAGGTTTACAGATGTTGAAACGGTTGCTATCTTTTTCTATTGATATCATACCGTTTTCCGAAATAGAGAGAGTGGAAATAACGAAATTTTAGAGATAATTTTGAATTTCGGGGAAATTACTTTAAACGAGTCCCTCAAACATCACGGGTAACGAGCGGGCAGCGCTGAAGGTAACGAGCGCTTCGCCATTCAACAGTCTACAGAATTTTTGCAAAGTGCCTATGGCGGCATTCTGCAAAAAAGCTTCATGCATTTTGCAAATCAGTGCTTTGCATTTTGCACAGAAGTACCTCGCATTTTGCACTTTTTTTCGTCTGTACAAAAGTGAGCCCAAAAAGAAATGCAAAAAAATGCGAGGTCCTTCTGCGCAAAGTGCAAAGCTCTGATCTGCAGAATGCATGCAACTTTTTTGCAGAATGCCAGCTTAGGCACTGCACTTTGCACGATTTCAGTAGAGCAGTGCATGCGGCACATGAGCTACAGGCTGAAAAACAGCTTGCAGGCAATCGTCAGGTGTACTGAACGATGAACTGAAAAGTGGTACAATGAACAATAAAATATTCTGCAACCCTAACTCAAATGAGCTAATTGAACTCAAAAAGAAGCATTTTAATTTCGAAAAGATTTCATTTTAGTGCAGATTTAAAAAGTTACTACAAAACGAAGAGCAAAATCAATATGAGACACAAAAAAAAACGAAATTTGAATTATAAAAATGTAAAAAAGAAACTCAAAAATTTTGAAAGCGCCAAATGTGCAGCTAATTGCCTTGAGGAAATTCTCTGGGTAGCAAGCCGCATGCCAGGCGGCTAACTGTGATTGTCCGCTCTTTACCCGTGGGTGTTTGAGAAATGCGAAATCGCCTCTGACAGCTGTTTTGGTTTTTTCGGAATCACTTTGAACACGACATCAAAATCGGATTGAAAACTGGCAGTTTTGAGAGAATATCGAGTCTGATCTGACCAAAAGTTGTGACCCCACGTGTGAGAGATCAAAGCGCCAAGAACTCTCTGGAATGGCGGCAGATTTGGGCGGTGAAAAACATCCACGTCAGCGTCATTTCTCCTTTTTCTGTCGTGCTCTGAGGTTGCTGCCGGTTTCTGTCTCGTTTTTCTTAGTTTGATTCTAGGAGATTTCACTTTTTTTAAATCAGTTTTTATGTAAAATCATTTTGAATGAGGTTATTGAATAGTTTACTTGCATTTTACGATCGGAAATTTCTAGAATTGCATCGTTTTTGCTTTTTTTTTTCTCTTGGTAATTTGAATTTGAAGTAGTTCCAAATTATTATGGTTTATTTAAATAACTTTATTTAAATACTCATCTTTCTCTGAATGTTAGCTGTTAACATGAACTTTTAGTTTCAGAAAATATTTGGCTTCAAATTTAATGTCTACTCCAAACGGCTATTCATTTTCCATTTCGTGTACGCGTGAAAAAAAAAATGTCATATGATTTTTTTTAAAACACGATTTTCAGGCTTTCCTATGGCACAGACGCTGACGGCGCCGTCAACCTCGCCTGGGTCGGAAATTTGAGTTTTTTTAGTCTCTCATTTCGTTCAAATCTTGGATTATTTCGTGTCGATAAATTTGGATTCTTCCAGGAAATCTGGAGGCGATCAATGGGTTACTTTCCACGGGAGTGAAGGTCGCCGGCTTCAATAAATCTACCTTGTTAGGTATATTTTTCTTTTAAATCTGTCTCAATTGTTTGTTTTTTTTGCGCTGAGAAACGCCGGAACTATTTCAACTTCACGAAAAAATTGATCGATAAATGGAGTTTCCCAGCGTAAAAAAATCGTCTTTTTCTTCTCGAAAAGTGACAAGAAAAATCATTTTTTGAATAACTTCAGGGTATCGTTGCACGAAGCCTTATTTTGAGGCAACGCGGTCGCGTCGCGGCTCGCTTTAAATTAATTTTTTTTTTGGTTTCTCATGATTTTTTTTAGATTATTACCATAGTTCATTCACGATCAGCTTGGCGAGCCAGGGGATACGACTACAGTACTCCTTCTCTCCTTTCGCTTCGAGAGCCGATTTAGAAATTTTTTTGTTTTTTTGAATTTCGTTGTTTTTTTTAAAAAAAGTATTTTTATATATAATTTTTTTCGAAAAATCAAATTTTTCAGGAATTTTTCCAGCTTGACAAGTTGATCGTGTGTGGAAAGTTAGAAAATTACTGATTCAGTCCTCGTTTTTTATAGATTTTTTATACTAGCGTAATAGTTCATTCACGTCCAGAATGACAAGCCGCGCGACACTGCTACAGTAATCTTTCTCTCCTTTCGCTTCGAGAGCCAATTTCGAATTAATATCACTTTTTTTTGATGTTTTCTTTACAGTTCGAAGCTTCTTAATAAAAGATAATATTAGGGAGGAAATTACGGCTTGACAAGTTGGTCGTGAATGATCCACAAAATTCGCAGCCGAGCCGCAACGCGACCGCGACGACCCTATTTCAAATTTCGCGCCAAGTTTCAAGAAGTTTTTGCGACTAACTTCCACTCAATTTGTCAATAGATTTTTTTGACGAATCTTTTTAAATCAATTTTTTTGTGGAAAAAAAATTTTTTTGAAAATGGAATTTTTGGACAGTTTTACAGTGGTTTGTTTTGAGTTTATTTTTTTGAGTTCCATATCTTTTTTTGGGGTTTTCAAAAACGGATAGTTGCTGGGAAATCATAGGAAAAATTTTTTTTTTTTATTTTAGCGATCTTGAAATTTTCACAGTTTCCAAGTGTGTTCATTGAATTTTTTTAAATATTTTTTTGAAGGTTTAGATAATTGTAAAAATATTCAGTTTCGAAAAGTGATATTTCATTTTAATCTTTTCTTTCTAGATTTATAAGCATTCTAAATTTCAAATTTTGCTTGAGAAAAAATTTTTTTTTCAAAAACGAGTATAAAATTGCTGTATTGTTCAGTGGCCACACTCTAAAACTACCTGACAAAAAAGACCGTCCGAATTTTCCTGATCGACTTTAAGAATTTTTACTGGCTTTTCCAGTCAAATTTTTAGAAAAAATTTTTTTGAAACATGCCCCCTAATTTTTTTTTTTTTTGAGCTTTTCATGCAACACTACCTTATCTAGTAGATCACGTCATTTAGTAATAGTCAATTTTCGAGAAGAAAAATATGCTTTTTTTTGTGCATGTTGTGTTGTCCTTTTGGGGCCAACCTTGCCGGACCTTTGGTCGGTGGCTGGGCGACAGAGAAAAAGGCGACTGTGTCTTCAACTGCATCTCGTCACTAGAGAGCGTCGGAAAACAAGTGAGTCTGTAGTCTGGCTCGTCTCCTCGTCTGCCATGCTCTCTAGCTGGTCTGTAGCCGAGCATACATGCGCTTCTTTCTCTGTTAGGTAGAGGCACTGTGGGGCGAGGCGATTTTTCCCTCACAAGCTCGAAATTTTTCGAAAGGTGGCGTTTTTCATTGGGCTGTGTGCGAATAAATTATTTTTCAAACGCGGCTTTATAGAAATGACTTGTAATTTAAAAATAATTTAATTTCGAAGCAAACTCGTTGAATTCCATTCGGAAACTTCGAAACTATTTGCAATCTCAAGGAGATTTCACATGAGTCGGAGGAAGGGTTGAAGCTGGTTGTAGTAAGATTGAGTTAGTTTGGGAAACTACAGTTTTTTTCGAATACAGTTTCTATTTATTTCCATTATCTTCAGTTTCAGTTTTTTTACTGTTGACTTTCAGACTTCGATATCCGATTTTGAACAAGGTGAACTGCTCTGAAATGCGCTCATTTTCGAGACTTTTTTCATTATTATTCTTTCCCTCTTCTACATTTTTTTCAACTAGAAACTAAAAAAAAAGACAAAAAAGTTGTTATTCAATGAATATTCTTTTTCGGCTCCAATTTCCAGATGCAACCCCAAAAAAGTAAAAAATAAAATAAGAAAATTTGACCAGTCGCGCTTCAGAATCGTTCAAACTGTTGAGAAGTTCAGATCCCTTGAAAATTTTGGTTACTCTAATAGTATTAATTTTTTTTAATTTCGACTTCAATATAATTTAAAAATTTTAAAGCAGCTGAAATCTTATATCTTCATTTTTTTCGTTTCGTTCAAGTTTTCATTTCATACTTATTTATAGTTTATAGTAACTGAACAAGAAAAGGTGCAGAAAGCTTTTTTATGGATTAGTTTTGTTCAATAAAGTTTTTTTGTTTGTAGAAAAGCACGTTCTATCGATAGGTTCAAAGATTTTTGATAACTTTTTTTTGACTTCAGCTTAATTTAAGCTACTTTTCAACCTTTGCTATTATTTTTAGAGCTTTTGATTTTTTTTTTGTAGTTTTTTTAGGCTTGGATAGTCAGAGAACGTAAGAGAGCATCTATTTTAAAGCTTTTTTTAATCTAATTTTTTTATGCGCTTAGTTCCAATGAGTCGTCAGAAAAACGGAGTTTGTTCGTACACAGCCTGATGATATAATCTCAAGCAAAGACGTTGAATTTGTCTTGTGGTCTAATGGTGTAGAAGTTGGTCTGGGAAACTTGAAACAAAGGTTCGAATCTTTTAGAGTTTTATCTATAATATTTAGGTCCTACTTCAAATTTTCTCAAGAATGAAATTGTGTTAGCTTTCCTTTTTCGATTTTCATTTGTACAGCGTAAATTTCCCAAATTACTAAGCAAAAGGCCCTAGTATAGTAGGAAATTCAAAAGTAAAAAAAAATCGCTGCAATGTGCTCATGCTCTCATAACTAGAGCTAATTTCTAATCTAAAAACACCTTTTTCGCATCATTTTTGAAACACTTTTGAATGAAAAGATAAATTTTGGAGATTCACATAAAGTTACACAAGTCTGAGGCGTTAGGGCTTACTGTGGTTATAATTTTTTTTATTCACTTAATTTTCTCATTAGCTATCTTCGAACCTTTGTCGAGTTTTTCAAACTTGAAAATGTTCTAATTTTTTTCACGATCTACTATGTCAACTTCAATAGTTAAAATGGAAAGAAAAGTATATTGGCAAATTGAGCGTCTTTGCGTGAGTTTTGAGACGCCACCTGACAGTGTCTTGCAAGAAAACTCGGGCTCTTTCTGTCTTTCCAAACTTTTTGAGCTTCATCTTGAGCCATTCGAGCTCGAAGTTCTTCAACTTGATTGCGAGACGATTTGAAACCAACTTGCAATATGGGCTTCGTTGAAAAAGTGCTGTTAGATAGTTTAGGAATTTATTTTTCGAATTTTAATTGCAATACTATAAATTTCTCTTTGGTTTTTTTTTTGCATCACTTGGTCACTACGTCAATTTGAAAATAAAAATTTTTGAGTTGTAGATAGAAATTTTGAAGTTTCATGGTCAAGACAGACTGGAATATCAAGTGTTAGAAAATTTCCGAACAAAAATTTTTAAGAGCTTCTTCAGATCATCAAAGACGACTATTAGAAACAAATTTATAAAAAAACTGTATTTGTATTTTTTTCGAAAATCAACTTGAAATTTACATAACTTTCTGCCTTGAAATTCAATTTTCAATTTTTTTCGCAATTCGTTGTCTTTGATGAGCTGAAAGAGTTGTTGAAAAAGCAAGAGTATTTGAAAAAAAATATAGAAATTGCGGATAAACTTTGAATGAAGTTAGGACCCTTCAACTGCAAGCTTCAAGAGTTACTATGAACTTGAAGTATTTCAAAATTTTTCTCAAATCTTAGCCAGTCAATCAACTTTTTTGAAACTTTGATTTTATTCCCATTCTAGTTGAACCTTTCATTTACACTTTTTCTTTCAAAAATTCTTCAAAACTTGTGAATTTTTTATTTTGGGCACAAATGCTTTCTTGATGGACCTTGTACTTTGACTTAAGTAATGATTGACTGTCTTGGGCTTGAGAAAGATGTAGTTCTCCTACAAGTTCTCGTCAAAAGCTTGAAGCTCAACAGACTTGTAATTTAGATTTCTTTTTTAACAAATCGAAACTAGCAGCTAAGAACTCTAACAGCACTTGATCAATAAAGCACACCTTGCGAGTTAGCTTCACCATTGTCTTGCACTTGAGCTGAGGGACTTCGAACTCAGATGGCTTGAGGTGAAGCTCAGAAGGTTTTGAAAGGCAGAAAGAGCATGAGTTGACTTGCAAGGCAATTTCATGACATGAGCTTGCCTGAGAAAAGAAGTCTTGCTTTACAAGACCTTTGCCGAGCCTAGAGGCACCTACCAAAGGTACCTTGGCCTTGGGCTTCACAGGCCTGACCTGTGGAGCCTGGGGTCGAGGCCTCTGGCTCGGGCTCCACAGCAAGTCTGTGGAGTCTGAGGCTGAGGACTCTGGCTTGGACTCTGCAGCTCAGGCTGTTGAGCTCAAGTTAGAGGCCTTGGACCTCAGGCTTCAGTGGCAGCTGTGGAGCTCGAGACTAGAGAGTCCGGCCGGCTAAGGGTTCCACAGGCCCGAACTGTGGAACCCTTAGCCGGCAGACGGCAAAGGAGGCTGAGATAGGACGGCAGAGTCGGACCCCCGACCCTGCCGGAAAAAACCAGAAAAACAAGGAGGAGGATAATACTTTATTTTTCAAAATTTATCAAATTTATAAGTTTATTTTTCTGGAAACGAGTGTCCGGATCAATGCTGACTTTCGGAGTACGACGTCGTCCGGCATCCATCCCGTCACATCATTCGACCTGAAACCCTCCCCATTAGCCCCCTCGATTCCAACTGCTTCCTGTCTGGAACCCTCCAAAACTGTCGACTCTTGGCGTTTCCTCCAAATGGCCCAGGATCGACTTGTCTTTTGCCAAGGTTCCAAGTGGAAGGCCGCCTTGGCTGGATGCATTCAGAAAAAGGCTCGATTTTTGTAAAGCTTCCACTGAAGGCCAAGCAAAGGCTATGCTTTTTTCGGAAAAATGACAAACCCTCAAGGCCAGTCTCAATTGACTCGAAGTGACTAAGTGAAGAAGCCTTGGTCAAGTCATGCCAAAAGCTCAAAAGTTCAATGAAATTATGCTGATGTGATTTTTTTTCATTTGCAAGTTTTCTGATGAATAAATTTTCCTACGTCTTTTTTTCAAAGCTACACGTCTCTGAAGCTCTTCACCATCGATAGAAAGATTGATCGCGCCTTTTTTTGTTAAAACTTTTAAAGAGTGGACTCAACTGCTACGCAATATCAATCTTTTCATCGAATTCAGATGAAAAGCATTTTTATAACTTGAAAGTTAGTAGAAGAATAAGATCAAAATAAAAAAGAAATGTAAGTTTGGACATAAAATCAGAGTATTTCGAGAAGACCAATATTTGAAGTTGATAAAATTGGCAAAAAAAACCCCAGAAAAAGATCCGAGCGGTTAAAGATGAACTTGCAAATTTTTTGATTTGTAAAAGTGTTCAATTTTTTTTTGGAACTACATGAATAAATGTTTATCGAAAAATTCCTAAGTATTAAAAAGAGAGCCCTTTTTCAAAATAGACTGTAGACTGAAAAAAACCAACTCGAAAAAAAGATTGATAGAAAAAAATTCGATTCGCAACTTCTAAACGTTGGAAAAAAAATTGCAAGTTCACCCTCGAACCAAAAAGAAGAAAAAAACAAAATTTTAGGATTCTGAAAAAATCTAGTCTTTTAAACTACTAACCATTCATCAGAACCTGGCAAGTTGAAAAGGAACCCAACGAAATTTCAAAAATCTTAGAAGGTTACGAACTTTTGACATGACTTGACTCAAGCTCCTTCATCAGAGAGTTCAGTTGACGCTCTCAAGCTTGAGACTGGCCTTGAGAAATTTTTCATTTCTCTGAGAAAGACAGAGCCTTTTCTTGGCCTTTTTTGTGAGAAGCATCACAAAAATGGACCTTTTTCCGAGTGACCCAGCCAAGACGGGTACAATCTTTTCGCCAAACGATATAATCTTTTTAATTTTTTTTTTGTTGCGAACTTCGTTCCTTTACGAAAAATAAAACATAAAATCAAAATCCTTACAAGCTTTGAAAATTGAAAACGGCAATAAGTTCATAGAAAGTTGAAAGTACTAAAAATTGTCCAGAAATTTTACTTTGAAACAAAAATTCGTTTTAAGAAAGGTTTTATGAACATATAACCGCTGTAGCCTAACAACTTTTTATTAATGAGAAGCCATTTACGAGAAAAAAGTTGATTGAATGTTGTGGAAAGATTGGAATGATTAAACAAATTCAAAAAAATTTGTTGGAAAGCAAATTTCTTCAAAATCATTTTCGCAAACGCCCCCATCGATTTGTGAAAATCTATATACAGAAAATCGTGTTTTAGACACACAAAATCCAAAAAACCCGATGATCTTTCAAGCTTCCCGAATGAACTAGCGGTCTCACGGTGTTTCCAAACGGGGTGGCAAGACGTCAAAAAAATTTTGGCGCGAAATTTGAAATCTACAGTACTTCAGCCGAAGGCGATCGAAAAAACAAGTTATTAACGTTTGATACTCAGTTCATTTTATCCGTAGCGCGCACTAAATTTTTTCTGTAAATTCAGAAACTTTGACGCCTCGCTCACCTTCCCTCACCCCCATTAGGAATGCCGTGGGTCTGAAGTTCATCTACACTTTTAGTTTCCAACTGGTTTTAGAACTATAAGTTTGGATCAAAAATCTCAAATTTTGAGCGTGAAGAAATGAAGATTAAAATTTAGGAAATGCATAAATTTATGTCCTCTAGTTCAAAATTTCATACTATAGGCAGTATGCTAGAATACCTACGGTCCGTAAACGATATGAAGCGGATTAAAGTTCGATAACCTTTGGAAGAAAATAGCTTGCACTCGATTTCAAGTGGAAATTAAGAAAGTGGAAAATTTTGGTTCTTCAACGCGTTGACCGACCGTAAATATTTCATACCTTAATATTTTATAAAACTTCGAGCCGCTCCAAAAGACTGTAAAAATTTGCAAGAACTAATTTTGCAGACATCAAACTAAACCCTAGCTTTTTTGAGCCTCCTCTCTAACCTTTCAAATAACTTGAGTTCGTGAAAAATTCTATGATCATCATAGAATTTTTCATAGTATGATCTCTTAAAAAGTAGCTTCCGTCGCGAATTATGAACTAATGAATGAAACTTAAAAGTCCACCCGAAAAACTAACCCAACAGAAAAATATAATAAATACAGTCAACTTAAGTTATGGGAACCTTATCAAAGCACTGGAATGAAGAAATAAATTCGCAACAAAAAAATACCATTACCAAGCCTCAATTAATTTTTAATTTGAGAACAGGAATAATTATTATCGATTGACGGAAAATCTTGCACCCGGCCATCCACCCGAGCCCCATCAAAAGACGCCGATCCTGAGCCATTTTTTTACCAGGGAAATTCTCAAAAAAACAAGCAATCTATTGTTTTTTTGAACTGTAAATTGAATTAATTTGCGTGAGAACAACGTTCGTTTTGAGCAGTTTTTTTCTCATATAAATGAAAATTTTCGAGTCAAATTTTAGTATCAGAAAAACCTTACATGTAAAAAAACCGATAAATTGAAAAATTTTTTTGAGAACTCGAAAAAAAGCTTAATGGAAATTAGACCGTAAATTTACAAGACTTATTTTTTTGGAAATTCAGTTTTTTTGAATATACTCACCAAAAAAAGTTATACGAAAAAAAATTGCTCATCAAAAAAAGAATCTGAAAGAAAAATGCAAGAGTGAAAGTCCGAAAAGGTATTTTTTTGAGTCCACCGTAAGACTTTCTGATCGAATAAAAAGGGCCTTTCTGAAAAAAGTAAAGATAAAATTAAAATAAAAAAATTATTTCGAAAAATATATCACAAAATGGCGTAAGTTTGGAAAATGAAAACTCTGAAATCTGAATTTAATTCAATTGAGAAAATAAATTATTAGTAAAATTGCTTGTTTTAAAGAATTTCCCTGGTAAGAAACGCCCAGCTGCGCGCAGTTTTGGACGATCCCAAACCAGAAAAGGAGAGGAATCGACCAAAAAATAAAAAAAAAACTACCGTATTTTCGTCGTAGTCGAGGTCCTCCTTCACCGTCTTCGCTGGTGCCTTCTTAAGTAGGAACTTCACGTTTTCTGGAAAAAATTTCAAATTTAAAATTGTAAACTTTTATAAAATCGAAGAAAACGAAGTTGAAACTTAAATTAATAAATTTGCCAGCCTGCATAGCGTCTGGAGACACGAGTAGAAGTCCAATCCGCCCATCCGTCTTTTCTGTCGATTTCCTGAAAAATATCCAAAATTATATGATCAGAATCAAGGTAATTGTAAATAAGAAGCGTTCAAAAATTATATTCAAAACTCTGCCTAGGCAAAAAAAGTTTATCGTTTGATTTCGAAAACGTCAATTCAGGATTTAAAAATTGAAAATATATCAAAAACTTCATGAACGCGAATAAATGACGGATGAAAAAAATTTTTTATACATCCTTTTCAGATTTTGAATACCAAGTTCAATAACTTTATTCGAAAGCGCTCTATGGTTGGCTCGCTTTTTGATTGGTGTATCGCGCCATTAAAGGCGGAGCTTGAGCGACGTTTTGACATTCAAAATCTGAACAGAATATACTTCTCGAAACACACAGTTGAAAAACAAAACCCTGCATTGATTGAAAACAAACAAATTTCTGGAATTCAAACTAAAGTACACTTTCTCAAATCCATGTGAACGTGCAAGATCGAAAAATAATATACAATCGGAAATAACAACTATTCAAAAACTTTAGCATCGTTGATTATAAATGATGTCGTTCTAAAAGTTTTCGATCCTAAAAAAACTTTTTTTGAAAAAAATATTCAAAAAAATGGCTTCTCTAAAAATAGATACATATTGTAATACATAAACAGATTTAAAAACATATTTTCTATCATAAAACTAAAAAAACGAGACAAAAAAACCGGCAGCAACCTCACAGACCGACAGAAAAAGAAGAAATGACGCTGACGTGGATGTTTTTCACCGCCCAAATCTGCCGCCATTCCAGAGAGTTCTTGGTGCTTTGACCTCTCACACGTGGGGTCAAAACTTTTGGTCAGATCAGACTCGATATTCTCTCAAAACTGCCAGTTTTCAACCGGATTTCTTGAGTTTTTTTGTAGAACAATCGTAAATAGATGTATTCAACGTAATATAAAGAGGTTCAGCACCCTAAATCCATGAGGTCAAAATGTTTGATAATGTCATTTTCTTTTCAGTTTGTCACACTTTCGCTTTAACTTTGTAAAAAAATGGGCTAAAATATTTATTTTTAATGAAGAAAAAAATCAAAGGAACATTTCGAAAAGGTATAGCGTTTGAAACTTCGAAAATGATGATACAAACACTGTAAATTGCGAAAATGGCGTTCAAAACTAATTCAACTTCAGACTAGAACTGTTCTGCCACACGTGTTTGAACTTGTTTATTTTGATAAAAATTGATAAAACGGCTGCACTGAAAAAAATTATTGATTCGAAAGTTTTTGAAGATCTACAAGAATTGCGCGTGTAGTAAACGCGCATTGTACGCGACAACGCGGTGCTCACAGACGAACGTGATACAGCAACATTATAAATAATAAAAAAATTCATTCAGATGTTTTCAAAAAGGAGGTAGCAAGGTATTCAACAATTTACATTCGAATCCTCAAAAAAAGCTTTGTTCAGAAAAAGAAGAAATTGGAAAATCCAAATATTCGATAAAGTGAATCAATTCATATTGGATAAAATTTATTAGTATTTACGATCGGAAATGATAAAACGTGCAAGTAAAAGGCTTTGTTATCAGGAAAAGGATTAATTACGAAGGAAAATGATGGCGAAGAGGATGCACATGAAAAGAGCGCAGAACGAGGAGCCGATGAGGAAGGCAAAGGCTCGGCGATTGTTGCTTTCGACTTCAGAAGAGGGCTCCTGAGGCGGTGCTGTCTTCTCGAAGGAGTAGTTGTTTCGCCTGGAAACGTCAATGGTTTACTTAATCAATCTAAAGCAAATATTCAAATCAAGAAAGAAACCGACGATTCCTTCCGGTCGAGGAGCATGGCGGAGAGGACGAAGAAAATGAAGGCGAACGAGGCTCCAAATGACGCCGACAAAAGGACCAAAACCCAGAAGGCCGCTCTCACCGACATGGCGTGACGGTAGGTGATTCCGTCGCCTCTGAAATTATCAAATTATTTTTTTCAAAACCCTCGACCTAAAGTCTCAGTTTTTTTGGATAATATTATTTAAAGGCGCATGCCCATGTACAGATCGCGTGCTTCGGAGCGAATGCAAGATCTTTTGTGTGTAGCTGGCGCGCTACGGAATGTTTAATGAATTTCGCTCAAACTTTTCACAAAGAAGAAACGACAGTATACAGCGCTTTTTTACGAGCTTCGCTTCAAGACCTGCGATGAAGGTATACGGTATTTGCTTCAGAAAAAAACCCAGCAATTCGAATCTGAAGCTCACCCAGTGTACTCGTAACGAAGCTCCTGCCAAATGCCATTGCTGGAGTTCTTCTGCTGGACGACCGGCGAGGCGAACGTCGTCGCCTCCTCGGTCAGGTTGCCGACTTTGATCACCGCGTCGGCCGCCGCGTAGTCGTACTCCTCGGCGGCGATCGTCTCTTCCGTGTAGATGCCCATCTCCATTTCCTCCAGGGATTTCGTCACGGCGACGGTTGGGCTTGGAGTCGAAGCCGTGACGACCTCAATGGGGCTCGGCGTTGTTGTGAAAATCGGATTGAGGTCCTGTGAAAGTTATATTCTTCGATGAGCATGAACCCCCTACACTTTAGCAAAGGTTCATCAAAAGTTCAACCAGTAGGTAAAAAACGTTCACTATTGGGAAAAATTTTTAGTGGCCACTATAGGGTTTTGACGTTTTGGCGGCCACTATAGTAGTCAAATTAGTGGCCACTTAAGAGGTTAACAATTAGGGGCCACTATAGAGGTCTAAGTGCTTTAGGGGTCAATGGATCAACATAACTGGTCCAATCTGTTTTTTTTTTTTAAATAATCAGAGTTACTGGAAGGAATACTGGATGAAAAACTGCTGAAGTGGCCACTAAATAGAGAACCTCTATAGTGGCCACTAAAAACGGAAAAATACTGACCACTATAGAGGTGGGTTTAGTGGCCCCTTTAGTGTCCTCTCCAAGTAGTCCTTGGCGAGCCTCTATAGTGACCACTAAATATTTTCCTAGTAGTTGAGATTTCTATCCACCTTTGTTGAATCAGAAAATTCATTGTGAAAAAAATTTAGCACTCTTTTTACGAAAATCTAGGCATCAAAAATAATACTTATTAAAGTAGGCTCGAAAGCGAACGAGAGGTGTCTGTAAAGTACGGATCTTTTGAGGAAAAAATCTGTCTTCTATCTAATTTATCGCTTAAAAACATGAAAAACGTTAAAAAGAAATGAACCTTCTCATAAACGCTCGTCGGCAGCGCCCCAACGGTAGCAATCAACAGGAAAACGAAGAAATTCGACTTTACCATCATTTTCACAGGCTCTGCAATATATTTTTACTCATAACTAGTAAACATATAACGAAAATACATTAAAAATAAAAAATAAAAAACAAAAAAAAGGATGAAAATAATTTTTTCCTGCGGATCGCTGTGATCTATTTGACCTGTTTGTTTATGATCTTTTTTCGGTTGTCTGAGATTTATTATAATAAGTCTTTTTTGGAACATTATTTCTGTCTTGTGTATCGTATATAAGTGAGAATATTAGAAGAAGCTATAGAAATTTTTTTGTGTATTTTTTTATTATTTATTAAAATAGCGTTAATAAAACATTAAAAAGTCTCAAAAAAACGTCAAAAACATCTTCATTTCGAAGATTTTTCGTTGCGGTTTCAGTTTGAAATATGCTTTTTTTCAAATTCTAAGAAGATCATTGGTTTGTACTTTTTTTCTGGATTTTTTTCATTTTTTTGACGAAGAACGTTGACTCGAAACTATATTTTTTTCAAGTCAACTTTCTTCACAGAAACAGTACAAATAAAAAGTATTTTTTTCCTATTTAAAGCTTCGAAAAAGTTCCCGCGTAGTTGTTTGTTCGAAACATTGACCTTGTCAACAATCTTATCGATTATATTTTCGTCGCCTTCCTATTTTTTCTGCCGAAACTTTCATTTCAGAGAACTGCCTCAACGATGCCGGTCGCTGTCGTTACTGGTTTGTTCTAATTATTATTACTATTTTTTTCGAATCTATTTTCAAAAATATAGATATCGTTTGATCGTAGACCATAAAAAAAGGAAATTCGTATGAAAAAAAAATGCCGGATAACAAAGAATTCCATCTAGTTACTGTACAAAAAGGTTTAGAAATTTCAAAAACCGCGGTGAAAAGCCCGAATTTTTGAACAAAAAAACTGATTTTGAAAGGGAAAAATCTGTTTAAATACATGAGCTTGGAGGCGGGATGTGAGTAATCCGGACCAAGAGGATGATTAAAATTTAGTGAAGCGTAGATAAATTTTTCTTTTGGTAATTCTATCGCCCACGCGCCTCTTCCACACTTCAAAACACCTACAAAATGATTAACTCCACATAAATCCAAATGTCAAAAGGCCGCTGGAAGGCACACGGTAATCAGAACGGAGCCTTTGCAAAATAAACAGCCCTGACTCATCGAAAAGTCACAAACTAACACGCAAAATTAATAAAAAAAATTGGTTTTAAGAACTCATAGATGCTCCAAATAGATTTTCAGTCTTAAAAATCTCAGAAAACTTCCGGAATTCACATTTCAAAATAAAATCGTTGTCAGGAGCTTCATCCGGCATCGGGAAAGCTGCGGCAATCCGTTTGGCTCGCGAAGGATTCAGTGTATCGCTTTCTGGTCGGAAAGAAGATGCCCTCAAAGAGACGGCCGACGAATGTATCAAAGCCGGTCTGAAACAGGATCAAGTTGGATTTTAACAAAAAAAATTGTATCGAAATTGGTTTTTTGCAGGTTGTTCTCAATGTTGGTGATTTGACGGACTTTGATGCCGCCAAGAAACTGATTGAAAACACTCTCGCCAAGCTCAACACCATCGATACTTTGGTAATAATATTTCCAATCATCTTTTCTTTGCTGGAACTTTTCAGTTCCAGATTATTCAATTTTCGGGAAATTTTGAGACGTACGCGTTTCAAAAACCTCAGCGAATTCTCGTTTGAGACTATTCGACTAGATTTCAAACCTGCTAAACTGATAATCCATCGAAGTCGGAGAAAATAAAAAACCTAGCAAACTAAAGTTAAAATCAATCCACTTACCTTTGTCTCGTCGATTTTTTTGCATACGGAGGAGTTTGCATTTCGTAGTGACTGAAAAAATTAAAAATTGAAAAAAAAAAATTGGAACTAGAAGTACGTCAGTGTATTGTGAGCACGCAGAAAGCGCCAATAGAGAATGGTTAGCGTGAATTTGGATATTTCTTGAAAAAAATCATGAATTTTGAGGGAAATCGACTTTTTTCATGTTTTTCATGTCATATCATTCAGAAATCATAATTAAGATCAACTCGGCGGGGATTTTGACAAATGGAGAAGTTAATAGCACGGATATCGAAGTCTACGATAAGCAAATGGACGTCAATGTACGCAGGTTTGTAACTTGGAAAATTATTGATTTTTGCGTTCGAAGTTTTGTGAAAACATTTCCTTAGTATATTTTCTAAATATTTGAAAGTTTTCAGCGTGATATACTTGACAAAATTAGCCCTACCACACATCATCAAATCGAAAGGAAACGTTGTCAATGTCAGCAGCATTGCTGGACCTTGTCCGGTTCGTTTTCAAGGCTCTTTCTTTGAATGTGATCCAATTGAACGTACAGTTCCCCGGTGTCACTTACTACTCTATTTCAAAAGCGGCTCTGGATCAATTTACCAAGTGTTTGGCATTGGAAATGGCGCCCCACGGTGTTCGGGTCAACTCTGTGAAGTTTACAATTTTCCTAACATATTTTCCACAGTTTGGTCGCATTTGGAATGACTCATATCCCTAGAAACCACTTTTGGGAAATGAACTTGCTTCGAAAACACGTCGAGCCATTCCAAATGCGGCCAGCGAGAAGAAAAGTGAGTCAAGTTCGAATTTCTCAGTCCTGGCGTCATAGTCACTGACATTCACAAGCGAGCTGGAATGGGCGACAAGGATTATGAAGCGGTGAACTGATTTAAGTGGGAAAATAATTGTATAATAAATATTTTTTCAGTTCCTAGAAAAATGTAAATCGACACATGCTTTGGGCCGTGCTGGCGATGTTGATGAGGTGAGCTACCGAAAAAAAAAAATTCGATTTGATCTTTAAAATCGAGGAAAACGTAACGGTAATGAATTTTTGGCTTGAGCGTAATGTCAAAAAAAAACGAGCCATTTTTCGGCGATTTTTTGAAGAGTTTCCCATCAAATTCGCAGCTTTTTTTCAGGTTTCCGAGGCGATTCTGTTTTTGGCAACGAGCCGAAGTTCTTTCACTACTGGTGAACTGCTTCGTGTCGACGGAGGCCGCGGAATTATGTTCCCTCGATAAAAACTTTTTTTTTCGCTATTCAAAATCTAGCTGAAATTTTTTATTCTCCGGAAATTTCACGGAAATCAACTTCATTTGTGTGTGATTTTAGGGAAAAATAAACGAATTTGTTTCGGAAAATGTTGTTTTTTTTTGATTTGGAAGCAATTAAAATGAATCTGCTTCAAAATGACTTTTGAAGAAATTTCCACGAAAGGTCTTTATTTGGTTTTTCAAGAAGTATAGTTCATTGTCTCTGGTCATGATCACTTTCCTCATTTTGAAAATTTCGCCTCTATAGTGGATCCAATTTAAAGCAAACTCCACTCCGGTCAAGGCTCCCCTATTTGAAATACACTTGCATCAAATTCTCAGTTCAGCCTTTATCCAAAGTCATTGAAAAAATTGTAGATCGAAATGAGCTAGTTGGGGTCCACATGGATCCGTGAATAAACTATCATAATTAGAAAAAATTTCCCGACTCGAAAGGTGGGACGCGTAGCGTGTGCGTACGCGGTTCTCGGCACGAGTGCCATCCAACCGCCATCGACTAATTGTTGGAGAGCTCGTTCATCGCTCTTTCCATATCGTTTTTTTCATGTTTTATTGATTTTTTTTTAAATTTCTTGTGTCAAAAAAATAGTAGATTATATATGAAGAGAGCGGTGACATATCTTTTATTTTTTAATAGTCGTCGGCACTTGGATTAGACTCCAAGAATCGCGTACGACTCTTTAGAATGTTTGCAAAGTGCAGTGCCTATGGCGGCATTCTGCAAAAAAGCTTCATGCATTTTGCAAATCAGTGCTTTGCGTTTTGCACAGAAGTACCTCGCATTTCGCACTTTTTTTTCGTCTGTACAAAAGTGAGCCCAAAAAGAAATGTGAAATGCGAGGTTCTTCTGGGCGAAATGCAAACCTCTGATCTGCAGAATGCATGCAACTTTTTTTGCAGAATTCCAGCATACACTGGTGAATCGAGAGGTAGATACAAGTAGGTACCGGGTAGCAACTCAAATCAATCGGCGAATGGTAATCGGTGGTTATTTGTATGCGACCGGGCACTATCTCTATGGTACCTGGATAGTACCTGATCGGTATCTGGATGCTACCGGGTATGTACCTGAAATTCGCGATTGCCACTGGCTGGCACATCGGTCGTTTATATAGCATCAGTGTTTTTTACACCTTCCCAAGCCTTCCAGGGTCCTATTGGATAAAGCTGAAACAAAAAATAACGACCCGAGAAGCAATGCCAGACTTTCCGAAAGAAATCGCGAATGTCAGGTAGCTACCCGGTAGCTACTTGCATCGACCTCCGACCCAGGTACCATAAAGATGGTACCCGGTCGCATACAAACGACCACCGATTACCATACGCCGATTGACTTTTTCAAAAGTTGCTACCCGGTAGCTATTTGTATCGACTTCCCGATTCATCTTTGTAGGCACTGCACTTTGCACGATTTCAGTAGAGCGAGTCCCGCCCCCTTCTCCGCCTTCCTCGCCTTTCAATTTGGGAAAAATCGACTATTATTAGCTTATTCTCAGAAAATTCTCAAACAAAAGGTTTCGGTAAACACAAAGAGAAATTCGATTGGAAGCCTTCGACTACCACATGAAAATAATAAAAATCCGATTGCCCAAAATACTCAGAAGACATTTTTTGTATCCAGTCAATGCTTGAAAAAAAAAACCGACAAAAGAATAAAGGCAAGTGTTAATCTTAGATAAATGACCGGGAAAAAGGCAAAAATTGGACGCTAGCGTGGTCACGTCAACGTGGACAAGGTGAACTCTCGACTTTGGGAGCTCATTTACAAATTCTGTCGTCTTGGCGAACGATGAAAAGCTACAGTGCCGGTAACTTCTTTTCTTTGTCGAACTCGGAATCCGCAGTGCTCCCACCTTTTTTTTAGATCCCTGATGAAAAAAAATTTTAAACTATCATAACTTATGCTGTATTAACCACTATTTTTGAGAAGGACTCCTGACAAGAAAGTGTACAAGGATTTCTGAAGTTTTCTAGAGTATTTTATCCCAAATTGGCGGTCAAAATACCTATTTTTCTTCTGTATCAGAGTTTTTAAAAGGAGAAATATTGATTGACAATTGGAAACAGCTTTCGAGGATCCAATGGATTACCACACGTTTATTAGAAGCCCCAGCAAAGAAAATTTCATTTCCAGCAGCCCTCAAAAATTTTAGGGAAACTAGGAAAGAATAGCCAAAAAAAGCTTTAGTAATGTAGGCCCTGAAAAATACTCCAGTTTCACTCATACACTGTTAAAGTGAACAAGATGTGTCCTGGACCTTATTGACTGATTATTTTCGGATCATGTTCAAACGCCACAAAAGTAATCAACAAATGATACAGAAACAAAATCTCCAGGATTTCGAAACAGAAACATTCTCGTTATAAATTATAACGAGAATGTTTATAACTTATAATTCCAAAAACTTATTCAACCCTTTATGTCCTTCTCTAAAAATTAATCCTCAAAACTTGGCTCCAAAAGAATCACGAGCTTCACACTGCATTCGCCAAGTTCCCAGCCATCAAAACAAAAATTGACCGAAGACATTTTCAGTGCGTAAAAGATCGTTTTGGATGGCAGAGCTGACGCTCTTGCTTGTGGCACTTTTCAACGTCTTGTCGCCGGCTCTCGCACAAAACCAACCGAGTACACAAGGTAATCAACAAGGTTTAGGAAGAAAAAAATAGCGAAACTATTTCAGTTTGCTGCAAAACGCCGATGGCAAGGTTTTCATTTGGGGAGAGAGTTGATCAAGCTTGTACACATCCCCAATGTACCGAAGGAGCCATAATCTTGATCGATTCGAACCCCAGCAACACGGGCTCCGACGTGCGCGTCAACACGTTGAAGCAAACGAGCTCTTTGAAAATTGTGAATGATGCAACTGGTCTCGACTTCTCCAACGTTGAAGAAATAAACCATAAGTGGCCTGGTAAATTGAAACTTCAAATTATCGTCTCATTTTTCCAATTTATATATTTTTTTTGCAAATTTTGAAGTACAGAAGGCTATTCAGGGCCAGCTGTTCACTTGGAAAACGCGAACCTCAACGCGAAATCGTTTGAAAAGCTGGCGAAAATCAATGTGGACGACGTGTCTAAGTATTGCGCCAGCCGAGAGCTCGTTGTTGTTATCGGAAGAGTCGATGACGCTATAAAAAAAAGGCTTGAAGAAGTCGCCGAGAAGGTTTTTACGAAAATGAAAAAAAATACAGTACTTTTATCTTTGAGGCACTGGCCCCATGCAAACAAATTTCTCCACCACCATCCTCTACCAATTGCATTACCGGTGCTGGCAGCTCGGAAGAAAAAGAAGAAGGAAGGATGGACCGTGAGTTTTTCACGTTGTTTTTTACTAATTGGCCGGACTTCTTTGGGTTGAGACAAAAAAAAATCGTGCGTCATAATTATTGACTCTGCTCTTTTTCTCGGGTTTTTTCCCCGAGGTACTCTGGAACTTCCGTTTGAACTTGTCTGACACACATCTATTTATTAACCCTGTCTAGTAGATCTGTTCGGTTGAGAAAATTTGCCTCATACTCTATTTTTAACAATAATTTTTTTTTTCCGACTTCAACTGAAGGTTTCGCATGACCCATTTTCTATTTGAAAATTTAAAAAAATGAATTGACGTAATTTATAAAATAGTGAATAATTCTTTTTAGGTCTAAAAAAATTTATTCATGAAAATATGAGGCAAGTTTGCTCAATTGAGGAGTTTTTACTGAAGAAAAAAAGTTCCTTTCTTATATTAAACGGCGTTTTTTTCTTTTTTTCTGGGCTTCTGAAAATCCTTATTGTGCGACCAATTTTTATGAAATTCTCCAGCCTTTTCATCCCAGTTGATCATCCCATAGGAAAGACCTTTTGGGACTCGAACGATCAATCGATCTTAGCTCATAAAATTAAACTTTTTTTTTTTGAAAATTTTTTGCTAAAACAATTTTTCTTGCAGTTGGCTTGGTTATCGGTATTTCTGCCGTTGTCATCTTGGCAATTTTGGGCGTGTCTTTATTTATAATCACGAGAAAAAACAACACGATCAACAGTTTGAAAAGGGACATCTCCTCGGGAAACGGAAGAGCTAGTAATACGAGCTCGGCTGGAGGGAAAACGAAGGGGCCAGTTGCCAAGGAGAATAGCAAGATGAGCGCCGATTCTTGAGGGAAGCCTCAAAGCCAGGTTGCTCCGTTGCCTGAGGCCTAAGGTGATGCTGTACTTTGATCGGAAATAAAAGGATTATTCATCACTTTGATCTTTACGAGTTGCAAGACCTCAAATTGAGAAGGGAATTTGGATAGGAAAGGTAGGAAAAGTTGGCGAGGGGGTCGTTTTGGTTCAAGTTTTGGAAGTTTCTCTACACTTGCTCGAATTCTCTTCCAAGGTCCAAATGATTTTTGCTCAAAATCTGGCTCATCAATGAGCCTGGCAGTGACTACCTGCGTAAGCTCTCAGTTTTCGAGATACAAGTTCACTTTTGACATAGAATTCGACCTGAAAGCAGGACCTGAAAGCAGTATAGTCAATCCATCCCGACTTGAGAGGCGAGCGAGTCAGAGAAGTGGGCGGGACGCGGTTCTTGGAACGAGTTCAAATCAGACGTCACCGACTATTTGGAAAGAGTTGAAAATCTCCGTCTTGTGACACCTTTCAAGTCGGGGAAAAATTGACTATGGTCTGCAACTGAAAACTCTTGACTCCGATACTGAAAGTTTACGCACGTAACCACTTTGAGGGATTCTCATCCAGACTTCCAGAATCGTGAAAAAGAAGAAACGTTCAAGTGGCCGTCTATAAAAATTGTCAAGCCTCCAGAAAATAGCGTGGACCTAGACGACGACGATGACTTGAAACCACTCGCCATGAAAAAATTTAAAGTAACTAAGACAGCTGAGGCCAAAGGTGATGCTGGACTTTGATCAAAAATAAAAGGATTATTCCCTTTGATCTTTACGAGTTGCAAGATCTCAAATTGAGAAGGGAATTTGGATAGGAAAGGTAGGAAAAGCTGGCGAGGGAGCTCATTTTTGTTTAAATTTTGGAAGATTCTCTACACTTGCTCAAATTAACTTCCAAGGTCCAAATGATTTTTGCTCAAAATCCGGCTCATCAATGAGCCTGGCAGTGACTACCTGAGTAAAAACGAGCCCGAGGGGGAGAAGTCGAACAAGACGAGCGAAGCAGGAACGAATAAAAAGAAAACGGAGGATGAATTTGGCGAAAAGTCTAAGAAGAAAAATGACAATGCTCCCGAAGTTGCTCCGCCGTCTGTTGCCACGGACTTGAACCAGTAATAAAACAGTTACAAATCTTCTGGAATTGAAGATAGCTTTACTCGAATAAAATGGTTACAGAAGAAATCGGATAAGGGAGAAGCACAAGTGCGTCATAACTATTGACTTTCAAGTCTTTTCCCTTGACCTTGAAAGTTCTCTTGATCATGTCTTTTGTTGGATTTTGAATGAAAAATCCCTGAAAAAATCAGTTCCCTTTCAAAAACTTACCACAGACAAAATTATGGCTCTTAAAAAATCAATCAAATCTAAAAATATCTGAATTTTTGTGGGCTAAACTTTGAATTTTTTTATGACATTTAAAACTCAAAAAAACTGAAGTTTTTTTCCTCGAAAATTACCGAAATAGTCTTTGTTTTTCTCCGACCTTCAAGATCTACAAATTTATTTTGTCTTAATCGGAAAATTGACTTGATTTTCCAAATCGGAATCGTTTTACGTTTTTTTTTTTCACGTAGCCCCAAGGCGGCATTTTCTGAGAGGTCATAATTTTCATTTCTCGTCTTACTCGTTGAGCAGTTCCAAAAGTTCAAGATAAAAATTAATACGAAAATCACAAAAGTATGTGAAAATCAACGGGGATGCATGATTCCGCGGCCTCCGTCAACACGTAATAGTTGTCCGGTGGTGAAGGAGCTTTTCTCCGAGGCCAAGAAGAGGATCGCCTCGGCGACCTGGAAATGGTCGTTCAACGCGCAAGTCGTTTCAAAGTCGGGTGCAAATCGAAACCGACCTCTTTGACGTCACCGGGACGTCCGAGGGCGTGGGTCGTTTTGGACTTTTCCAAGAACTGTAATTGTAATTCGTCTGGGATGAATTGAATAACAAAATGACCGCAGCGTAGGTCGCTTCGTCTTGTCCGGCCCGCCGATGCAGATTCGTCACGGTGACGCCGGGACTGCACAAAAAATCAAAGATTAATCTTTGAATGAATCGGTGGAAAAAACTTGACGGAATTGACGCGAACCCCGTTGGGCGCCATTTCCAGTGCCAAACATTTGGTAAACTGATCCAGGGCCGCTTTCGACATGCAATAGTAGGTGACATTGGGGAACTATAAACCGATTGTCATCCACTGAATGAAGAGAAATAAAGTGTTGAATGGGAAAAGATGCTTTCTGCGAGAGAAAATCATCCGTTTTCGCTCGGCAAGTAATTCTACTAGAAAGCCGTAGCTAGATTTCGGAAAATATAGCTTCTGGGCTGGTTTATAGACAGTCTAAAGCTTCGGAAACTCTCAAAACTAGCTCCAAAGAAACGAAAATTCCACAGGCTGGTTACAAAAAAATTTTAAAAAAAATCCTCAAACTTTCCAACTTTTTAAATCAATCATTTGGGTAGACACAACAAAAGATGAACATTTTAGAAAAATTCCAACTCCTGGCCAGGCTTGTGCGAGGGCCGGCCCGTCACCCTCCCGGCCCCCCGACCATTTCGTAAGCCCGGCCCGGCCCGGCCTTAGCGGGCCTCGAGAAAAAAATGGCCCGCCCGGCCCGAATCGCGCAATTTTTTTCTAGTCGGATATCAAGTTTTTTTACGACAAAAAAATTACGTTTTTTTGCTCATTTTTTTCTATTAAAGTTTAACAAAAAAACTATGAATTCAGAAGTAAAAAGTCACATTTCGCTGAAAAATTTTTTTAAATGAAATTTTAAATTTTTTTGAAGCCCGGCCCCGCCCGAGCCCACGCGGGCTTTTTTTCCTGAAAATAAGGCCCAAAGCCCGGGCCAGGCCGGCCGGGCCGCCCGGCCTCACGCACAAGCCTGCTCCTGGCTAGAAATTACTGAAAAAAGCCTCGCATACCGCTTCATTTATGCTCCACTGATAACCAGTACAATAATAGAGAAATTGTCCGATTTTGATAACTTTTCTACAAATTTCATATACGCATTGACTCGGGAAAACAAGAAAAATGTTGAAATCCAATTTGAAGAATAAAATCGTGATAAAGGCTTCAAAAGTTGGACCATTTTCGCTCCACGGATAAAATTCAAAAGCTTCGTGAGTCCGGTCAAGTTTTCTCAGAGATGAATCGAATCTTCACTTGTTAGATAAATGAGAAAATAACAAGAAAAAAATCTTCAAAAGGCGGATCTTTCAAGCTTCACTGACAAGGGGAAAAATCTCGAAAAGCCGGTCCAAAAAACGAAAAAAGGGCTTTCAACTCAATGCGTTCGATACATACAGGGGCAGCCCATTTTTAAAAGTCTTTCCTAGTTTTTCTAAATTAACGTTAGTACTACCTCCCGGAGGCTAAAACTTGTACTACTGTGGCCGAAACTACCTCCCGGAAGTTGAAAATTAACTTTTATCCTAATTTTCCGAGAAAATCGAACTCCCACTCCCGGCCTGACTAAGTTATGTACTTGTCCATCTATGGTTCGATATAATCACAGAATAAGAAATATCGAAGTGAGAAGAAAAAAAGTCAAGAAATACAAATCAAGCCTCGTCGTTCAAAGTTTCCAAGAGCAATTTAGTCCATAGAGCGCATTTACTCAAATTAACATTTTTCCAGAATCCACGTATCAAAAAAAAAAAATTACGTTAAAGTTAAAGGAAATGGTTCGAATTTGCTGTTTTCCCTTTATTTTTTTTTACCCTCAGCAAATCAAAAATGAATCTTTTTTCTTCAATTATGCTGCTGAAACCCAGGTTCTCATTATCGATAAAATGTGTTCCAGAAAAAAAAAAATCAACTAACTGGACACGGGCCATTGATGCTGCTGACGTTGACGATAGTTCCTTTCGATTTGATCAAATGCGGCAGAGCGGTTTTCGTGAGTCGGATTATTCTAGAAATCTTTTCCAAAATAATTAGTTGATCCATTAATTAGCCAACGTTTTGACATTCACATCGAAAAGCTCATCGTAGACCGAGATATCGCTATCGAGGACAGCGCCGGCGCGCAAAATTCCGGCCGAATTGATCTGGAGAAAAATTTTTTTAAACTTGGCATAAAATGATTGAAAAACTGGTTATATTATGGAAAAAAATAGTAGTAAATCAGAGCAAATTTACAAGTTTTTTTCCAAATTGACTTGTGAAAAAAGGCATGCTGGAAAAGTCGGTCGGTTCAGTCGGTTTGGAAAACTAGGCCACGCCGATTTGGAAAACTAGGCCACGCCGTAATCTTGCACCATGGAAAAATCGAATTTCAGTCTTTTTTTCTATTTTTTTCTATATTTTTTTCCTTCCTTTTTTTATCAGTTTTTCTAGGATATGGGACACATGCTCCTCACTTCAAAATAAACTGTTCCGTATTTATCATTGTTTCCTAGGTAATGGTTTACCTTTTTTTAAGGGTAATTTTTTTTCTTGCCTTTTTTTGTGTATTTTACACATTATCTCATTTTCCGGTTTCTTATAATTTTTTATTTCACTCATTTGGTTATATGAAGTTATTTTTCGATCCAAAAAAATAATGAGAAATTTCAAAAAAATTGAATCAGTTTATAATTATGAATTTAGTAACCATCGTATTTTTACTCGCAAGAACGATATAGTTGAATGAAAAGAAGCGAAACCCTTCTTAGTAAAATTAAAAGAAGGAAAAAAAATTCAGAAAAGAAAAAAGATCGAAATTCTAAGTGTTCCATGGAGCAATAATGCGGCGTGGCCTAGTTTTCCAAACTGACCGACCGACTTTTCCAGCATGATACCGTGAAAAAAAGTTCAAAAAAGCCTGGATTGGGTCCAGTTTAAGGGAACCTAAAACGTCGGAAATTCTCCATTTCATTGTCATTTTACCCTTACCGAAGCAAGGGCTCCAAAAATTGTACTTCGGGGTCTTATGTAAGGCCCTGAGAGTTTTTATAGGATAGCAAAGGAGGCGAATCGAGGCGGTCAGGCGGCCATTTGCTGCGTCCGACTGGAGCCTCCCATCGCCGAGTCTCATGTTGAATCGTGTGTGGCCGTGGGTGTCTGGACCCTCCAGCCGGCGAGAGAGACGCCGCCGAATGGGCCGTCTCTCGTGGAACGGCCGTTCACGTGCAAAGGGTCGACAAAAACCCGTTCTTTCCCTTTTTGCGTCATTATTCTCGTGAAAAAGGACTGACCAACGTGTCGATTCGGTTGAATTTGCCCAAAGTAGCGTCGATGATTTTCTTCGGAGCCTCTTCAGAAGTTAGCTCGGTCGAGGTGATGATTACCTTAAATTTACTCATTGGTGGAAAAAAAATTTGAAACTGCAAAAAATTTTGGACATTTTTCAGCCACCACGAATCGAACTCTCGATACGATTTTCCTATTCAAAAATCTTCACCACTACACCAAACGATTTGAATAAATAACCATTGTAAAAGAACTACAAAACTGAAATGCAAAAGTTCTTCAACGTTGATAGGAATCGAACCAGCAAGTCTCGTTTCTCATTTGAATTGTTTAGCCACTGGACTAACACATCAATAAATTTCCAATTGAAGTTCTGCCATTTTGAGACGAGAGATAATAAAGTTCTTGTCTGGACAAATTTTATATCATATTCTTAATTTCGCGGAAACCCTAGCTTCTCTAAACCCTCCACTTTTCACACACTCTCTCCTGAAAACTGACGTCATTCTCCAGTTATTTTGCGGTGATTAAACCTAAAATCAATGGAGAAACCCAGGCCCTCTAACTTCTCTAAACCCTCCACTTCTCTCACACTCTCTTCTAAAAACTGACGTCACTCTCCGGTTATTTTGCCGTGGCTAAACCTACGATCAATGGGGAAACCCAAACACTCTAGCTTCTCTAAACCCTCCTCTTTTCACACACTATCTTCAAAGAACTGACGTCATTCTCGGGTAATCCCGCCAAGAGTAAACCTACGATCAATGGGAAAATCCAGACACTCTAGCTTCTCTAAACTCTCCTCTTTTCACACACTATCTTCAAAGAACTGACGTCATTCTCGGGTAATCCCGCCTTGACGCACTCGCCAGCGACTTCCTTCAGAGCCGCTTCATTTCGGCCGGTCAACGAAAGTTGATACCTTGAAAAAATCGATAAATTAATCTAAATTAATCTCAGCGCGTCATAATTATTGATTTATTTCATCGACAAAATTCAAAAGGATGTCCTTTTGTCATTTTTTCCTACTGAGTTCAACAAAAATTCCTCGGAATCATCAACAGAATCTCTCAACGAAAAAAATACTTGATCAAGCTTAAATTTGATATGAACTGAGAAAAAATGAAAAATACCGATTTCTGGCGAATAAAATCGCAGCCGCTCGTCCGATTCCCGAACTGGCGCCGGTGATCACTGCGACTGGCATTTTTTTCTGTTAAAAAAATTCAATCATTTAAAATATTTTATAGAAACTTGATATAAATTTAGGAAAAGCTCAAAGTTTTTATTTTTAAAGGGTTATGTAGGAAAAAAATTCAGAATAATTGGAAAACGAATAGGAAAAAAAGCTTTTTTTGAATTATTTTTCGTATTGAAATTTGAAAAACTGACGAAAAAAATGCCCAAAATAGTCAAAAAAATTCAAAAAAAGTGATTCCTGGCTCATTGACCAAACCTTTCTGCATATTAAAAATTACCAAGATTGCAAAAAACCTGCAAAAAACATGCAGAGGGCACAAAACCCGTAAAAATACAAAAAATCAAAAATAAAGCTCATAATTTATAGAACCGAATAAAAAAAAATAATGGAATGATTGAAATTACAATTATCAACAATGAAGCGACTAGGAGCAAATGAAAATACCAGCGATCAGAACAAACAAAAAACGAAAAATGAAGCACCTAGAAAAAAAAAAACATATCACGATCGATTCGAATTTGATTCAATAAACGAAGAAAAGGCTGTACATAAAAGGTGAGCAATAGGTTACAAGCACACAAAAAAAACGTTAGATTTCAAGAAAATGAAGCTTTTGAGCTCGACAATGAATCATTTCTTCTGAAAGGAAATAGAAGAAGCCGGTAGAATAACCCAGTTATAAAAGTTAAAATAAAGTGAAGACGTCAAAAGGAAGCTTCTGGAGCTGCCAGACATATACCCTTGAAGAATTCAGAACCAAACTACAAACGGAAAAAGGAAAGATGATCTGAAGACGTCGACAAGGCTCAGTGTTGGAATTTCCTCCCATCAGATCGGGCTCTCTGATGCTTGGTTCTCTCGGCGGCACTCGGGGTCATCGACAGGCTGAGCGGGCGGAGAGCGGGCAGCGCCATCGACGGCGCAGAGGCCTCGGGCTGACCCTCGTTGCTGCTCGGCGCTTCTGGGGCTCGGCTCTGAGGACATATATGTTCAAAAAGTATTCCAAGCTTCATTTCATTTCGAAAATCTGTAAGCGGCTGTTTTTCCACACGCCAGGAGTCTGCTGGTTTTAAAAAATGCTCAAATATCTTGTAAACAATAAAAATAGTACGAAATTCGGCAAATGAAAGTGAAAAATCCCCCGCTAGCTTCATTATCATAGCCTTTTGAACATAGAATCTACAGATTTTGGACAAAGTTTTTATTTTTAAGTTTCCCGGAAAAAAAAACTGACCATCTGCGCTCTATGGCTAATTTTTCGTGTTAAAGTCATCTTTTGCGCTCTATGGCTAATTTTTTGTCTCAAAGCGATCTTTTGCGCTCCATGGCTAATTTATATTCAAAAAATCAGAAATTTTCATTCGAATGATCAATAGAGCGCAAAAGATCACAACCTCTTGTAAATCGCGGCCATTTTTTTTCCCAAACTGACCCTTTTAAAGGCCGCAATAGTATGTTGAGTGTCGACGAGATGGAGGGCCGCAATTACGGCCCCAGCCAATACCGTATCCAGTGGATCCAAAACAGCTCTCTGTATCACTTTAGGGATCGTATTTCGATGGTCGAAAATCTGAAAAAAAAAAGTTTCGTTGTAAAAACGTGACGTTTTCGAGTACCTGAAGTTTTCTCAAGATCTCATCGACAACTGGCGGCTTCCACTTGATTCGGTCGATGAACCTCATTTTCGGCTCGACGATCCACTTCTCACAAATGAACACTCTAGGGTCTGGAAAATAATCACTAAATTTCAAGCCTAATAAGGGTTATTTTCAAAGTTTATCATGAATTTTTGTTTTGATCAAAAAAAAAAAGTGAGGCTGGAAAACATTTTAGCGGCCACTATAGAGGCTCACCAAGGACTACTTGGAGAGGACATCCCCTACTAAACCCACCTCTATACTGGCCACTATTTTCCCTTTTAGTGGCCACTGTAAAGGTTGTCTATTTAGTGGCCCCTCCAGTAGTTTTTCATCCCGTATTCCTCCCAGTAACTTTGATAATTAAAAAAAAAACAGATTGGACCAGTTATGTTGATCCATTGACCCCTAAAGTGGCCACTAAAATTTTTAATAGTCTATTAGAAGCACTTAGAGCTCTATAGTGGCCACTAACTTTCAACCCCTTAAGTGGCCGCTCATTTGACTACTATAGTGTCCTCTAAAACGTCTAGACCCTATAGTGGCCACTAAACATTTTCACAGGAAGCTTTGAAAGTCGTGTTATCCATGGAGCGTATGTCAACCAAAAAAGCTTTCGAAAAAATTTTCTAAGAAATAGGGAATTTTTTCTCAACAGAGCGCCTTCTACTCAACAAAGCCTATTCCTTTTAATTTCTTCTTTTTTTCAGTTTTTTTTGGTTGGGACATGCTAGTATGAATGAATCGAAAATACTAGATATACAGAAAACTTTCTACAAACAAATCTCGATAACTTGACCTAAAAAACCTCAAATTCTCCTTGGAGCGCATTTGAGCTCAAAAAACCGCCTTTTTACTGAATTTTATCAGAAAACCGACCTGAAGAAGTCTCCTTGGCCGTCAAACTCTCACAGCTGCTGCTTGTCGTGGATCCCGTCAAACGAGGTTCCTGGATTCATTTATCTTATCATTTTCGACTGGCAGAAAGCCTACATTCAGATAGCTCTTGAGCAGTTCAGGCAAAAACGAGACTTGTGCATTGAAATCGGTCTCGATGGCGACCTCATCGTGGAAATCGCAGACAAAGGTTGAATAGACCTGAAAAAGGTACAGAAACGTTGCCGGGACCCGAACCAGGGACCCAATTCTCAAGTAAACTGAACAAACCTCCATGACGGACTTCATGATTTCCGCGTAGCCCTCGCCTTCATCGACCCCATTGAGTTGTCTCGACGTCATCACGGCTTCCAAGGCCGGGAATTGGAACAGTTCCAGGACACTGTGAGCGCTCTTCGAGGTGACCAGGCCCTAGAAAACTTATTTATTAAAAGCCGGTTTTCCATCGAAATTCAAAACAACAGGATTTTCGAGACCACTCTTCAAATTCCTCGTTTTACAACTTTGGAATTTCAGAGTGGTCCCTATAGGGGTTTGGGAAGAAAAAAGCCCCTATAGGTAGGGACCGCAGGCCAATTTCCAAAGTCAGTGATATAAAGTTGAAACCTATATGAAAAGAAAGCTGATGGCAATCGAGAGCTAACTGCGAAAACAGAAAAGAAAAATATGAAAAAAATGAAAAAAAGTTATAAGCAAAAAAAGTGGCGAAATCGGGGGAACCATTTTTTTGTGTAGAAACTTTCGTCAGGGTCGCAGGAAAAAGGGGCGTGTTTATAGATGCCGCGCGCTCCTTGCTGTGCGTTAATTCACGCAGGAGACGTTTCGAAAACATATTTATTTGAGTTTTTTTAGAAGTTTTTAAATGAAATATTAGAGTTTTCATATTGAATATTGCTCTTTTTTTCAATATCAGCCTACTCTTCAAGCACTCACGCTGCTGAAAAGCGAGTTTTTGAAGAAGGTTTCAATGCAAAGAAAATAACCGACAAAATAAACCTCTGCGAAGGACGAACAGCATTAAACCGAATTGAAAAATGTAACAGTCTACTAAGAAATTTACTGAAAAAAATATGTAAATAATCACCAAGTCCTTTTTCTCAGAGAGTTTTTTTTAAAAAAAGGGCGAAAGCGTTTTTTTACTTTTTGATTTTTCTACTTCTTTTATTTTTTTCTCTAAAGTTTGTGCGTCTACATGGAGTGTACGTAGACAATTTTTTTAGAATTCTTTACTTGACATTCTGAAAAAAATTCAAAAAAAGTTGAGTAAAAGCGAAATTTAATACTTTTTCTCGCTGCTATAATGGATATAATGATATAGGAAAAAAAGATTCCAATTATGAAATGAGTAAAAAAAGCAACTATAAAGCCACAATAAAATGAGAAAAACTTGAATAGAATTCATAAATAGTTTTAAAAAAACCTTCTTCACGCTTTCGAAAAATTTCGTGGCCTTCGCGGTGTCTGCAGATTTCCAGCGACGCGCAGTTTTAAAAATAACTTTCGAGCGTTTAAATTAACCATACTTTTCGGGCCATCCTAGGAATTTTTTTATTTTTTGATATGTTGTAGAGAAATGTCTAATGTTTGATATTATAAAATAAAAAAACTTGCCCAGAACGCTTTGGGCCGTTTTCAAAGCGTTACAAAAAAACGGAAATTTTTAAGCTTTCAAATAAATTATATAATCGATGAAAAAAACTTAGTTTTTCTATTTTTTTAAAATTTGCAAACAACTGCAAACAACCGTTTAAAAAAAATATAATCAGTAATTATCGATTGCGTTTTTTTCGAAAATAAGGAATTTCGAAAATCGTGATTTTTCAAATTGCGTTATTTTTTTGAGGCCAACCATAGAATTTTTTTATTTTTTTGCCAGAATATGCGTTTTTTTAGTTGCTTTATGATATTCAAGAATAAAAAAAGTTGCCCAGAAACTTTCAAGAAAAAAACAGGGATTTTTTTATCCGTTTTTCGGCCACAAATGCGTTTTTAAAAACTGTCGTCGTACATTCTTATTTCTCATTTTTTTCAGTATTTTTCTTTCATGTAGGATTGTTAAGCATAGCCGATTGTATGTTTCCCCCAATTTTTTTCCAAATCGGTACAAGAAAACTGTTTTAAAATATAAAAAAGAACCAAAATGCAACGAAAATGACGAAGTTTTTTGAACAGCGAAGTGGGCGTGGCTCTGCGGTCCCTACCTATAGGGACCGAAAAAAAGTGGTCCCTAAAAGAGTAAAATCAAAGTGGTCCCTTTAGGGGTGTAGAGTCTGATCACTTTGACCCTAAAGCTGAAGTGGCCCCTATAGGGGTCTTTCAACTTTAATTAAAGATTGCTTAATTATTTCTTTCTCATGGAATTCGCCTAAAGTTCATAACAATTATCGAATAGCATGTCCCCTATAGGGGTCACTAATTAAAACCTCTATAGCGACCACTTTCGCAAGCTTTAGTAACCCCTCTAGGGATTTGGCGAATTCGTCCCTAGAGGGGACTCTCCAAGGGTCCCTAAGGTACCCCTGAAGGATTTGGTAAAGTGTTCTCTAGAAAGGACCCTTCAAAGGCCCCTAAGGTTACTATAGGGACCACTCTCGAGTTCCTAAGAAAACCTCAATATCAACCTTGTGATCTTTTGGGAGAGGCAGCGGCGGCGTTCCAGCCGCAGTTCGGAGGCTCGTCGCGCTGCTCATCGCTTTCGGGTCGGCCCGCAGGTTCTTGGCCGCGACTTCTTGCAGGATGTCGGCGTCGTGTTCGGGGTTGACGTGTAGCCCTGTCACTTTCAGAACGTCGCTGATCAGGTATTCCAGGACGGAGTCGATCGACGCTTGCTGGCGTGAGAGGTTGTGGCGCGTCTGAATGATGGCTTCCGAGTTTTGGAGAGAAAAATGACGTCAAAAAGGAAAAATTCAGATCGTTGTCCAACTTCATTCTTTCTACAGTACGCCTGAAACCAGGCTTTGATAAGCTCCGCCCTCATTCTTTTTTCTACAGTACGCCTGAAAGCTCTCTTTACTGTCACTGATACTATACAGTTTTCTAAATATCTCGCACCAGGCTTTGATAAGCTCCGCCCATTTTCTTTTTTCTGCAGTATGCCTTCTTTTTTTTACAGTACGCCTGAAAGTATCTGAAATCTGAAAATCCTTCTCTTTTTTTTCCTAAGAATCTTATACTCCGTTTCCCGCGACTTGAAAGGGCGGGACTTCTCTGCGCCCTCCTTATCTCTCGGCGTCTCTCTCTTTTTCACGCGCTATTTCCATCTTTCTGTGACCTCGCCGTTGAGGGACAGAGAGACGCAGACAGCTGTCAAGTCGCGGCGGATGGACTATAGAGCTTTTAGTGACGTCATAAGCCAACCAATGACGTCACAAATTGGTTTTTGATTTCAACAAGAGTTTCCGTTTTTTTGGGAGAGAGACCTTGACGAATGAAAAAATAAAAGTCAAACCTGAACACGACAAACATTGGCCATATTCTCCACGCGGTCCTTTTTCTCTTTACCCAGCCTCAGGATGAACTTCTGGGTGAGCAGGATACCTTAATTTATATCCAAATTGAAGCGGCTAGAAATTGCAAAACCGAGATGATCGTACTCCTCGTTCATATAGGAGAGTCTCGCCTGAGGCGAGAAGGCGATTCCGGCTTCTCTCAGATGGAAAACGGCCCAACTTGAATTCGACAAATGATGATCACTTATTGATTGACAGACCAATTGGAGTTCATGTCGCCTTGCATGAGGACCAAGGAAATCTTTCCGGCGTTCAAATCAACGTTTCCGCCGACAGCGATTCCGTCTTTTTCCATGAGTCCCATCAGCTGCTCGCGGAGTTGCATTTCCGATACGTAGTCGATGATCTTTAATTTGAACCTTTTGAAGATTTTTTGATGCCTAGAGAATCGAGAAAAGTGTTAACTAAAAGATGTGAGAATAGAACCGCGATAAGGTCTTTTGCGTCTTGAAGTTAATTCCATTTTTTTCTTCAAAACATCCTAATAATCAAGTTCCAATGCAGCTATTTTTTTGTAAGAATAATAATTTTTTTGTATTCTCCAAGTCAGCACCTTTTCCCACAAATTCGTCTTCGGCATCGACGGCTGCTCCCGGATCGGCGGTTTTTTCAAAGACGTGTCCATAATGCCCCACATGATCCTCGAGTTTTTCAGTTGCTCCTGAAAGAAATTTGCTCAAAAACTGTTCTAAAATACGTTCCATCGGGTTTTTTTTTTCCAACAACTCACAATTTTTGGTACTCAAGATCAAATTTACAGCTGAAATCACTTGAAAACGGAAAGGGAAGAGAAATTGAGCCAAAATTCACAAGAGAGTCTAGAAAGAGTGTTCCCGGACCTCGGTAACGATATCGGACGTGCTCCGGACGTTTCAGAGCAGTTCTAGGGATCACTTAAGAGGGCTGACGTCACTAAACTAGAAACGCCCCGACACGTCCGTTTCGCGTTACCATGCCCGAGTTTTCAAAAAACTAAAAAAATACACAAGTGCGCTCCATGGATACAAAAAACTAATCCCAAACCGTAAATTTTCTGTTTTATTTTCCATGCCTCAAGTCATAATGAAATATCTCGGCCACGGCGTTTTTTGGCGACGCCCCGCCCATATTTTCCGTAAAGTGTAGTGTGTCGTGTGCATACACCGCGGCGCTCTCGCACATGCCACGTTCAAAAAATTCAAATTCATAGCAGAAAAATCGCGTTTTTTTCAATTGCGAAAGCGATTCGTCTCATGACCCATTGAACATGCGCCTTTAATACTACCTGTTTTTTACGCTTTTTTCTCATGACGTCACATGGGTTTTGGCTCCGCCTCCTTCAATTTTGGTTTCGCATTTTCTTCCACTAACAAAAACGCCGTGATTAGGTATACTTTCCAAAAAAATTAAAAGCCTCAAAAACTCTCTGAATCTTATGTGGTCTTTTCCTCTCTTCGGCCCGACTTTTTGCTATTCCCGGGGCTTTTTTCGATCATAGTTCACCTGGAAAAAGGTGGTCAACTTCAGGACGATACTCTTGAGGTCATCGATCGTCGTCCGCATGATCACAACTTGGAGATCATCCCAGGAAGATCGAACATTCACTCCGAGGGCCGCCAGTCTCTTCTTCAAATTTCAAACTTTCAGCTTATTTCGTGAAAATAAACTCTTCTGAAATGAAAAAAAAAGGTCAAGATTTACCTTTTCACTATTTTTCTCTGCGAGATGGTAGTCCGAAGCAACCAGGGACGGTTGGGTCCATCTAGAAAAAAAATAATAAATTCATAACTTAAGATGAACTCAGTTTGGGAAAATCTGGAAAAAAGAAAAATTCCGATAGAATTTGAGTTAAACTTCCATCCATAGGTTTTTTTTTCTTATCCACTTTTTTTTTAGGATTTTCTGATTTTCCACCCTTCAATTTCCACTCAAGGAACACATAGAGAAGTCGCTTTTTCCAGATTCCAGAAAAAAGGCAAACTTGGCCAAGAACACCCTGCGACTCATCCATTCCACCGTCGCCGAGATCCATCGGAGGTCGAATTTTCCCTCGTTTTTCGGAGGTTTCTGAGCAGGGGTTCAAATTTTCTGGATTTTTCTCATGATCTACCGCAACATCGGCGTACAGAGTGTGCGACGCCGACAAGACCAATGTGTTGAAACAGATATCGCCGCTGATGGCCCCTTCTCGAGCTCTCAGTTCACTTGAGCCTAGCTTGAACTTCACGTTGATGTCTCTTTCGAGCTTGGAGTTCAGCTGAAAAAAAAAACAGGAAAATATTTGATCAAAACAAAAATTCATAATAAACTTTGAAAATCTTATTGAAATTTAGTGATCATTTTCCAGACCCTAGAGTGTTCATTTGTGAGAAGTGGATCGTCGAGCCGAAAATGAGATTCATCGACCGAATCAAGTGGAAGCCGCCAGTTGTCGATGAGATCTTGAGAAAACTTCAGGTACTCGAAAACGTCACGTTTTTACAACGAAACTTTTTTTCAGATTTTCGACCATCGAAATACGATCCCTAAAGTGATACAGAGAGCTGTTTTGGATCCACTGGATACGGTATTGGCTGGGGCCGTAATTGCGGCCCTCCATCTCGTCGACACTCAACATACTATTGAGGCCTTCAAAAGGGTTAGTTTGGGAGGAAATGACCACGATTTAAAAGAGGTTGTGATCTTGTGCGCTCTACTGGTCATTCGAATGGAAATGTTCGGTGTTTAGACTAAAATTGAGCCATGGAGCGCACAAGATCGCTTTAACACAAAAAATTAGCCATGGAGCGCACATGATCACTTTAACACGAATAATCAGCCATGGAGCGCAAAAGATCACTTCAACACGAATAATTAGCCGTGGAGCGCACAAGATCACTTTGAGACAAAAAATTCGCCATAGAGCGCACATGATCAGTTTCTTTTCCCCAGAAAACTGAAAAATAAAAGCTTTGTTCAAAAATTATAGAAGATCTATGTTCCAAAGGCTATGATAATGAAGCCAGCGGGGACTTTTTTTTTATTATTGCCAAATTTCGTACTACTTTCTTACGTATTCAACATACTATTGCGCCATTCAAAAGGGTTAGTTCGGATGAATTTTTTCTTCTTTTCTTTACTAAATAAGAGGCTGCAATCCTTGCAAAATTTTAGAACCTTGTTGAAATCTTCATCCCCCCACAACGCAATAAGCACTACAAAAAAGGCACCAATCAATAATTCAAAAAATTTTCTTTTTCTTCTCAATCATACCTTGGCATTCCCACTGAGCCGTCCCTTTCTCGCCTTCCACGTCGTTTTGCCCATCGTATTGCTCATTTGGGCGAAGACGTCGAATTCTTTCCATTGGACGGCTACCAAGACCTGTAGAAGATCAAAATCGAAATTCGGAAAAGTTCCCGAGAATTCTTACCGACGCATACCACGGTTTGGGTATGTGAGTGGCCACTGAAGTGTTGCTGGCGCTGTTTGTCGTCGTATCTCTTCAAAAAATCGTTTTAAGACACATAAGATGGGAAAGATAGTTACGTTATAACTATAAGATCTAAGCGATAGAGCCAATTTTTAGATAATCACTAGCCGCAAGGCAAAATGACCTCCCTTGTGAGTAAAAACTATTTTAAGAGTAGTTTTCTGCTTTTTTTCACATTCATCAACACTAGTTCTTTCGATTATCTCCACAACAAACTTTTTCGAAGCCGCCTGAGCCGAATGGAAATGGCTCCTCGCAGTCGCCGTGTCACTGTTGTCGTCACGATGTCGCGGCGCCGATTGATCGCCGAAGAAAACTCTTCTTAAAATACTTTTTTGTGTTGTGAGCTTCTGGTTTTCAACTTCAAAATACATAACTTGGTTCTGAAGTTGGCCAAAAAAAAAAGAGAAAAACCCAAAAAAAGATCCTTTTTAACTTTTTCAAAATAAAAATTGGTTGTATAATCTCAATGGGGCCTAGTTCAAAAGTTCATTGCTTCTCTGACCTCAGTATCGGAAACTTGAGATTTTGAAGCATTTCTAGGGATCACTTAAGAGCCCTGACGTCGCTAAAGTGATCACTAGAGGTTCCCAGAAACGCGTTAGGCCCGTCAGACTTGCATTACTTCTCCCAGTCATTCTTAGGAATTCCAGAGTGGTTCCTGTAGGAATTAGGGGAAAAACAGCGCCTACATGGACCGAAAAAGTGGTCCCTAATAAGGTAAAATCAAGGCGATCCCTATAGAGGTTTAGAAACTGACCCCTTAGCCCCTCAAGCTCAAGTCGTCCCTATAGGGGTCTTTCAACTTCATTAAAAACGCTTATCTACTTAATCTTTCGCATAAAAATTATCGATTAGCGCGTCCCCTATAGGGGCCACTAACTGAAACCCTCATAGGGTTCACCTCTGAAAGCTTTAGTGGCCCCTATAGGGGTTGGTGAAGTGGTCCCTAAAGTTGCCTCTATAGAGAACAATCTGGAGTCCATCTCTTCAAAGCGAACCTCGCTATGGCGGCCCGATACCAAGGCTTCGGGAACTGAATCAACTCTCCCAAACGTCGCATATCGTACTCAAAAGAAGCCTTGCCGATTTGCGAAGTCAAAACGAACTGAAAATTCTCTTAATCAACACAGAAAACTTAAATTTTTTTTTAACAAACCCGAACGCGATTGTCAGCCTCGCTCGACGAATTTTTACTCCTTGAAATAACAAACAGGAGAGTGTCAAGGGACAACTTCAGGGCTCCAGCCGCTGTTGGGTCCTGAAAATGGGGTTTCAGTTACCGAAGAGAAAGTCGTCACTGCCTTAAGAATTTCAGAGTAGCCCCTATAGGGATTAGGGGGGGAAACAATCTAAATTGGAGCCGAAAAAGTGGTCCCTATAGGGGTGAAATTAAGGTGATGCCTATAGGGGTTTAGGGTCTGAACTTTTGTCCCTAAAGCTCAAGTGGACCCTATAGGGGTTTTTCAGTTTCATTCAAAAATTCTTATTTATTCAGTTTTTCTCGTGGAAACGCTTTTTCGTTAAGAGTTCATGATATTATCGGATAGCATGTTCCCTATAGGGACCACTTTTGCAAGCTACAGTGATCCCTAGAGTGGCCCTCCAAGGGTTCTTAAGGTTGCCCCTGTAGGGATCACTCTGGAGTTCCTAAGATTGTCACTCGCTCATCAACAAGTATTGGAAGATCAAGCGCAGAGTAAAATCAAATTCAAGTTCAGAGACCCCAAGTCAGAGAAACGTAAAAATAACACGTCAAGAGGAGAGTGTTGCCGAGTGACAAGGAGAACTATTCCCTTTTTACCTGATGCGGGCTGTAGATGCTTAAAAGGAAGCCCTTGAACTGCCCGGAGATGTCCATTCCGCCAACGTAACCGTCTTCATCGGTTCTTCTCGTCGTCAACTCGACGGTCAACCGGGGTAACGTCAGCAAGCAGTCGACCGCCGATTGAGATCGGCCCGAAGCGCTCTGAATACAGCCCACTTGCTTTTTAGGCTTGGAACTAGAGAAGGCTGATTTTTCAGGCTTCAATGGCGTCGGAATTGAGTTTATATCAAAGAAGACAAGCTAAGAAGCTTGAAAAAGGATTCAAACTGATGACTTTTGATGATAGAATATCAACTGACAGGCTTCTTGCCGTCGAATCGAATCGTGGAACTCTGAACGTCCAGATAGAACATGACGTCCATCGGAAGTGCAGCCGTGTCCATCGCCACAATGTTATTATCGTGCGAAACCGGGGAATTGGCCCGACTTTGCTCATTTTCTGGATCCGCTTGAGAAGACCGGAAGACGGAAGACGGCGGCAGGGGCTCCAGGACCTGAATAGCCCAGTTTCGGCTTTCCTTGGCTTCTATCTTATTTGGAACTTGGAACACTAGTAATTCCTTTTTGAGCTAGTCTTCGGGATATTTCTTGAAAGTTTAGGGTAAGGGAGTGGAGTCTAGATCCCCAAATTAGAAAGTTTTCCGAAATTTTGAAAGCTTCAGGCATAAGAAAACTGTTTACATGAGCTCAAGTCTTATCACAAAAATTAGTCGTTCGGAAATTTTCTACTAGGATAGGGACAAGGACTACAATTCTCAATTCTGTCCCGACTCAAAATCTAGAAACTGGTCTTTTAAACAGTCCTGATAGTCTTAAAAGGGCGGAGTATGTCCAGACACCAATTTATCCAGGTAGATATGACTTTTTCATTTTTTTTTTTTCTTTTTTTTCCCAGATTCTCCATTCAAGTTTCCCCATTAACCTGCTCCAAATAGGTGGCCAAATGAGGCGTAACTACAGTTTCGGTCGGCATCGAGGAGAGTCCGATGAAAAGGTAGAAACAGCCACGTTTCGGAGCTTTCTGAAAACCTTGCTTTTGGCCTAATTTTCCAAATCCTTCCGACTTGAGGAGTAACTTTCCGCATGGGCGAGAAAGCCGATGGAGAGTTCGTTGTCCTTGGAGCACCCTTGGGCTTCGGTTCTTCCCCAACCTTCCTGAAAATTAATTTTCGAGGTGAAAACTCATGAAAAGCGTACATTTTGGCATTCTCGGCTCTGGTTTCTTCCATGGCTTCTCTCGAGGAGTTGGCACGGCCCTGGGAGGCGTAAGATTGGAATCTATCGGCTGTAGCCTTGGCCATCGCGTCGGTTTGGTCCGAAACGTGATTCGCTTTGATTTCCAGGCTGAAATAGGAGTATTCAGAAGGTATAGTCATAGGCAAAGTCGAAAAAAGTGGAAAAGGCTCCATAGAAATGTTCCTTTTTTGCTGCCTTTTCGCGCCATTTCATCGGCTCTTATGCACCATTTTTGCTGCCTCTCCTTTATTCACCATTTCTTAAGCCTTTGAAATCCCAGGAAAAATGGGAGGCTCGATAAAGGGACTCTTTTTGCTGCCATTCTGGGGCCTTTTCAGAGCCTTTCTGGGGCTTTTCTGCGGCCTTTTTTGAGCCTATCCCTTCTAGCGGTAATTAACTACCATTCCGACTTTGCCCGAGGTGTCAAAATGACCAACCTGCTTAACTCCTTGTTTTATCCGTTCTTTAGAGTCCAAAAGCAACAGAAAAAAGTTCAGTTTAAAAAATCAGGTTTTATCTTTCGAAACAGTAATACAATAATAATCAGTGATTATTTTTTCGTCCTAAAATCATTTTTTTTTTATTGCGCTCTATCAACATCCTTATGTGATTAAAGACGCTCTTAAATAATCAATAAATAATTTTTCATCGGGCCTATTCCTTCGAAGCTTCTCAAAATCAGATTCAACTATCTCTGAGGACCCATAGTTTCAAGAACTTGTCAGAAAAGAGTTCAAATCGTGGGAAAAAATTAATTCAATGCTAGAATCGTTTTCGAAACCTCAAACTCCTTTGGAACAATCTCTATAATCAAAAAATCCCCTCAAACCAACGCCAAGTCTCTCGAAAAACCCACCTAGGAATGCTGAAAGTCGTCGTCGTCATATTGGGCTGCTCGAACATGGCCTTGATGTCGCGAGTGCCACGGTTCACAGCCGCCAAGGTTTCTCCAATCTTTCCGCCTGAGAGTAGTTCTTTTTCAAAATTGATATACAAACATAAAAAATGAAAGTTCAGACGTTATTCACAAACTCTTTCAATTCCTTGGAATTTTCTTGTCTCTTTTACTAATTTTTTTATTTTCCCTATCCTTTTTAATGACTATAATTCCTTCAAAAAACGATTTAGAACGAAAACATCGAACCAATACGATAAATGAACGAAAAAAGTCTCCAAAATATCATTTTCTATGACCGATTCTGATATCAAACTATCCTTTCGGAAAATTCTTTGACTTGAAAAAAAATTGATAATTTCAAATCTTCAGGTGTTGAGAAGGTAACAAGCGGGAGGTTGAAATGTGAATGGAAGCTATAGTTTGTTCAGATTTTGAACGTCAAGTCGTCGCTCAAGCTCCGCCCCTAATGGCGCGATAAACCAATCAGAGAGCGAGCCATCCACAGAGTGTTTTTGAATGACGTCATTGCACTTGACATTAAAAATATGAACAAAAAAAGAGTTCAAAATGTCGAAAAAGACGACTTTTAGGCTAGAAACGTTTTCGAAACTTCAAAATCCTTTGGAACTTGAGATTAAAAATATGAACAGACTATTGAAGGTCTTGAAAAGGCCTTGGGAAGGTGTTCAGAAGGTGATTGGAAGGTACTTGGTAGGAGACTATGGAGAATCCCTGCCAGAAGCCTTCCAGAAACCTCCGGCAGGCGTTTTTCTAAGCAACAGGTGTTAGGAAGCTATGTGGTTTGACCACTTGCTGGAAACCTTTCAAACGCCTTCCGAGCAACCGAAAGCAGAAGCTTCCCAACTTTCAAACTCTCAAAAAAATCCCCACCAAAAGTCATCGGAACAGCGCCTTCCTGTTTCGCCGTCCGAAGCGTACAATTTCCCGAGTCAATACTGACCTGAACTTATCTTCCGTTAGAAGAAGCAGGAAGTTTGAAAACCTTGACAGTGACATTGAAATTGACCGTTTCCAAGTCGCGAATCTCCTCAACGACTGGCTGTGGAGTGTTGGCCGGGCGGGCGTGCTTTCCAGTCACGTTTGAAACGACTTCTTTCGCCTTGGTGGACAGAATCTGGAGGATAAATTGAGGTTACTACAGAGAGTTTTTGTTTCTGGAGGGTTTCTTTTTGGAGGGTTTCTAGGAGCTACTTTAAAGCACATAAGAAGACGAAAATCTTCCTTTTTGTTACAACTTTGCAGCGTAATTTGAAGTTGGACCCTTTCTTCTTTGGTTCAAGGCTCTCAGATGTAGAAACATACGCTCCGTGGCTGATCTTGCAGAAAATTATTTTAAAAAACCTGTATGGCCCAACACTAAACACCAACAAAAATAAAAAGCTACTCTCAGCTTCAAGTTTAGCTGTTCAAGGCTGAAGTTGAAAAAAAAAAGGAGAGTTGGAATTTTCCTGAAAACTGGTCGAGACGTTCCTTAATGTACCAGAAGAAGATTCTAAAAGTTTCAACCTGCACAACTCTCTAATTTTTGATAAATAAGGGCCTAAGACTTCAAAATAACATATTTTTATGGATTTTGAGCGTTTTCTTCGGACTTGAAGCGTCTTTTCTCGAAAAGTAGAATTTTGTGCAGGTTGAGGCTTTCAGAATCGTCTTCTGGTTCATCAAGGTAGCCAATTTTCAGGAACCGCAAAATAAAATGACCTACCTTGGGAGCTTCAACTTTAGCTGTTCAAGGTTAGTGTTGAAAAAAATAGTCCCTTTTTTCTAATTTCTCAAGTTTCCCTATTCTTTTTCATAAGTTCTTCGATAATTAATAATTTGAATGAAAACATCAAACCGATCATAGATGGGCAAGTAAAAGACTTAGTCAGGCCGGTAGGAAAGGATAGCTCACAAAAATTTTGAAAAATTAGGAATAAAATGGGTCTTTCCATGTATGCAACCGTTAAACTTTTTCAAAAACGTTGAGATATTCCGAAAAAAACCCCTCACACTATCCCGTCGTGGTCGTTGATGCGAACGTGGCGTCGACGCCTGGCCTCGTTTCTGCCATTTTTCGACCATGGTCCTGAGAAATTCAGGTAGAAATGTTGCTTCAAAAAGGTGAAAGTGTCATAAAAACAATTATCAAATCACCTTTACTAAAATAGTAAAGGTCGCCAAAATTTGCCTTTGGGGTCTTATGGAAGGCCCTGATAATATCTTTAGATTTTCGACTCTTTCGAGTGGGGTCAAGACTTCGCTCGTCGTTGCCCCCGACTCGGAGCGGTTTGCGCGATTTGGTACGCTCTATCACAGGGTGCTAGGACGCTTATGATTCAACTAAAGTTTAGAGAAGTTGTTCTTAACGTAAATAACTTTCACGGAGCTTCAACAATAATAGATTTCTCGTTTTGGCAAGTTTATTGTCTTCTCAGGCTAGAAGCGGTTCTTGGAAAGGTGTTCGGAAGGTTCTCGGAAAGTACTGAACGATCTGATTTCGGTTCCTTGGAAGGCGTTTGGAATGTTTTCGGCATGTGTCAAACGTCAAAGGTTGCCCGAAAATTTCAATTTTTTTTTTCACTTATCAAGGACCTTCCAACTACCTTCTAAACACCTTCAAAGGCTTTCACAAGACGATTACATTCCAAACACTCAAGAAATTTAGAGTGGTCCCTATAGGAGTAAAATCAAGATAATCTCTATACGGGTTCGAGATCTGACCCCTCAGCCCTATAAATCTTAAGTGGTCCCTATAGGGGTTTGCAGAAAAAAGAGCCATTATTAGGGCCGGAAAGAATGGTCCCTACAGGACTCGTTCAATTTTATTCAAAAAACATTTTTTTTAGTTTTTTGCTTATAGTTCATAAAACTTATCGACTAACATGTACCCTATAGGGGCCACTTTCGAAAGCATTAGTGAACCCTATAGGGGTTGATAAAGTAATCCCTAAAGAAAACGCTTGAGGTTGCTCCTATAGGGACCACCCTGGAGATTCTAAGCACCATACTTTTTTCAATCTTATAAAGTTTCAGATAAAGTTAAAACATTCATTGCTGAGTTGAAAACAGATTCTAACCATTATTTCTTGAGAAAACTTTCAGGAACAACTTTAAAGTGTATAGTTTTTCTATTAATTGACTTCGACATTATAACTGGAACTTCTAGGCGGGTCTCCTAGCACCCAATAACAAAGAGTACACGATCGCGCAAGTCGCTGCGGGTCGGGCACGCAGATTAGAGGAGTCTTGACCTCGAAGACGCCAAAGTTGAAAATCTATTGATAATCCTGGGGCCTTCCATAAGACCCTATAGACAAATTTTGGCAACCTTTACTAAACGTAAAGGTTATAAGAATTGAAATATTTCGATTTAGTTGGAATAAAACGTTTCCCTTATCATTCTGTTTAAATTTTCCAAACCTTCTAAACTCTTTGAAGCGGATCAGTTCCAACTGCCTCAGTTTTTGAGTCTCAGCTTCAAGTTTCTTTTGTGAAGCACCCCGGGAGACAAGGTCGAAAACAGCTCTCGACCTTTCGTGCATCTGAAAAAATCTTTGTAATTTCCGAAGAGAGAATATAACCTTGTTCTCCATCCACGGAATCCTTTCTTCTACTCTCAAATTGGCGAACTCAGCAGCGCCTTCAATCTGAAAAAGTAACGATCTCTTATACAGTCAAAAAAAGTAAATTTTTTTTTGAGCTCTGTACGGTTTGAAAGTACGTATTTCTTCATGTTATAACCAGTTTTTAAAAATCCTGGGCATTAATTAAAAAAAAATTCTATATAACAGCACTCCTAGTTTGGGCTGTGAATATTTGGTTTTTCGATAATTAAAACCTAAGCCGACCACTTTACAGACCCCTATAGGGGCCCCTAAAGCTTGCAAAAGTTGTCCCTATGAGGATTTTGATTATTATCCTCATAGGGGACATGAATAAATAAGCGTCTTTTGAATGTAATTGAAAGGCCCCTACAGAGTCCCTTGCTCTTTAGGGGCTAAGGAGTCAGACCCGGAACCCCTATAAGCACCACCTTAATTTTACCCCTTTAGGTTCCACTTTTTCGGCCCTTATATGTATATGTATTGTCATCTCCCCTAACTCCTGAAGGGACCACTCAAAATTATTAAGGGAAGAAGAGACGGCTTTCTTACTAGTTTCTGAGCAGCAAAATTTACCCCTATAGGGACCACTTTTTTGGTCCTTTTTGGGGTTACTTTCCTCCCAAACCCCTATAGGAACCACTCTGGAATTCCCGAGTAGTCTTCGATTTTTGTCTTTTGAAATAATGTCTGTATTTCAATAGAATTGTTTTAATCAGGTCTTTCAGGGGTCGCGCGAACGCAACCCCACACGCAAAAATTAAGCTGTTGGCGAATCTCAACTCGAGACTGCCACACAGGTCAGCCCGATCTGAAGTGCAATGATCAGGCCTCGCCATGGAGTTCCCGCCTTGGTGATCGCGAGATCCTCCCAGCCAGGTAAGTTTATGAGCGGTCCAGCCGCGACCATCCCCTCATTCGCTGCGTCCGACTCGCAGCGGCTTGCGCGTGAATGCACATTTCTTCATGGGACGCCATCTCTCGCCGTCAGACACGCAGAGAAAAGAGCGTTTCTCACGCAAATAAGGCGTTTTTCGAGTTTTGTTAATTTTATACCTTCTCCTCGTCGGAATCCAACTCCCGATGTTCATCAAAAAGCGAAGTTCCATCGTCTTCGTCTTCACCGAAAATCGAGAAGGTGTTCACCAACATTTTCGCCAGTTTTCCTAGAAAAATTGATCGAATTCTTCGTTTTCACAACAAAAAAACCAATCCGCTGATCCAAATCGATCACAACGCCTTTCATTTCAGCACAAACGCTCAGAACCCACTTGGCCGGGCCTCCGATCGCAGTCGCCTTCAAATTTTAGGAATTTTTGGTTTTGAAAAAATTGAAAAGCTCTATTTAAGGAATGTTGAAGAAAAGTTACGAGAAATCATTGAAATTTCTAATCAAATCGATGTTATACCGTTTTTTCAGGTTGGCTCTCACAAACCAACTTCAAAAAGAACACACAACTTCAATTCTGTTAACTATTTCTACCCTTACATGAAAGTAAGGGTACCCAAAATTTATCTTGGGGTCTTATGGAAGGCCCTGAGAGTTCTTTAGATTTTCGAAAGTGGCGTCTACGAGGTCGAGACTCCTCTAATCTGTGCGGCCGACCCGCAACGACTTACGCGACCTCGCATTCGCTCTCATGAGCCGCTAAGGTGTATCGACCTCCCGATTCGCCTTTGAGTGAAACTCCATTCTACGTCATAAGATCATAATGAAAAATTCGAAAAACGAAACCGCTACCTAGACAGCAAAAAAAACGGTCTTGAAGCAAAGATCCTCAACTTTAATTTAATTTGATATACGGTATTTTTACGGAAAAAGAAACGTGACAATCTGGCGTGGACTGGGCTATATTGAACCGGTTTTTCAGGTTGTCCCTTACCAACTATAAACACTCTACTCATGTTTGGGTTAACTATTTCAACCCTTGCCTAAAAGTAAGGGTATTCAAAATTTATCTTGGGGGTCTTATGTAAGGCCCTGAGAATTTCTTAGATTTTCGAAGGTGGCGTCTACGAGGTCGAGACTCCTCTAATCTGTGCGGCCGACCCGCAACGACTTACGCGACCTCGCATTCGCTCTCATGAGCCGCTAAGGTGTATCGACCTCCCGATTCGCCTTTGAGTGAAACTCCATTCTACGTCATAAGATCATAATGAAAAATTCGAAAAACGAAACCGCTACCTAGACAGCAAAAAAAACGGTCTTGAAGCAAAGATCCTCAACTTTAATTTAATTTGATATACGGTATTTTTACGGAAAAAGAAACGTGACAATCTGGCGTGGACTGGGCTATATTGAACCGGTTTTTCAGGTTGGCCTTTTTTCGGTTATTTCTACCCTTACCTAAAGGGTATCCAAAAATTATCTTGGGGTCTTATGGAAGGCCCTGGCAATTTCTTAGATTTTCGAAGGTAGTATCTACGAGGTCAAGACGCCTCTAATTTGTGTCCCCGACCCGCAGCGACTTACGCGACCTCACATTCGTTCTCATGTGGCGCTACAGTATCCAGACTTTGCACTGAAACTCAACATCTATCTCATAAGACCATAATTCAGTGTGTTTGATCAATATGAAGGGTGAGAAAATACATATGAGGAGGACATTACTATGAAAAGGTTTTAGGATTTCTGAAATTTCTTAGAGGAGAAAGGGTTTAAAGATGATAATATTTTATGTCGCGCAGCCGTTTCAGGGTCCCAAAAATGGACGGCTTAGAGGGTGACCCATCGTCAGCATTTTACCCTCTTGCTTTAAATCACAAAAAAATGTTATAAAAGATTTTTTTAGCTATTATACCTAGGCGCAGTTTTTAAATTAATAAAGTTTGGAAAAATTGAAAAGGGAAAACTGATAAATGAAGGGGGAAGAAAAAAAGGAAAAGAGAAAAAAAAAAAAAAAGGGGAAATGTAGTCATTCATATCCGATATCGATTGTTGTCGGCAGAGGTCAAAAAGTTACGAAGAGGTAGATTAAATTTATGTTCTTGTGGAAGTCTATATTGAAAGTATAAAGGTAGAAAATCGAGGTTGAAATTTGGAATGTAGAGTGAAGAAGGGATAGTTATAATGAAATGTGTATTTTTTTGCAAAAACTAAATCCGATTTTTTTCTTTGAATTTAGTCCTATTTAAAGTTTTTTTGTTTTCAAAATTCTAATTAAGGTGTTTAAATTGTATTGATTCAATATGAAAGTTTTTTTATGCAATCGATAGTCCTATCTATAAAGTCTTCTATTCTACCGCAGCATTTAGAGAATCTAACAATTTCATTAGTGAATGTGTTGAAACCAATATTTCGAGCTACATAACTGTCGTGATGAGGGTATCTGATTATTTGAAAATTATAGTCATCCGTTTTTGTTATATAATTTGCTTAAGATTTTTTTGTTCATCGATTGAAATATCTAAGTCCAAAAAAATTGGGTTTTTATATGTTTCCGTATTGGTTTGGTTAAGTTCCAATGAGTTATGGTATAGTGTGTTGGTGATTAGGGATAAGTTTAATTTATTTTTATCGTAAATTATGAATATGTCATCCATGTATCTGGCGGCGTGGAAAAAGCGTCTGTCGAAAAGGATTTTATTGTTAATTATAAAATTGTATTCCATGGCCGTTAAGGTAAGATCTGCTATAAATGGAGAGGCGTTGTTGCCTTGCGGTATTCCGTTTACTTGTCTGAAGGTGAATCCGGCGAAAGAGACGAAACTATTGCTCAGTACGAAGTGAACCATGTTTGAAATCTGGGATTTAGTGAAAGTTAAACTATTGGGATAAATTTTATTATTGGGATAAGAGTAAAAGGTTTTTTTCCTGTTTTTGGTCAAAAGTCACTCCAGTAACATCAATTCCTGCGTTCCTAAAACAAATATCTAAGATGTTATTGATGGAATTAAGTATTTCAGAGTGGGGTAGGTTAGTAAAGAGTGAGCTGAAATCGCCGGAGTATAAACAAGTGTTATTTCTGATTTTGAATTTATCAAAATGATGAATTAGTTTAAGACTATTATCTATTGACCAGTTGATACAGATATTATTTCTATTTTTCAATGACGTTATTAATGTTACGAAAGTGGTTTTTTTGAGATGAGAAAGTAAATGTTTCAGGACGACTGAAATAGGTTTGATGGAGCTGTTGTATGCTCCACAGATGAATCTAATCTTGGTTGGGTTTTTTTGTGTAATTTAGGAATTCCGTAAATTTTTAGGAAGAACATATTTTTTTCATTTTTGATTCATAATTCTAAAATTGCCTAAAAAGATCATTGATTTCTTTTTTTGTGGCGTTCGAGTATAACAGTCGAGTTTTTGTCCGAAATTTTCATATGTTTTTGTTGCTATTGTCGAGCTCAAGAGATTTATTGGCATAGTTAATTGTAACACCCATCTCTTTACATAGAAGTTGGCAATATAGTTTTTTTGCAAGTGAAGCTGTAGTTAGCTGAAGCTTTATCAGTATTAGTGATAATAAAATGTTCTTGGAGTTTTTTGATTGAAGTGTAAGGAAGTTTGCAATCAGAATTATTTCTGGTTTTTTTCTAATGATTATGTTTCTTTGATTGTCAAATAGAAAGGTAAGATCGGAGTTGATTTTTTTGTGGTGATTAAAGGATAAAGTTTAAATTTGTTGTCTAACTTTTTTTAATGATAGATCTAATGTTAGAAAGACATTCGGCGTTGTATACATTGATATCAGTATGTGCGTAGGAGCGAAATTTGGTACCAGCGGAAATGATTCTATTAAGTTTAGGGCATTGAATTAAATCTTTATCACCAGATATGACGTGTCCGGAATGTTGAGAATCGCGATGAAATGGAAATTGATGGCATGAGCAATCAGATGAGAGTATATCAATAAGTTTGTGAGAGTCCAAGTTGCTCAGGAAGTAATTGTAGTTAAAGATTCTCGAGCTAACTGGATTGTGATACTTATATCTCATATTGATTTTTGATGATGTTATCCCCGAGCATATTGTATTGTTTCAAGTTATCGTTTAAGAGTTTTTTTAAAAAAATGACTAAGGTTGGATTTTTTTCCAGTGCATCAGAATAAGTAAAGTTTAAATTGATTTCAAAGTTGTTTGGCGTATTTTTGGAGTTTTTCTTGTAAACTTTTGTTGAAATCTAATGGAGCAGGCATTTATAAAATATTTGGTTTCTTCTGTGCAAGCGTTTTTTTAAAGTTAGTGTCACTTTTAATTGTTTCTATAAGAGATCTGAATCTTCTATGTTTAGTAATTTCAAAAAAATACAAGTGTGAAGATCTTTAGTGTTACAACTATTGGTTATGTTTATTATGTCTGAATGGTTGATTAATTTAGAGATATTTTTTTATCTTTTGATGAGGACTTGTGTCTTTTATGGTTAGGTTTTTTTAAAAATATATAAAACATTTGAGAACGAAACAGCTAAAAAGACAGCAAAAAAGGTCTTGAAGCGAAGATCCTCAACTTAAATTTAATTTGATATACGGTATTTTTTAGCGAAAAAAAGAAACGTGACAATCTGGCGGGAAATGGGCTATATTAAACCGGTTTCTTATGTGGACCGACTGTTTTGCTTTCTACTTTTTACCCTTACCACCCCTAACTCATAAGTTCATAATAAAACATTTGAGAACGAGCTAAAAAGACAGCAAAAAACAAAGGTCTTAGAGCGAAGATCCTCAACTTTAATTTAATTTGATATACGGTGTTTTTTAGCGAAAAAAAGAAACGTGACAATCTGGCGGGAAATAGGCTATATTAAACCGGTTTTTCAGGTTGTCCCTTACCAACTATAAACACTCTACTCATGTTTGGGTTAACTATTTCAACCCTTGCCTAAAAGTAAGGGTATTCAAAATTTATCTTGGGGGTCTTATGTAAGGCCCTGAGAATTTCTTAGATTTTCGAAGGTGGCGTCTACGAGGTCGAGATTCCTCTAATCTGTGCGCCCGACCCGCAGCGACTTACGCGACCTCGCATTCGTTCTCATGAGCCACTAAGGTATCAAGACTCATTAGTCACAGGTCGATCGGTAGGTCAATACAAGTAGGTACCGGGTAGCAATTCAAAGTCAATCGATGGTTATTTTCATGCGACCAAGTACTATCTTTACGATACCTGTATGCTACCGGGTAGGTACCTGAAATTAGCGATTGCTACTGGCTGGCACATAGATCGATTATTTAGCACGATTTTTTTTTCAAACCTTTCCAAGTCTTCCAGAATTTATTGGCTACTCTGAAGTGGAGCGCCAAAAGCGCGCCACAACTCTCTCTCTCTGGCACACACTATTTTCTCGTTATCTTGCTGCGAGAAAATGACGAAACAGTGTATGTCAGAGAAAGAGTTGTGGCGCTCCATTTCAGAGTAACACTGAAACAAAAAACAACCACCCGGGAAGCAATGTTAGACTATCCGGTAGCAATCACGAAGGTGAGGTGACTAATTGTATCGACCTCCCGATTCACGTTTGAGTGAAATACAAATCTACTTACATTTCAGAGCGGAACAGCTAAAAAGACATAAAACAACAAAGGTCTTGAAGCAGAGATGCTCTAGTTTAATCTAATTTAATATACGGTATTTTTTACGGAAAGAGAAACGTGACAACCTGGTGCGGAATGGGCTACATCAAACCGGTTTTTCAGGTTGGCCCTGTTTTTTTCAAATAACTATTTCTACCCTTACATGAAAGTAAGGGTACCCAAAATTTATCTTGGGGTCTTATGCAAGGCCCTGAGAATTCTTTAGATTTTCGAAGGTAGCGTCGACGATGTCAAGACTCCCCTAGTCACTGTTCCCGACCCGCAGCGACTTACGCGACCTCGCATTCGTTCTCATGTGGCGCTACAGTATCTAGACTTTGCACTGAAACTCAACATCACTAAGAATAACTGCCGAGATAAACGCGAGACACTGGCGGTACATTGACGAGCTCGCAAACATCTCGCGTTTTTTCTCGCGACGGTCTCGCACTTTTCTGGTCGCGAGCTCGCACTTTTCTAGGCGCGATCTCGCATTTCTCTCGCAATTTGAAAATTTCCGAAATGCAAGATAAATGCGAGATGGCGCCGAGAAAAATGCGAGGTCGCGCCTAGAAAAAAGCGACATTTTTGCGAGTTAGTCAATGTACCGCCACCGAGCTCGCGTTTATCTCGTCAGTTATTCTTAGTGATCTATCTCATAGGACCATAATAAAACATTTGAGAACGAAACAGCTAAAAAGACATTAAAAAAAACAAAGGTCTTGAAGCAAAGATGCTCTATTTTTATCTAATTAGGTATACGGTATTTTTTACGGAAAAAGAAACGTGAAAAGCTGATGCGGAATGAACTATATTAAACCGGTTTTTAAGATTGACCCTTTTTTTGATTAATTATTTCTACCCTTACCTAAAAGTAAGGGTATCCAAAATTTATCTTGGGGTCTTATGTAAGGCCCTGAGAGTTCTTTAGATTTTCAAGGTGGTGTCTACGAGGTCGAGACTCCTCTAGTCTGTGTCCCCGACCCGCAGCGATTTACGCAACCTTGCATTCGTTCCCATGAGCCACTAAGGTATCTAGACTCATTAGTCACAGGTCAATCGGGAGATCGATACAAGTAGGTACCGGGTAACAAATTAAAGTCAGTAAATGGTCATTTTTATGCGACCGATTACTATCTCCATGGTCTCTATGGATGATACCGGGTTTTTTGTTTCGCGATTGCTAATGGCTGGCACATCGGTAATTTATTTAGCACCAGTGTTTTTGTAAACCTTCCCAAGTCTTCCAGGATCTTTGAATGAAACTCAGATTTACTTAAATTTTGGAACAGAACAGCCAAAAAGACAGCAAAAAAAAGATCTTGAAGCGAAGATGCTTTATTTTAATCTAATTTGGTATACGGTATTTTTTACGGAAAGAGAAACGTGACAAGCTGGTGCGAAATGAGCTATCCTTTTTTCAGGTTGGCCCTGTACTTCTGTTTCTGATTCTACTCTTACCTAGAAGTAAGAGTATCCAAAATTTATCTTGGGGTCTTATGCAAGGCCCTGAGAATTCTTTAGATTTTCGGAGTTGGTGTCTACGAGATCAAGACTCCTCTAATCTGTGCGCCCGACCCGCAGCGACTTACGCGACCTCACATTCGTTCTTATGAGCTGACGGTATCTAGACTTCGCACTGAAACTCCACCCCTATCTCTTAAGTTCATAATAAAACCTTTTTGAACGCTTTTGGTAAGCTAATTTTTTTAAATTTCTGATTGTTTCTGTACCTTATCCAACTCTGAAACTTCACGACAGAGCATACAAAATCGCGCAAGCCGTTGCGAGTCGGGGGCACCGATTCAAAGAGTCTAGAACTCCGAATGGGGTACTCGAAAATCTATTGATATTCTCAGGGCTTTCCATAAGACCCCTAGAAAAGTTTTGGCAACCTTTGCTCTAATAGTAAAGGTTAAAAGATCTTGGATATTACCCGGACATTGGTAACGCAAAACGGACGTTTCTGGGTGATTCTAGGGATCACTTAAGAGTGCTGAGGCTGCTAAAATGGCCACTAGAAATGCCCCGACACGTCCGATTCGCGTTACCAAGGTCCGAGTAGGAGGAAAAGGAAAAGTTAAAATTCATTTAATTCGAGACAAAAAAAAAATACTAATTTTTAGTCCTGTGCGGTATTCATTTGCAACCTAGAAAAGCATATTAATTTTAAGTTTTTTTTTTCAATGTTAATAATTAAGAAAAAGACCTTGATAACCTAAGTTTGCCCCTTGAAAACTCTAGAAATACCTTCGAACAGAGAGTGTATCTCCCTTGAGGGAAGTAGAAATAGTTGGTCTGCATGCTGCCGGTCGCTTCTCGGAAGCTCTCCGACAAGGCCTGGAAAATCCACAAAAAATCGAATATTTCCATTTCAAATCACCTGCTCGTCAAAGTCATCGATGAAACTGAGTTTGAAGCTTTCAAAGGACGCTTTGCAAGAGAGTTCCCGTTTTACCAGCACGGAAAGCTCGCTTTTCTGCAAAGCAATAAAAGCCTCAAGAAATTTTGAAGGAATCGAGAAAAACCAAATCGAATTTCAGGTGGAAAACATTTTTTGTTCACAAAAACCTGTTAAAGTTGTTTTTTCCAAAAAGTTCAGTACGATACTCAAAACAATAAAGGCAGCGGAACTTTACCAGGTCCAAAGAGAAATCAAAGGTTTTTTTCTCACTTAAAATATGATCAAGATTCCTAACAAATTGATATTTTTTTATCTGTTATGGCTTCTTAAATGGTTCATAACTTTTCTAGGATCCTTAAAATCGTGCATTTTAGCTATGGAGCGCAAATTCAATTACGGTTTTTGAGAAAAGTTCGGTTTTATTAAAGGCGCAGACTGAACATTTCGGTTTTGTTAAAGGCGCAGACAGAAAATTTCCGTTATATTAAAGGCGCAGCTTCGAAAGTTCCGTCATTTCAAAGGCGCAGCTTCGAAAGTTCCGTCATTTTAAAGGCGCAGCTTAAAAATCTTTGTTTTATTAAAGACGCACTCATGAAATTTTCAAGAAATAGTTTGAAATAATCTTTTTTTTTACTATGTCATAACTTCTCTAAGAACCTTAAAACTGTTCATTTTGTCCATAGAGCGCATTTTTGACTATAATTTTTTTCAGGCGTTTATTCGACGAAGCCACGCCCACTTTTTCTCCGTAAAGTTTCGTGTGTCGTGTGCATGCACCGCACCGCTTCCGCGCAGAAAAAATTCTTTTATTGAGGGAATTCGGTTCTTCTCAAAGACCTTTGGCAATACGGTCGTCTTCCCATGACGTCACCTGGGAACGGCAGAGGTTTCGACTCCGCCCACTTTGTTTTAGCTTCGCATTTTCTCCCGAGCTCTACTTCTACTTGACCCATCTCCCGTTTTCCTCCTTGCTCACCTGCAAGGAGATGACCAAGGCGGGCATTCCCTCAGTGACATCGCAAGTGTACAACGGCATGCACATGTACATGCCGTTGTTGATGGCCAACGACAGGTTCATGTCGACGTCTTGGATCGGCGGCGAGAAGACTGTGTTCTGCGACGGCTCCTGCTTGATCTTCACCTCTTGGACCACCTCCAATTTTTTTTTATTATTCTCTTTTTTTTACAAAAAAATGTTTGTGAAAGACTGGCTAGGAAAAAATAACCGTAATAGTTCAAGTCAAGAAAATATAAAAAGACGCTCAAGTTTGAGGAAACTGTGCTGCACGGATGAACTTTTTTCATTTTTTTTCCGTATATTTCTCATTTTTCCGTTGTTCCAACTTCCAGTACTTCCGGGGGAATAATCTAATTTTTAAGCGAAAGAAAATTCCTTCAAAAATCATATTTATTTCGTCTTTTTTCTGTTTCAACTCGTGCATAAAATATTTTATCCTACTTTTCGCCAAACTCCGCCCCTAAAAACGCTCTGTGGATCGGATTGGTTTATTCTACGCATAAGGGGCGGAGTTTTGAGCAATGACATGAAATTCAAAATCAAAAAAAAACTATATACTCTAATCAAACTGAAAAAAGGGCAAAAAACCATTTATCCATGGAGCACACTTTCACCAACGTCGAGCGCCCGTTGCGGTTTTTCTGCACAGATTTTTTTTTCAAGCCTTTTTTCTCTGAACTATTTTTTAAAATGTTTTTTGACAAGCTACTCTCCCTGAAATTTTTTCCACTTTCTTTTTTTTCTGAACTGCTCATTCTGAGGCCATTTTCCCAAGCTACCCTGTCACATGCCTCCCAAAAAAAGACACCTTATTTCTCTCGGATCTCCAATAATCGTAGGTATTTTTGTAGTTGAGCCAGAGAAGGATCGCCTTGTCGATGGCGTTGGCTTTGACGAGCAAAATGGGTCGATTCAGAGAAATATGATAAGAATAGGAAGAGTTGAGCATGTTCCTGTCCTTGTTCTCGACGCGAACCTGGAAAACTTCCAATTATATGTTTATTTGGAATCTCTAGCACCTGGGTCATAAAAGTGGCATATTCTTGGAGCTCCGGCGACACTTCATCATATTGAGCGGCCTAGAAAGAATTCAGATTCGATACAAAAACAAATTGTATTGAAACCTTGACCAGCTGTCCCAATTTGGCATTGAAATGAACAACAGCGTTTCCGTAAATTCGCTCTTTGGACCCTTCTTCTTTCACCACCTGAATTTCTCCGGCATCTTGAAAGAAAGAAACTTTAGTTTATAGCAATACTCTCAAAATATGATGAAGAAAATACGCGGGCAAAGTCGGAATGGTAGATAATGGCCGCTAAAAGGAAGAGGCACAAAAAAGGCCGCAGAAAGGCAGCAAAATGGCAGAAAAAGGCCCCTTTATCGAGCCTTCCAATTTTCCTGGGATTTAGGCTCGAGAAATGGTTTGAAAAGGTAAAGGCAGCAAAAATGGTGCATAAGGGCCGATAAAATGATGCAAAAAGGCATCAAAAAGGGAACATCCCTAAAAGCCTTTTCCACTTTTTCCGACTTTACCAATGTTTTCTATACAAAACCGGCCCAGATTTTTTTAAAATACCATTTCCTTCATTCACAAGGAAAAATAGGCGTTGAAAAATCGAAGAATGATATTTAGCACGAAAGAAACTGATGTGAATGGCTCAAAAAAGTGCCAATAAATAGAAATTGTTCTTCAAAAACTGAGCCAAAAAAATGGTTCAGATTTTTCGGACAAAAAAATGAATTATAAAAAAATCTCTATATTTCAAAAACTGAGCTTTTTAATGAAACTTCCATTTTTTTTTTTGGAAGATTGAATAATCGAATTTTTATATACTAGAATATTCACAAGGCTGTCATTTATCCGAGTTCAAAGCATCAATTCCAAATGAAGCTGAATGATGAATTTCAGACTTTTTCAAGGCTTTAGGGAAACTGCAAGTTTTTTCTTAAAGTGCCACGAGAAAAATTCGAGGAAACATTTCTTACATACACCATTTTCACGTGCGTGGAAAAAAACTAATTTTTTCTTGCCAATTCATCTTCTGAATCCCCAGATTCTCACCCATTTATTGGTCAGTTCGCCCTCCAGATTGTCGATGGTGAATCTGACAGCCGTGTGGGTTGGCGTCGACGCCGTCAACTGGAGCCACGGGGTCACTTCTTTGCCCATTTTCTGAGGATTTCATCGTGATATTTCTCTCTCTTCCTCTTGATACCACATCTTTCGTATTTAACTTGATGGAGAAGAGAAGCGGAGGCTTCGAGGCTGGAGCAGCTGCCGCGGCTGGGTCGTCAGCCGTCGTCGCTTCCGATTTTTGCGGACGTGAGGGACTAACCGATGGTCGGATTCTGATTAAGACCAATTATCAGAAAAAGTTTCAGGGAAAGCGCTTGGGAATCTGCGCTCTGAGGAACTTCCAGGTACGCTCGAAAAGTATCGGACATTTCTAACGCGAACCGGACGTTCCTGAGTAGTTCTAGGGATCACTCAAGAGTACTGACGCTACTAAAGTGATCCCTAGAAATTCCCGGACCGGTCCATTTTCCGTACTCGGAAATAGGTAACGCGAAACGGACGTGCTCGGAACATTTCTGGGCAATTCAAGGGATCACTTAAGAGCACTGACGCTACCAAAGTGGTCCCTAGAAATGCCCGGACAGGTCCGTTTTGCGTACTCGGAAATAGGTAACGCGAAACGGACGTCTTCCGAACGTTTCTGTGTAATTCAAGGGATCACTTAAGAGTACTGACGCTACTAAAGTGGTCCCTAGAAATGCCCGGACAGGTCTGTTTTGCGTACTCGGACATAGGTAACGCGAAACGGACGTCTTCCGAACGTTTCTGTGTAATCCAAGGGATCACTTAAGAGCACTGACGCTACCAAAGTGGTCCCTAGAAATGCCCGGACAGGTCTGTTTTGCGTACTCGGACATAGGTAACGCGAACCGGACGTGCTCGGAACATTTCTGGGCAATTCAAGGGATCACTTAAGAGTACTGACGCTACTAAAGTGATCCCTAGAAATTCCCGGACCGGTCCATTTTCCGTACTCGGAAATAGGTAACGCGAACCGGACGTCTTCCGAACGTTTCTGTGTAATTCAAGGGATTACTTAAGAGTACTGACGCTACTAAAGTGGTCCCTAGAAATGCCCGGACAGGTCTGTTTTGCGTACTCGGACATAGGTAACGCGAACCGGACGTGCTCGGAACATTTCTGGGCAATTCAAGGGATCACTTAAGAGTACTGACGCTACTAAAGTGATCCCTAGAAATTCCCGGACCGGTCCATTTTCCGTACTCGGAAATAGGTAACGCGAAACGGACGTGCTCGGAACATTTCTGGGCAATTCAAGGGATCACTTAAGAGCACTGACGCTACCAAAGTGGTCCCTAGAAATGCCCGGACAGGTCCGTTTTGCGTACTCGGAAATAGGTAACGCGAAACGGACGTCTTCCGAACGTTTCTGTGTAATTCAAGGGATCACTTAAGAGTACTGACGCTACTAAAGTGGTCCCTAGAAATGCCCGGACAGGTCTGTTTTGCGTACTCGGACATAGGTAACGCGAACCGGACGTGCTCGGAACATTTCTGGGCAATTCAAGGGATCACTTAAGAGTACTGACGCTACTAAAGTGATCCCTAGAAATTCCCGGACCGGTCCATTTTCCGTACTCGGAAATAGGTAACGCGAACCGGACGTCTTCCGAACGTTTCTGTGTAATTCAAGGGATTACTTAAGAGTACTGACGCTACTAAAGTGGTCCCTAGAAATGCCCGGACAGGTCCGTTTTGCGTACTCGGACATTGGTAACGCGAAACGGACGTGCTCCGAACATTTCTGGGCAATTCAAGGGATCACTTAAGAGCACTGACGCTACTAAAGTGGTCACTAGAAACGCCCGGCAGGTCCGTTTTGCGTACTCGGACATTGGTAACGCGAAACGGACGTGCTCCGAACATTTCTGGGCAATTCAAGGGATCACTTAAGAGCACTGACGCTACTAAAGTGGTCACTAGAAACGCCCGGCAGGTCCGTTTTGCGTACTCGGACATAGGTAACGCGAAACGGACGTCTTCCGAACGTTTCTGTGTAATTCAAGGGATTACTTAAGAGTACTGACGCTACTAAAGTGGTCCCTAGAAATGCCCGGACAGGTCCGTTTTGCGTACTCGGACATTGGTAACGCGAAACGGACGTGCTCCGAACATTTCTGGGCAATTCAAGGGATCACTTAAGAGCACTGACGCTACTAAAGTGGTCACTAGAAACGCCCGGCAGGTCCGTTTTGCGTACTCGGACATTGGTAACGCGAAACGGACGTGCTCCGAACGTTTCTGTGTAATTCAAGGGATCACTTAAGAGTACTGACGCTACTAAAGTGGTCCCTAGAAATGCCCGGACAGGTCTGTTTTGCGTACTCGGACATAGGTAACGCGAAACGGACGTCTTCCGAACGTTTCTGTGTAATTCAAGGGATCACTTAAGAGCACTGACGCTACCAAAGTGGTCCCTAGAAATGCCCGGACAGGTCTGTTTTGCGTACTCGGACATAGGTAACGCGAACCGGACGTGCTCGGAACATTTCTGGGCAATTCAAGGGATCACTTAAGAGTACTGACGCTACTAAAGTGATCCCTAGAAATTCCCGGACCGGTCCATTTTCCGTACTCGGAAATAGGTAACGCGAACCGGACGTCTTCCGAACGTTTCTGTGTAATTCAAGGGATTACTTAAGAGTACTGACGCTACTAAAGTGGTCCCTAGAAATGCCCGGACAGGTCCGTTTTGCGTACTCGGACATTGGTAACGCGAAACGGACGTGCTCCGAACATTTCTGGGCAATTCAAGGGATCACTTAAGAGCACTGACGCTACTAAAGTGGTCACTAGAAACGCCCGGCAGGTCCGTTTTGCGTACTCGGACATTGGTAACGCGAAACGGACGTGCTCCGAACGTTTCTGTGTAATTCAAGGGATCACTTAAGAGTACTGACGCTACTAAAGTGGTCCCTAGAAATGCCCGGACAGGTCTGTTTTGCGTACTCGGACATAGGTAACGCGAAACGGACGTCTTCCGAACGTTTCTGTGTAATCCAAGGGATCACTTAAGAGCACTGACGCTACCAAAGTGGTCCCTAGAAATGCCCGGACAGGTCTGTTTTGCGTACTCGGACATAGGTAACGCGAACCGGACGTGCTCGGAACATTTCTGGGCAATTCAAGGGATCACTTAAGAGTACTGACGCTACTAAAGTGATCCCTAGAAATTCCCGGACCGGTCCATTTTTCCGTACTCGGAAATAGGTAACGCGAACCGGACGTCTTCCGAACGTTTCTGTGTAATTCAAGGGATTACTTAAGAGTACTGACGCTACTAAAGTGGTCCCTAGAAATGCCCGGACAGGTCCGTTTTGCGTACTCGGACATTGGTAACGCGAAACGGACGTGCTCCGAACATTTCTGGGCAATTCAAGGGATCACTTAAGAGCACTGACGCTACTAAAGTGGTCACTAGAAACGCCCGGCAGGTCCGTTTTGCGTACTCGGACATTGGTAACGCGAAACGGACGTGCTCCGAACATTTCTGGGCAATTCAAGGGATCACTTAAGAGTACTGACGCTACTAAAGTGGTCCCTAGAAATGCCCGGACAGGTCCGTTTTGCGTACTCGGACATTGGTAACGCGAAACGGACGTGCTCCGAACATTTCTGGGCAATTCAAGGGATCACTTAAGAGCACTGACGCTACTAAAGTGGTCACTAGAAACGCCCGGCAGGTCCGTTTTGCGTACTCGGACATTGGTAACGCGAAACGGACGTGCTCCGAACATTTCTGGGCAATTCAAGGGATCACTTAAGAGTGCTGACGCTACTAAAGTGGTCACTTGAAACGCTCAAGACACGTCCGTTGTCAAGCAAAACTTTAAAACCGCAAGCCATTCCAAAGAAGGTATTTTTGATCCGCTACGCAACCGCATCGCTTCAAGCCAAACTCAAAAGGCCTTTCCGTCAATAATTATGAATTTTTAATCATTATAGTGAGGTTTAGTTCGATCTCCCCAAAGGCTATTTTTCAAAATTTGTCCATTTTCTTTGATTTATCCCCTCACCACTACGCGTTTAGCAACTTCAAGACTTTCAAAATATGAAGTTTTAAAGTCTCTTTCCTTGACCCCCTGCCAAAACTAACCGATTAATCAAGGAGGTGAATTCAGATCGGAACGACTGCTCGGCGAAGAGCAGCTGGTTGAGCAAGTCCGTGGTGAAAGTATGATTGACATGGCCTTCAATTTCTGATTTTTTCCCTACATTTCCTTGAAAAAAACCCAAAACGACGGTAGTCTGCAAAAATCCGCCCTCCCTGTACAAGAGCTTCTTATCAGTGCTCGGCTTGTTCTTGTCGGTACCTTGTTCGACCTGGAAAACTCGAACATTTTCCAGATTTATCAATGGAACGGATTTTTCTACATACTTCGGCTGGATCCCACTGTGGGGAGGAAGAGTGGTCCTTTTAGGAGCAACCTTAGGGCCCTTCGAGGGTCGTCTCTAGGGACCACTAAACCCTTCAAGGGTCACTGAAGCTTGCAAAAGTGGTCCCTATAGGGGTTTTTATTAGTGGCCTCTATAGGGGACGAGTTAGTCGATATTTTCTATGAACTTGGAGCTGTTTTCCCCTGATCCCCTATAGGGGCCACTCTGGAATCCCACCGCAAACTTATTACATTTTGGAACATTTTTTCTCTCGCAAAAGGCCGGGGTGGGATTTTCAGCCCAAACTTCTCTTCAGCATGATTTTCAAGTCTTAGAAAATACCGAAGAAGAAATTGGCCCATCGATGATTCTCACCGTATATTTTCCGAAGCACTTGACGGAGGGCAATTGAAGCCGGAAAGTCTCCGTTTGGCCGCTCATCGCCGTCACGCAAAACTCGAAGAAGTGCTCATCGATGATGACGTTCCAGTTGGCCTGGTTTCCGGTGACGCCGGCGCTTGAAGCCCTGTTGATCCGGTACTTGGCCTGGAGGCTCGGCAGAAGCTGGATGTTCATTTCGATGCTGGCGACCTGAAACTTGTAATTTTGAGTTCATCAAAGTCCAGAAGCTGGTTTTTTATGAGTTGGAACACCCTGGTCGCATTTGGAATGGCTAAATGAGTATAATCCGTTCTATCTTCACTACTCACATCCAGAACAAAGTTGACCACAGCGATGGGAGTTCTTCTGTTCAGAGCCAACTGCTGGGGATGAGGGAAGGCGGCGGAAGGCGTCCGTCGGTGTGAGAACAAAGCGGTGGTCGTCGAGGAGGTCGCCGGAATCGGCTGAAGAATCGAGAAGGCCTCGTGCGACGGTGGCATCGACTGTTGGGGCGTGGGCTTCTGGGTCGATTCCTGGGAAAGATTCTGAAGATGTTTGAGGTTCTAGGGGTAGTTCCGTTGACTGGGATCAGCTTGAGGTTCAAAAAATCTATTGCCAAGAGCACAAGCCCAAGTTTAGATGTCAAACTTGCAAGAAAAAAAAACTTTGTACTGATATCAAGTCCGAATAAGGAGCCTGCACACTCCGATTTTTCATTTCGAAGTCTAGAAGCTCAAATAAGCTTCCGATCTAGGAAAGGATCTCAGGTGATGCTCCCCAATACCTCCTCCTGAACACTGCTCCTCGGTTTGAGAACGGTGGCGGAGTCGACGGTCGGCGTCGTTGTTGGCGTGGTTCCAGCCGGTTGAGCCGCCAGTCGGTTCAGTTGCTGTTCCAGCTGGAATTTCATGCAAAATGTGATTTATTTCAACTATTATTTCCACCCAAAAAAAAAAGCTTGAGAAAAAATCATTTTGAAGTATTTTTTCCTATGCGGCTATTCTTGAAAAAATTTTCTCAAGGGGTTCTTAGAAACTCTAGAGTGGTCCCTATAGGGGAAACCTTAGAGTCCCTCTAGGGACCACTTTAAAAATGATAACAGAGGGTAAATCGATCAAGTTTATCTTTCAAACTTTCAGTCAGATCACAAAATTGAAGGACCCCTGTAGGCACTTCTTTTTTGTCCCACATAGGGGCTGTTTTTCCCTTAATCCCTATAGGGATCACTCTGGAATTCCTAAGATCTGAAGGCTATTTTTGAAGCTTGGATATCCTATTTTTGGAACTTTAGAGTTCTGCACGGCTCTGCTTTCAAACAGAAAAATTCTGGTTATTTTTTGCGGCCAAATTTTCATTGCGACGGCTGTTTTCGGAGCCCATTCCGCACGGCTATTTTTCGAGCCCACCTCCTTGCCATGCCTCATGACGACATCGTGCAGAGAATGAGCCGCCATCGGCATGACCCCATCCAACGCGCCAAATTTCAGCGTGATCCACGTCTCGATCTTCGAATTTCTTCCGTCTCCCTTGGCGTTTTTGGGCTGCTTGTTCCGCACCGAGTTCGACTTGAGCCGTCGGTAGAAGTTCAAGCTGCTCGTGTTCAGAGTGCAGCGGAAAATGTCGGATTTCTTGCTGGCGCTGTCCGCTTCGCTCAGGGTTAGCGAAGCTCGGCTGGAAAAAAACATTCATGGTGATTAGGTCAATCTGGTTCTAATAGTACTGGCTATAAAGGTATTTCCAAGTGGTTATTCGAGCATAACTTCTCTGAAAGTGCATCAAATGACTTGAAACTTCGCACAGATTTGAAATAGCTCTGCAGTAACTCATTCCTGGGAGCAGAACGTATTTGCTTGAGTCAGACCAGACTTGTGAGCAAAAAACCGAAAATCGTGAAAATGGAAATTGTTCTCTTCATATCATACATGGGATAATCTTGGTGGGACCTGAAAAAGGGCGGAAGGTTGGCCTCAGGTACCAAGTAACTCTCTAGAGCCTATTCGCCCAACATTTGGCATTGAAAGGTCGAGCTAGACTAATTCGATGGTGCTGAATCCGAAAATAAGGTAAAAAAATAAATAACGGCTCATTTTACAAGGTTCATTTGGTTAGCAGAAGCGATTTTTTCTTAGTTAAAAGTGATCGGAAATACTACTTTCTGTTCTGTATTTGTATTTTTGTGTTTGAGTGAGAAATAAATAAATAAATAAATAAATCGGAAAAAAGAAAAATGTTGCCAGTCATGCTCATCCCATGTATGCGTCAGATTCGAAAAATCATATTTTCAAATAAAAAAGTCGATTTTCAATCAGAAATCTTGTAAAAAGAGTCTTCGGCTTTCCAAAAAACCTAATCAGCCCCCTACCGACCCAATAGTAATAGCTCAGTGACTTTTTCTTCGGAAGGCCCTTGCTTTTTGACGGTCTCGTCATTCAAATGGACTACACGAGGTCAATTTTGCTTGAGGACACCCCTTGTATTTCAGCTTCTCCTATCAGGTGTCTACTCAGGAGGAAGCTTCTTCTCCTTTGAGCTCAATTTTCAGAGAAACTTACGACAAAGATAGCAAAATATCGTCAATATGGCTGGCCGAGACGGAGATCGGAGTCGTTTGCTTCCTCTGAAAATCGGAAATTATTACTTTTTAGGCCTACAGAAGAATAGCCGCGTCAAAATTCTTCTTTCAAGCTTCCTAGATATTCTCTGACTCAAAAATCCTACTCAAAGTCAAAATCTTATGCGCTCCTGCCTTCCTTGGCCAATTTTTCCAGTTCTCCTTGGAGATTGTCCGTGGAGCGCATTTGCTTTCATTCCTACCGTTAGCGTGGCCTTCTTGTCGTCGTGTGAGGCGGTGACATTGGCGCCAGTGTTCGTCACCGAAGTTTGGCTGCGGATCGCTTCGGGCGGCCGTTTCGACTGGGACAGGTCGATTTTGTGGATCATGACGGACACGTAGAGGTCCGTCAGCATCGACTCCAACATCACTGACGTCACACTCACCGTTCCGTTCACAACCGTTTGAACTTTGGCTGAAAATCCATAATTTTCTTCAGATCATATTTCTCTGAAGAATAAACCTTCCTGATCGCTTTTCGTCATTCTTTGGAGATGCTTCTCATAGTCACGGGTCATTTCCAGAACCTGATGAATTCAAAAACGAAGATGTGTTATTTTTCGGGTAAAACCTTATCGTCCCATTCAGCCGCTTGGGCGTAGACAATCGGGGGCATTCGATTGATTCTCGGGGTCTTAAATTTAATGTATTGAGAGTTTGAAACATGTCCATCAAAATTGAAACGACCGTGTTTTAAAAATCAAATGAAACTCAAGAAATCTGCTTCTCTCAGCTCAAACGATCGTCTCCTTTTCTTCTCTAGCGAAATTCAAAAATTCAAGCTTGATTTGGGAAGAATTACTGATTTAAAAATTGGGCCTCGAACTTTCAGCGAGAGAGCATGAGAGCTAGAGAGAGGTTCGAGAAAAATACATTACTGCGTCTCCTCATTTCAAGCAATCTGTAGCTCACAAATTATTTTTAGTTTTCGATTTCTATTTATTGACTATATAGTCCGTCCGACAGTTTTCGAGTGTCTGCGTCTCTCTGTTCCCATACCGGCAAGGTCAGAGAACCATGAAAATAGCACGTTAACATGAGAGGTTCGCCCAGAGACGAGGAGAGCGCAGAGAAGTCCCGCCCTTTCAAGTCGCAAAAAAACGGACTCTATTTACGGAAACAATAGTAGGTGTCGAAAGAAAGAGAGCTCATACTTAACGAGCCATAGATCGTGAGAGCTCGAGAGAGGCCTGAGAAAGAGATAAATCTGCGTCTCCTCGCCTCTAACGCTCTCTCGCTTTTGTTAATTTTTCTCCTTTATACGAACCCTGGCAACCGCGACAAGTTTCTTCATTTCGGCATGAGCCTCAGAAGCCGCCTGAAGGACCAAAGACAGCTCCTTTCCAAGGGAAACCGTCGCGAGACCGATCAGAAATCGGACGTTTTCCACGTTACCCGTGTAGTTGACGGTCCACTGGAATGAAAATCCTGTCAATTTTCGGTTCTGGCTTTTCAAAACCTTGCCACTCAAGGGTAGCCTTCGTTTCTCATCTCTTTCCAGTTGCCAAAGTAGTTGTCCACTGACGACGGCGTTTCGGAGAAGCATCACTTGATGTTGAGCCGGTGTGATGAACTGACGGCTCTGATCCGTTGAGCTTTTCACTCTGAATGAAAAGAGCTCCATAAAGAATCAATAAACTCTTTTCGTGGTAACTCTGTGGGATTTTTAGCTAGTTTCCATGTTGGTTTTTTTTTTAGGATCACTAGAACTTCCTTGTAAGACCAAAATATCGAAAAATCCAAAAAAAAAAGAGGAAAGAACCTAAGGTACTGTAAGAGAAAGGATACTGTAGCGAATAGGGCCACCCCTTATTGTAAAAATCCTACTGTATTGCCTACAGTAAGCTCTCTTCCAACTAAAACCTTACAGAAACCAATTTTTATAAAGAACACCTAGACTACTGAAACGATTCCTCAAAGTTGTCTCATAGAAAAAATTCCTACATCAATTTTTAAAATGCCTACCGTAATCCTTTCATCACAGTAGCCGTATCAACAGTGTCTCGGAATTTTCAATGAAAAAACCGTACACTGAAAAGACTTCCTCTTTTCCAACTAGATCAAAGCTCCATGAAAATCATCCCAAACACAAAAAGTACCGTATCTCAAAAAATTTCTACAGTAACCTAATAATGAATGTACTAAAAATTTTTTCAAAATTGCAATACCTATCGATTGATATACAACTCGCCCATAAAAAACTCATTAATTCTTAGATACGCAGGTGGTGATTGACCTACCGTAACCCGGCTACAATAGGAGGGAATGGTTCAAAAAGTTGTGTCCGCATTTCTGATGATGGGGTATCACACTGGATGAAGTTTCATCGCAATTAAAAAATAAAATTATTTTTTGTGACTATTGATTTTTAATACCGTAAGCTTGAGCTTCTACAGTAACCAAAAATCTCAATATCTGAGTAAGAACACATGTAGAATTAGAAAAGCTTCCAATAGAAAAATTCGAGATTAGGTCGAAATCTGAATGTGGTACAGTTCCGCGGTCAAATTCTGAATAAATGCTACAGTAACCCAAAAAACCCCCCACCGTACTCCTCAACACACCTTTTGGCCAGCATTTTGACGTCGATCTCCTTCAGAATCGCCGAATATTCCATGCTGATCCGATCGACGACAACGTCATCCAGGGCGAACCATTCCAGACGGGCCCATCTGTAGAGGGAGTAGAAGAAGGCCTTCTGTTGGATGTCCATCGGATTGACGTAGTCTTTGGCGGCGTCCACTTCCGAGAGGATGTTCTCGCCGGCGGCTTTGGCGCGGTACGGCTTCTCCTTCTGAGCGTTGCGCATCCAGGTGTAGAGGTCCACTGAAAGTTCTTTTGACGTCTTCCGGGAGGTTTTTTGGAGCAACTCTTCTGTTCGTCCACTTTGGGCTCGTTGTTCTGGGCGTTGGTCATCCTCGACGTGCCGTCGTTGCTGCTCTCGTCGTCCATCTCCATCATCCGGTCGAACTCTTCAAACTTCTTTCGGGACATGTCCTCGTGCTCGGCGTGCATCTGGGAAATTCACATTGCAAAATTTTCACTCAAAACACTCCCGGTTTCAGGCTGTAATTAAAGAAGCTCCTGACTTTCTTTCTGATTCAACACGATGACTGCCTTCGCTAACCTGACTTCACCCCTCCCCCTATAGAGGACGAAAAAGTGGTCCCTATAGGGGTAAAATCAAGATGAACCCTATATGGGGTTTATCCCTAAGCCCCTCAAGCTCAAGTGGACCCTATAGGGGTCTTTTAAATTTATTCCAAAAAAAAAAACGTTTCTGTATTCAGTTTTTTGCATGAAAATGCTTCTTCGCATAGCGTTCATAAAAAGAGTTTTTACAGGATCACTAACTGAAATCCCTATAGGGACCACTTCTGCAAGCTTTAGTGGGCCCTCTAGGGTTTGATAGGTTCCAGGTGGAAAAGTTTCAAGTTTGAAAACGGTTCAAAAAGTTAAAAATCTTGTATAAGTCGCATTTTTTATTTTATCAGCCCTAAATCTTCCCAAAACGCTTTTCCTTCAATCCAATCAACCTTGACCACTGCCAAACGAACCTTCTCGATGAAAACGGGCGGAACGTAGGTCTGCCCGGGCGTCTGGTCGAAGCCCTCCTCCAGGATGGCCCCGCCGTCGTCCTCCTCGTCCTGCCCTCCTTTCTTCCGATTGCCTCGTCTCCTCAACATTGGCGGCGTCAGTTTTTCCAGCGAGTTCCGAAGGCCCCTAAAGCAGTTCTTGGATCCGAAACTTCCGTCCGAAGTTCAGTACTTTGGTTCCTCAACGATGATTTTCGTCTCCTTCTTCGTCTCTTTCTTCCCATTTTTGCTGTCGATCGAAATCTCGTCAGCGCTGTTCTCCCGCTTTTTTCCGGGTATTCGGTTCACTTTGAACTTGCTTGCTTCGTCGTAGGACACAAGCTGAGAAAGTTAGGGGTTTTTTTGGATTTTTCTATTCATTTTCTCCAAAGCATATGTGAAAAAAAATTTTTTTCTTAATAAAGCACATCGGAAAACTCTGATCTAGTGGGCCTAGTCTCATTGAGAAAAAAAAAAAGATAAATCGATATTTTAGTGTTGAACGAGCCGAGGACAACATTTCAAGCTTATTCTACAGCCAAACAGTGATGAAACTCGAAAATAACGCAGACACTTTCAAAAAACTGGGAAAAATTATTAGTGGCCACTATAGAGACTCGCCAAGGACTACTTGGAGAGGACACTGAAGTGACCACTAAACCCACCTCTATAGTGGCAACCATTTTCCGTTTTAGTAGCCACTATAGAAATTATCTATTTAGTGGCCACTTCAGTAGTTTTTCATTCAGTATTCCTTTCAGTAACTCTGATAATTTTAAAACAAACCGATTGGACCAGTTATGTTGATCCATTGACCCCTTAAGTGGCCACTAAACCTTTTAGTGCTCTAGTAGTAGCACTTAGACCTATATAGTGGCCCCTAATTGTTAACCTCTTAAGTGGCCACTAATTTGACTACTACAGTGGCCACTAAATTGACTACTACAGTGGCCACTAAAACGTCAAAGAAATATAGTAGCCACTAAAAAATTTCCCACTACAAGTTTTATTTTACTAAAGGGAAATTTTGGAACAAAAAATGATTTAACAGCGTTGGTTCCTCTAAATGAGAGTCGACAATCAAAATTTTGGATTCAGGAGAAAAATTTGCAAAGGAAAAAGCTATGAAACTTCGAAAAACTCGAACAATAGAACCACTTTCAAAACCTTCAAATAGTTCGTCATAACTTCTATTGAGTTTCAGACCGATTTCAGGCACCTTCAAATGTCGGCCAATATCGGGCTGCCAATGGCTGAGCAAAGCCATCAGGGCGGTTTTTCTGGTTCTCGACGGCTCGAATTCGTTTCGGATACATATCGAGGAGCACTGAGCGATTGGCGCCGCTTGTGAATAGGCGAACCATCTTGAAACCAGAAAAGTTCAATAAAATTGTGGAAAACGATCAGGTTAACCTGAAAAGCGTGTGGAGAAGGAGGCAAGACGCGCAGCTGGCCTGATGTTTTCCCAAAACTTTCACAGCCAACATCCGATTTTTCCCGCATTTTACCGCCTAAAAATCATGGATCAGTACTTTTTTGACTTTTTATTTTCAAACAAACCACTTTGTCATCGGTACAATCGAGGGCCAATTTCAAGATTTTCGCCATGGCGACGTTTCTCCAGCACTCCAAGTCATGGGCGAGCTCAAAATAAGAGCATTGAGGGCAAAAAATTCAGGTAAAAAGGTGGAATTTTCAAAATTGTGTGCTTCTTTCACTAGGGAACGTTTTTACCCCCCTAGTTTTCGAGTTATGGACCTTCAAAGTCCGCAAAATACGCAAATTAGGGCATAACAGCGCTATTTTCTAGCGTTTGAAAATCGAAAAAACGACTAGCAACACAAAAACCATTCGAAAAATGAGTAGGAAAAAGCACAAAAATCAACTTTTCTAAAACATTCTTCAAGTATTTTTTGGAATTTCTGCAGAAATCCAGGCACAAGATGTAAAATAATGCTCCAAATTTGAAGTTCCGATTCCCAACCTAAAGTCAAATCCCTTCAGAAACGGATTTCTACCTTCTCGACAACGTAGACGAAATTATCGACAACCGAAAGCCAAGAGATGATAACTGGAGACAGGGCTTCATAAATCGGAAACTCGTCGCCTGCAGTCATTTCTTGAGGCCGGGCCATCACCACCGAAGCGTTCACCGAGCCAACCACAACCTAAAAAAATTTCTCAATTTTTTATCTCAAAAATAGGTAATCGTGTTTTTTTGCTTCATCCTGGGTTTTTGAAAAAGTCCTAACTTAAAATATCCTTTCAAGAATGCGCGGAGAATTACTTTCGAAGCACTTTTTTCTTTTATATCGCGCAAGGTCAGGCTTCCCTCGGCATTCCTTATCAGTTCTTTCCTATTATTCTGTCTTAGGGCTTTTTAGGACAAACTTAGGAATAGATATGCGAGTTGAAGCTCAGAAAATCACCAAAACTAGTCGAAACCGTACATTTCATTGCAAACGACGCTGAAAAGCACTTTGAGAACTTTTATTCGTTTCAACTATAGCTGACCACGACTGGCTTGACCTATCGAAAAAAGGGTCCTGACACGATAATGCACGAGACAGTGCCTAACAGGTGGAGAGCGCAGACAGGCCACGCCCTTTTGAGCCTCAAGCTGGCCGTGAATCGGCTTTATAACTCTAAACAAACGGAGGGGTCGATCTCCCTTAAGCAATCAGTAGACATAAGTGGTCACTCTAGTAGTTTTCTTTAAAGTGATCATTAAAGAAGACCGACTGTTCCGTAGAATTTCACACAACCATCTTTTCACTTTTCTATCTAATACTTCAAAATAGAGGTAGTAGAATGGAGGGGCACTCCCGGGCGCACTGTGCCCGCCATTTTAGAAGATTCAAACTTTTCCGCGTTCTATTCTCTTCCAATGGCGTTTTTTGGCGTTGCGGTTTCGGGCCCTGGCTCCCTAGTCAGCGATTTATGAAGATGGGAATAATAACCTACGTCGGCTTTGAAATGAAAACGGGGGTGGGTATATAACAGTATAACCCCTCACATATGTTGAATATCGCCCCCTTTAAAGGTTCCATTTCTCCACCACTGCTTCAAAATTTGTCTTTTATCGATTTTCACTCCTCACCCTAACGACATGTTCATGCGACAGTCGCAAGACCCTAAGCGGAGCCTTTTTCTGAGACGCTTGAGGCGTTGGCGTCGACGGCGGCTGCACTTTTTCCGCCGCTTTCTCCGCAGAAGCGCCACCGAAAACGGCAGAAAGTCGTGACGGTTTTTCGGCGGGAGAGTTCAGATTCACTGGCGTGGTCGGTGTTTGAACCGGCGTGGTGGCTAGTGGACGAGCGTGGGCTTGCTGAGCAAAATGTTATAAAATCAATGAAAGAGACACAAAAAACCACAAGAACAGCTTTCCTTTCCAGCAAAATAGATACGTCCGGGACGTTAAAGTCCAAAACGACCCTCGGCTCGCAATTTTTCATTCTGTGAATCAGAAAATAATTTAAAAAGCTCCAGAGATTCAGAAATAAACCTGCTAGCAATCGCACAACTATCCCAATTGACACAGGTCGTCACGGATCCATGACCGGAAAAATCTGGGCCGTCTCTTCTTGTCAGCTGAAAAATTCAGAATTCATTTCAATTGCGGGCTTGTTTCTCATTTTAGGTCAATACTTGAAAGTAGTAGATCTTGCTCATTTGGATAAAGCCTTAAGAGACGCAGCGCGATCGCTAAACTCCACGTGGAGCCATTCCAAACGCGACCATAACAATTTGGAACTAAGCCTTTAAAGACGCAACGTGATGGCTAAACTTTGAGCCATTCCAAATGCGACCATAAAATTTTGGGACTAAGCCTTAAGAGACGCAGCATGGCGGCTCCACGTGGAGCCATTCCAAATGCGACCAAAAAAAAAATGAGATCAAGCCTTAAGAGATGCAGCGCGGCCGCTAAACTTCAAGCCATTTCAAATGCGACCAAAAATTTTAGGACTAAGCCTTAAGAGACGCAGTGCGGCCGCTAAACGTTAGCCATTGCAAATGCGACCAAAAAAAAAAATGAGATCAAGCCTTAAGAGATGCAGCGCGGTCGCTAAACTTCAAGCCATTTCAAATGCGACCAAAAATTTTAAAATCAGTTAGACTTGCGTAAATTTTCATCTCCCTGTAAACAGAGATGATGATCGACTTTTTGAAAAATATAAAAAATCTGTCCGCATTTGAAATGGCTGAGGGCGCCTGCCAAAGACGCCTAGATCCTTTCAAATCCCAAAAATCACTCGAAAAATCAGTAAGTAATCAAATCAGAAAAAAAAACCCCCCATAAACTTCAATAATTTTGAATTTTAATAGAATATCATGTGCTTGAAATGATACTACTTGAAGCACGGCAGTCCCATTTTAAATTTCTACTCATTTAAGTGCGTCCGACCAGAAACGACTTGGCTCATTAGCATCAAAAAGCTTAGAGTTGAGGCATGATTTTTGAGTGATTCAGAAACTTTTCAGGATTTTTCCTCCGGACCTGCAACAACTGGGCTGTCAGGACGTTGAAATTTAGCTGATACATCGTCGTCGGCATTTCCGTTGTGGCCACCGTTTTTGATAGGATCCAAGCTCTAAAGTTGGGCTTTTCGATGACGCTTCGAGGCGATTTCTCACCTGTCAACAAGAACAAGGGCCAAATTGGCGGTGATCGTCTCGTCGTTGACCATATTCGTCGACAAATGTTTTCTGAATCCACATTGGAAAAGTCCCATTCGGATCTGAGGCAAGTCAACGGCGATGTCAAGCTCTGTGGGCGTTTCGTCTGGAAAGAAAAAAAGGAATTTTCTTTCTGAAAAACTGATTCTTGTGTCTATCGTTCAACAGGATAACTAGCTACCTTTCAAAATTCATCATGACTATCAATTTTTTTTTCGTAAGGTTGAATTTGAATAAATTTTTAAAAATTGAGTTGTTTAGAAACTTTTGTGAGGGCGGGGGAGGCTCGATTTTCGTTATGAAAAACAGAGTAATAAGAGAACCTACTTAGGAACTCTAGAGTGGTCCATTTAGGGACAACCTTAGGGACCCTTGGAGGGTCCCCTATAAAGACCATTGCCAACCCCTATAGGGGCCATTAAAGCTTTCAGAAGTGGTCCTTATAGTGGTTTTAGTTAGTGGCCTCTATAGGGGACATGTTAGTCGATATTTTTCTTTCTTAACTGAATTCAAAGCGAAGAAGCGTTTCCATGCAAAAACTAAAAAATTGACCTTTTTTGAATGAAATTGAGAGGCCCCTATAGGGACCACTTGAGCTTTAGGGGCTACGTGCTACCTGAACCCCTATAAGGTCCACCTTAATTTTACCCCTATAGGGTCCACCTTAATTTTACCCCTATAGGGGCCACTTTTTCGGCCTCCATAGGGCTGGTTTTTCCCCCTTAACCTCTATAGGGACCACTTTGGAATCCGTAAGCATAATGTTTATCTATAGAGCGCAAATGACGTTCGAGGAACTTGATTTTTTTTTTTTCCAGCATGTTTTCTTAAGGTGAGTCTTATCGTAATTCCTTAAAGGTGTGCTATGTCTTTAGAGCTTTTTTCAATTTGGAGCCGTAGCCTTGCTACAACCCACCATCACTAAAAAGTGGCTCAATGAGCGGTTGTCGATGTTTTCGGAGGACACAGTCCCGGTAGCACATTTGAACGAGAAGACAGGGATTCGTTCCGGAAATCGCATTTGTTGTGGTCGTCAGCAGCCGTTCACAAGCTTCCAAGGCCAGTGGGGAGAAGAAAATCTAGAAAATGCGACTTTCCAGACTATCCATCCAAAAAATCTGAAGCCAACGCAGGAAAGCTGAGAATTTGATAAGGTTGTTCTTGCACCCTCAGAAAAAAAATCTGGACTATTCAGTCTTTTTTTCTTATGAGACAAATGCTCTAACAGTCATCCTCACTGAACGTTGTCCCCAAGTAAAATCGGGGTGATTTTTCCAGGAATACTTCTTCACGAACATTGACAGAAGAAGCTGCGACTCCATTCACGGAAACTCTTCGTTGTTTGTGGAGCTGGTGCGGAGATTTGGTCCTAACATTCGGACTTTCAAACTCTTCCTGCGTGTCGTTGGGCTGAAAAAATGAGATTTATTTCTCCCCACGGTTCATTCTAGTAATCTTGAAGACGCGCATGGAATTAAGTAAACTTGACTTTTTCAATAGCCAAAAGCGCAAGTCGTTTCTGGTCGGGCGTTATTTGAATCAGCCGCTAACCGCCATTCATTCAATATATCAAGATAAGAAAGTTATCAGTAGAGCACAAAAGTCAATCTCAAAACGGCTGCCATCTTCAAACTGTAGCTTCTTGTCATGGCGATTTTTACAAGGAAATTGAATTTCTCACTGTCAAAATGTCTGCAAAAAACGCTGAAGGAGGCTTTTCTTCAAACGGCTCATTTAAAAACAACATTTCAAGCTCTCGCTATTTTTCGAGGCTATTTTATGGATTTAACTCTGTTTCAGATAATGTCACACTCTATTTTATACTTCCTTACCTTTCTAAAAGTAGACTGTGGGACTATCTGAAATCTCTAAAAGGAGACCCATGTGGAATGGTTGAAACTTGGTATAATACTTTGCTATGCGCACAAGCCCAAGTCGTTTTTGGTCGGGCGCTATTTTAACCAGCCGCTACACGCCAATCATCCGATATATCAAGATAAATAAGAAATTTCGCCGTAGAGCACAAAATTCAATATCAAGAGGGCTCTCATTTACGACTCATTTTGAGATCTTGAATTGAACTTAAGCTGTTTTCCGCGGCTCATTTTTCGAGTTGATTCAATTTCAATGTATCACTTTTTCTGTAAAAAACGCTGTGCAAGGCTCTTTTACAAACGGCTCGTTTAAAAAACAACATTTCAAGCTTCCGCTATTTTTCGAGGCTATTTTATGGATTTAATTATGTTTCAGATAGTGCCAAACTCTATTTTGTACTTTCATACTGTTTTAAAAGTGAGACTATCTGAAATCTCTGAAAGGACACCCATATGGAATGGTTGAAACTTGGTATAATACTTTGCTATGCGCACAAGCGCAAGTCATTTTTGGTCGGACGCTATTCGGATCGGCCGCTTCACGCCCTTCATTCGATATATCAAGATAAATGAAAAAGTTATCCGTAGAGCACAAAAGTCAATATCAAGAGGGCCATCATTTACGACTCATTTTGAGCTCTTGAGTTGAACTTAAGCTGTTTTCCGTGGCTCATTTTACAAGTTGATCCAATTTTGAACTATCATTCCTTATGTAAAAAAAACGCTGAGCAAGGCTCTTCTTCAAACGGCTCATTTGAAAACAACATTTCAAGCTCTCGCTATTTTTCGAGGCTATTTTATGGATTCTATTCGGTTTCAGATAGTGTCACACTCTATTTTGTACTTTCTTACTGTTTTAAAAGTGAGACTATTTGAAAATTCTGAAGAGCGACCCGTGTGGAATGGCAGAAACTTGGTACAATACTTTCCAATGCCCAGAAGCGCAAGTCGTTTTTGGTCGGACGCTATTCGGATCGGCCGCTTCACGCCCTTCATTCGATATATCAAGAGGGCTATCATTTACGACTCATTTTGAGCTCTTGAATTGAAATTGACTCGATGTGGCCGCTTTCATTTCGAGGCTTCCACCTAGAGTACGTTCTCCGGGCTCAAGCACAACATTCGCTACATTCTGAGCTTATCAAGGTTCAACGAGACGAATTAGGCGCAGAAGAACGAGGCGATTGATCGTAAGACCATGCTTTCAACTTGATCAACTACACGTTTGGACATCTAGTTCGCCAAGGGCGGGGATTCGTTATAACTTCAAAAGTTCTTGTTCATCGCCTACATATATAAGTAAAACAACAAAATTAATAATTTGAAAGCTCCCGATATTTTTCGAGGCTATTTCATAGGTTTCATTCGGTTCATCCTTCTACTAATTTGTATTTTTTTCTACTTCTTCTTTTTTTTTTGATTCTGAGACAATTCCTCTTTTGACGAAAAAATGCCGCCTATTTACAGTTATTCAGTTCTCTTTACTCTATGAAGACTCGAAAAATATTCAAGCGCCAATTTTTTGAAGCATTTTGCTTTACCTGACTCTTCCGAACAGCCGGCGAGCTGATCCTGGCGCTGGGAGCCTTGTTTTTGGCTGTCAAGTGGACTTCATTCACTCCTTGCTTTTCTTGGTCCTGGAATCGAACGTTTTTTTCAAACCAGTGTAAATTAGCGACAAAAAAATTGGTAGAGACAAGGAATTTTTCCAGTTCTAAAAGTTCGATTCTGACTCAATGAGTCACAGGTTCAAATCCGGTCCAGTAAAATTAAATTTTTGCCGAAAATTCTTGTGCTTTTCCCTCTTACACGGAGTCACAGATTCGAATTCTATTTGGGAAGATTATTCTTTCTATCTGAACTTCCAAGGATCTCAGGCTTCTTCGAAACAAAATAAGCAAGAAAAAAACAAGAACATAATAATTTCAAGCCTAACTACCGTCAAAAAGGTCCCAGTTCGATTCCTGTCAAGGGCCTATTTTTTGCCTTCTTTCTGGTTTTTTTTTCTCATTCTCAATCAAATTCTGCAGTAAACTATTCTCTGAAACTCCTCACAAGGATAAAATCCGGCGGTTGATGAGCCTTGCACCAGCTTTCGATGGCGCCAGGTTGACTGAAGTACGGCGGCATGATGGGTTCTGCAAACCCGAGTGATTGAAAATGAGCTGATTATTCAAACTGACCCGTTGGATAAATTGTCAAATTGTGGATGAATTCCCCATATGTGGTCATCAGTTCATTGGAATTCGTCAACCGTGTTCCATACTGCAAAAATTATTTCAGAAAACGGGTCAAGGGGGAATTTCTCGAAGATTGGCCATAACACTCATTGTTGGACCGGAAAAGCAGAGCTGTGGGCAAGCTTGGCCGATTTGAAGGCTGGTAAAAACTACAGTAATCCAAGCTACAGTAAAACTACAGTACTCCAAGCTACGATAATACTAGCAACAGTAAAACTACAGTTCTGCTCAGTAGTGCCTATTAAAGTAGCACCACAGTGCTACAGTACTACAGCAGCACGATTTCTTCGCTACATTACTACCAGTTACAGTACTACCCATTACAGTAATGATAATCACAGTCCTACTCGCAATTTCAAATGTAGCATGAGTATTACTGTAGCTGGGAGTACTGTGGTATTGTAGTATTACTGTAACTTGGAGTACTATGGTGCTGTAGTATTACTGCAACTAGGTATATTTCTCAAAAAAAACTAGGAAAAAGGGGGAGTAGTCAACTTTTCGGGGGGTGGGATAGTCAAGACTTTTTTGGGGGGTAGTCAAGACTTTTTGGAGGGGGAATAGTCAAGACTTTTTGGGGGGTAGTCAAGACTTTTGGAGGGGGAATAGTCAAGACTTTTTGAAAGGGGGAATAGTCAAGACTTTTTGGGGGGCGGGGAATAGTCAAGACTTTTTGGGGGTAGTCAAGTCTTTTTGGAGGGGGAATAGTCAAGACTTTTTGAAAGGGGGACGAGGTCGTGTCTTCTGACGACCTTCGTACAACCCCTTTGAAAAACTGACCCAAGACTTTGGGGGAAGGAGTAGTCAAGACTTTCCGAAGGGGGGACCGCACCCCAGGGTGAGATCCAGCCGACGTATGCTAAAAACTAAAAATCGCACAAGTTGTTGAGAAAAAGCCGAATGAAACGAGGTCGTATCTTCTGACGACCTTCTCTGCGCCATGTAAGCCTGTTCCTTCTGGAAAAAACCATATAATTTCCAGGACCCCCGTTGAAAACTGACCGCCCGTGTTTGCTTGTAGAAATTGTGTGATTGGCCGAGGAGCATGCTAAAATCCGATTTTTTTTTTTCAATTCTTGAATTCTTTTCTAAAAGTGATTCCACTCAAATTCTCTACTGGAAACGTTAAATTCTTCCAAAAAATCACCTCGACTCTTTGTTCAAGACGCTCTGCAGAACTTTGGGCTGACTTTTGGGGTCTTTTTCGATTCCTGGAACGAAAAGCTTCGAACCAGGGGCGCAGTCAAGGAATATGGAGCCACTAAATTCGGATTATATTGGGGTAATTTTTGATAATTGAACATTGAATCGTTGGAACCGAAGAAAAAGGTGTTTCCGTAGCAGGCGCAGCCCCAAACCGTCTGTTTCTCCCACAAGAAGTGCAGTCTGAAAGTTGAAAAGATGCATATACGGTACTGTCAGAAATGATACAAATAAAGACAATTTCGGTCCAATTTTTCTAGTACACTGGCAAAGTCTAAACGAGCTAAAAAAAAAAGGCCTTAACACACGTTTTCTGAGAAAATTTTTTATTTTTCTGGTTGCTCGGAACTTCATCATAGACGCTTTGTAAAATTATAAAACTTTCGATACAACTTTTGTGAGGCTCCGCCCCTTTTTTGGAGTGGAAAAGTCACCGTAGAAATCTAATTTTTTTTTCCTAGTATTTCTAGTAGCTCAGAAAGTAGTGCAACTTAAAGAACACAGTATTTTTCGTGTTGACAACTTTATTTTAAGATATTTTCGGACATTGGAAAAAATTCATTTTTTGAACAAAATCGGCGATTTTTTCCAATTTTCAATGTTTTCTGAAGAAAAGACCCCCGTGGGCCCTAATTTTTATTTGCTCTTTTGGAAAAGTCGGGTTTCATCGATTCCCTCAGAGAACGTGTGTTAAAAAGAAGAGGCTAAAATTCCTTTTTGAGTTCCTAAAAAGGTGTCAAAAGTCTCTCGGAATCTCCTTTTTTCCAACTTTTTCCCGCCTTCTTTTTTACACCTCCTTGAAAGTTCCTTCTGAGAAAAAGGTGCTTTTGAGGCCTTTTAAGGCAAGTTTCCAAAAGTCCTTTTTTTTAGACCTTTTGGACTTTGCCCGTGCACGGTACTGTCAAAAAAGGTACGAAAAAAAAACGATTTTGGTCATAGCTTCTGATAGTTTTCAAAGCTTCGTTTTTTTTTTCGGTGAACTGAAACTTTCTCAGAGTGTTAAGATCAACAACAAGAGAAACTCCTGAAAGTTCCAGAAATATTGAATTCCTTACAAAAAAGTTGTGTCCGAAACTGCGTTTTTTCGTTTCTTTAATGACTGTTTTGTACATAGCTTTTTCCCTTTTAAAGTTCAAAATTGGCGAAAAATCTACCCTACAAAGTTTTTTCCATAAATCGAGCTATAGACTGTCTGAAATCGAATGAGATCTCGATTATCACCAAATCCGTACCATAGGCAAAGTCGGAAAGAATAGAAAAAGGCCCCCATAGAAATTTTCCTTTTAGGGTGAAAAAGGGACTCTTTTTGCTGCCTCTTTGCAGCCTTTTTTGAGCCATTATCCACCCTTCCGACTTTGCCCTAGATTTCCTATCAAACCGAACCTTTTCGACGCCTCATCATGGCCACAGACGAACTCTTTTCGTACTTTTTCATGATCCGGGCGGTCTCCAGACTCAGGTGGGAGCTAGAAAATCCCAAAAGCTTGAATAATATTTTTCAAATCAACTGCAAACTTCAACATCCAAGGAAACTCCAGCAATTTCGACACTGGCACACTGGATCCATCTGTTTCTCTCCGTCTTCTCGTTCATCAGATAGGCTGGAAAAACCAATTATTTTACCTTCAATCTTTGGAAAATTTATTTTTTTTCTAAAACTTCTAGATGAAAATGAACCCAAGGGTATGTAGAAACTCAAAAAACCAACCTTGGCGTACCGAAATTTTGGGTAATCTCAAGCAAAGATGTTCAGTGAACTTGGATTCGTGGGCGTTGCAAAGGGTGAAACGCATCGGGTCAATTGTGACCTGAAATTAACATTTCAATCGATCAGCTTTAAAAAAACGGTATATAGTCCATTTTTCGCGACTTGAAAGGGCAGGACTTCTCTGCGCCCTCCTGGTTTCTCGACGACTCTCTCTAGTTGACGCGCTATTCCGCGTTTCTATGACTTGCAGGTGAGGGAACAGAGAGGCTCAGACACTCGAAATCTTTAAAGTCACGGCGGATGGACTATAGCGCCTTTTAACGTTATCAAAACCGGAGCCCTTCCAATTTTCCTATGAAGTCAATTTAATATATTTTTTAGGCTCTTGAACAAAAGTTTATTAAAAAGAGGGTTCATCCTGTTGAAAAATACCCTTAAAACTTTGAAAACTATTCTAAAACGGAATTTTTTCCCTGTATTTGTTTCTAGCCTCTTGTTGTCTTATTCTCGTCCAAAGCATATTGGTAGAAATGAACTTTGAGTCCGCGAATAATCGTGAGCGTGTATTGTGCATACACCAATCTTGAGGGCTCGAACCTTGAAAAACTATTCTTGGGAATATTCACTTCTTTTTTTGATTTTTTTCTCTATTTATTTGTTCTTTTTTTTTCTTCATCGTTTTTATTGTGAAGATGTCGTGTTTCGACCGCAAATAAAAAAAGCAGTATTATTTTTTTCAACTCATTTTTTATCCAATAATGCGTCTTTACACGCCGTCGAAGATTTGCTTCAGGACGACTATCTTATTTTTAATTCTTTTTTATGAATTCTCCATCAACTTCTGTTTACAAAGACATTGGAAAATTCATAAAAAGACAAAAAAGAGGTGAATATTTCCAAGGATCGTTTTCCAAGATTGGTGTATGCACAATTCACTTTCACGAATATTTGCGGACCCAAAATTCCTTCCTAACATCCAAAGCTCATATAGGCAGACCGTCATGACCTCCTTCCAAATCTTCTCAAATTAAAAAAAATTCAATCTACCTGATTTCAAAACTAACTTTAACATTGGTTCGAGGCTAAAATTTGACTTTACCCTCGATTTTTTTTAAAATCAACTCCTCCTCGCAGACTTATTGAGTTCTTCACTAGCCCATGTATGGTCCAAAGTCTTATATATCTTAACCTAGCCAAATTTTTAATTTTCAATACTTCCATGGAAAACAAAGCAAAAAAAGATCACAGAAAAATTCACATCAAAGAGCGTTTTATCCTCGCCCAAGCTCAAGTGCACCGAATCGACAGCGACGCGGAGTTGCCGATATTTCTGTCTAAAAAATCTGAATTTTTTCCGACGAAGAGGTCTTGGCGGGACCTTTCTTCAGTCTCGCAGGTGCCACCGATCGTCTTGCTCATCGTGCAGGCCCGACTGAGTTGTCCATGTTGGCAGAATTGCATTCGGACCGGGACGATTTTCTCGTCGTCGGGAGAAAGGGCGAGAATGAGGATCGTTTCGACGATTTGGTGAAGGGCCATCAGCTGGAAATCCTTCATTTTTTCCATTTTACTCAGGGAAACTGTTGGAAAACAGGCTTGGAAATCGAAAAATGGACATAATCTTCAAGAAAAAACACTACAGCCTGTTCAGATTTTGAATATCAAGTAGTCGCTCAAGCTCCGCCCCTAACGATGCGATAAACCAATCAGAGAGCGAGCCATGCACAGAGTGTTTTGAATGACGTCATTGCACTTGACATTTAAAATCTGAACAGACTATAGAATCTCGAAAAAATGTCCTCTAGTTTGCAGCTACTTCAGGAGAAGCTCAAAAAAGCATTTCTTTTTTCCCAGGAACTCAACCCCTATTCTTCTTCAAAAAAACGCGGAAAATAGCTTTTCCCCTTAAAACTACTAAAAAGACGCTCATTGATCTTTCTGGATTCTATTAAACATGGGAGAAAAATGGCAAAAAAGATATCGCCCTGGACCGGACTCGATCCTGCTAGAAGCCATGTTCCTAATGATCCACCCTACATGATGGGGAAAATCGAGGGTTCCAGCCAGATCTCCGACGAGAACTTCCATCAGCCAGCCGTACTCGATGAGGCCCATGTCCCAGGCGACGTCTTTCGAAGAATACATGGCTTGGCCTCTGAAAAAACGGACCTAAACTCTAGATTTGGGACTTCAAATCACCTAAACTGCACTCCGGAAAGCGTCAAACATCCAGCAGGTCGATCCGCCGCCGCCGAATCGAAATAAGCCGCAATTGGCGAGGTTCCAACCTACAGACTTATTTTGTCACTTTTCTCATTTTTCCAGCTTCGTCATGATGAGAATGGCTCAAAGCGCCCGACTTGAAACGACTTGCGCTGGAAACCGCAACGCGACCGCGACGCACTGAGCCATTCCAAATGCGGCTCAAATCTTTATATACCTGAATCAAGGACTGAGTCGTCGACTTTTTCACCTCGACAACGATTTCCTCAGCGAGGACGACCGGACAATTTTCTAACAATCATTTTTTTATTTTTTTTATTTTCAACTCTTTCCAACCTTGAGAAGCATCCATTGCCGGCGAATAAACCAACATCAAAGCCCGTGTATTGCAAACTCGAACGCTAACCTATAGTAAAAAAAAAAATTTTTATCAATGGAGCAACATTTCCTCTCAAAAAAAGCTCTCAGGGATTCTTTCACTTATTTCTCCAAAAAAGGTTTTTTTTTTCATTCTAACTATTCATGAGAACCATCAAGGCAGCAGAATCCTTCCATAAAATAATTACTCAGGGAGAATTCCAGAGTGGTCCCTATAGGGGTTCGGGGGAAAACAGCGCTTATGGGGGTCGAAAAAGTGGTCCCTATAAAAATAAAATCAAGGTTGTCTTTATGGTTTTAGATCTGACTCCTTAGCCCTAAAGTCAAGTGGTCCCTTTAAAGGTCTTTCAGTTTCATTTAAAAACGCTTACTTTTTATTTTTCGCTTGGAAATGCTTCTGTGCATAAAAAATGTCGATTAGCATGTCCCCTATAAAGGTCACTAACTAAAGCCACTACAGGGATTCTCCAAGGGCCCTTGCCCCTATAAGTACCACTCTGGAGATCCTAAGTAAAACGACATTTTGGTAAAATTATTCTCTTTAATCCTCTTCCCATCTCATTATCAATGGAGCACACTTCCTTTTTCTCCATTCATAAGCTCTTTCATTAATCATTATCACTGGAGCAACCTTTCTGTGTAAAAATCCGCCTTTTTTGTCATTTTTTGTCTTTCCCTTCAAATATCCCCGACTAACATCGACATCCATCGGTCGGTAATTCTCCGGATTCGCGTTTGGAGGCACCCTATTGAAAGCCGACTTGACCTTCGTCACATCCTCCGGGTAGGAGTCGATATTGGTCATCTAAAATTCAAAAACTCCAAATTTTCCCTTTGAGTACCCTTTACCGAGTCATACCACCCGAAATAGTTATTCTTGAGCTCCAAAATGAGTTTGACCAAGAGTCCAGTGAACTTCATTTCGCTTCCATCGATGAAAATATCGACGGTGAGTTGGTCGGGGGCGCACTGGAATTGAGATTCTACAGGTTGAAAAGGGAGTTTCTACCTTCCACGGATGGTCAGGTTTCGGGGGTAGGAACTCTCGTTCGACTTGTTCTGGCAGTTGAGATTTGATTTTTCCGACAATCGGGTGATAGGAATGGTCAAATTTCATGCTGATGCTTTTCGTCCTCCACGTTTCGAACCATTCGTCCTGAGGGGAAAAAATAGTATCGAAATAGTTCGAAATTCAATATTTGTAGAAAAGAAAATTTATCTCTGAAAGCCACCGTACTATTCTCAACTAAGAGCCTGATAAAATGAAAATTATCTGGTCGCACTCAGAATGGCTAAAAAAAGTTCCCGCCGCGTTCAAGACAGAATTTTGAACCTTGAAGATCATCCTCACATGATAAAACTTTCATACGGTGTACTTTAGAATCTTGTAACTCCAGAACGGGAAAATCCCTCGCAATAGATCTGGTTTTTGAGTTATGACACTTCAAGAGTTTGAAAAAAAACTTTTCTTTTTGGCATAAATTGCTTGATTCACAAACTTTGAAGTCAAAAACAGATGGAAATTCTTTTTTGTTCTGGAATCAGAAGGTCCGAAAGTACATTTCAGCAAAGTTTCATCAGAGATTCAATAGAAGATAGAAACTTTCGCTAGTTAGGCCTCTTCGAGCCATTCCCAGTGGTACCAACGTTAAAATTATCTTCCCTTCTCAACTTCTAAAAAAGTTCTACTCTAATAAGCTTCTTCTTTTGGTATGGAAGCGGACTTCATCCACTATTCAAAAAGAACGTGATGATCTACGGGCTGTGGTTGATCAACGACAGTTTTTCGAACTGAGTGGAAGCTGGGAATTTTTAACAAGGATGGAATAAAGTTCTAAGATTTTTCTGACCCCTTTTTACAAACCAAGCAGCTGGAAGGCTTAATTTTAGTCTTGATGAAGCTGTACTTTTATAATCCTAATACTTTTCACTTTCTTTTTCTTGAAGTAGAAGCTGATTACCAGAACGCTCAATAATCTTCTACAACTACCACAAAAAGAACGTGATCATCTACGGACTGTTGTTGATCAACGACAGTGTATTTTTTGTACTCCTACCCTTTTTTAAACTTTTTATTTGCCATAGAAGAGCAGCTGGTCGTCGGAACGCTCCAAAACCTTCTAATACTACCAAAAAAAGAACGTGATGATTTAGGGGTTGTTGTTGATCAAAAACAGTCTCTTGAACTGAGTGAAACCTGAGAACTTTCAACAAATGTGGGAATAAGGTTCTGAGCTTTTCCTGAACCATTCCTACAATCCAAGTATCTGGAAGACCTTTTTTCAGCTCTGATAAGGCTCAAGTTTAGCAACCATACTACTTTTTTCATTATCCATGGAGAAGCAGCTGATCTTCGAAACGTTCAATACTTTTCAACTACTATCACAAAAAGAACGTGATCATCTACGGGCTGTTGTTGATCAACGACAGTGTATTTTTTGGACTCCTACTACTTTTTACTATTAATTTTCCATGGAGAAGTAGCTGGTCGCCGGGACGCTCAATAATCTTCTACAACTTTAACAAAAAAAACGTGATGATCTACGGGCTGTTGTTGATCAACAACGGTTTCTTGAATTGAGAACTTTCAACAAGGGTGGAAAAGAAAGCTTTCTTGGATCTTTTCTACAATCCTAGTATCTGGAAGGCCTATTTTCAGCCCTGTTAAGGCTCAATTTTTGTACTCATACTACTTTTCATTTTTTTTGGGGGAAAAGCTGATCGTCGGAACGCTTAAAACTCGTCTACAACTATCTCAAAAAGAACGTGATGATCTACGGGCTGTTGTTGATCAACAATGGTTTCTTGAATTGAGAACTTTCAACAAGGGTGGAAAAGAAGCTCTAAGCTTTCTCGGATCTTTTCTACAATCCAAGTAGCAGTAAGGCCTATTTTGACCCTTGATTGAATTTTTATTCTCTTCTCTTCCCTGCACACCCACTTTATTGCAAGAATGAGTTCCTTGGCTGGATTTTTTGGCAAAAGATCTGGTTCTGGCCGATCTTGCCAGTGCCGCCAACATTGGCGCCGTCGCAGAATCCGGTGGGTACCTGTAAATTCGAAATATAAACTATCTTCAGAGTTATAAACTTCATTCTCATCGCCAGTTCTCCTTTGGCGCGCATCGAATACTTGACACGGACGAATTCCGGCAGAAATTCGACAAAAGGCATCACGAATTCTTAAATAATTGATTTATCAATAGAGCGCGAATGATACTCAAAACGTTCAAAAATTGAATAAATATGAATTTTTCTCTTGTAGCGCGTAGTTCTATTTTTGGAAAAGTTTAGAAAAGGCTGTAATAAATTTGGAAAAGGCTAGAGAATACATAACACTAAAATCTGAAAAATACTGGAAAAAAGTGAATTCATCACGAGTTCCCATAGAAAAATTTAACTTCACTGACTAGTGAGGCCAAGTTGGCCGATTTCCTTGATTTAGTGCGCTCCACTGATAAAAAAAAATGTTGAGAGGATAAATTTCAACTCCTCAATGAAAATCGGAGACGCCTTTTTCGAGCAACTTAAGGGATCACTTAAGAGGGCTCACGCTACTAAAGGGGTCACTAAAATGCCCCGACACGTCCGAGCAAAAATAATTGAAAAATTCAATAATCCGTAGAGCACACATAAGTCTCTGAAATCGCTCCAGAACTAAAAACAGCCGATTTTTTTTCTCAAGACATTTAACTGGAAAAAACTCAAATTTTAAAATTTTTGCTATGCTTTGCGCTTCTAAACTTCATTCCACCCCTTAGCAAAAATAAACTTCAGCAGAAATTCGACAAAAGGCGTCATAAATTCTTGACTTATTGAGTTATCAACAGAGCGCGAATGATACTCAAAAAGTTCAAAATTGAATAAATATGAAATTTTCATGCACTTCCTGTTGAAAAAATATTGGATAGAAAACTTCCGACTCTTGAAAAAAAATCATTAAAAACTTTGATTATTCGTAGAGCACACATAAGTCTCGAAAATCGCTCCCAAACTCTAAAAAGGCCATTTTTTTCAAAGGTTCCCAATTTTTCTGTCATTTTTTTCGAACGCCATTCAACCCCTCGCCAAAAATTCAGTTCCGGCAAAAAGTTCGACAAAAGGCCTCATAAATTCTTGAATGATTGAGTTATCAATAGAGCGCGAATAAAACTCAAAACGTTCAAAATTGAATAAACATGAAATTTTCCTGCAGCTCCTGATGAAAATTGTTAGATAGAAAACTCACGATTCTTCAAAAAATCATTCGAAACTTAAATTATCCGTAGAGCGCACATAAGTCTCAAAAATCGCTACCAAACCCTAAAAGGCCGTTTTTTTTTCTAAGATTTTCATTTTATTTTCTATCATTTTTCGCGTTTCAAAACTTCCAATCTCACCAAAAATCAATTCCTGTCCAACGATGGCCGCCTCGACGTTTTCCGCATTTTTATCAGCCGGATCTACCCAATTGCACTCATTCAATAACAACAAAATCTGAAGAATATATTTTTTCCTTCCGAAAACTTCTCATTGAATACCTCAAAACTGTCTTTGACAATGAGGGTGTTATGTACACGGAATGGGATAAACTTGATTATATCTGCCGGTTCATCGCCCACCCAATCATTGATGAGATCCTAAAAATGAAAGGGATAAAGGATGGATAGCTGCTTCACAGCTGGCTTGGGTCATTAAAGAAAGGTCCTGACACGAAAAGAAAGAGATAGTGTCTGGTTGGTGGAGAGCGCAGACATGCCACGCCCCCTCCCAAAGCCGTGAACCGGCTATAGCTTTGAAAAAGGAGGGATGAAAATCGAAAATTTAAAATTTGAGTGAAAAGGATCGTGAAATCAATAGAAAAATTCTTTGAAAATTTAAATCCAGGTACTTTGAAAATTAAGAGAGCTCAATGGATGAATATTGTTGCGAGGAATAAAAAAACTAATAATCTCGAAAAAAATACTACAACTTGGGCAAAGTCGGGATGGTGGATAATGGCCGCTAAAAGGGAGAGGCTCAAAAAGGCCTCAAAAAGGCGCCAGAAAGGCGATTCTATGCGATTCAAAATCTATTTAGAAAACAACCCCCATCTTCTCGCTGACTTTCTTAAAATATCTTCTAACTTTTAAACGGTTTGTTGCTGTTTTCAATGTTTAAATTTCCTTTTTTTTAAAATTGGTTCTGTTAGAGGTCTTTTCGGCCCTTGAACTGTATTATTATTCGTATTGAATAAATGATGAAATGATAATGATGAAGGCAGCAAAAAGGGTCTCTTTACCGAGCCTTCCATTTTTTTTCTAGGTTTCAAAGGCTCGAGGAATGGTGGAAAAGGAGAGAGGCAGCAAAAATGGTGCATAATAGCCGATGAAATGGCGCAAAAAGGGGAGCAAAAACGGAGTCTTTGTCACCCTAAAAGGAAATTTGCCTTTTTTGACCCTTTCCGGAGCCTTTTTCGACCCTTTCCGGAGCCTTTTTTGACCCTTTCCGGAGCCTTTTTCGACTCTTTCCGGAGTCTTTTTCGACCCTTTCCGGAACCTTTTTCGACCCTTTCCGACTTTGCCCATGAAAAATTCTCTACAAAAGCTCAAATAAAAGCTCATTTTTCCCCAAACCCACCGTGAAAAACCGTTTATGGTCCCAGACAAACCAACAGGTCGCCTTCGAGAAAGTATAATCAATTTTCCAATTTTGTTCCGCATTGAAGACCTAGAAAATTCGACAGTTCATGAGGTATCTCATTCACGGACAAAGTCCAAAAGGCCTCAAAGAACTTTAAAAAAAGCACTCTAATAGGCCTTAAAGGCATGGGGGCAGTAAAAACGATGTTTCAGTTCAAATCAGTACTTTGTAGAGTTTTTCATTGCGAATCGAACGGTAAACTTGAAAACGTACCGAACTTCCTAGTTTCGGAGAAAAAATAATTCAAAGTCGGAGAAAGGAAATCTTGAGATCCCGCGAAAAGGGCGCTTTGCAGTAAAGTTGCTCTATGGACAACAGGCTTCGCCATCTTCCGGATTTTCGCTTTTTTCTTCGTTTCTTTCAATTTTCAATTTTTTCTGTTGTCACCAAAGTTCTTTTCGTCACAAAAGCTTTCTATTCATGTATAATTTGCAAACTTTGATTGCAAAAATGCTTCTTTGGTGAAAAATGATGATTTTACACAGGTTTCGATTGGGATAGCGATTATTTGTGTTTTCTTTATTATCAATGTGTGTTTTCTGTTTTCTTAATCGATTTTTCAGAGAAGAAACCCTTAATTTCAAGCAGATAGCCGGTTATTTCTCACAAAATGCGAGTCTAATGAACGTCCGCAACATCGCGTGCACGGCTACTGTAATCAGTTGTCTGCATACCGATCCAAAGCTTTTTTTAAAAAATTAAAGGCAAGAAAGCAAAATCGCGTTTTTCTTCTAAAGTTGTCACACCTGTAATTTTTTTGAGTACACCATTCGATTCGCAAAGAAAAACTATATAAGATACTGCTTTCACCTGAAACCCCATTTTTTACTGCCCCTATGCCTTTAAAGGCGCCTTTTTTCTCAAAAGCTCCTTTCAAGGAGGTAAAAAAGAAGGAGGCGGAAAGAGGAAATTCCGAGAAACTTTTGACTCCTTTTTAAGAACTTAAAAAGGAGCTGTAGACTCCTTTTAAAGGCCTTTTTGAGGTCGTTTGGACTTTTCCTGTGTTTCCTGAACCTTTGGATATTCGAAAGACCCCTTGACGACGAATTTCTCGCTTTCCAGAAGCTTTGTGAACAGCAAAGACGTTGTGGATTCAATTCTGAGGAAGAAAAATTTCCATTTTAATTAATTTTTCTCTACTTTTTTTCCAACACTATCAGACTGTTTTGTAAATTTTTATAATGAACCTTAAAAAAATTCTAAATGAACAAGAGTACTTGAAAAAAATAATAACAACCCTGGCAAAAAAATTATATTTCGAAAAAAAGCTCTTTTGATAAAATAACGTGTATTTTTTTGCAATTTTTCGAATTTTTTTCAACTGGAAAAATCGCTTTGAAATCACTGAGGCCAATGTAGAGAATCTCTTTGAACCCCAAAAATCCAAGAATAGCTCCATAATCTGATTTTAAAAAAATCATACGGCTAATTTTTTTTTCAAAACGCACTTCAAAAATTCGGCATGAACGTTCCAATGGAAACCGTTGTCCGTGACGATCCAAAGAACAGAAAACTGAAAAATATTGGGAAATTAGTTGAGAAAAATCCTAAAATGCTCTGAAACTCGAAAAAGTCATCTCAATTGAAAAGAGATTCTTTTTTCAAGAGAAAAAAATCCGTATAAATTAACTTTTGAGTATTTTTCCTACTGAAAACTCTTTCCAAAAACTTCGATGTTTCCGGTTCAAAAATTAAATTTATTTTTCGAGATTGTTTTTTTCGAAAATTTGACGACGTGTTCAAAATGATTTCGCGAATTCCAAAAGAATGAAAAAAATAACTGAATTTTTGGAGATTCAGTGATAATTTTTTTATTTCGAGGTCATCACTTCAAAAAAATTTTTATTCAGTTAAAGACCCGTAAAATAATTGATTGTATATATACTGTTTTTGCCATACCTTTCAATCGTCAACTTCGATTTTTGAACAAACTTTACTTACAAGGGAACGTTTTCACCCCCCGCACAAGAAAAAAATTCTCACAATAAAAAAATTTTTTTAATTTTTTTCAATTTTCGAAGGCTCATTACTATGAAAAAAATCAATTGCGAGAAATTTGTTACCTGTTTTTAGAGTTAGACAGTCCTAAAGTGCATTTCAGCCGAGTTTTATCAAGTTTAGTTCTACTGAAGGCCAAAAAACGTTCTCTTGTTATAGTCTGTGTGCCACGACTTGAAAGTTCACCGAACGACGTTCCGCTGCGTACGGTCGCGAAGCGTCTTTGCCTTTGCGAATCTAGGTCGCCTTTTCAGACTTTTTTTATTACTGATAGATGGATTGTTCCACTACGAGTATTTGAATGAAAGAAAAAATTGAAACCGCGGCCGAGATTCGCAAAGGCGCCCGGCGGAACAGCAGAATGTCGTTCGGTGAAATTTCAAGTCGTGGTACACAGACTATAGCACTCTATCATGCTGGCCAGGTGTCTCAACGGGTTTACCTGTGTTAAACCCGTGTTTTTGGGCCTCATCTGCATGGGAGCTGCTCGTATATTTTCCTACTTTCAAGGTCTTCATTTTCCTTCTTTTTTTTCGAACTTCAACCCTCAATTTCAAAGACCAACATCGATAAAACTGCCAGGCGCACAACGGGTTCGGATGCTCTCCAACTGTTCTCCGCGCTCAAACCAAAGGTCCACGCAACTTTCCTTCATCAATATGACCTTGGCCTGGAAAAATCATCATTTTTACATAAGCATACAGATCACAGTGATGAAAATTGAATTTATTTGGGCGACAACATGGAAAAAATGATACGAACATCATGCCGGACATGGATCCTTTTCTGTCCTCGTTTGGGCAAATTCGTCGTTTTCGCGTTCTGAAAAACACGTTCAGATATCATTTACGGATAATTTTTCAAAAAAAGCACAAAAATAAATAAAAACCCAAAAAATGAATATTCAAAAATATAAAAATTTAATCAAGGCAATGATTTTTTTTTTCTGACGAAGCTTTTTTTGAGCATTTTCACTTCAAAATCTATAGAAAAATTCCATCAAAAAACAAAGGAAAATCAATAACTTTACCGTTTCAAAACTCCTAACCCCTAATTTTCTCAAACTTTCAAAATTTCACCCTTCCAAATCCCTCAAAATCCTCTTCCTACCTGATAATCCGGCGGGAAGAAAAAGTTATAAATGAGCATCCTTTGTTGTTCAGCCCATGGGCCATAGGAAATGACAGTGTTATTGTGGAATTTCCATTCACTCGACCATTTTGGGACTTTTGCATCGATCGACTGTTGTTCTTCGTCGACAACGTAACCTGAAAGATGAAAATTCAGTTCATGGGCAAAGTCCAGAAGAGCCTAAAACACTCTTTGACGGAAAAAAGATCTTCTAAGGGCCTCAATGGCTCTTTTTTTTGTTACCCTTTTCAGAAAAAAAAAAGAAGGAGGCGGAAGAAAGATGTCAAAAAGAAGATTCCGAAAAACTCTTTACAACTTTTTAGGGGATCAAAAAGGAGCTTTATCTGCTTTTTGAGACCTTTCTCAGGCCGTTTGGACTATGCCTAGGGACACGGACAAAGTCCAAAAGATCTCAAAAAAAGCGCATATTTTTTCAAGACTTTTTTTCTAAAAAGAACCTTTAAAAGAGGTGTAGAAAAAGAAGGCGTGAAAAAGGGAATTCCGAGAACATTTTGAAACAATTTTAGGATCTAAAAAAAGAGCTTTAAGCTTTTGCTTTAGTACATGTGTGTAAGAAATTAAAAATTTGATGATGATGATGAAAAGAAACTTTAATAAAACTTTAATGCTTACAAACCACTTTCTTATAATGGACATTTTAAGGAAAAATAAAAGAAAGATGCAAAAAAAGTGAAAAAGGAGGTTCCGAGAAACTTTTTACACCTTTTAGGAACTCAGTAAGGAGTTTCAGGCTCTCCTTTTTGAGGCCCTTTTAGGCCGTGTGGACTTTGCCTGGGTAAGAATTTCAAGGTTCACCCACGGGAAAAGTCCAGAAGAACTTTAGAAGAAGCTTTTGGTGAAAAAGGATCTTAAAAGAGATGTTGAGAAGCCCATTTAAAGATTACCTTTCTGAGAAAAAGGGAAAAAAGAGATTTCGAGGAACTTTTTACACCCTCTGAGAGACTCAAAAAGGAGCTTTAGGCTCTTCTTTTTGAGGCCTTTTTATGGGCCGTGTGGAATTTGCCTGGGTAAGAATTTCAAGGTTCACCCACCGGAAAAGTCCAGAAGAATCTTAAAACAGTAAAGTAAGTAAGTAAGTAATCTTAAAACAAACTTTCGGAAAAAAGGGTCTTCAAAAGATGTTGAGAAGCCCATTTAAAGATCACCTTTCTGAAAAATAAGGAAAAAGTACATTCCGGGAAAATTTTAACACCCTTTTAGGAACTCAAAAAGGAGCTTTAGGCTCTTATTTTTAAGGCCTTTGCCTAGGTGAGAACTTCAAGGTTCCGCACTAACAATTTCGAATATTTTTCTTCTAAATCCCTATGTTTTTAAAACCAAAAACCCACCCAATATATCCTGTTCCAGAACGAATTGCAGGGAAGCCGTTTGTAGCACTGGAAATCCAGTATCTCCAGTTGTTCTGGGGGATCCTTAAAAATTTTTTTCACATAAAATTACATTGATACATAGATAATTCATTCACAGAACCCTTCTATGGAATTTAAAGGCGCTGATGCAAAAAAGATTTTTTCAAAGCTCTAAACTTTGTACACCTTTTAATATTCCAGAAAAATGTCATGAATCAACTATTCCTCCATTCAAAAACCTTATCATTTTCTCCATGTTGATACTCTTCATTTTTGATCAAAGAGATGCTGACGCTTTCCGTGTCGCCTTCGCAAGTGAGTAGAGCGCGGTCGTTGGCCGATTCCGAGACCCCAATTTTGCCTTAAAATCCACATTTCGTCTTTATTTCAGAGTAATTTTATTTTTTTTTGGGTTTTGGAGCTTCTAGAAGTTACCACAGCTAGTTTATCTCAAGTTGAAGGATTGAAAAATTGTTTAAAGTTCTAAAGTTTCATTTTATTCAAAGTTGTGAGGTCTGAAACTACTACCTAGCTTAGGAGATCCAGACCCTCCATGGCTCCCCTCTAGGGATCACTTTACCAACCCCTCTAGAGGCCACTAAAGCTTGCAAAAGTGGCACCTATAGGGAAAATTACAGTCGATGATTTTCATGTACTCTATGCGAAGAAGCAAAAATAAATAAATAAGCGTTTTTAAATCAAGTTGAAAAACCCCTATAGGGCCTACTTAAGCTTCTGCGACTAAGGGGCCAGACCCTTAACCCCTATAGGGAGCACTTTTTCAGCCCCTACAGGGGCTAATTTTCTCCCTAACCCCTATAGGGACCACTCTAGAATTCCTTAGAGAGCTATATTTTTCTTCATAAAAACGAATGGAACATAATAACTTGAAAAATAAAATTCCAATTAGAAACTTGAAAATAAAAGCCAAGTACAAGAAAATCTTAAAAAGACCCTTTATTCCCCCACTAACAACTGAGATTCTCCAATCGAAGCCACAACGCGTTGGGAAGGAGTCGATTTCCAGCCAAAAGCCATCCGGAAGATATTCTCAGATCCAGCATTCCCAACAAGTTCCAGACGTTCTCCCAAACAGCCGATGGTGGGGTTCTGAAGTTGAAAAATTAAAAAAAAGTTCGAAATCGCAAAAATTATAGGAAAAAGGGATATCTTCAACTTCTTTGCATCAAAGTTGACGTGAAAGATTTATAAACCCGAAAAATTAAATCATAAGTTTCAATCCAGGAAAAAAGGAGCCTTACAACAGATCCTAACTCCATTTTTTTCAGATATTTGATAACTTAAAAAAATCAATACACGAAGAATTTATTCAATTAGCCACAGAAATTGAATCTGAAGTTTTTTTAAAAAAATCCGAGAAACCAATATAAAAAGTCCTTACAACTTTATACGCAAAAAAACGCATTTTTTTCTCATTTTTTTCAAAAAGATAATCACTTTTTTTAAAAAAATCTAACTACCAATTAAAAAAATGAAAAAAACATAACTCAAACTCTTGAAACCTTGAAAACCATAAAATTTCCAGCATTCTCAACAAATTCCCTTCAATTTTATACCACAAAAAGGCTTTTTCTTACTTTTTTCAGGTATACATTTTCATTTTTTCATCTAACAACCAATTTGAAAAATTAATATTGCGATTTTCATACAAAAAATTCAAACCTAACATTCAAAATTTTATAAATGTCTGCAAAAACTAACGAATCTGGCGGTTTTGGCGGCCGTTTCGGATCCACACCCGTGTTGGCGAAGAACCAATCGGCGCCACAAATTCGGGCGATTTCACTGTACTTGGCCATGTTGTTGAAGACGTGGATTTGGAATCCATTCAGTGAGACGAGAAGCCGCGGGGATCGTTTTCTGAATTCATTGATTTATGATTGAAATCAGAAACTTCGGAAAACTCGTCCAGCTTCAACCGGCGGCTTTTGATCGTCTTCCAAAATTTGAAGATAAAGTACCCGTCGTTGATTTTCACTACGAAGTCGTTATTTGCATATACAACCTGAATTTTGTTGGCATTTTTTTGTTTCTGACATCCTTGTTTTGATTTTCAAGGAGGATTCGTTCACAGCGAGGTGCTGAAATGATTGCTTCAACAAAAGTTGCGGTGCACCCCGAAGTGTAATTAGGGGTGCACCCCGTTTAACTTCAGATGCCTCTTAAGGTCCTTATTCCGTACAAAATTTCGAATTGATTCATTTTCCAATACAACCATTCCCTAAACTTACATCCAAAGTTTTTACGATAACTCAAAAAAAATTTCTATTTCCGACGGCTTGTCCTGGGAGTGCACGCCATCCAGGTGCCCCGTGAACATCAACGAAAAGTCCACCTTTTTCGGGGTTCATTACGGAGTACACTTTCATTTTTATTAGAACAGGGAGCTGTTAAGATCGATTCCTATGATCAAAATCGATTGAAATATGTAATTCTGTCGAAAAAAAAGTTGTCTGAATATTTTGAAGACGCTTTAATTTAAGAATATCGTGCCAGGGCTTTTTTTCGGTTACACTATAACAAAATGATGGTGTAAACCGCAGTGAACCCCCGAAAAAGTGAACTTTTCTTCAATTTTTGCGGTGCACCGCGCGTCGGACCTAAATGGCGTGCACCCCTGGGGCCACCGATCGGAAAAAAATTTTTTTTTGAGCTACCGTAATAGCTGAGACGGTAGAAAACGGTAATATTGGGAAATAAACCAATTCGAAAACTTGTACGAAGTACCTCAAACGGGGTGCACCCCTGGTTACACTGCGGGGTGCACCGCAATTCTGTTAGAGAGTTAATTTTTTCGGGGTTCACTGCGGGGTGCACCTTTAATTTCGTTAGTATGGGATCGAAAAAAGCCCTGGCAAGATCTTCGATCATTTCTACATCTTTAAACTATTCAGTAAGCTTTTTGACATAATTATATAAATTCAGTCAAATTTGTTTTTTTAAAAAAATCGGTCGTAACAGCTCCCAGAAGGTCCCCAAGTTTTTGCAAAATTAACAAAAAAATAAGAAAAAAACCACACATTTCTAAACATAATCTTGCCGACGTGAAGTCCCGAGATGGAAATCCCGCCGATTCGAAAAATATACACCATTTTTTTGGAGAGCCGTAAATATCTGGAATATTATTTTAATTTCATTGAAGAATTCTTTTCCATTCTTACTTATCAAGGAAGAAGGTTAGAAAGATTCCGACGACGCGCGAAAAAAATACAAAACGATGAAAAACGCCCCAGGCGAGGAACGAAGTCAACGCCAGGATCAGGATCCAGAATGAGAACTGGAATAAAAACGGATATTTTTTTATAAAAAAATTCATTTTTATATGAAAAAAATTGACCGAAATAGAGACAGTGAACCATTATAAAATGGTAAAATCCTAGAAATTTTTTTGACGAATGGCCAAAAAAATTTTATGAAAAATGTTCCAGATGTCAAATATAAAAAAATAATAATGAGATCAAAGTCAAAAAAATGTCCGTATTTCCAAGAAATTTATTATAAACTTCATTCGGATCGATGGTTTTTTTCGTCGAGGTCGATGCGGAATGACCCGAAAAGCGTGTTGTTGTTGATGCCCGACATTTTTCCCGTTTTTTTCAATTTCAAAACATTTCCACCACCTGAAAATGACCAAGATTATGGGAGAAATCGAAATTTACATCGAACAGAAAAAGCGCGAAAAGTTTGAGAGCGTTAATTTGAAAAAAAATTTGAAAAACCATCGAAGATTTCTTGTTAATTTTTCAATTTGATAGTTTAATTTGAAGCATTTCAAGTTTCCTTTCAAGTTTATTCGCGAAATAAGATAAAGCTGAATTTTTTTAGAAATCAAAATAAAGATGAAACGCGTTTTATGAATTATAAGAAGTAGAAATAAAATTGTAAATTTCTGGAAATTTTTTTCAAGCAAAAAAACATTCTTGGTTAACTCTTGATTGAGAAAAAAATCCTTTATCAAGTTTAATCAAAGTTAAATTTAACTAAAATAAAGTCCTTTTTGAAATAATATTCAATTTGAATCAACAGTGACGAAGAATAAAGTGGAAAACAAGGTTTTCAAGTACCAAAATGCAAAAAGTTGAGAAATATGTTCTTATTCCTCGAATTCCGCGACAAATAATCTCTCAAACAACTTAATTTGAACATATTTTTGAATGAAAGAAGCTTTTTAAATCGAAACCATTGAAAAAAATCGCGGTAAACCGATGAGGAATTTGCATAGGGACCAAAGTCCAGGCAGCAACTTTCAATCTCTAAAACGTTGGATTGAAAAAAAACTTCTAAAAAAGGAAAAAAAATAAACTTTATCAATGAAGAACTTCAAAAACTATGAGCACTTCTTCTGAAGGAACATTTGAAGCCAAAATAAATATTTAAACTTACCGAAAACGCCAAATTTGATCAAAATTACTATATTTCAGGTATTGTACGTTAAATTTCAGTGTTCAGACCGAGCTTCTATAAACTAAAATTAAGAAAAAATCAGTCTTTTTCATCGATAAATGATAATATACTACAAGAAACGCTACAACTTGAATTCAACTGCGAATCGAAACCCAATGACCGACTTTCCATTCTCAAGCCAATTTCTATAATTTTTTTCTATGAAAATACGGAGAAAAACAGCTAAAACAAGCTCTGATGATAGGGAAAAAAAATGGAATGAACTGATCTAACGGCGGAAAAAACAAAAATGAAGAAACCAACAAACAATCCCCACGTAAATTCACAACGGCGCGCGTGTTTGCAGAATTTCACGGAAGAGACGAAAAAATTGGGCGCAAAGAGACGTGAAAACTTGAAGATTTCAAATCATTTAATCGAGAATCTTTCGAAGATGTTGGTCGCACTGAGTCAAGTAAGAAAAAGTTTTATTAAAAAATGAGGGTTTTTCTTGTTCAGAAAGCATTGGACCTGATGATCATGAGAACGAGGTTTCTATTTCTTTTTTTTAAAATAAAGTTTCCGAAATATTTTCGTCGTGATAGGGATTTTAATGAAATTTCCGAGGCTTTTTCCGTGTTACTGGGAAAATGTTTAGTGGCCACTATAGGGTTTTGACGTTTTAGTTGCCATTATAGAGGTCGAAGTGCTACTACTAGGCCACTAAAAATTTTAGTGGCCACTTTAGGGGTCAGTGGATCAACATAACTGGTCCAATCTGCTTGGTTTAAAATTATCAGAGTGACTGGAAGGAGTACTGGATGAAGAACTACTGAAGTGGCCACTAAAACGGAAAGTAGTGGCCACTATAGAGGTGGGTTTGGGGGCCCCTTTAGTATCCTCTTCAAGTAGTCCTTGGCGAGTCTCTATAGAGGAAAATTTCCAAGTATTGTTTATCCCACGGCGCCCTAAAGCATTCAAAAAAAAAAATAATTTAAATAGTCTGTTTACAGAAAATAATATATTTTTATTGATTTACAATGACTTCTTATTAAATTTGTAGACACCTTCAAATATCGACGGTTGTCTGCGGCCTTTTCGCCTGGATCAACTTTCTTTTTGCCTTCATTAATATGCTCTATGTTGCGATTAGTGTAAGAATTATTTTTTTAATTGCTCAACAAGAATTTCTATCAAAGATTCATCGAGTTCTCCGGGCAATCCATGCGAAAATCGTGATCGCCGACGAGGAGACTAAATCACGCAAAATGAGCCAAAATATTCAATGTAAATGTGGAAATTTTGAATATCCTTTAATATTCGAAATTCTAGCCGCGATGAAGATAAACATGCAGAAACAGAAAAAGGACCTCCAGCAACTGTTCAAGGACTTGAAAAGCCAATGAAACGTCTATTTTTATGCTTTTTTGGGGGCTAATAAACCAGTTTTTATTTTTTATTTTTTTTGATGAAATTTGGAGATTTTTTATGGGAAGATGTAAGAAGAAAAAAATTGAAAAAAACCCACGATAATAATCGAATCTTCCCACGCTTTGAAAAAAACAAAATTACTGATCCAAGATTTTTTTCTGTACAAATTTTAAAAAAATAAATCGAAAAAAAAATTTTTTTGCGGCTGTTTTTTTGGAATATTTCGATTTTGTAAAGTTTTTCCATATATCTTTATATTTATTTAAATTTTTGTATTTTTCATCTTCAATTATAATTTCTCTTCAAAAACCTCATAAAGGCTTAAAATTTCGACGCCACGTCCACTTGACGCGTTTTCCATTCAAAAAATGACCAAAAATTCGATTTTCGACCTTTTTTGTTCAAATTCTCTCAATTTACTCTCTCTACCATAGTCCTATAATTTATATGAAACATTAATTATTTTTCCTACTAAATTCTCGATTTTCCTTCAATTGAAGCATAATTAGGCCCAAAAACTCTTCGAGGTGTCGTCCAGCTGACGCGTTTCCATGGGGACCGCGCCCATTTCACCTTGATTTCGGACTTTTTTTTATGAATTTCTGTTTTAAACTTTTCATGTTCAAGCACCTATGCTACAGTTTGACAAACTAAAAAAAAAATACCTCAAATTTAATTTTCATGCCGTTTTTAAAACAAGAAAAAATAATACTACATTTAAAATTTAAATTTCAACGCCAGCTGTGTTTTCAAGCAAGTTCGCCCTGATAACTTTTAAAATTTCATGAATTACAAAAATGGTTACTGTATAAAATATTACGGTAACTAGCAATAGAAAAAATTTTAAAACCAACTGATATTTCTAGCATTACCGTGGTTAGTAGAGCAGCGTTCAAAATCACATAAATCTTTAAAAAATCCACTTATTCCTAGATTTCTTATTTTCTCAAATTTCGTATTTCTATTGTCTGAAAAAGCTCGATTCCTGGCTTATCTTCTGAAATTCCCTATTTTTAAGACTTATAAGAAATGGATGACGATGAAAATGACTCAAAATCAACGGGAGCTCAAAATTCTGATGAAGGACCTGGAAAGGAATACGAGATTTACATCAAAGTGAGTGATTTTTTTTTTCTTAGTACTTCTAAACAACTGGATTTTTCGATTAATTAAAAAAAATAATAATTTCAATTTCAGAACGAAGAAATGGTAGACAAACTCAAGTTATTAAACTACGAGGCCGGTTTCTTATCGATGGGAGGTGCTTATAAGCCGATTCAGAGGTAATTTTATATTTTCCATCACAAAAATAGCTATGGCCGCATTTGGAATGGCTCAATGTCGCTCTAAAGTTGAAAAAAATTTTTCAATTTTTTTGTCCAGATTTTTCTCTTCCAAAAATTGGTTTCCAGCTAAAAATGCAATTTTTTTCTTTTTAACTATAAAACTCAAAAAACATTTCTTTATATATTTATGACTCTAATCGACGCAAAAAAGTCAAAAAAGGTTAAAAATCATTTTCCAGACATTATTTCGTCAAATCAACAAACGTCGGCGAGCAATTCTTCCTCTTTACTTCATTAGCCGCCTGGTTGATAAGAAAAGCGGGCAAAGAGGATTTTCCAATGCCTCAAGAGGTTTATATATTTCACAAAATGGCTGTGAACAGCAAGAGCTTGTGCGCTCCATCGCTGAATTTTGATTTTTTGAATGAATTTCGATTTTCGGTGAGTTTCTTAGTCTATTTTATATGATAATAAGCCACAGAGCGTCAAAAAAAAATTGTTTTTCGCGGTTTTTTTTTCTGGAAATAACCGCCGCGGCAGGCAAGACCTTGTGCGCTCCATAGCGAAATCGTAATTTTTGAAGCTGAATATTGTTAATCTTAACGATAATTAGTCAAAAAGACACGATTTCTTCAAAATTTAGCAATGGAGCGCAGAAAATAACTTTCGGTGGCTATTTTTTACCCTAAAATTTTTTTTCAGTTTGATGATCCAAATTCGACAATCGCTTCTATCATCGCCGAGCTACGTAACAAGGTAAGTATTATTTGAAGAATACATAAGAAAAATACAAAAATGTAAAAAATATGAGTTTATAACAAAAATGAATAACCCGTTGAAAGATCACAATAAAAATAAGAGGCGGAGCCAATAATTTCTCAGATTAGAGAAAAAAGACACGCCTCCTGGAAAAATCACAATCAAAGCTAGTACCCGCTTGCAAAAAAAGGAAGTCTCAGCTAACATGAGTCACAATTTGCACCCGTTATCACTGTAGACAAATTTCGTGGCGAGAAGCTGATGGATATAAAGATTACTGTAGCCGGCGTAAGTCGTGAAAGAGCTCTCCACATTGACACACTTTAGGCCGGGGAACGACGGAATCTCACAGTACTCGGGCCCTGGAATACTGTAGTTTTCGAGGAGTTACGGTAGCCAAGAACCTTTGCATGTGCTGTGCTGCTCTTTGGTGTAGAAAATTCGGTTGTAGCAACTTTCAATAAGCGGGTAGTACAGGGATACTGTAGGCAGGCGAGCGTAGACCTGATCTCGGTTACTGTATTCAACAAATCGTACTGTAGCACCTTTTTGACGATTTCCTTGTTGATTCTCCTTCGGAAACTCTTATCGATTTTTTCGCCATCTTCAGCCAAAAATAATCGATATTCTGTCTCATTTCTCAATAAGGGATCGTAGTGTGGCACTCCTGGAAAAAGTCGTAAGCCGTTTCAGGTCGGATGCAGAAGGGAAATCCCACTGGATAAATCGAAAGTCGAATTTTGTAAAAATGTCCACTTTCGAAAATGTAGGCCCGTGTTTATGTGGGCAGGCAGAGCTACCTGGAAAGTACTTGTTTTTTTTTTTTTTGAATTTTTTTTTAAAAATTTCTTATCAAATATTTCAGTTTTCAAGGCTCAAATTTCACGCCTTTTTTGTTAGTGGAAAAAAAAATGCGAAACCAAAAACCCGATGGGCGGAGTCGAAACCTCTGCCGTTCCCACGTGACGTCATGAGAACGTTAATAACGCTTATTAAAGGCGCAGGCCATCGTATTGCCAGAGGTCTTTGAGACGAATCGTAAACTCAATTTTTTGTGCGTGATAGCGGCGCAGTGCATGCACACGACACACCACACTTTACGGAGAAAAAGTGGGCGTGGCGTCGTCGAAAAAACGCCGTGGTTTTGAAGTGTTCAACATGGAAAAAACTACAAAAATGCAAAATATCAAAAAATCTCCGCAGTTTCCTTCAAGGTTTCGATCATGAGCTACTTTTAATGACTAATTTTACATCATAAATCTCAGAATATCAATAAAATACCTGCTCAAAGTCATCCTTAATCCCATAACTCCGATGGATCCAAACGCTGTCGACCCTTTCCGGCCGAACCACTAGTTTCCCCCAAAGAACTTCTCCCTAAAACCATGAAGACTTGACTGGGAAATGCTCCAGGCACAAAAATATGACTTTGTGTTCCTATATCTTTTCAGTTTCACATTACTCTATCAATGCAAAGTTATAGCCAATTCACGGCAAACTTGGGACGCGAAAGGGGCGTGGCCTGCCTGCGCTCTCCACCAAACAGGCACTATCTCTTTTGTTATCGTGTCAGGACCCTTTTCGATGGCTCAAACCAGCCGTGAATCAGCTATAAGCCTTTTTTTTAAAGAAGAAAATTTTAAAAGACCAATCAATTTTCTATATACTGGCGCAAAGTCGGAATGATGGATAATAGCTGCTAAAAGCGAAAGGCTCAAAAAAAGCCGCAAAAAGGCAGCAAAAAGGCTGCAGAAAAGCAGCAAAATGGCTGTAGAAAGGCAGCAAAATGGCTGCAGAAAGGCAGCAAAATGGCTGCAGAAAGGCAGCAAAAAGGCAGCAAAAAGGGTCCCTTTATCGAGCCTCCCCTTTTTTCTGGGATTTTAAAGGCTCAAGAGATGGTGGAAAAAGGGAGAGGCAGAAAAAATGGTGCAAAAGAGCCTATAAAATGGCGAAAAGGGGGAGCAAAAACTGAGTCTTTAACACCCTAAAAGGAAAATTGCCTTTTTTGACCCTTTCCGGAGCCTTTTTAGACCTTTTCCGGAGCCTTTTTTGACCCTTTCCAGAGCCTTTTTCGCCTACGTCTGTACAAATTTAGAGACAAGGGAAAATCCAGAGACTTAGACAGCTCTGGTTTACTCTGCATGTCTGACTACCTCCATTTTTGTTTAATCACTGAATTTCTGGCGAAATCAAGTTATCACGAAACAGAAGATTGTTGTTTTACATCTTGACCATTATAAAAAAATATAAAACCTTAAATTCCAAGGTCGAAAGTGGCAATAATGGCGTGTATTGTGATGTTGAGGTTGCTAAAAAAATGAATATAGAAAAATTTTTTTAAAAACGTATACTGTTAAAGATTCTTAGAACTTCACGGAATTAATTTCTTTTTTTTTAAATGTTAAAATACCTCATGGAAAAATTGAAAATTAGTTAAAATAATAACAAACTTGCAGAAATCGAAGCCTGGCTAATGTTGTAGGAAATCGCGCCAGCGTTGGGGAACATTTTGAAGACCTTAAAAGAAGGGAAAATCTCTAGGGACCACTTGAGAGGCTCCTCAAGGACTACTTGATGAGGACACTAAAGTGGTCACTAAAAAAAACCTTTACATAAGCCCATATTCCGCGTCTTAGTGACCACTATAGTAGTTTTTAATAGTCCAGTAGTAACACTTCGATTTCTAAAGAGGCCACTGAGATTTGACCACTTTAATGGCCACTTATTAGATTGCTATAATGTTGGTGACCACTATAGAAGTTTTTTAATGACCTAGTAGAACTACTTTTAATTATAGAGAGACACTAAATTTTAGCCACTCAAGTGGTTGCTATTTCGGCCAGTATAGTAGCCACTAAAATGTCAAAACCCTTAAGAGGTCCCTATATCTTTCCCTTGGATCTCAAAAATCTCAAATTAAAAAAATCAGAAACGAGGAAGAAGCGTAAAATTTGAAATAAACCAAATAAAAATCAAAAAATCACAAAAATCAACTTCAAAACATGCTTTAAAACTCCAATTTTTCAAAAAAAGATTCAGAACACATACCCTTGAAAATTCTCCATAGTAATCCCTAGCCAAGTGCGGAATGATTATATCGTCGGGGTCAGGGAAAAGAACAAACTCGGCTGATTCCTAAAATTTCAAGCCTTCAAAAAATTTTAAAAAATTAAGAATCCATATAGTTTTCTGATTTTCGAACAGAAAAAAACAGTTTGACCTTTTTTTTTCAAAAATAGAAAATACCAACTTTGTACATCAACAAGCAGTCGGTCATGGCGGCCGCCTGATTTCGGAATTCCAATTCTCTATTGGGATCAAAAGTTGGGCCGTTGGCCCGAATTCGGCCCAACTTGACCGCTGGCCAAGGCGTTACTCGGACCTAAAGCGAGTTTTTTGAAAGGAAAAACATTGAGAAATGAATGAAAACTCAATGGTTGCGTCTGAAATAACTTGACATCCCATGGCGATTTCTTTATAAGTACAAAAACTAGATTTTGGATCACTAGCGGTCCTTCTTATCACTCCTGAGGTCACTGAGCGCAAGTCGTTTCATGGTCGGGCGCAGCCGCATTAATACCGCTACGCTTTTAGCCGTTCCTAGCACAGTCAGAGATCAAATTTAGTTAAAAATTGAATAAAACCAACAAAATATAATTCAAAAAAAGTTAGCAGAGTAAAAATGAAGCGAAAAAGGAGGGTGATTTCATTAGAAAAAGATTTTTCGAAGAAATTTCTCTTTCAGAATTTTTCCTATCAAGGAAATTTTATTCTGTTGATCATATCAGACCTTTTTAGAGTTTTCAAGCGAAACATACTAAGGAACTCCAGAGTGGTCGCTATAGGGCCCCTCTAAGGGCCACTTTATCAACCCCTATAGGGGCCATTAAGGCTGGCAAAACTGGCCCCTATAGGGGATATTCTAGTCGATAATTATTATGAACTCCATACTAAGAAGCATTTCCATGCGAAAAGCTGAATAAATAAGCGTTTTTTGAATGAAGTTGAAAGACCCCTACAGGGGCCACTTGAGCTCTAAGTTCTAGTTGAGGAGACCTTATAGGGACTCCTTTTTCGGCCCCTCTAGGGGCTTTTATTCCCCCTAAACCCTATAGGGACTTCTGAGTAGGCTGAAAGACGAAATTTTGAAAATTTTCAAGCCCCCCTTCAACTATTTCCAGAACAGCCCTAAGGGTAGGGAAGCATAAAAATTTTTTTTGAAAATCGAAGAAAATGAACATTTTTATAAGTGTAGACGATGGTCATCAGATCGGTAATCATTGAGCGGACGTAGAATTGCATGAAGGCTCCATAGTGCGAATAAATCTGCAAATTTTGAAAAATTAGAGAACAACCGAGATCAGAAGAGACACCAGAGAAACGAGAAATCTCTCATTTCTCTGGCGTCTCTTCAAACAGCAGTGATCTCTCGCTTTGGACTATTTATTTTCAATAACAATTTTTTATTTCTATTCCTAAAAAAACCAGGTTTTTTGTATCAACTAGAGCGTATTGCAGTCCTCTCAAAAATATGCAAGAATTTCCGGATTTTATTCCAAAAATAGTAAATTTCCTAAGACTGCCCGCATTTTACAGCAATCCATTTCTTTTTCACCTCCATCGTTGCCAATAACAATTGCCATCTTTCATTGAGAAAAAGCGGCGAAAAGCAGGCGACGACTTTGCGCGGCGCTCGGAATGGGTCTCGCAGCGAAAGCTGTAAATGAGTCTTTTATCAAGTTCAAGCATTCATTGAAACTTCTTCAGGTTCCAGTAGAAGGGATAAATCAAAAATTTACTTCAAAAAGACTCTTGTTAATTAGAAATAAATTCAAAAAATAAATATTCTTCAAAAAGTAAACCTTCATTCCCTCGCCTTGGTACGTCGAAAGTTTGGCTTTGATGGTGCCTTTTGGCAGTTGGCCAACGGCGATAAATGGCACCCATTTACAGAAGAATGGAAGCTGGCCAATCACTGGCTGTACCCTTGAAAACTTGGAATCGATTTGAAAACGGAGATTTTTTGAGTATACTGAATTTTCTTTCCTTTTTTGGGGATTTTAGAGTGGTCCCTATAGGGGTTAGGGACCGTAAAAGTAGACCCTATAGGGGTGAAATCAAGTTGGTCACTATAGGGGTTTAGGGTCTGCATAGAGTGCTAGAAGCCACTAACAAAAACCACTGTAAGGACCAATTTTGCATAGGGGTTGGTAAAGTGGTCCCTAGAGGGGACCCTCCCAGAATCCTCAAGGTTACCCCAATAGAGACCACTCTGTTAAAACTTCCCCCAGAACTTTCTAAAGTTGAATAAATAGACTTTCGACTTCTTATTTTATTCAAATTTCCCAATAAATAAAACCAACTTAAAAAGGACATCGATTTCTTCATCCGCCGCCGTCTCCGCCTTGACATTCAGAACGTCGTGTTTCAAATGGAAGACTTGTACGGCGTTGAACAAAATAACCGCCGTGTTTGGATCAAAACTGAAGAAAATCTCGAAAATGCGGACAGTTGACTGGGGAGGTCATTTCACTTTTCGGTTGGGGATTTCTTGAAAATTGGCTGGAACATTCTTTTATTTACCAGAACGAGATCCTTAGAGTTTCAACCTTCAAAACAGCCGGAAAAGGGCTCAAAATGGCCTATTCCCACGGATTTTCAAGTTTTATTTGACTGTCAGGTGGTTTCACTTGAATGCTAGGAAGTTTTTCAGGTTGAAAAAAAAAATCAGAATCTTTGTTCCGCACCTCAAGAAGTAACCGGCATAAGCAAAGTCGAAAGAGGTCAAAAAAGGCTCCGGAAAGGATCGGAAAAGGCTCCGGAAAAGGTCGAAAAAGGCTCCGGAAAGGGTCGAAAAAGGCTCCGGAAAGGGTCGAAAAAGGCTCCGAAAAGGGTCATAAAAGACTCCGGAAAGAGTCGAAAAAGCCTCCGGAAAGGTCAAAAAAGGCTCCGGGAAGGGTCGAAAAAGGCTCCGAAAAGGGTCGAAAAAGGCTCCGAAAAGGGTCGAAAAAGGCTCCGAAAAGGGTCAAAAAAGGCTCCGGAAAGGGTGACAATGGTTTCTTTTTACCAGCCTTTTTGCGCTATTTCATCGGCCCTTATGCACCTTTTTCGCTGCCTCTCCCTTTTTCCATCATTTCTTCCTAGTTCTAGAAAAAATTGAAGGCTCGATAAAGGGGCTCATTTTGCTGCCTTTCTGCAGCCTTTTTGCTGCCTTTTTGCGGCCATTGTTGTGACCCGAATAGCCAATTTTCAGGAAACCGCAAAGTGAAATGACCTTCCTTGTGAGGTACCTTTTTGACTCCTTGTAAAAAGTCGTCGATAAAACAATCATATCGTCTTTCCTCGCCACGTAATCATGCACAATATTGTTATGTTGGCGGTCGAAAATTGTTAGGCCTAGATTTCACTGAATATAGTTATTCAAAGGTATGGTCGCATTGAGAATGGCTCTGTTTTGGCGCTAATTTTGGCTGCACCCGACCTCTCACGGCTTTGTCAGGGAGGCAAAAGACACTATAAAGGCTTAGAGTCTTTCCAAAAGCGACCATTTGATGATGATTTCTTGAAGGAAAAACCTGTGAGCAACGTGATAACTGTGATGCAAAAGACGACATTTAGAAGCAGGAATAACAGTCTCAAATATTTACGGCCTGTAAATTTGAACATTACTCTTTGATACGTCAAAATATTCTTTGAAATTCAACCATTTTTTTGGTTTGATTTTTCTAGAAATTTTTGAAGAAAAAGATACGTTTCACCGTCACTTTATAGCTTCAAAACTACCTAATTCAACAGTTTTTCTTTTACTTTTTTTACATAGTAAATTAAAAAAAGTAAACCTGTTCGAAACCTCGGCAACCCATGAAATCGCATCTGCTTTCACAGATTCCACAGGTTTCCTTGAAAAAAATAAAAATAATTTTGTACAATTTTGAAATTTCAAAAAAGCGGAATTATTGAACATACAAACTTTAAAAAAAGAGCTTTACCTCACTTTAAAAAACTGATTAAAATACATATAAGCTCGAAAATAGAGCCGGACAGATAAAAGTGTAGAAATTTCATTTTTCTACAACTTCTAAACAGGGTTGTGCGAGATGAGACTTTTTAAGTTCGAGACGAGAGAATTTTCTCAAAAAAATTTCGGGACGAGATCGAGACGAGATGATGTGTTGTCTCGATCTTTCGAGACGAGACAAGACATTTTCTAAAACCCGTCTCGAAAAATCGAGACGAGATCGAGCGAGAAACCTTTCTGAAGTTTTCAGACAAAAGTTTTCGAAAAAAATTTTTTCCGTTTTGCGCCACGTTTGCTGCATTTCAAAAATGGAGGATCATTATCATATTGACGGTAAAATATATTTCACAATCAAAATTTTTGAAATTGATTTCTCAGAAAGTAACAAAAAAGTTTGGAGAATAAGATTTAATAGAAAATTTGCGAAACCACTTTGAACATGTGAAAAGATGTGAAAAAAATTTCAAATGATTCCGCTAGCTAGGCAAAATTTGTGTTGCGAAAGCCCTGGGAAAAAAATTGATCTTAACACGCATTCTCCCAGAAAATCGAACAAATGCCGAAAATTTTGGTACAACAATTTCATTTTTGTTCCTGAGAGCTCTCCTTGCTATCATAGATAGTGAACAACCTCTTGAATATTTAGAACCAGGTTTTATTAGGCTCCGCCCACTTTCAAGCTTACTGTAGAAAAAATACCGTAAAAATCAAACTTTTTTCCTAGTGGAGCAAATTGGTTCAAACCAATTTCAAAACAAAATATGTTCCCATATGAGCATTTATAGTTATAGAACTGACCGGGAAAAAAATTTTTCTTCCAGAAGAAAAAAATTAAAGTTTTTTTCGGAAAAATGACGATTTTTCTCAGTTTTTTTGAGCCATAACTAGTACTAGAACCCCCGAATGCCTGGATTTTTTTATTTCTTTAATCGACGCATTTGGGTCTTGTGAGTAGAGAAAAAAAGTGACTAGAAACTCTGAATCCGGGTGATCCAGTTGACCTCCATCTCGGAGAACGCGGCCAACTTGAAAAATGACTAAATTTTTTTAAAAATTCAGTTACTTTCTTGGAAGCAGGATTTTTCCTTCACTTTTTTTGCCAATAAGACACAATTCACTCAACGCAAAAATCGGAACAAAAAGTTATGACTCTCAAGCATGAGGAAATTTTTTTCCAATTTTTTTCACTTTTTCGGATTCATTTTTTTCTTCTTGTCCTCTCAAGCTCTACTGGAATAGTATGCCCGGAAAGCCTAGTGTTTTTTCGTCGTACTGATTCGTTACATCTTCCTAAGCTCATTAAAAATATTCCCAAGCTCTGTTTCCGGGTGATCCAGTTGACCTCCAAGCAACCGAAGCGGTCGACCTCGAATTCCAGCGAAATTAAAACTTTTTTCAGAAACGTTTTTCTGCTTTTTAACCAACAGTTCTCATTATTTGGAGATTCACATTGCGGTTGAGAAACTCCTGAAAGTCAGCCTAGTCACTTCCTAATATACCAGATGAAGATTCTAAAAAGAAACTTCACCTGAAAAAAATTTCTAGTTTTTTTGAGAAAAATTCCTAACGCTTAATAAAAACAATCACAGTACTCAAAAAGGCCATTTTTTTCGCACCTGAGTTCTCATTTCCTGAAGACAAGTAAGTCGTTCAGGTTAAAACTTCCAGGATACTTTTTCTGGTACATCGATGAGTATTCTGTAAAAATTTTTTTAAGAATTCTTACCCACCTTAGTAAATAGACATTCCTTATGAGTAACTTTTTTTCGATTAAAAAAACGAGTTTCTGAATTTTTTTCCTATTGTAAAAGTATAGAAACTTAACTGAAAGATCTCCAAATAATGAGAACTGTTGGTTAAAAAGCAGAAAAACGTTTCTGAAAAAAGTTTTAATTTCGCTGGAATTCGAGGTCGACCGCTTCGGTTGCTTGGAGGTCAACTGGATCACCCGGAAACAGAGCTTGGGAATATTTTTAATGAGCTTAGGAAGATGTAACGAATCAGTACGACGAAAAAACACTAGGCTTTCCGGGCATACTATTCCAGTAGAGCTTGGAGAGGACAAGAAGAAAAAAAATGAATCCGAAAAAGTGAAAAATTGGAAAAAAAAATTTCCTCATGCTTGAGAGTCATAACTTTTTGTTCCGATTTTGCGTTGAGTGAATTGTGTCTTATTGGCAAAAAAAAGTGAAGGAAAATCCTGCTTCCAAGAAAGTAACTGAATTTTAAAAATTTAGTCATTTTCAAGTTGGCCGCGTTCTCCGAGATGGAGGTCAACTGGATCACCCGGATTCAGAGTTTCTAGTCACTTTTTCTCTACTCACAAGACCCAAATGCGTCGATTAAAGAAATAAAAATCCAGGCATTCGGGGGTTCTAGTACTAGTTATGGCTCAAAAACTGAGAAAATCGTCATTTTCCGAAAAACTTTAATTTTTTTCTTCTGGAAGAAAATTTTTTCCCGGTCAGTTCTATAACTATAAATGCTCATATGGGAACATATTTTGTTTTGAAATTGGTTTGAACCAATTTGCTCCACTAGGAAAAAAGTTTGATTTTTACGGTATTTTTTCTACAGTAAGCTTGAAAGTGGGCGGAGCCTCATAAAACCTGGTTCTAAATATTCAAGAGGTTGTTCACTATCTATGATAGCAAGGAGAGCTCTCAGGAACAAAAATGAAATTGTTGTACCAACGGTTATTCGAAAATCTCGGAGAACGTGTGTTAAAAAGATTTAACGGGAAATGGGCATTTTTTCGTTGCCTTTTACGCGATAAATTATATCTAACTTATCTACTCAAAAAATTCTATTTTTGCGCGTCGATTAAGTGGTTTTTTTTTTTCTACTCGGACAAAGCACCGAACCGTACGCCATTTCTCTTTTTTTCTTTTTTTATCACCTCCTGATTCCTCAAAATTTCTGTTGCTTATATCTCGAAAATATCTCGTTGGGAATGAACTTTCGTCTCGATTTTTCGAGACGAGACGAGACAATTTTAAAATCTGTCTCGGTGATTCGAGACGAGACGAGATGAGTGAATTTCGCATCGAGACGAGCGCGAGACGAGATCTCGTCTCGAAAATCTCGAGAAATTTCGAGACGAGATCGAGATCTCGCACAACCCTGCTTCTAAAGGACACGGACTAACTTATTTGACCTTAAAAAATTTATTGAACTCCCAAAAAACCCTAAAGGCCTCCCTTAAGCCACCCAGTCTAAAAACTGGCTTCAGAGGACAAAATAAAACTAATAAACGACTTGAGGTCGAGAGACGGAAACTCAGAAAATCGGGAAAAAGAAAAAAGGAAGGTGGAATGGAGAAGAAGAAGAGAAACGAGGTGTCGGGTCTCCTATTTGGGCAGATCGGCGGCCGAGATATAACTTTTCGGAGTCCGGTATTAAGCCTCACCCTTACACCTTGAGAAAGAACCCACGCAACGGCCTTTTTTCCGAAAAAAGGGCATCAAAGTACAATCGGCTCCTGATTTGGAACAAATATTTAAACCTAACTTACCAGGGAATGGTCTCCGGTCGCAGTGGGACCTTTCAATGAGACCAAGTTTTCTAGATGTAGTTTTTCATGCTGATTCCAAATCCGTTCTCAAAAGCTGCCTTTGAGGTCTGTGAAAAAAGTTATGGACCCTCAAAAATCGAAAAGTTCAGTTTTTCCGATTGAGCTAATTTTTGAAGAGTCTATAGATCTTGTCCATCTGGTCACGAAAAACTATCAAATTTTCTTCGAAAAAAAATTAAGATATGACCTTTCAAAGCCCCGCTGAAGCTCAATCGGAAACACTAAAATGGTCGACTTTTGAGGGTCCATAACTTTTTTCACAGAGCTCCTCGGCCGTTTTTGAGACAAGATTTGAGATCAGCGTGAAAAACTAAATCTAGAAAACTGGGGTCCCACTGCGACAGAGACCGTTCCCTGGTTAGGAACTCCAGAGTGGTGCCTATAGGGGCAAGCTTAGGGGCTCGAAGAGTCCCCCCTAGGGACCACTTTACAACGACTATAGGGGCCACTCAAGCTTGTAAAAGTGGTCCCTATCGGAGTTATTCTAGTCGATAACTGTTATGAACTCTAAGCGAAGCAGCATTTCCATGCCAAAAACTGAACTAACAAGTTTTTTAAATAAAATTGAGAGATTCCTATAGGGTCCACTTGAGCTTTAGGATCTAAGGGCTCAGAACTCATACCCCTAAAGGGACCACTCTGGAAAACCCTTTTCAGGGCGCATCAGTGGATTTCTCAACGAACAAACTGAAATCGGGAGCTGGAGAACTGGCTCTGAACGTCTTGGACCAGCTGGCCGACGCCGCCTTGATCAATGTCGGTTTCAAATGGGAAAAGTGAGTCTTCTGGTGTTATTCATTCCGAAAAATCGTTCAGAATGATCCCGCCGCCAGAAGAGGACGACGACGTGCAAGTGGATGAAGAGGACAACGACAGCGCTGACGGCGAGGTCATTACTTGTTTAGTAACGCTTCTAGAAACGAGAATCGCCACAATCTTCAAAGAAGACCCTCAAAAGACCACTCGAGCAAATTCCAGATCGAGGAGGAAGCCGAGACAGACTTCATCGACGACGACGACGATGCGATTCACGTCGACCTAACGGCTCCGAGTCAACTCAACAATGGCGTCAGTTACCACGCCCACTTTCTCAATGTGCAACATTCTCAGGACGCTCCGATCCAAGGAATCCTTCAAAGCACAACTGATTCTGTGGCCTGGAAGCAGGAAGTCGAAAGAGTGGCCCCGCTACTGAAAATCACCATTCGACAGGATGCCAAGGTTTGAAGATCATTCAAAGAGCAAATCCTATTCTAAAGCTTCAATTTTTCGATTCTAAAGTTACTTTGAAAATATGAACTGATGACGTCATCTTACATCCTCATCTTCATGACGTCATTTCAGGACTGGCGCATGCATCTGGAGCAGATGCACTCGCTGCACAAGGCAGCCTGCGATCAGATCAACGTCATCGACCCGCAGCTCGAGCAGATGGCTTCCGAATTGGAGAAGACGTTGGAGCGGATAGAAACCCGCGAGAAGACGATGAACTCGCAGATGTCGTCGTTGCTCGTCAAGTTCCGGTCCTCGCAGGACAAACGGGCAGAACTTCGCGAAAAGTACAAGTGAGGCCGACGTCGAATTATCTATTGCGATAATCATCAAACAATGAATGTTTCGTGAACCATCGAGGCAACAACAGTAAGTGAGGCGCATAGAAGGAGGCGTGGCCTAATCTGCAACCCACCGCACGACTTCATTCTAATAAAATGCAAGCACCTCAGATTTCATGGAAGTGTTTTTCCAGAGAAGAAGAAGAAAAGAACAAACTTAGACACTGGAAAAGCTTCCCAGGAATGTACGTTTGGTGAAATAAGCTCAGTCCTTTAAAAATTGCTTAAGCGGATTTTTAGCTTTTTAAGTTTTTTCTGAGCATGACGCAAGCGTTTGAAAAGTGTTATCAATGTCTGAAAAAGTTCCAATTCTGAAATTTTTTCTTTCAAAAACCTTCAAAATAAATATAGTTATGAACAATATTCAATAAATTACAAGGGAAAATTTTACGACACCAACAGCCTTTTTTGAATTTCCATCAACAAAACTTTGTATTTACCATAATTAAAAGCAACACCAACCATTTAGAACGGCATCCGTCGGTGTAAGCAGCCGCACTGAAACCCTTCAGCGGATTTCCGACGACATCGAGCAGCTCAAACAGCAAATCGAAGAACAGGGCGCAAAATCCAGCGATGGAGGTATTTCCTTGGCTCTTTCTAGAAAGTGCAAACAGTCCTTATCGTCAGAGCCTCATAAAAACCAAAAAAAAAAAAGATAAAGTTCTTTGAAAACTTGAGAAATTCATTCTATGCAACAGGGATAAAGTCAACTTCGGCCAAACTCGGCAAAACAAAATAAACAAGAAAAAAACAGATCATTAACCTCAAAAAAATAGTTTTTCAATCAAAGCTTTGTTCTTAAAAAAATGAACAGGAAAACTTCAAAGTAAGGAAGTTTTGAAGTCCTAAAGATATTTAAAAAAAATTCAAATTATTTTTTTCAACCAAGAATGTTTTTTTGCTAAGACTTCTCACTATCGAAAATTAAAAAAATGAGTTCAATAAAGGCGAAAAAAAAGAATCAAAACAAAAATCAAAAAAATAATGGCGTGTTCATCGGAGAAACGGAACATGCTTCAAAACGAAAAATCGTGTTCATCGGCGCGCCGAAGTTGCTCCAAAACAGTACTAATTTTTGTTTTGGAGCAATTTTCTTGCGTTTCGAACCAATTTTTGTTTTGTCCGATGAACACGCCATAAAATTAAAACAAAGATAAAAAAAATTTGCGCGTTGTTTATGGTATATGTTCTGCGCGTGTATGCGGGCATAGGCCACCGTATCTTCAAAAAAATTCCTTTTTTTTTTTTAAATTTTTCGCCGCCGTTTCTAGTTTTATTTCTTTAGAATAGTCGTTCTATTACATTCTACGATAATTTTTCAGCGCCACTGCTGAAAATCAAGCAAGCCGTGACAAAAATGGAGGAGGAAATCCAAAGAATGAACGTTCAAATCGGCGTTCTGGAGGCTTCAATAATGTCCTCCTTTCTTCGGGACCGATTCGCATACAACACCGACCTGTACAGTTATAATTGATGATAAACTGTTTATTTCAAGAATAAAAATAACAAAAAATGCGTAACAAGTGGAATGCAATAACAAAGGGACCCGTATGAATGTCAATTTTAATTTCAATTTTTTGAACTGGCGATTAAATCTCGCAAATCGCCGTTTTCAGTGAAAGCAAAACCATTGGCCGTGTCGACGAGGCGAATTATCCTGGCCATGGATTCCTTGCTTTCGACGGCCAACGGAACAAAGTTTACCAAGTCATAGTCGGAAATCACCTAAAAATTTTTGATAAATCGATCGGAAGTCTTTTTGAATGCCTTCTAGCCGTTTTTTTCCTACCTATTGATTGAAGAACAATTTACTTGTTTAAAAAAATCTCATTTTTTTCCATGCAAAAAAATTGAATTTTTTTATATAAAAGTAGCTAGTTGAGATTGAAAAATCTGTAAAGTACGAACAGTAACTCGCTCGTCAAAATTTAAGTTTAAAAAGCGGAAACCAACCTGACAAATGGAAGAATTCAGCTTGGAATATTTTTCCAGGCCAGGGACGTTCTGAAATTAATTATACTGTATAATGAAAAATTTATAAAATACTTCATTATACATATATTCAACAAAAATCACATCAAAAATGGCAATAAAAGTTTTTTTCAGATACTTCTTCCTGCGGTATGAAAGACCTGCTTAGGAGCCCAAAAGTGGTCCTTTTAGGGGCATTCTTAAGGACCTTTGGACGATCCCTCTAGGGACCACTTTACCAACCCCTATAGGGGCCCCTTCAGCTTGCAAAAGTGGTCCTTATAGAGGACATACTAGTCAAAAGTTGTATGAACTCTATGAGAAGAAGCATTTCCATGCAAAAAACTAAAAAAAAATAACCTTTTTGGATAAAATTGAACAACCCCTATAGGGACCACTTGAGCTTTAGAAGTTAAGGGGTCAAAATCTGAATCCCTATAGAGACCACCTTGATGTTACCCCTATAGGGGTCACTCTAAAATTCCTAAGTTTTTCGAAAAACTTCCTCACATTGAGCAAATCCGTGAGGCGATTGACATCAGGCAACTCGGTGAAATAATCCAAATCGTAAGTTCCATCGGAACTGAACAAATCCGCCTTGGACAGGACGTTCACTTGCGGCATCTCCATCGTCACCATCGTTGCTGAAAAAAGGATATTTTCCAAACTAGAATTAATTTATCGTGCAACTCTTAACTAAAATATATCGCCTATTCCTGGGGGCAGTATTCCAAAAATGCTCCTTTTAATTTGATCCATTCCAAGTGCGACCACGGCTTTCCAAGACGTGACGAAGGACATTAAATGATCAACGACTGACCCAAGGTCGACAAGGCGACGGAGATGAACTTGGCGGCGTCGGAGCAGTACAAAGAGTCGGCCAAATGAACTGCGCACAGGCGAACGCCCGCTTTTTCGAGATGTCTGATCACCTGAAATAAAAAATCATTGAAAAAAGCCGGTTCACATTTTCTACCAACCTTCCACAGTTCACCCTCGCTCTTGTACAGCTCCAACTGGCCAGGACAGTCAATAATCACGTATTTCTTCGTGTTTTCCGTGATTTTCTGCAGTAGCCAATCCTTATTTTGACACAAGGTTTCGATACAGTATTTTAATGCGCCGTTAGGCCCAAGTCCAAGTCGGTCCATCACCTCTCCAACGGTTATCAACTCCTGAAAACTAAGGTTAAAAATGAATTTCAAAAAACCAGAAAAAGCTATCAATTTTGAAACTATTTATTAGAAGAAAACTTCTTCAAACTGAAAGAAGAAATAAAAGCCTATTTTGTCACCAACCTTTATCGAATAAGTTGCTTCATACTGTACATTATCATTGGCTGGATCCAAATTGACAGTTATGAATGGTCGATTCAACTGCGTGAAAATATCCGTCAAACCAGCACAAAACGTCGATTTTCCAGCGCCCGGAGCGCCAATCACCAACACTCCATACATATTTCCACTATTAACCTATAAGAACAAATATAAATAATGAAAACAACGAATAAAAGAACAAAAAAAATTTCTCGTAAATCGACGCCAATTCTCGGCTCATGGCGCTGGAGCGCACTTTCTCCTACTAGTAAGACTACAGTGCTTCGAGCTTTGAAATACTTGGAAACATTTGTTTCATTTCGAAGGGATCAGAGAGCGCCGCTAAGATGGAAAATGAAAAAAAAAAATGAACAGAAAGAATAAAAAGAACATTTTCTTCGCGGCAGACAACGAGAAAAAATATGCTCATTTTTTTATGAGCGTCAAATCTCATTAGGCGTTACTCGTTCTCGATTTCCCTATGTGTATTTTTTTTCAATCCGGCTTTTTCGTATGCTAGTTAATTTTTGACGTTTTTGTGACGTCGACGTGTACATTTTTTTCTTTAAATGAATCAAAAATTCTTCCTTAAACGTGAGATTTCGGAGATTTCCTCTTATTTATAACCAAATAAGGATATTAATGCCAATAAAGCTTGGTAAATTGAGAGACAGGGAAAAATGAATAGAAAAAAAGGAAAAAAAAAAATGGATGGGCCGCCTGGAGATTCAATTTCCGTTCATTTCACGCCCCTCTTTCTTCCTTCTCGACCCTGTTTTTCTTTGTTTCTTAAGAGATTCATGTGGTTTTTATCGTCTTTTGTTTGAAAATGAGATTCTCTGAATAATAATATCGAAATTGGAGTAGTGAAATCAGTTTCCTTCAAAAACCGAAGGCCAATCGCGCAATGTGAAAGTTTTTCTTGAGAATCCAAAATTGTAAAAAGTGGATTTTTTTTTTTTCGCCATGGAAATTAGTACTGCCATGCACGCAAAACTACAATTTCTGTCGTAAATTGCAATTCAAAATGTTAAGTTTAATAAATTTATAATTTGAAACGAAAACTTGTTTGGGAATTCGTGACAAATATTAGTTTCAAGAATTCTGTGTCATCCTCGCAATGAAAGTCCAACACTTGCACGAAGGTTCCAACATTTTTCTCCCAATTAAAAAAAGTTCCTTAATTAAATTCCTTCTTGAGAGATTTCTAATTAAAAATTTTTTTCCAAAGTTCATGATAGTCTAGTTTTTTTACGCTTTCTAGTTGATTTTTGAACCGAATTTTTCTGCTTCAAATGAAATTATTTGTCAAAAAAAGTGCTTGAAAAATGAGTCACTAATTAAACATTTCTGGATATTTCTTTCAAATATAAAAGAGATTTGAGCTCATTTGAGCACAGGTGTTTTTGACGTGCGATTTCCCTCGTTTTCTCGATTTTCCTTCAAGTTTCATCGAATTTTGGCAGCGTTTTGAATTAAATTTTTGGTTTTAAAACTGAAAGATGATTTAAAATCAAGATTTTCAAAACCTTCAATTATTTCGCGTGTCTCCCCTATTATACGCTTCTTTAGCGGTTTTCTCTCTTCAGCTTTATTTTTTCTTGAGTTATTTCCATTTTAATGATTTAAACTTGATAAATCCTGTCCCAGCAACCAATTAGTGTGCCTTGATAGAAACGGACTTGATATTAATGAACTAATTGAAGGCTGAGAGACAATTAATGCTTAGTAATTAAAATGGAAACATGTTTCTAGGAATTTATTAGCCCTAGAATCAAGTGATGTGTGATATTAGATCTTTTGAAAACGTTAATTTTCTTCATTTAGTGCGAGAGTAGTCGGTTCGGTACACAAAAAGTGCATTTTTCGCTTTCAAATTTTCAAAAGTTGTTTTTCCTTCTCAAGCTGCGATAGTTCCTCATTCGTAAGCATTACTTAAAGTATAAGTTCTGAGAAATATCACAAAATAATAATAGAAGCCTCAAGAATCGTCGAATTCCTTTTAGACAGGTGATTTCCCGACTATTAATAATTTCACCACCTCATTTTTCCGTCTTCCTTGTACTTTTAACTTTCAAAAATATATCTGTTTGAATCAAATTTCAGGTTTTAATTCTAAATGTTCAGTATCAACGTATAGCATGAATGTTTGCTGAAAAGTCAACAGCTCAAAAAGTAAAACCAATGAATTTGGTGACAAAAATCGGCCAGGCGACGTCATGGAGCTTCTACATGTGTTTTCATGGTCCCAATGGGTTGGTTATGTTCTATTTTTCTATTTTTTTGATTTTTTAAATTTTTTTTATCAGGAAAAAATCGTGCAAAACATTTTTTTATAATAATAGTCCTCACGGAAATTTGAACTAGCTTCTCCCAGATCTCAGCCAAGACTCTCAGCCACTAGACTATACCTCCTTTTCTCAAAAAAGCTCAATTTTCTTTCAAAATGAACTAATTGCCAGCCGGCGGACCCAGGGTCTCAATGGCCCTGAGCGCCTGCAGCCCTCGTGTCCGTTGTGGTCTAGTGGTTAGGATTTACGGCTCTCACCCGTAAGGCCCGGGTTCGATTCCCGGCAACGGAAGACACTTTTTTGCTTGTCATCTTCCCACTGAACCTGATTGTATAGAATTATTTTTGCACTTAAAAAGACGGGAAAATGATTCTTAGGTGTAATTTAATACATAGATGTTCGTTTTATTTAATTATGGGTCTGAACAATGTTGTTTGCTCCAATTTTGTCTGGATAAAACAGAGTATGGCTCTTTTTTACCCTCAAATGTGCTCCACTGACGAATTTTCTGCAGTTGCCTTGTCCCAAGTCGACCAACGGAGGGTGAAACCGACATTTCTCTACAATCTGAAGAGCTCGAGGTGAAACTGAACACCTTGGCAAAGTGAAAATTCATTTTGAAGTTAAGAAACCGAAAAAAGTTTCAGGGAAAGAAGTCTAGAAATCGAAAGTTACTTGACGGATGAGAAAAAAACAGCGCAAGGATTGATCAAAATTTTGTTGTTGGGTAAAAAATAAATTTTTCTAGCTTTACAAGATGATTTTTCAGGCGGACCATCTTGTGGAAAAAGCACGGTTTTTAAACAAATGCAGTGGGTTTTTTTTCAGACAAAGAGCAGCCTTTTTTTCTGAGCAAGCGCGCTCTATCGATAAATATTCATTTTGAGTGGGATAATAGTTGAAAATTGCATTGAAAAGCTGGAAGGAGAAATAATAGAAAAAAAACAACTTTTTTTAAAATTTGAATTTTTCCGATAATTCTAAAGGTCAAAATCATTTTTTTATAGCCTTTGAGAAAGCGCGCTCTAGTGATAAATATTCATTTTGAGAGGGATAATTGTTAAAAATTGAGTCGAAAAGCTGGACAAAGGAGTATTAGCATTGTGAAACGGTTTATTTTCCTTAAAACCCGAATTTTTTCAAATTTGAATGCTCTACAATGATTTTATAGGCCAACATCAATTTTTGATAGCCTTTGAGAAAGCGCGCTCTATTGATAAATATCAAAAAATGTTTCAGAATAATCCATAAAGACGGCTTCAAACGGCCGGACCAACTGGAATACTTCCGAGAGCTCATCAATCGGAATATTCGCGACATTTTTCTACAATTATTGGCTGGAGCTAATATTTTGAATATTTCAATCACTTCTATTCAGGTCTTTTTTGCAATAAGTCTCTCGATATTCGATTTTCTGGGCCTCAGATTAATTAAAAATGATCAATTTTTATTTTTCCATATTCAGAAGCTCGTAGACTCCATCGAAGCATCGTATCACCCGATCGGAACTGACGAAATCAAAGCGATGACAAGGAATCGGGCGGAATTACTCAGCAAATTCTGGCTCAGCGAACAAATTCAGAAGGTTCCAACTTTTTTTTTCAACTTTGTGTAGCGTTTTTTACGACTAAAAGTGTGCTCTAACGAACTTAAACTGAAAGTTTTCAGGTATTTAGCCAACGCTACGCCTTCCCATTGATGGATTCAACACGATAGTGAGTTCAAGACCAAAAAAGGAATAAGCCTCTACTTGAGAACTCCAGAGTGGTCCCTATAGGGGCAACCGTACTGGGAAAAGTTTTCAGTGCTCGGACATTGGTAACGCGAAACGGACGTGCTCCGGACGTTTCTGCGCGATTCTAGGGATCACTTAAGAGTTCTGAGGCTACTAAACTGGTCACTAGAAATGCCCCGACACGTCCGATTCGCGTCCCGTTCGCGTTACCAAGGTCCGAGTGGCCACTATAGAAGCTCGCCAATATACTTTTATTACCTGACCCCGATTCGTCTACGTTTCAACATTGGCATTTATTCAGATTTCAGTGTGTTTTGTTCAGTAATTTCGCACTAGGAAAAGATTGAATGAACTTTTGTCGGTTTGCGAAACTGTAGTTAATCTTCCACCAAAAACGGCCGTATGTCATCCTCAGTCGTCCTTTGTCCAAAGAAAAAATGAGCTCATGAAAATTTTCGACTTTTCAATGTCCCTATTTTTTTCAAAGTCGAGCCTAGCCGCAGTTAGAAGCCTACCAGAAAACTATCAGATTTTCCCCAGAATTTCTATAACTTTACAAAGATAAAAATCCGTGAAAAATCAAAACCAGGAAATTTATTTATTTTTTTCCTTTTTTGCAATTCCTCAAGGTTACAAGATAAGTTTTGCCACGAAAAAGTTCACAAGTTTCCATTTCACCACCAAAAAACCTATCCAAATTACCGTAATACGACCGGCCGTCTCAAAAAAGCGTGAAAAGTGAACCGTACTGGGAAAATTTTTAGTGGCCACTATAGAGGCTCGCCAAGGACTACTTGGAGAGAACACTAAAGTGGCCACTAAACCCACCTCTATAGTGGCCACTATTTTCCTTCTTAGTGGCCACTATAGAGGTTCTCTATTTAGTGGCCCATTCAGTGGTTTCTCATCCAGTAATCCTTCCAGTACTCTGATAATTTTGAAACAAACGAATTAGACCAGTTATGTTGATCAATTGACCCCTAAAGTGGCCACTAAAATTTTTAGTGATCTATTAGAAGCACTTAGACCTCTATAGTGGCAGCTAACTTTTAGCCACTACTACTATAGTGTCCACTAAAAATTTTCCCAGTACGGACCACTTTTTCTATCCCTAGGAATTCACTAAAGCTTGCAAAAGTGGCCCCTTCAGGGGACATGCTAGTAGATATGAACTCAAGAAAAATTTCTATAAGGAAAAACTGAATAAACAAGCGTTTTTTGAAAGAAATTGAAAGACCACTATAGGGACCCCTTAGGCTTTGTGGCTAAGGGGTCAGACGCTAAACCCTATAGGGACCACCTTAATTTTACCCCTATAAACGTTTTCGACCCCTTTAGGGATTAACCCCTACGGGGACTACTCTAAAATCCCTAAGTAGCCCAAGTACGGTCAATTTTTCAGCTTCTTGGAAAATATCCAACGAATCGGCGAGAAGGACTACGTTCCGTGTGAAGAAGACATTGTTCATTCGCGTCATCCAACTTTTTCCATCACTTCAACCAATTTCATCTACAATGGCTTGAAAATGAGGTCCATTCATATTCATGCAAAAAAAATTTTTCTCACAGAGTTTCAGGCAATTTTTAAAATATTTGAAATCAGCGTGAAAAACTGCACCTAATGCACGTCATTAATATTTTTGTCGCGCGCGATGTCATGAGCGATGTCGCGAGCAATGTCGCGCGCGATGTCGCACACAATGTCGCGTGCGATGCCGCATCGTTTTTCAAACTTTTCAGAACGCTCTCCGCACGCTTTTCAAAAGCTTGAACTGCATTTTTTCAAAAAGACAATAGTTGAGAAGTTCCTGACCGACTTCTGAATGGAACCAGGCTCACTAGACGTAATTTTTCACGCGGATTTTAAATATGGTCTCAAAAACGCCTACTTCGAGTGACACTCAGAAGACTTAATTTTTTAAAAATGGCAAAAAAAGTTTGTTAAGATTAGTCGATGTCGGTGGGCAAAAATCGCAACGCCGAAAATGGCTCCATTTGTTCGATGACGTCAGAGTTGTGCTTTTCGTGGTCGATCTGACGGGTTACGCGAAAAGAGACGAAGAAGATAGAAAGGTTCATTTTTGCTAAAGTTCACTAAATAGGCAAAGTCTGAAGAACCCTTTGAGCGTCTGTTATGGATTAAAAGATTTCCATTAATTATTCCGAAACGGGTACCCCTTTTTTAACCTTTTTTCTATCCTTTTTAAGCCCATCCAGAAAAAAAAGGCTCTATGAAGGCCTCAAAACGAAACCCTTTGAGCGGCCTTTTTGCACCCTTTTTTCACCCGTTTTTGAACCTTTTTTGCCCACCAAGAAAAAAAAAGGCTCAACAAAGGCCGCAAAACGAAACCCTTTGAGCGGCCTTTTTGCACCCCTTTTCCGCATTTCCGTGCTATTTTGATTCTCATCTTTAAAATCCTCTAATCCCAAATTTCTATCCAAAAGGCTTTACAAACCCGATTATTCACGACTTTCGCCAACTCATATATTTTCCAGGAAAACCACATGACCTCGACGATGAAGATTTTCAAAGAAATCGCCACGAACAAAGTCCTCCGACCCGCCGTTTTGGTCCTTTTCTTGAATAAAGTCGATCTCTATGAAGAGTTGCTGACGAGTGTCCGCTTTAGTGATAAATTTCCAGACTATAAAGGTACTTTCATTCTTTAAATATGAAGAATAAGGAAAATTTTAGGACCTAACAACGTGGAAGGGACATCGACCTACATAAAGGATAAATTTGTTCAAGCCGCAAAACCGAGGAAATCCGTCATTCCCCACTTCACAACAGCAACCAACACGGAAAACATAAAGGTAGTCTTTTCCTCATAAATATATTAGTTAATAATTTTCCAGGTCGTTTTCCGGGGCTGTATGGAAAGCGTCTTCAAGGCCAACTCGAGAGCAACCGGATTAACATGAACTTTTTTCATTTTTTAATTTATTGCATTCCATTCGATTATGTCTGCCGTATATGTATCTAATGTTGGATTATGTACTGATTTCCTGAGACGAAGCTTTTTTTTTGAGTAAACCGCGTCCCAACTACAGCTAAACGTCTACTGAAAAGTTGACTCTAAGCGTCGCAGCATCGGTGGTTCAGTGGTAGAATGCTCGCCTGCCACGCGGGCGGCCCGGGTTCGATTCCCGGCCGATGCAATTCCTTTTTTGCTATTTTCAAACACCATTTTTTTTTCCTTATTTGCAGGTTTTTGGGGATGGAATGGCTTTTCAAACGGTATCTATTGATTAGAAAGTCAATATTTTCTTTTTGACGGTTAGAAAATTGGAATTGAAGAGATTACCAATGAAGCTGGTTGCAAGGAAAGATAGTTTTCATGATTCAAATTTTTTAGTGAAGATTCGAACCTTCGTCTTAAGATTGTGAGACCAGAGCTCTATGAACTGCGCTATTCGGGGGCAAATAAATTAATAACTATGCGATCAAAAGTTCAATTTTAAAAAATAGATTTTTCCTCTTCAAATAGCCCGAACTCTATCAATTTTCTCATTCTCAAATTTGAGTTTAATCTTTTAAAAAAGTTTTGGGAGAAACAGAAGAAGAGAAATCACACAAAAATTAAGAAACGATTATATTTTGTTGCAAGAAATGAAACAAAAAACCCCCGTGAAGGCATTTCTCATTCCTTCGATGGCAATATTTTGCCTTCTTCTCCTCGTCGGCTTTTCCCATTCCATTCGACCGGCTGATGGTTCTTTAATCTTTTCTGTTTAAAATATTATTGAATTTCAGAGTTCAAAGCTCTGATGGCTGAGTCCAAGGGCGGTTCCCTGGATGGAGTAAACGATGAAAATGACTTTCTAAAGTTAAATCTGATCATTCAGATCCCAAAAACTGATTCCAACCGTGGAAACTTCACGAACAGTAAGGCCGAGTTCGAAAATCTTCGTCGATTCGTTGAGATCCTTGCCGAGGGCCTCAGGAAACAAGGCGTGCCCGAGGACAAAATCGCCGATGTCTTAAGGGTCATTTTTTCCCTAGTTTCTTATTGAAATGTAGATTTTCAGATTGGCCAACTCAATGAGACCGAACTGGCGAAGACGATGCCGAAAAAAAGGAGGATCCAGAAAAGAAGCGTGAGATTATTACGTTCCACTGACCCACGAAACAGGCTTGATTTGAATTAAAATTCCTTTGATGAACTTTCCGGCCAGGAAAGGTCGTTTTTAAGCCTTCAAGTTTTTTACTGTCTTTGATACTTTGATGGTCCATCTTCGCGAGGTGTTGTTCAGCGTGGACCACATGTTTTTAATACGGCCCGGTATTGCGCAGCGGTCATCCAGTGTAGACCTGATTGACTAATGTTCTTGCGGGAGTGGTCCGTCCATCTAATCGGTAGTCGCTCTCGGGCGTTTTGTGTTTCTAGGATATAGTCAATGTTTTCCGACTTGAATGGCGAGGGAGGCGGAGCAGGGGGCGGGACGCGTAGCGTGTGCGTACGCGGTCCTTGGCACGAGTTCAATTCAACCGCCAGCGACCCTTTGGATAGGGACCACAGACCTATTTTTCGAACTCAAGCTAGCTCCTCGTTTTTGTTATAAAAATAATGAATTTAACATGTAGTATGCGAAAACAGAAAAGAAAAACGAAAAATATTAAGAATAAGAGGAGAAAACAATATTTAAAAGTAATTGAAAAGCAAAAATTTTTGCACTGAAATTTTGGTTTTGCGAATTCTCATGCAATCTGCGCGCACCCTCATTTGCAAGGTCGGCACGGTTTCAGGAGCCAAAAGAGAAGGTTTTACGAGCTGTAATCCCACTTTACCATCATTTTCGTCTCAGTGACTGCACAAATACAGCCTACAGTGCTCTTTGAATCCCATAAAAATGTAATTTCGCCTACTTTTTATTCACCTTTTTTTATTGAGAAAAATTTTTTTCGGCGATCTTGAATTTTTCGATTTTTATTGCTTTTATTTGTTTGAAAAATTAAAAAAACTCTTATAAATGAGTAAGAAAAAAACGCGTGTCTTCGACCGGGAAATGTTTCAAAATTACTCCCCAAAAAAATTCTCCACCTTTTTTTACCACTCAAAACAGTACATTTGCTTGTAGTTGTCAACAAGTATTATTTGAGCAATGTTTTTCTCAATATGAAAAAAGCATAAACATCTTCCAATACTGCATTGCAATTGAGAAAACAATTTTTGACTTTGCGCGCCTCTCAATTTTTTCGGCGAACATAGAATTTTTATTTTTTTGGCTTAAAAAATTGTATTTACAGTTTATAAGTAGTTTTCCAAAAATCAACTTTGTCCGCGACCTAGATGAATATCAAAACGCAAAACTAAGTTTATTTTTCGAACTCGCCTCACTATTCCGTACGATACTCCGTTGAAACACATGGAAAGTACCTGAAAACCTTTTCAACGGAAAGAGGAACCTTTTCTACATTTATGCTGAAATTTTCATCATTTTTCATTGTTTCTATCCGCTGTACGAAACAATAAAAGACGGAATACCAAAAAAATGGCCTTTTTTCCCTCGCGAAAAGGGGCAAGGCTTTGCGGTCGCTACCTTTGGAGCTCTCGTTTATCGCTCTTTTCACTCCTTTTTTTAATTATTTATTGATTATGTCTATGTGCTCATCGAAAAACAGTAGAAAATACAGAAAAAGAGCGGTTGACAAGCTTTTTAAATAGTCGGCGGCAATTTGATAGAGCTCGCGCCAAGAACCGCGTACGCACACGCCACGCGTCCCGTCCCTTGCCCGGCCTCTCTCGCTTTTCAAGTCGGGATACATTGACTATACCAGTGTATGATTTTCGTGGACCAGTGGTCGTCCGGTTCTTCTTAGGATATGCCTGGCAAAACGATGTTTGGCTCGTTGGATGTGCTCGGATAAGTCTTTGGTTCTTGATAGATTGCCAAGATCTAAGCTTCCCCATTTAATGTACCGAGAGTTGCCCAGTAGAGCTCGTTCTAGTGCGCGGTAACTTATTCGAAGAGCTTCGGAGGTTGGGACCGTCTACGGCCAGGTTTCTCTGCCGTAGCTGTTTTCAAGGATGATTGAGGCGTTGAAGATTTGGGCTCGTAGGTCGGTGTCAGTCAGAAGGGTTTTGATTTCCTTGATACAGCCTAGGGCTTCCTGCTCTTCGGCGTCTTGCGTCTTTGGCCGTCAGGTCGTTGGTCATTTTTACTTCTCGCCCGAGATATACGTAGGAGTCGACTACTAATAGGCCTCGGACTTCGAGATTGACGTTGCCCCGGTCGCAGAAGCGGTTGCGCATCCACTGCGTTTTCTCAGCGTTCATCTAGAGGTCGATTCTCTTTCCGACTCGATCAAAGTCGGTGAGCATCATAGATAAGTCTGCGGTGTTGCTGGCGAAGAGGGCGATGTCGTCCGCAAATCGGTGGTTAGTTACTAATTTGCCGTCTATCTTGATGTCTTTTGTCACAAAAGGTGGGTCAACGGGGTTGTTCCGGTCGTGTTCCACGTCCCAGTCAAGCAGTCTTATGGAATCTTGAAGAGCTGCTGGGAATAGCTTGGGTGAAATCGTGTCGCCTTGTCGTACTCCCTTGCCGATTGGGATTGACAGCTTTTTGTCGAGTAGCAAACCACGTTTTTTAATTCAATTATTTGCCTACTTTTGAGCATAGATAATCGAAATTTACATTTTTTAGCTCTCGTCCAATGGTTTCGACCGTAGAAAATCCTTCAAAACTCATCCCGATTCTGAAAATCTTCTCCGATTCGCCGCAGAGTTTGCTGAAAACCTCAGGAGGAGAGGAGTGTCTGAACGTCGAATCGCCGAAATTTTTGGGGTTCGAAAATCAATTTTTTTTTTCGGTAAAGCTTGATTGATTTTTAGATTGGTCATCTCACGGAGCTGGAAACAGATACGACGCCAAGAAATTATGATGAGGATGAAGAGGTAAGCTTCGGAGGCTCAGTCAAGGACAGAACAAAAAAAAAGTTCCTTTAAGGAATTTTTTTTCATCTTTCATCATGAAGGGTGTGATAAGGATGTAAAAGAAGTATAAAAAATATCTTTTGATTATTCTTAGAAAATATTTTAGGTCTAGAAGAGTTTCAGGAAGTTAAGTACTGAAATAATAAGAACAGCTGGTTTCTCAGATCTTTGAAAGTCATTTTGAAGAGTTTACAGTTGAACTGAACCCACTTTTCATTTAGTTTAGGTCCCAGAAGTCTTTCCTAGAGTTTCTAGAGAATATTTTTCAGCCCCAGTTTCCACGGGGCACCCCATCGCCCCGCCCTTATTCCGAAAATCTCTTCCAATTCGTTTCGATCTTGGCTGACGGCCTCAGAAAACAGGGCGTCCCGGAAGACAAAATCGCCGAAGTTGAAAAGGTACAAAAAATCCTTAGTTTTCTGTTAAATCGATGGATTTTAGTTTGGCTTCTACAATGAGACGGAATTGTCTAGAAACTTGCCGCCGAAAGGGAGGATCGAGACGAAAAGCAGCGTGAGTTTTGTTGGTTCTTAGCTATTTTCCAAGAAATTCCCAACTTGAGCTCTAAGGAACGCCAGAGGGGTCCATATAGGTACATCCTTATGGCTCCCCGAAGGCTCCCTCCAGGGACCACTCTGGGGTTCCTAAGAGAAGACCATCCAACTATGGACTGAGGCAAATTTTTAGGAAGGAAACCAGCTGGAGGTTGGAAGGTGAACGGAAGCTAGAAGATCTTAGAAATGCCTTTAAAAGGTTTTCGGAAGGTCTTTGGAATGTGAAAATGGGAGAAGCCTACCAGAAGCCTGTCAGAAGCCTCCGGCAGCCTTTTTTTTAAGTAGAAGGTACTTGGAAGGAATTTGAGCACTTGCTGGGAAGCTTCCAAACGCCTTCCGAGGGACCGAAAGGAGAAGCTTTCCAAGTTTCAAATTAGCATCGAATCTATGAGCTTATGAGCGAATTCGAGAATTTCCAGGAGGACAAGCTTTCCGATGACGTAAAAGAACGGATGGACAAGCGTTTCAATGACCTCAGTAACTGGTCCTGCGGCTCTTATCATCTGGATTCGATAGCTCGAGCCTTACTGCAAATGTCCTGCAATCGATGTGTCGTTGGTTCGTTGAAAATATATTTCGAAACCCTTTGAGGTTCCCGAAAAGTTCATTTTGAGCTTATATAGGGCTAGAAGTTATCTACAACGTCGAACAAGGCTCAAATTTTTTTTTCAAAGCTCAACTGTTTGAAAAAAGAATTTCGAAGTCTCTCAGATTCTAAGAAAAATTCAAGACCTTTAACTTGTCTTCAAATGCATAGTGGCAGTAAAAACGGGCTTTGGGAATAAACAGAGTTTTTCCTAGCGACTACAACGGTACACCTGAAATTACGTTAACCTTCATACTTTCGGAGAAAAACGAGTTAAAATGATAAAGAAAGATATTTTTGAGTTGGCGGGTAAAGTTGCTCCATTGAGACTGAGAACACTAAATTGCCTTTTTTTCTCAGAAAGTATGAGCGTTGGTGTAAATTCAGGTATACCGTTGGAATCGCTAGAAAAAAAAACTCTATAATATAGTCTGTGTGCCACGACTTGAAATTTCACGGAACGACATTCCGCTGTTCCGCTGCGTGCGTTCGCGAAGCGTCTTTCGAATCTAGGTCACGCCTTCAATTATTGTTATTGCTGTGAGAGCACAAGAAAGTAGAGTGCCTTAGAAAAATAAATAAATAAAAGCGCGACCAAGGTTCGCAAAAGCGCACAGCGGAATGTCGTTCCGTGAAATTCCAAGTCGTGGTACACAGCCTATAACGCGTTTATTTTCCAAACCCCATTTTTCACTGCCCCTGTGCCTTTAAAAACTTTTTTTTACCGGTCATGACGCTCTCAGCCATTCCCAATGCGACCACGACTCTTTCTTCTTCTCCAATCAATGATTCCCAGGATTCGTCAATATGAACTGCTACCTTCATGACAACTGCTACGAGTGCAGAAATGGCAAAGCCTTTTGCGACAAGAAGTTATTTCTATCTTTCATTCATTTATCAGCCAGTTTCTTTTTCAGTTTCGACAGGGACATGCACCGGCTGTACGGGCATTGCGAGGACGAGTCGAGGCCGTGTTGGGGGGTTCGAGATTTTTCTTAAGTTCTAAAAAGAGAAGGCGAGAATCTTGCTGCAGATGGGGAATTTTCCTATAAGATTGGAATAACCTATAGTCTGTTCAGATTTTGAATGTCAAGTCCCGCCCCTAATAGTGCGATAAGCCAATCAGAGAGCGAGCCATCCACAGAGTGTATTTGAATGACGTCATTGTACTTGAGGTTAAAAATCTGAACAAACTATAGAACTGCAACCGAGCATTCACGGCGTTTTTTTGGACGACGCCACTTTTTCTCCGTAAATTGTCATGTGTCGTGTGCATGCACTGCGCCGCTTTCGCGCAGAAAATTGCGTTCATTTCGAGAAATTTCGATTCTTCTCAAAGACCCCTGCGCCTTTAATATGCTCTGGTGTTTACGCTCTTATAGCCTTTCCCATGACGTCACGTGGGAATATTTTGGCTCCGCCCATCGTGTTTTTGTTTTCGCATTTTTTTTCCACTGACAAAAACGCCTTGAATTTTCGAAAATTTTGAAATCGCATAAAGTTTCTGATTTTTGACAAGGCCTAGTTTTCCAAACATGAATAGCGGTCGAAGTTTTCAAAAACTTAGGCTTAACTTTGAAAAAAGCTAGTTTAATAGTAACATTTCTGACACGGCCTAGATTTGCAAAGGCCTACTGGGAAACTTTTTAGTGGCCACTATAGGGTTTTTGAAATTTTTTTTAAAAGCTTTTTTGGTTGAAATGCGCTCTATGGATAACACAATTTTCAAAGCTTCCTGTGAAGTGTGGCCACTATGGGGTTTTCACGTTTTAGTGGCCACTATAGTGGTCAAATTAGTGGCCCCTTGAGGCGTTAAAAATTAGTGGCCACTAGAGAGGTCTAAGTGCTCAATGGATCAACATAACTGGTCCAATCTGTTTGTTTTAAAATTATCAGAGTTGCTGGAAGGAATACTGGATGAAAAACTACTGAAGTGGCCACTAAATATAGAACGTCTATAGTGACCACTAAAACGGAAAACAGTGGCCACTACAGAGGTGGGTTTAGTGGCCACTTTAGTGTCCTTGGCGAGCCTCTATAGTGGCCTCTAAAAATTTTCCCAGTAGTTTTCCAAAGTTAATGTCAGCACGACTGAACTGGATTCTGGATATTCCACCTTTGTGGACCATTTGAGAATTCTTAACTTTTCAATAACCGAACTTTTTCAAACCTTAAACTGTACCAGATCATCTGAATCCATCCAAGTTTACGTAAGAATCAAAATACGCTCAGATGCCTATTTGAGATGCTTCAAGCGGCGATGACTTCGGTGGAGTACGGTGGCGGCCCGACCTACGTCTACGGTATAGTCCGAAGTTGGTTCGGGAAGAGCGACTGCGACGGAGACCTTCCCGCCTCCATTGAAGACCGTTTTTCCATCTGGCCTCCCGATGAGGAGAAGACATTGATGTGATAAAGATTTTTATCAGTTTGAAGATGCATCTCCAGTAAAATTTGAGAAGCTTCCTCAAAAGGCGTTCAGCAAGGGGTCTGACGTCTTCTACATGCCTTCCCAACACCTTCTAAGAAAAAAAGTCTGACGGAGGCTTCTGGAAAGCTTTTGGCAGGCTTCTGGAAGGCTTCAAGAAGGCTTCTCGAAGGCTTCTCGAAGGCTTCTGGAAGGCTTCTGGAAGGCGTCTGGCAGGCTTCTGGCAGGCTTTTCTTATTTTTACCTTTCCAAAACCTTCTCAAGAACTTCTAGCTACAATTCACCCTCCAACCTCCTGCTGGATTTTAGGAATCCCCTGAGGTTGAGAACCTCTACAAGATCTGGCTCTTCAAAATCTCGAAACCCGAAATTTTCAACCAAAGATTGAATATTCATACGATATAAACGCCAGAAAGTTGTGGGACAGAAGAGCAATGAGGAGACATGAAGGTGGTGGGCGTGGCGACGGAGGACGTTTCGGTGGGCGGAGCTACGACGATGACGTCAGCGCCACCGCCGACGCGCTCCTTCTCCTGCTCCTTGGACATTTCGAGGCGTTCTTCACGCAGCTCCCGCCTCTGCCGCATCATGCTCGTAATGCAGGCCAGCACGTAGACGACGCAGTACAGCGTGCACAACGAGTACATCACGATCAGAACCCACTGAGCCGGACGCTTTTAAAGTGCGGACAGTTGGAAAACTCACAGTCGGCACTTCGAGGTGCAATTCGGTGGTTTTAGAAGACTCCGTTGTCATCTTTGACAGTCGATTTGGTATAGAAATGAAGGGAGTTTCACGATTTTCATCATGCAGAAATTTAATGGCGTGTTGAAAATTATTCAGGGAAATCCCGAATAAAGTCTTTCGAATGAAGTTCGGTGACGAAACGTAGCCATGGTACTAGAATAAAATGTATAGTGATATACATTTTAAGACAAACAGCACAGAAAGTTTATTATATAGCTGATTCACGGCTAGCTTGGAACGCTAGGGGCGTGGCTTGTCTGCCCTCTCCCCGAGCCAGGCGCTATCTCGTCCATTATCGTGTCAGGACCCTTTTTCAATGGCTCAAGTTAGCCGTGAATCAGCTATAGTTGGGAGTTTATTATAATCACAACTTGAAAACGTTCCCTGGTTCCAAAAAATATACCGTATTCCGGAAAATGTATAGGCCGCAGACACAGCTTGCGTACGAAACTTTTTGTTCACGACAACTTCAAACTTTGGGATTTTTTTCAATTAGTTTTTCCTTTTTTTGAGCATTTCTGCGATCATTTCTTGTTGTTGTTTAAATTTTTTTGAACGTTGAAATAATATTTATTATGTAAATGGATATGTTTTGATGGTCAAATAAAGTTAATTTTTTTATTTAACTGATTTTTTTAAAGAGAATTTTTCTAACTTTGGATAGAATAATATCAACCAGGTATAAGGTAATTTCAAATTTGACTAATCTTTTTCCTATTTGATAAAACTTGCCAAATTTGAAATTAATCAATTCTTTTGTCAATATTATTCTATCCTAAATTAAAAAATTCCCGTTGAAAGTCATTGAAAAAAAAAGTTGACTTTATTTGGCCATCAAAACGTATCCATTCACACAACAAATAATATTTCATCGTTTAAAAAAATTGAAAGAATAAAAAAATAAATGGCAGAAGTGCTCAAAATTGAAAACCAATTGAAAAAAACCCAAAAATTTAAAACTTTCGTGAACAAAAGTTTTGTACGGAAGTTGTGTCTGCGGCCAATACTTCTTCGGTATTACTGGGAAAATTTTTAGTGGCCACTATAGGGTTTTGACGTTTTAGTGGCCACTTTAGTGTCCACTCCGATTAGTCCTTGGCGAGCCTTTATAGTGGCCACTAAAAATTTTCCGGTTCACTTTTCACGCCTTTTTGAGGCGGCCGGTCGTATCACGGTAATTTGGATAGGCTTTTTTGTGGTAAAATGGAAACTTGTGAACTTTTCCGTGACAAAACTTATGGTGCTACGACAAGAGCGAGTTTTCCATTTGCGAGCAGTACTGTATGCGGCAAAGCGCATTGCGTGCATGCACTCTGCGTGTTTACACTTTTGTGGCGTGACGTCATCGCGCCGTACATCTGCGGGTTTTTGCTTGCGGGTTTTTTTCGGATTTTTTTGAATTTTTCCGGCTTATTTATTTTTTTCGAAACAAAAAGAAAAACTTTTTTTAATTGATGAAAACTCTGTTTGTCAAAGGGGGCAGCTTAGGAAAATGTTTCTTTATAGATAGCTATTAGGTCAACTCCACAAATATGGAAAAAAAAAGAAGTAAGCTAATATTGATATTTCAAAGAGGAAAATATCAAAAAATTGCATCATAACAAATACCAGTAATTGAAATAAGTTATATCAAAAAATAAGAAAATAAGAAAATAACAAATTTTACAGAACCACCATATCAAACAAAAGTCATTTTCCCAGAAAATCTTCAAGATATTTTAAATGTACATTGAGAGATTTGAAGGGACTTGTCAGAAATTTTACGAAAATTGGTTTCTTGTACAATGCCGGTGTTGAGGGTAGAGGAGCAGGGACATCTTTTTTCGCCAAAACTTCCTTTGTGATTTCTTGTTGCTTTAAAATTGAGTCGAAAAACAATGGCGTTAACATAATCGTCACTTTCCATCCTGAATTTCATTCATAGCACCACTTTTTTTCATTTCAAAATCTGAACGAGAGAAAAAAAATATGAGAAGAAGAAGAACACGAAGATTTTTTTGAGGACAAAAAGGAGCCTTCTTATAAGGTAAAAAGAAGTTTTCTTTTTTTGTTTCGAAAATTTTCGCACAATCAAAACCAAAAAAATCCAAAAAAAATCCAAAAAAATTCCGAAAAAAAACATTGAAAAACCCGCAAGCAAAAACCCGCAGATGTACGGCGCGATGACGTCACGCCACAAAAGTGTAAACACGCAGAGTGCATGCACGCAATGCGCTTTGCCGCATACAGTACTGCTCGGAAATGGAAAACTCGCTCTTGTCGTAGCACCAAACTTATCTTGTAACCTCGAGAAATAGGTCCTCAACAAATTGCAAAAAAGGAAAAAAAAATTTCCTGGTTTTGATTTTTCACGGATTTTTACGACGCTTTTTGAAATATCTTTGTAAAGTTATAGAAATCCTAGGGACAATCGGATAGTTTTTTGGTAGGCTTCTAATTGCGGCTAGGCTCGACTTTGAAAAAAGTAGGGTTGCTGAAAAGTGGAAAATTTTCATGAGCTCATTTCTTTAACGCACAAAAGAGTTGGACGACCGAGCCGTTTTTGGTGGAAGATGGGCTACAGTTTCGCAAACCGACAAAACACAGTGTTCCCAAACGGACGGCAGCTGTGGTCAGTAGGCGTGGCTGACTGCAACAGCGGCACGGTTTATTGCAATAGGGGCGCGGGAATGAGAGTCAAGTTTTGTGGATTCAGTGGTTGGAAAAAGACCCTTAAATGATGTTTTTCCTAGGTTCTCGCAAGTTTTCAAAGATTTTTAATGTGTATTAAATTATAACAAACAAATTTAAATGAAAAAAAGAAACGGAAAAGTTTTTTTGCAAAACAAAATATCTCCCAAAATGTCGTTTTTTTAGGAAAAACTCGTCAAATCGAACTTCCAAAGGGAAAATCGAGAAAAAGCTCAAAGCACTTCTCTTAAGAAATACCATTTAAACGTTTTTAAAAACAAAAAAACAGATACATAATAGCTTGTGCGAAAAAAAGTTGTCACCCAAAATGACATTTTCAAGAATAAATTCGTCGAAAACTGCCTCGAAAAAAACATTTTGAGAAAAATATCAAAGCGTTTCTCTTAAGAAAGTCCATTTGAAAATTCTAAAACAAAAAAACAAACGAAATATTTATGCGAAATAAGTTGTCATCAAAAATGTCATTTTAATGCGAATTTCTGTGACGAGAACAATCGAAAACCACTTCAAATCTCTGGAAAACGCGATAAACACGTTTTAAGAACACATACAATGTGAAAAAATACGAAAGAATGGTGAAATACGCAAGAAAAAGAGAAAAAACCGTATTAAAAGTGAATGAAATTTTGTGGGGGTGACACGCGCCGCACCGCGTTGCGTTAGAAAAAACTCGCGTTTTCGCCCCATTGCGACGACCTTTTTTTTCGCTTGCCGCCGTCTCTTCACTAAGAATAACTGACGAGATAAACGCGAGGTCGGTGGCGGTACATTGACGAACTCGCAAAAATGTCGCTTTTTTCTAGGCGCGATCTCGCATTTGTCTCGGCGCGACCTCGCATTTTTCTCGGCGCCATCTCGCATTTATCTTGCATTTCGGAAATTTTCGAATTGCGAGAGAAATGCGAGCTCGCGCCTAGAAAAATGCGAGCTCGCGCCCAGAAAAATGCGAGACCGGCGCGAGAAAAAAAGCGAGATGTTTGCGAGCTCGTCAATGTACCGCCAGTGTCTCGCGTTTATCTCGGCAGTTATTCTTAGTGTTTTGGAACACTGTGAAAAGTTCATTCAAGTTATCCAAGGTGTATTGTGACTAAAAAAAACACACTGAAAGCTGAATAAATGCGAATGTTGAAACGTAGCCGAATCGGGGTCAGGTAATGAAAGCATAACGAGCATTTTCCTCAAAATGGAGGATATAATTATAAGTTCATCGGCATACCTCCGGTATATGCTTCAGTACTGAAAGAGACCATGTTTTCCAGATGTATTTTTTCATGCTGATTCCAAATCCGGTCTCAAGAGCTGCCCAATACGTCTGTGAAAAAAGTTATGGACCCTCAAAAGTCGAAAAGCTCATGGGATCGAGCTCATTTTTGAAGGGGATGTAGATCATGTCCCTCTGATCACGAAACCTCCTTCAACTTTTTCCAGAGCCCAGATATGATTTTTCGAAGCTCGGCATATGATAATAGCATACGTGCGCGGTGTCCTATCGCGATCCGGCGACGGTCGAAGCAACGGCAGTGAGGAGCAGTGGGGAAGGCGGCGGACTGGGGATCACGAGGTCATAGGTTCGGTGCTCACGCAGTGCAAACTTTTTTTGCAGTTTTTTCTTTTTTGGATGCTTTCGTGTAAGTGCTCCTTTTTTGAGTTTTGGGGCGTATAAACACGAAAACACTGCATTCAAACAGCTGGACTTCTTTCTTACAGCAATCTTTCGCATTTTTGTGAGGTATAACCATAGTCCCATGGTTAGGCTTCAGGCCCTTGGATAGACTACTGGCACAATCGCGATACCCCTGTGCGATTCGTGTGTGGCTGTATTCTGTGCTCATCAAGGCTCAACGGCACGAGTTATGCACAGAAGAACGAGGGGAAGAACCGTGAAATCATGCTTTCAACTTGATCCACTACACATTTGGGCTTATAGTTAACCAAAAAGTTGTTCGTTATATTCCAATACTACGAAACGCTCACATAGCTTATGACTGTTTGCCCTTATGGTCTGAACTTTCGGCGTTTACATTTAGATCACCAGTTTATCTATCAGATCGCGTGAGCCGATCTCAGCTGTTCAAAGCTCTTCGGTCGACGCGACTGATCATCAGATCGGTCGGGGTCCTGTCGGAGTCAGACAGGATCCTGGTGAGAACCAGGAGATCTCGTTCACCTGTTTCAAACCAAAAACCGGATCTAACATGGAGCCGAGGTCTGAGGCCTCGTGCTACACAACGCTCAAACCAACGGAGACAGATGTCCGTAAATTAAGCGAACGTGGATCCACGAATGAACCAAGATCCAGGGTCTCACTGACAGTCAGAGTTACAAGAAATTGGTGATCCCAATTAGGAGCATTATTGGAACTCCGAAGTAAATTTCGTCGAGATCCGGGTCCTCGGGAACGAATCATATAGGCATAACCAACGGCTTCAGTGTTACTGAAAACCTCAACTGGTCTTTCTCAGGTTGACAAATCTCTTTGTTCTTGCCTGAGAAAGACCAGTTGAGGTTTCCAGTAACAAACTGAAGCCGTTGGTTATGCCGAAATCAGACAGGAGGCGGTTGGCGAGCAGGAAGTGCAAGTTTTTCGATATGACCGATCAAGTTCTTGTTCAACACCTAGTCGATTACATCTACAACTCTAACAAAATAAGTGATTGATCTATTGATTCAATAAAAAGTCTATTTTGTTCTCTTCCTCCTATGTAGACTCTCCTCCAAAAAAAACCACGAATGCCAGATTTCTCAGCTTTAGACGTTCCGGGAGAAAAAAAAGGGAACATGGCCGCTTGATCAAATACACGTTTGGACTTCCAGTTCGCCAAAAAATTGTTCGATATGACCCAAAAAGTTCTTTTTCAGCGCCTAGTCCATTACATCCATGACTAGAACAACAAAATAAGCGATTAATCGATTTATTTAATAAATCCAATGCCTCCAATGTAGTCTCTCTCCCAAAAAACACCACGGATGCCAGATTTCTCAGCTTCAGACGTTCCGGCGAACGAAGGGAAGAAAAAGGTGAACGTGGCCGCTTGATCAACTACACGTTTGGACTTCCAGTTCGCCAAAAAATTGTTCGATATGACCCAAAAAGTTCTTTTTCAGCGCCTAGTCCATTACATCCATGACTAGAACAACAAAATAAGCGACTAATCGATTTATTTAATAAATCCAATGCCTCCAATGTAGTCTCTCTCCCAAAAAACACCACGGATGCCAGATTTCTCAGCTTTAGACGTTCCGGGAGAAAAAAAAAGGCGAACGTGGCCGCGGAGCCAGTTGCCATGGCCACAAGAATCCGTCGATTGAGAGTTCGGCGCCGTCGGCGGCCATCCCAAAACGTCTCCATTACCTTCTTTCCAGGGCCAATTTTCTCTCTTTCATCTCTTCCATTATTCACAAAATGTCCTTTGTATCAAGTTTATAAAGTTTCTCAAGTTCCTCCTTAAAACAATTGAGTTTATTTTATGGGTTTTTTTAAAGGCCGAGAAACATGGAAAAAGTGCTCCAATGCTACTTTTGGAGCATTTTGCCGTTCAGGAATTTTTATGATAAGGCTAGAAATTTCAATGATCTTCTTGAAAATATAATGTTCCAAGCCTTGAAAACGATTTTAAGAATCTTCTTATGAAAAAAAAATCCACTATTAAGCATTTTTTTTTTGGCTTAATTTTCTCTTCTTCATCTCTTTTATCAGATTATCATGAACCTCTATGCCTTTTGTGATAAAATATGGAGATTATTGGGTTCCTTGAAGAGAATAAGCTTAACGGAAAGTCTTTTAACAAAGTGATTTGCTTCAAAAAACCCAAAAAATGTGCTTTTTAAAAAATGTCGAAGAAAAATTCTATACTTTCTTATTATATTTTATCATCAAGGCTTAAATTTTCCGGATTTTGGTAAATTCAAATCAAAATGAGGTCCAAAATGAAGAAAAAACGCTTCGATATTGAAAAAATGCAGTTTTGGGTCAATTTCAACCATATTTTCTTTGATCGTGTTCACTAATTTGAAGCTTTTTTTCATTTGAAATCGTTAAACTTCTACTCATTTTTTTAAAAAAATCGTTTCAAGCCCCTTTTTACGAAAAATTATGACTGTCTTGAGCGCAAATTTTTCTTGAAAAAAATCAAGAAAAAAATCCCAAAATTGTAGAAAAAAATTGACTTCTTTGCAGTGACTTCTGCTATTTCTTCCATTTGAAATTTCTCCTCCGAGCTTTTTTTGTGATTTCCATTTCAATAGGACTAATTATTTCCGAAAAAAATACGACCTTTTTTTATGCCTTGAAAAAATTTCTTTACATTTTTTTCTTTTTAATGAAAAGGAGAGACATTAGCCGTTTAATCTTTTAAATTTTTCCTAAAAAAACTATTTTTTTCTAACTACCTTTTCTAAGACCCTCTCAATAATCTCCATGTGATTAGATGTTCCAAAATCGGAGAAAACGGCCATTTTTTACGTCTTGAAAAAAAAAATTCGTCTTCACTGTATTTATTTTTAATGGAAGGAGAGACACTAGCCGTTTAATCTTTGAATTTTCCTAAAAGTTATTTTTAATCCTCCGAATGATCTCCTTTTCCAGGTTATTAGGTGCTCCAAAAATTGAGGTGTTCTAAAAATTAAAAAAAATACAGCCTTTTCTATGACCCTACCAATAATCTCCAGATGTCCTAAAAAACGGGCATTTTTTACATCTTGAAAAAATTTTCTTTACATTTTTTCTTTTAATGCAAGGAGAGACATTAGCCGTTCAATCCCTTCCGCAAATTATTTTTGATCCCAATGACCCGCCTCAAAAAATCTATTTTTCCCACACCCTATGTACACTTGCTAATCGTAATAACTCACCTTGGCAACAAAAGTCGCGATATGGAGATTGAATTGGTCGAAGAAAATAGGGGGGGCAATTAGATTTTGAGGGTTGAGGGACTCGGATTTCGGCAAGTCGGCGAGACGAGGAGCCACCGCCGGCCCCCGTCATGTCCTCAGCCATCACCCTCGCCGAGAGGTTCGCATCTCAAATATCGATATTATTGATTGAAAAGCTTTTGAAGTGCTCTTGCCATCTACAAAAAGTTATTGAATGGTCATAACTGAAAAAAATACTACGAGAATGATTTTGTCCTTAGGTTCAGTAGTGAAATTCGGCCAAATTTCTTTTTACGAACGCCAGAGTGATTTCGAGAGGGGTTCGGGACCAAAAAGGCCCTATAGGGACCACTCGATAGCTCCTTAATATTCGGGACCTTTTATCCCAGAAGCTAGGACCGAATCTGCTGCAAGAGCAATTTTTCCATTTCCGAAGAGTACGGTATGTAAAAGTCCGCAATTTAACTTGCATGTGTTTACACTTTTGTTGCGTGACTCGGCTTTTTTTTTTCTTTAAATTTGAGCTTCATCAAAATGAATAATATGCCGTGATTTCCGCGAAATGTAAAATGATTTCTGACCCTCCAAAATTTGATTATCTTTTTTTTTCTCTGACGGCGATTTTGGATTTCGCGGAATCAGTTTGTACACGGCAATAACCATAGAAAAAATCTAAAAGTGAAGAAAAACACGAAAATGGGCCACCCGGACACGTTACGCAACAAAAGTGCAAACACACGCAAGTCAAATTGCGGACTTTCACATACCGTACCCTTCGAAAATATAAAAATGCGTTCTTGCCACAGAATTGGTCCTAACTTTTGGGATAAAAGGTCCCAAGCACTTTGGAGCTCCAGAGTGGTCCCTATAGGGGCTGTTTGGTCCCTAACCCCTCTTGGAACTATTCTGGCGTTCCTAAAAAGAAAATTGGCTGAATTTCACTTCTGGACCCAGGAAAAAATTGTTCTCGTAGTCTTTTTTTTTTCAGTTTTGACCATTCAAAAGCTTAAAAAATTTTCCAAGAATTAGATAATATGGCTTGAAGCCGCTTAAAATAAACTATAAACAATTTTTAGGGAACATTTTTTTTTTTTAATTTCTTTTCTCACAACTTCCTCCTCGGCAAGATAAACGCTTCCGAAAACATTCATTTTTCGTTCTTGCAAATCCCCAATTTCCATAGCGAAAAGAAAAAAAAAGGGATGCAATTAGAGATGAATCACTTCTATTTGCTATGATTATTAAGGATGAGAGCAAAAATCTCGTGAAAATTGGAAAAAACAACAATTCCTTTAATTAATTAAAAATGATGGTTTCTTGGGATTTTCTATAGAATATTTTAATTAAAAGCCTGATTAGTAGTCAGATTAATTAAATGAGAAATTGATGGATTATTAGTTCATGGGAAATTCGCTGGCCTGGTCCAATTGAAGCGTAGTTCCATTAATCAAATTGGATAATTGATAAACGAGTTCAAAAATCCGTAGAAAAACCTACAGTACCTAAAAAAATGATGTTACTGTAGCTGATGGGAAAAAGGAGGTAAGTTTTTTGATAAGCTTGGAGTTACCGTATCCTCAGGCAATTTCAATATTACTTATAATCCGTAAAAACTGGAGACAAATCCACAGTACCTCAAGAAATGGAGGTACTGTGGTTGTTGAGGAAACTAGGGGTTACTGTACCATCAGGCTACCTGAACGAAGGAACTTAAAAATCAAAGAAAACTGGACAAAAATCCACAATACCTCAAAAAAAGCAGGTACAGTAACTGATGGAAAAACAGAAAAACGTTTTTTTTTTTGAAACTTAGAGTTACCGTATCTACAGACAAGTCCAACTCGACTAGCAATCTAAAAATCAATAAAATCGGTGAAAAATTCCACAGTACCTCAAGAAATGAAGGTACTGTAATTTTTTTGAGCAAACTAGAAAAAAATTTGAATAAATATAATAATTTATCTCTTACAGTATATTCAGACGATTTAAACCTCACTAAGGATCTGAAAAATCCATGCAAACCGTTAAAAAAATCCACAGTACCTCAAAAAATGATGTTACTGTAACTGATGAGAAAATCGACATAAGTTCAACTTTTTTTTTTGGATCGACTGGGAGAGATGAGAATCACCGTACTTTCAGGCAGTCCAAACCGAAATTTTTTTAAATTTTGGATAATCCGGATATCCTAGAAGCTACCTTATCTTTTTTTAATAATATTATTTATTTACAGGCAGAACAAAATAACATGTACAGAAAAAAAGAGAAAAAAATTTGGCATTAAGCCTGAAATAAATAAATAAAAGGCACTTGAGGCCCTCACGAGCCTCTGAGCCAGTAATGAAAGAATAAGAGGTGAGGATTGCACAAAGGTAAAAAAAGTAAATAGAAAAGAAAGCATAATAAATTATGACACAGTGTAGCACAGGTAAATGGGGAATTTAATTGGTTGTGATGATATAGACGCGCATAAGATGGATTAGAGTAGGGCTGAAGCACGGGTGCCTGGTTCAACGGAGTCTGCTGGGAATAGATCCAAAAAGGAAATTGTTATCGAGGGATAGTAACAAAGACCTGAAACGATCTGGAGAAACATTGAGGTTTCCCAATGTAGCCAGTTTATTCCAAAGAGGGATGAACGTCTCAAAGAAATTTTCGAAACGAATCCCTACTCTGATAAGACGTGATGGAGCACGTACTGAATTTGATCTCTTCAGGCAATTTTAAACTTAATCCAAAACTAAAAAGTTCATGAAAACTGTAGAAAAATCCACAGTACCCCAAAAAATTTAAGTACTGTAATTGATGAGAAAATCGACATGAGTTCAATTTTTTTTTTGGATCGACTGGGATAAGCTGATAGTGTCTGTACCTGCAGGCAATCCAAACCTCACTAAAACCTGAGAAAGCAAAAAAAAACTGTAGAAAATTCCACAGTACCTCAAAAAGTGAAGATACTGTAGAAAATGAGAAAAATTGAAAAAAAGAAAGGTTCTGAATAAATGAAATAATTTTGGAGTTACCACATATTCAGGCGATTCAAAACTTACTGGAAATCTAAAAAAAACAATAAAAACTGTAGAGCTCAATCTGACTAAAAAAAAGTCTTTCCCCATGCTTTAAGCCCAATTTTGCCTTAATTACCTTAGTTACGACCTTAATAAACTCTCACAAAACCTGAACTTGCCTTAAGTGCCTTAGTTACAACCTTAATAAACTCTTAAAACACAAAACTACCTTAAGTACCTTGCTTACCACCTTAATAAACTCTCGAAACCTAAAATTCCTTAATTACCTTAGTTATGACCTTAATGAACTCTCAAAACTCAAAATTGCCTTAAGTACTTTAATTATGACCTTATCAAACTCTTTAAACCCAATTTTACCTTAAGTACCTTAGTCACCACCTTAATAACCTTCCTCAGGTATGTCATGACGAAGAGACTCGGCGACGGGACATTTGGCGAGGTACTTCTGGCCAAGAAAATCGACACCGGCGATAAAGTCGCCATTAAACGGTCGGCTTTGGAAATTATTCATATTTTGAATTTTTTGCAGGATGAAGAAGAAGTTCTACAGTTGGGACGAGGCGATGGCCCTTCGAGAAGTCAAATCGTTGAAAAAATTAAATCATCCCAATATTATCAAGCTCAGAGAGGTTATTTTTTACGGGGAAAGTGCGCTCCAACGATAAAATGGTCTGATTGGCTTGAAAAAAAAAGCGAAATTGACATTTTGAAGGTGGAAATTCTTTTTTTAGACTTTAAATTCCCAATTTTCCAATTTCTAACAGTCCTATCAAAATCTATCACACAGTAGCTTGACAAACCAGGAAAAAATTAAATTATCCCAATATTATCAAGCTCAGAGAGGTTATTTTTTACGATGAAAGTGCGCTCCAATGATAAAATGGTCTGATTGGCTTGAAAAAAAAGCAAAATTAATTTTTTGAAGCTGAAAACTCTTTTTTTAGACTTTACTATCATAATCTATCACACAGTAGCCTGATAAATCAGAAAAAATTAAATCATCCTAATATTATCAAGCTCAGAGAGGTTATTTTGTAAGATGAAAGTGCGCTCCAATGATAAAATGGTCTGATTGGCTTGAATAAAAAGCGAAATTAATTTTTTGAAGGTGAAAATGCATTTTTTAGATTTTACTATCATAATCTATCACACAGTGACCTCATAAATCGCTCATTTTTCACCAAAAAATCCGAAAAAAAGCTCGATTTTCCCACCCAATTACGCTTCATTGAACCCAAAGAGGCCGAATTTTCCAGGTTATTCGAGAAAACGACGTTCTTTATTTCGTTTTCGAGTTCATGCAGGAGAATCTATACGAGTTGATGAAGGATAGGTACGTTTTCTTTCGGAAAAAATGGGAAAAATTTTTTTTTTCAGGGACAGATATTTTCCGGAAAGCGTCATCCGAAATATCATCTATCAAGTGTTACAAGGGCTAGCTTTTATGCACAAAAACGGTAAAATATGGATTTTTTAGAGAAAAAATTGGGATTATAGTGTCTTAGGAAGCACTTAGAATCTTGAGAAGCCAGAAAATTCGAAAAAATAAGAAAAAATGATTTTTTAAAGCTTCAGAATTGATATTTTTGTTGAAAAAAGGGCAAGAATCAATGGTTTTTCACAAATTTCAATCGCGAATATTGAATTATACCGGATTTCCGATGATTTTAGTGAATTCATAGGCAAAAAATAGTTGAAAAATCAAATTTTCCAAGCCCAAAAATTTTTTTTCACCCTTCAAAAGTACACAGGTAAATCGTCCCCAAGTACAGCTTTTCCTCAATTTTTTTCTCAAAATAAAATCCAAGTTCAAGGGTTTTTCCATCGCGACATGAAGCCGGAGAACATCATGTGTAACGGGACGGAACTCGTCAAAATCGCCGATTTCGGTTTGGCGAGAGAAATTCGATCGAAACCTCCCTACACCGACTACGTTTCAACGAGATGGTTTAACAAAATTCTTATGAAAAAAAATGTTTTCTGGATAGTCCGTAATTCAATATATCGATATGAAAGAGCTGAAAAACCAGCATGGAAAAAATAGCCGCGATAAAAAAATTTGAGGAAGTAAAAGTGCTCCATGGACAATAATTGAAATTTCACAGATTTCAAGGCTTCAAGACAGGATTTCAATGGGAGCTAGTGGAATATTAAGTGGGCCAGGAAAAAATTATTAGAAACGACTTCAAAATCCAAAAAAGGATATCTTGTCTCAAAATTCTTCAAATTAGCGCTGGAGCGCAAAAGTTCACTTTATCGCGGTTATTTTTTCCCTAGGTTCTTTCGAATTTAAATTGAGTCCTTGTAAATGCTATTTCTCTCTGAAATCTTCAAATTAGCCTTGGAGCGCATTTTTCTTTGAAATTTCAATTTGTAAATTCCGAATTTAGCTTTGGGGCGCACAACACTTATTTAAAGCGGCTGTTTTTCAATATATATATATAGATAGAGCACATTATCTCATTGGAATAGCGGCCATTTCTTCCCTATAAAGTCTAAAATTAGCCGTGGAGCGCAGAAATGCTTTTTTCAACGGCTATTTTTCTCCTAGGCTTTTTCGCGCTGTCTTGCCAAAAATATACCCAAAAATCAGAATATTCCTTCCAAGCCTATTTGCATTGATAGAGCACATTATCCCATCAGAATAGCGGCCATTTCTTCCCTAGCAATTCTAAAATTAGCAGTGGAGCGCAAAAATGCTTTTTTTCAACGGCTATTTTTTCCTAGGCTTTTTCGCGCTGTCGCTATGTCCAAAGTATACCCAAAAATCGGTTTTTTTCATTCCAAGCCTATTTTTTTAGAATCAAACTTGAATTTTTGATTTTTCCAGGTACCGCGCCCCGGAAATCCTACTCCGATCAACCTCCTACAATTCTCCGATCGATGTCTGGGCTCTGGGCGGAATAATGGCCGAACTCTACATGTTGCGGCCTTTGTTTCCAGGAACCTCGGAAATGGATCAACTGTTCAAGATCATCTCCATCCTGGGAACACCGACGAAAGTATGAGATGAATAGAACTTCCAGAAAGAATTTAAAATTACAGGAAGAATGGCCGGAAGGTTATCAATTAGCTAGCGCCATGAATTTCCGGTTTCAACAGGTGGTGGCGACGCCTATGGAACAGGTAGGTACTGAAGAAAAAAAATAGAGAAGCTTCGTCTTTTTCAAAAAGACCTGAATTTTTCAAATGTTCGTTCAAAAATTACCAAACAAAAAAAGTTACAGCGTTGAACTTGAAAATAAAAATACATTTTTTCAAGCTACATAAATGGAATTGGCCTTGATGATCTTAAAAATGAAACATTCCGACACCATTTTTGAAAGTTACTCAAATGTAAACAGGAAAGGTCGAAAAAGGCTGCGGAAAGGGTCGAAAAAGGCTCCGAAAAGGGTCGAAAAAGGCTCCGGAAAGGGTCGTAAAAGGCTCCGGAAAGGGTCGAAAAAGACTCCGGAAAGGGTCGAAAAAGACTCCGGAAAGGGTCGAAAAAGGCTCCGGAAAGAGTCGAAAAAGGTTCCGGAAAGAGTCGAAAAAGGCTCCGGAAAGAGTCAAAAAAGGCTCCCGAGAGGGTCGAAAAAGGCTCCGGAAAGGGTCGAAAAAGGCAATTTTCGTTTAAGGGTGAGAAAAGCTCCTTTTTTACCGCTTTTTGGCGCCATTTTATCGGCTTTTTTTGCATCATTTTTGCTCTTGAGCCTTTGAAACCCCAGGAAAAATGGAAGGCTCGATAAAGAGACTCTCTTTGCTGCCATTCTGGGGCCTTTTCAAAGCCATTCTGGGTCCTTTCTGCAGCTTTTTTGCGCCCTTTTTGCGGCCTTTTTACTGCCTTTTTACTGCCTTTTTGCGGCCTTTTTGCTGCCTTTTTTGAGCCTCTCCTCTCAGCGGCCATTTTCCACCATTTTGACCTTGCCCGAGAATACTCAAGTCACCTAAAGCTGTACAATGCAGTTTCTTGCATTCTAAATCCTTAGGGTTCCCCCTGTTCTGTCAATTATAATTTTAAACCGAAGAATTGATTTACAGGTAGTGAACACGATAAGTAAAGAAGGAATGCGGCTAATGATGGACATGATGATTTGGAGTCCGGAAAAACGGCCTAGCGCTGCGCAGGTTTGATTATTTTCACGTTTAAGAGTTCATGAGAAAGGAAAAATCGGAATTTTTAAGGATTTTCAGCTCCTTCTAAGGGTCCTCAGAGATTTTTCTAGGCATAATTATTTCAACTCATTTGAATATTTATTTCACTCTGATACATAAAACAACATGAACTACAAATAAAAATACATAGTTTGAGCAAGAATTATATTAGAGTGAAATTAGGACCGGTTTTTAATACGCCCTCACGAGCGAATTTACCGGTATAGAGAATAGGACACGTAGTAGGATTTTTGATCACAGTAGACGTAAGGGAATGTTGGAAAAGAGTTCTTCGTTGCTTAGCGAGTCGAGAAACTTTCTGAAACGGGTGGTAGACGTGTTAGGGTTGAATCTTGAGCAGAGTCTATTCCAAAGAGGAATGACAGTGCTTAAAAAACTATTAAATCTGGGACCAGTCTGAATCAAACGAAAAGGACACCGAGGTGAACGACTTCTACTGAAAAACTTTTCTGCGCTAGGAAAGTGGTAAATGCCCAGGACGATTTTTTGAAGCGTTACTAGAGCAATAGAAGTTCTCCTACGGAAAACATGAGTAGAACCGAGTACATCAAGGCGATGGGAGTATGCGTCAAAGGATTTATGAAAACTCTCATGAAAACTTGCCTAGTATATAATGACGGTAAGGTTTTTCAAGTAGCACGGACAGTTCTGAATTTATAGGCGGTGAGAAGATTTCAGAGCAATAGTCAAGATAGGGTCTAGCGTACATGTTGAATAGTAAATTATACTGCTGGATGTTCAAGTGAGCAAAAGCTTTGAGCAGCTGTTTAGATTTGAGAGTGGCAATGTTGACAACATGATTAATGTGAGGGCTGAAACACAAATTTTTATCGATAAGGAGACCGAGGTCTCTGACGACAGTTTCAGATCGAATAGGTGAGCCATCAACATTGTAAACATGTTCAGGATTGTTTCTGCCTAGATGAAGAACAACAGTTTTATTGGCCGCAACTGGGAGGCCCCAAGTTTTAGACCAATCGAGCAATCTATTTATACTGTCTTGGATAGCATCAGGGTTATCGGAAGAAATTTTCAAACTCATGCTCTCCAAGAGAATCTTTGAACGGCCAGAACAGTGGGCACAAAAAATTCATGTTACTTTTTACGAGCTCATACTCATATCACAACAACTACAAATGTATACAAAACTTTTGAACAAGGTTTTGTAAGGCTCCGCCCCTTTTGAGCACTACTGTAGCCGAAATACGAAAGATTCTAACTTTTTTCCCCGTGGTCCAAATCGAATGAAGCTCTTTTTAAACAAAAAATGATGCCTAAATGAACACTTTTTGTGTTGACACTTTATTGAAATAATTATTTTTCATACTGAAATCAACGATTTCTTTCGGTTTTTGAGGTTTTGAGGCAGGAAGAACCCCCCGATCAGTAAAATTTTATTATTTTAAACGATGCGCCAGGTCTTTCTACTCTAGAAACAATTGTCCATATGTTCCAGTTTCAAGTGATCTAGTTGACCTCCTTTTAAAAATTGATATGAAACCCAACCTCGAGGCGTTTCCTTGCAGTGTCTCCGGTACAAATACTTCCAAGTGGCGGAGAAACTCGGGGCTCCGGTGATGAGTCAACCGGCGCCCGGGACAACCCGGAAGACGAGCGCCGGTTCGACGAAAAGCGACACGAAGGCCGTCATTGGCAAGGCGGTTCGTTCTGAAAATCTGAGAGAAATTTTTGAAGATCCTAAAAGTATTAAAAAACGTGGAAACAACTTCAAAACGCATATGAATTCACAAAATTTTCCCACCTTTTTAAAAATTTTCGTCAAATTTTGAAAGTAATTTTTGACATCCGTTTATGAATATGATAATTCTTTCTATTTTTTATAAATCGACTATTTTCTGAAACATTTTTGATAAAAATGAGAAGAAAAAACAAAACGAAAAAGCAAAAAAAGACGACTGAAAATTACTTGTACGACACTCCAGTTAACGCATCGCATTGGAGCGCACTTCACCAAACATCTTCCTTTTTTCTTTTTTTCTCGTTTTTATTCACTTTTTTATGTTTTTATTTGATTTTTATGATATTTTCTTTAATAAATAACCAAGTTTTTAGAAAGAATACCCCGGATCGGAAAAACGTCTCGCCGCAACAGTCAAAAGTGCTCGACCGGCATGCAAATCGCAATATTCCTTTGAATAAAACCAACATATTCGAGAAGTTTGTTTTATTTTCATTTCATTCTCAAGTGTGAAAAATCACTTTTCAATGGTTTATTTTTGAGAATTTTCGATTCTAGCTGACATATTTCGAGGTCAAAAATGTTGAAAAATAATAAAATGAGTTGAATTTCTTTCATGTTATTTGTCGAAAATTTCTACATTATCTTGCATTTTTCTATTTATTTTGCTAGCCAAGACAATGGAGGCTATTAACCCCATGTGGCCTTTGCTCCACTGAGAAAATTGTAACCAAGGGAAACCCTTCTCATATTTTAGACCACCAAAACAGGAAACAATAGAGCCACCAGGTGGTCGTAGTAAACAGGTAAACATTCGAATATTTTGGAATTTTCGGTCTTTTCAGGGGTTATTTAGTGTAATATTCCCGTTTTTAGAATAGTTTGAAGTCATAAAATTCGGAAAAATCACCTAAAAGATTCAAAATTTCAGATCCGACACGAAAATCTCATTAACAAAAAATGGCGAGGTTTCTGCCAAGGCGGGTGCAAAGGACATTTACCTGGCAAAATCGAAATATGTCCCAGGTGAGTTTTTAAACATTCTGTGACCATAATTTTTGAAAAATTTGTTTTTTTCTATTTTTTTGATTTTACAAGGAACCTTCAAACATATAGAAGTCAAAATTGGTTAAAAATTTTCAAAGGGTTACTTCGATAGTCCCAGTTTTATCAAAATTGTGCTTTTTTGCTTTTTAGTAGAGCTAACGCTTCATAAACTTTGAAAAAAAGTGAATTATATATATATTTTTTTAAATCTAGTTTTTTCTCTTTTTATTTTTTTCAGTCAATTTTTGATCAAATTTTTCAAGCTGGGTTCATTTTTGCTTCCCTCCTGCCATAAATTGTGAAAATGATGAAACTGATCCTTTCTTTGAATTTGAAATTACTTCATTTATCTCGTTGAATCCTCTCCATGCTTCAATATGCCTAAAAACTGTTTGAAATCGCGTTTTTTTCAGTCTTTTTTGAAAAGTGAAGGGTTCTCCTTGAATTTGAGAGTATTGAACTTGTCTCTATGACAAAAAAAAATCTGATGCTTCAACATGCTTAAAAACTCTTTGTAGTCGAGTTACTCTATGGTTTTTCATATCTGATAAACTTTCGAAGAAGCTGATTTTCAAGCGCCGTAACCAAGAAAAAAAACAAAATCCTAAATTTGTAGTTATTGAACCTATTCCTCATCTCTGTGCCTTAAAACTAATGAAAATCGCGCATCTCTATGCATTTCTACGACTAGAAACTGTTGGAAAAGCTGATTTTTTGGGCAGTGGCCAAGAAAAACTCAGAAAAGTGAACCAAAAAAAATTTAGCCGATTTATATGCCTAAAAAGGAGGGAATCGCGTTTCTGTGTGCTTTATGATGCCTAAATATGGTAGAAGTCCCGCTTCTTTAAACTTTGAAATGCCAAAAAAACAGGAAGAAATGGCGTTTCGCTATGATTTTACGTGCATAGAACCTGTTAGAAATCGGGTTCACCTAGGCCTCCAAATAACTAAAAACTGTCCGAAATCGCGGTTTTTTATGCTTTAAGACGCCAAAAAACAGTCGATTTTGAGGCGCGGTGGGCAAGGACGGGAGCGGGAACAACCAGGTGATGACCAACGGACTCACCAAGACGACGACGACCACGTTGAGCGCCAAGAAGGAGGGCCGGAGTGCCGTGCAAGCAAGGTTCGAGTACGCGTACGGTCAGTCTCCTCTCCTCTTTTCTTTCCTCACTTGCTTCGTTTCTCCTTCTTCAGTTGCCTGAAATTATGCTACTTATTCTTGGATTTTGAGTTTGGATCAATTGAGCAGAGCTTCCTAGGGCGCACTCCGGGTCGTCTTAGGATTTGAAGCAGTCTCCCCGGGGCGACCCGATCCGTAATCTTGAAGATAAGGTTAAAAAAAGGGGGGGTTTAGAATGTTTTTGGAACAGTTGCAATCGAGCAATTTTGAAAAAAGTTCAAATTGGCCGAAAAATTGCGGCTTTTCAGCATTCATCGGATGGACCCCCGTCCCCAGTCTTTTGCGCGCCAAAAAAAATTTTGGGCCGCTTTTTTTGGGGGGTAGGCTACATTTTTCAGGGATAGGCCGCAGTTATCACGGGGGGTAAGCCGCATTCTTTGAGGGATAGGCCGCAGTTATCGAGGTGGGATGGGGGGATCCAGTCGACGTATGCTTTTTGAGATTTATACAGTCAAAATATATCATTTTTCTGGTGAAACATAGAATTTCCGGCGTCCCTGATGCTACTAAAAGCCAGAAAGGAAAATTCGAAAAATTTGAAAAATACATTCTTAGCTTCATCAAATGTCTTTTAACTGAAAAGCCGCTAAACATCAAAAAAAAAACTTTTTCGAAAAATATTTGCATGCCTCGCACCAGTAGAGCCTCTCCACATCATTATCGTGATCTTTTCGAAAATCTTGGATTTTTAGGGTACGTTCCAAACTTCGGGGCTCGGACACTGCCAGCGGCGGCAACAGTGTCGGCAGTTCCGGCGACGACGGCCCCGTCCGCCGGCCTTCAGAACCCTAAAAATGCCGGCAGGATCGACTGGGCCGCTAAGTGAGGCTTTTTTGAGGACGTTAGGTTCTAGAAATAGTTGGTGACGGAATTCAGAAGCTTAGGAAGACATGATCAGACAGGCTTCTGAGTGAGACTTTATAAGGTCGTTAGGTTCTAGAAATAGTTAGCTAGTGTTGGTAACGGCCTTTAGAACCTTAAGAAATCCGGCAGGATCGACTGGGCCGCCAAGTGAGGCTTTTTTGGGGACGTTGGGTTTTAGAAATAGTTGGTGACGGCCTTCAGAAGCCTAGGAAGGCATGATCAGTCAGGCTTTATAGTGAGACTTTATAAGGTCGTTAGATCCAAAAAAAATAGTTAGCTAGAGTTGGTGAGTACCTAAAGAACCGTAAGAAGGCAGTACCGATTAGGCCTCTAATTAAGAATTTTTCGAGGACATAAGCTTCAAAAAATAGTTAGCTAGAGTTGGTAACGGTCTTTAGGACCTTAAGAGCGCTGGCAGTACCGATTAGGCTATTAAGTGAGAATTTTTGAGGACGTTAGGTTCAAGAAATAGTTAGCTAGAGTTGGTAAGGACCTAAAGAACCGTAAAAAGGCAGGACCGATTCGGCCTCTAAGTGAAGTTTTTCGAAGGAATTAGCCTCAAAAGTTAGTTGAATAGAGTTGGTAACGGCCTACAGGACCCTAAGAAGACAGGATCGACTGGGCTTCTAAGTAAGACTTTTTAAGAAGGTAAGGTTCAAAAAATAGTTAGCTAGAGTTGGTAACGACCCTAAGTAACCTAGGAAAGCCTGCAGGATTGACTGGGACGCTACGTGAGACTTTTTAAGGACCTTAGGTTCAAAAAATAGTTAGCTAGAGTTGGTAACGACCTTTAGGACCTTAAGAATGCAGGAAGTACCGATTAGGCGTCTAATTGAGACTCTTCAAAGACATTAACTTCAAAAAATGAGTTGAATAGTGTTGGTACCAACCTTCGGAACTCTAAGAATCGACTGGGCCGCTAAGTGAGGCTTTTTGAGGACCTTACAAGAAAGGTAATTTTACTATGAGTTTTGAAACCCCCTCAAATTTGACAAAAACACTTCTTGATGTACCAGACTAAGGTTCTGAGAGTCTCAGTTTGCTCAACTTCCTAGTTTTCAAAAAATCAGGGTCCCAAGCCTCAATATTTCCCAACTTTAGGGATTTCGAAGCTTTTATAGGAGCTTGAGGGGCTCTTTCTTAAAAAGGTTTAGACTTTCAGAGTTTTCAAGAATTAATTTAAGATAATTCCCAACTCTTCTTGTTTGCTCAAATAAATAATCATGCAAAATTCCTCAAATTCTCATGAAATATTCCAGGTACGTCAAATGAGTGCACTACAAATCAACCGCCAAGCCTTTCAGTCGCAAAAAAATATTCCCCATTGCGTGTATTTCTTGTTCTCTTTTCATTGTATTTATTCATTTTCATTCCAATTTGATTGTTGATTTCATTCTAGACGTTTCTGTTCAACAAGAAAACAATAAATTCATAAAAAAAAAATGAAAGACAAATTCGAATTTCACCCTGAAATGGCTCATTTTCCATGCAATTTCCTAAATGAGAAAATCAAGCAGGGCAAGCATTAAAAATAACAATTTGAGATACTTGGCAAGCTATAGAAGGCGAGAAAAAATGCGTTAAACTTCGAAAAACATGCGAAAAACAACAAAATCAACAAATTTCAACATGAATCGAATATTTTAAAAATATGTACATTTGTTTTCGTTATTTCAGGCTTTCGGAGGCATTTCGAGGCCGTTTTGAAGCAAAATATCAACCTAAAATCATTAATTTAAGCATTTTCACAGCTTTCTCATCACTTGAAATGCTTTCAAATCGCCTCGTAGTAGTTATTTTCATATTCTCAGTGCAGCCGACCAGAAACTACTTGCGCGGAAGCCTTCTCTAGTATAAAGAAACACAAAAGCCGCTCAAGGTCGGGCGCAGTTTTGAGGTAAGAACCGCAGCGCGACCGCGACGCTTCGAGCCGATTAGTGGTCACTAGAGGGGCTCGTATAGGCTCCCCTCAAGGGGCCACCTCGCCTCCTATAGGGGCGTTAAAGCTTGCAAAAGTGGCCACTCTAGGGATGCTAGTTGTCTCTATACGTCTTTTTACCTTGCAAATAAGGACGAAAATTGATAGACCACTTTAGGAGCTTAGAGGTCAAGCCCTAAACTCCTATTAGGACCAACTGAGCCATCTAGGGAGTCGAATACAGTGTCTTTTTTTTGCTTACCCCTTTAGTGACCACTCTGGCAGTTTTTAGAAAACCTTGTAGAGAGTTCAAAGCGTGCGCCAGACCTGAAACTACTTGCGCCGTTTCAGCTAAAATCGCTCAAGGTCGGGCGCAAAGAAAGATGGGAAGAACCGCAACTAGGGACCGCAGACGAATTTTCAAAAAAAATTTTTCAGCATTGAGCTTTGTATGGTTTGATAGCTGTTTTGATTCAAAACTCAGAACCGTTTAGTTTTTCGAAAAAGATTGAGGATGAAAAAAGTTATGACGAAAAATGTGGCGCGCCGCGCACCATTTTTTTAGTACTGAAAATTTTTGGTATTATCCATTTTTTTGACATTTTTTTCTCGATTTTTTTCTTCTAGAACAAATTTTGATACTGGTCTATTATGATGTAACAAATCATAATAGAGTGCTAAAATGATGCTCATCAGCTAGTTTGCCGAAAAAGTCGGTATTTTCCAGAAAACAAAAATACTGACGCTTGCGGGCATCGAACTCGCGACCTTAAAATGAAAGTTCGCAGCGCACGCGCTGCGCCAAGCTGTCAGGTCTAGCGAAGGGAGCCTCCATCCGCCATACCCTTGAGCCGTTTGAATAGCACAGATTGCCTATTTCAAAAATAAAAACTTGAAGTATTTCAGCTATTTTTATCAGAATATGTTCGCAAATCTTCACTCAAACTTTCCGTGAAAATTCACTTTGAAAAAACTGTTTTTTTAGTGCTTTTTTCCTCGTTTAACGATCGCTGCCTTAAAAACAGCCCCGTAAATTTTTTTGGCAAAGACGAATTTTTTTATTTTATTCTTTCAATTGAAAGATTTTTTTCACTAATAAATGTATATAATCGTTTAAAAAAACCTGCGTTCGACCGCTTTTCTGTGTGATAAACGCCGCTAATTTTTATTATCTAGTTTCAAGAGCATTTTTTTGTGTATTAAACAACTTTTTTTCAAGCGCAGATGCTGTGGAGAAAAAAATTTAAGTAAGCCCATGGTCTAAGTTTTTGAAAAAAACAAAAAAACTCGATTATATTCGCTTATTAACGATATTTTTGAATTATGACTTTCGGCACTCCCTAAAATGTTTGGCAAAGACGAATTTTTTTATTTTATTGTTTTAAAATTACCGTTACTTGAATCAAAATCATTATATGAAAAAAGAAAGAGTGCGTTCGACCTGAAAACACATAAAAAAGCAAAAAATGACAAAAATTTTTAGTCCCATTCACGTTTTTGTACGACATTCCGCGAGAACGCATCAAAAAAGCGTGAAATATTTTTTAAACGAAAGAGGAAGCTTTTCTGTACATGTGTGTCAAATTTTATTAGCCAGTTCCACATATTTTGCAACTACAACAAAATGAAAGTTGAAAACCAAAAAAAAGCCACTTTTTCTATCGCGAAAAGGGGCGTGGCTTTGCGGTCCCTAACCGCAACGCTTCGAGCCGATAAACCTCAGTAAAGCCAGAATGACTACTAGAGGGGCTAGTATAGATCCCCTCAAGGGGCCACTTTACCTCCTCCTATAGGGGCCTTAAAGCTTGCAAAAGTGGCCACTCTAGGGAAAATGCTAGGTTTTTCTATACGTCTTTTTACCTTTAAAACCAGGCCAAAAAATTGGAAGACCACTCTAGAGACCACTTGAGGAGCTAAGAGGTCAAAACCTAAACACCAATAAGGACTGCCAAGCCATCTAGGAGCATTATTTTGTCAACCATAGTGTCTTTTCCCCTTTCCCCTTTAGTGATCACTCTGGGGGTTTTAAGAAAACCTTGGGCAGTTCAAAGCGTGCGCCAGACCAGAACCTTCTTGCGCCGCTCAAGGTCGGGCGCAATGAAAGTAACCGCAACGCGACCGCGACGCTTCCAAGCCATTCCCATCGATTATACTAGTTTTTGAAGATTCTCACCGTTTTCGCAACGGATTCCTGGTCTCCGATTGGCTGAAGGACCACTTCATCCATCCATTTGTCTGGCTGGGCCTAAAATAATTTATTATATCATTTAGTCCCAAAATATTCCTAAAAACCTTTTCGGGACTCGAAAAAGTGAACGACTCATGGTACACGGGGATCGGCCGGAAAAGGCTCGAATCTTCTTTGTTTTTCTGGAAAAAATAGTTTTATCTTTGAAAATCTAGAAGGTTTCTTGTTGATAGTAGGAGTAGGTCATTTTTACCCATTTCACTCTATTTTTTCTATTTTACTCTATTTTACTAGCCAACAAAAATCACAATCAACTTTTTTTTAAGATTTCGAGTTAGGAGCTGAAAAATTTCTTTTTCCACAGTTTCCAATAGGACAAAGGTAAAGAAAAAAATATGAATATAAGAATTTGGAAGGCTTTTAAAAGTTCCAAGGATACGTAAAAAAGGGCAAAAAAAGTCGAAAATTTGAATAAAATTTATCTTTCTCTTACAAATTTGGTTTTTGAAAGGTATGATCTGTAAAAATTGGCTTTTTTTCAAATTCCTCTAAGATTTTTTTAAACAAAAATGGCTATTTCGCAATATTTTTAAGAGAGCAAAAAAATCGCCCCTCCACCAAAATTGAAGCCACTTTTTTTCATGCGAAAAGGGCAAAAATTACAGCCTTCAAAAATCGATCATTTTTTTCGGAAACTGGCTCAAGGACAAGCTTTCCTCAAGGTTAAAAAAACCACATTTTGATCAATTTATGCTTGAAAAATTAATAATTATTAATAACCCACATCTCCGACGAAAAAAAGCCAACGAATCGAGGCAAACATTGGAAGGAAGGCTTGTGATTGGGAGGGTACTGAAAATACCTTTTTTTCAGGAGAAAAAAATAAAGAAAAATTCCTACCAAAAGATTCTGAACATCGGGTCGTTCGTGGAGATTCAAGGCCTCTTTTATCAGCATTTCTGTGTTGGTCTAGAAGAAGAAAACGTTGAAAATGAAGATTTTTATTGGAAAATATAAAAAATTCAACCTAAAAATCGTCAAAAAATGAGGGTTTTTTTTCGTTTTTCTTGTATTTTCGGCTTTCGAAATACAAAAATCTACATTTTACTTGATAAAAATAACGCAAATTTGTTGAAAAAAAGGCAAGGAAACGTATACAAAACCAAGGGAGAAGAAAGGAGAAAGAAAAAAATGGGGGAAAAGGGATAATTTTTAGAAAAAAAGGGCGCCCACGCCAGGGTCCCAATATCATGTGGGAAAATCGACAAAACACACATTTTTTTAATGGATTTGAAAGGTTTCTTTCGAAAAATATTATCAAATATTATCAATATTATCCGTTAACCACAACTTGTTGGTGTGAAATCGTGAAATTAACTTTTTTCGCAAAGGTAAGGTCCGTTTTTTTAAGGTTTTTTTAATCGAAAAAAATCTTATTAAAAATAACTTTTTTTCAGCCATTTTTTTATTTAATTTTTTTAGTACTAAAAAAAGAGAATTTCTTACATAATACCATTTTTAAATCGCCCAGACTTGGATAGAAAAACCAACAAATATTTTTTTATTATTTTTTTAAAATCGAAAGGTTCTAAGGCATCAAAAACCATTTTTTTGAAAAATATGACGGCGGGCTTGAATTCTTGATAAAAATTTCGCAAAATGTTAGTTTTAAAAAAAACCTAGTTAATCAAAGTCCTAAAAAAGGCTATAAAGCAACAATTTTTTCCAATTTTCCATATAAAAATCGGATTTTTTTTCTGTTTTCAGTGATTTTTTATGGAAAAGGTCTCGAAACGATCAACGTAAAAGCGTTCGGAAATACGAGAATCCATGGTGACATTGAAATATATGTTGCAAAACTAGCTGTGAACAAAAAACTGAAATTAGTTTGCAAATTTCTCTGAAAACCTGAAATAAAAATCTCAAAATTGAGAAAAGCCTCACTATTTGGTCAATTGTTAACTTCAAAAAATCATAACTTAGGTTGTAGGTGTCCTAATTTTGGTTACTTGGTGTCAAATTATTCAGAATGATGGTCTTGACCTCCCTATGACCTCAGCTTCGATCAAAAACCTCAAGAAAACGCTCGAATTCAAAAAAAACCTTAACTTTTTGGACTTGAGAAAGCTTCCAAAAATCATAAAATAAGCTTTGGCTATCCCAAATTCAATGTTTTGGTATGGAACGAATCGGAAAAAAACGCTTGATTTACCTAGAAATCGAACTTTCTCAGAAAAACCTTGAGAAACATCATAAAATTGAGAATTACCTCAAATTTTGGTCGAGTATCAACTTCGTATAACCATAACTTAGGTTGTAGGTTTCCTAAGCTCAAGTATTTGATATCAAATTATTCAGAATGATGCCCTTGACTTACCTAGAACCATAACTTCGATCGAAAACTTCAAGAAAACGCTCGAATTTAGGAAAAAACCTTAACTTTTTGGACTTGAGAAAGCTTCAAAAAATCATAACATCTTCAAATTTACTGAGAAAAAGTTCTCAGAAAACTCAAGGACAGATCAAAAAATCAGGAAAACTCTTGAAATGTTGGTCATGTGAGTAGAAAATGCCCTTTTCTAGATTGGAGAAAAAAAATTTTGCTTTAAACAGAATTAATCATTCCACGTGAAACATTTTTTAAATGAAAAGCGCTCATTGGGAATTCAGATGAAGGTACGTTTCAGAACATTTATAGATGAACTCAATACATCTGTGGATATTATCATCGATATCGAACAGTTGAAAATGATGGAAAGTACACAAATGCTGAGCAGGGTAACCCAGCCGGGCTAAAACGGGGTCTCAGCGGGTGCACCCGTATTAAACCCGTATAAGTTGGTAGAACTTTTGGCAATTTTCAGCCCAGCTGGGTTACATACTTTTCTTACACCCGTTGTCCCCCGTTTTAACCCAACTGAGACTGAAATAACCTCAGAAACACGGGTTTAATACGGGTACACCCGTTGAGACACCTGCTCAGAATTCGAGTACGCGAAGCGGTCGCGCTGCGTTTTTCAGCGCCAATTCAAAAATGAAAAGCATAACGAAACTTCTCGGAAATACTCTTGATTCTTCCAAAAAGAATGACAAATCACTTTTTTTGAATCTTTTTTGATGTGAGTTATAGTCCGTTTTTCGCGACTTGGGACTTTTCTGCGCCCTCTTTATCTCTCGACGACCCTCTCTTGTTTACATGCTGTTTCCATGTTTCCCTAACCTCGCCGGTGAGGGAACAAAGAGACGCAGACACGCGAAAACTGTCTAGTCGCAGCGGAACAACCTATATTTCAACAGAGAAAAAGTTAAAAAATTCAACCCAAAATTCAAAAAATTTCGTTTTCAAGCAATATCCAGAAAATTCCAAATTCACCAATTCCCTTTCGACGACCTTCTGGCTCAGCTCAAAACTTCCGATTTCCTTCAAAATCTCTTGACTTTCTGGTTCCGGAGTGACCTGAAAAATAGGAAATTTCATTTTGAAACACTTTTCTGACTAGGGAACGCTTTTTTTATTACTTTTTACACACACGGGGGAGGCGGAGGGGCAAAAACGTTTTTTTCGAGAAATTATTAAAGAATCTTCATTTTCCTTCAATAAAGCCCCCAAAAAAAGTTGGACAATCTCAACTTGTTTCTGAATTTTTTTGGGGATTCTGAAAAAAAGGGACACAAATTGCACTTTCATATTTTTTTCATCTAGCTACTCTAGCTAAAAAAATTGAAGAAAATACATTTTTTTCGGAAAACAAAAAAATTTCGTAAAGATTCTGCGTAGGTAAATGACACCTTCGACTCGAATTTCTTCTTTTTTCGAAAAAAATCACAAGTTTCAAAGCCTTAATTCAAGTTTTATAAACAATTTACTATTTATAAACCGTTCCAAACGAACAATTTTAGAAGAAAAAACACTGTTTTTAAAAACTTCAATGCGATTTTTCAGTAAAAGCGTCTTTTAAAGAGGTATGTATTTATGAAAAATAGATCAGTTTAAGAAAAAAAAAAAATTAAGCCTTAGAAATGAATAAAGTAAAGGAACAGTTGATTCTAAAACTCTTCAAAACCTAAAAAAATTAAATCTGAAAAAAAAATTTTTTTTAATCAATTTTCTGGACAGTTTCTGACAAGAAAATGTTCCCTTAAAAAATTTTTTTTTCGAAAAATCGGGGAATTATTAGTGAGATCTTTCTTCTTAAAGTTCAATTGTTTTCCTTGGCAAAAAAAATTTTTAAACCTATGGTTAGCAAAAATTTAACAATTTCATACAGGAAAAGCTCAAAAACCTAACAATTTCATACAGGAAAAGCTCAAAAACCTAACAATTTCCTACAGGAAAAATTCCCAATCTCAATTTGAACCTGTAAAATCAAAAATAAAAACTCACGGAATCCGTATTGAGATCCATCTTGCCGACGTGTTACTAGCACCAAGACTGTAGAAAATCGGTGTTTATACAGTCGGCATTTGTGGGAACATGTGTGTTGGCGGGATCCTCTTCCTTTTCTTTTTCTTTTTTCGTCGGAAGCTCCAAACGGAGCACATCTGTAGGTGCTCGCGGCGTCTGAATGGGGGTAGTATAAACATGAGAAAGTCCGAGTTATTCTTTTTCGGGTCTTTTGGTAGAGTTTACAAAGGTTTGTGAGCTTCTGGCCGCGTTTGGAATGGCTCAAAGGGACCGCGACGCGTCTCGTGCCATTCCAAATGCGGCCAGGGGGTTTTGATACAATTTGTAGAGCTCAAGGCTCATTACCGGCTTTCGGTTTTTCAAAAATCTTTCTTAGCCTTTCAGAAACTGAAAAAAAAGCCAGAAATGAGCCTTGAACTCTAAAAATCGACTCGAACTTCCTGGCCGCGTTTGGAATGGCTCAAAGAGGCCGCGACGCGTCTCGAGCCATTCCAAAAGCGGCCAGGGAGTTTTGAGTCGATTTGTAGAGCACCAGGCTCATTTCCGGCTTTCTAGTAACTTATTTTGTGTGTTTATTAAAATCTTTTCCTTTCAGAAACTGAAAAAAAAGCCAGAAATGAGCCTTGAACTCTAAAAATCACCTCAAAACTTCCTGGCCGCATTTGGAATGGCTTGAGACGCGTCGCGGTCCCCTCGAGCCATTCTAAACGCGACCAGAAGCCCAAAAATATTTTTCTTCTTCAAATATCTTTCGGATTTCGATGCGAAACCAAGAAAATCTCGATTCAAAAACTAATATATTTCTCACGTCTAAATTTATAGCGCCATTCTTTAGAACGAAAAAAAGAGCAAGTGAAAATCCTAGAATCAGTGTAATAATCGAAGAAAAAGAGAATAGCGTATGAAATAAGTTAGACCGAGAGAGAATAGAACTGATCAAACTGAAGTTAGAAGAAAACTACAGAAAAAACGAAGAAAAAGGCGTGAAAATCGAGGTTCACGGGTTCAGGTTGTAAGTGAAACAGCAAAAGATTCAAGAAAAAAGAAAAAAAAAATGTTCTAAGCGACTTCAAGCACAGAGACAATGGCACAGATCTGTTGTGAAAAAAAAAATTCAGAGAAAAAAATAATTGAATAGCTTGACGCACCATCCAAAATGTCTTGTCGGGTTCAAAAAAAAAAAAAGATATTTTTTTGAGATTTTTTGAAGTGATAGGGAATTTGGCAATTTTTTTAAATTGGGTAATGATAGGAAAAAAAATTTTAACTGAGAAAAAAATTCAAGAGCTCAATTTTTCAGCTCTAACGCGCTCCATTGATAATTTTTAAAATTCGGTTCTGATAAGAAAAAAAATTTAACCTCCGAAAAAGCTCAAAAAGCTTAATTTCCAGTTCAAATGCGCTCCATTGATAAATTTAAAAATCTGTCAAAAAACGGCCTTGTTTTGATCGACCTTGTGCGCCCTACTGAGAAAAATCAGAAAATCAAGTATTTTCGATTAAAAAAATCGCGTGAAACAGCGCAACAGCCTAAATTGTAACTCAAAAGTGCTCCATCGAGAAATTCTCAATTTTTCTGTATATTATCATTTTTCATTGCTCTCCTGCGTTTCAATGACAGCGATTCCAAGATTTTCAAGCTCTTGGACTCAAAAAATCAAAAAACATCTATTTAAAGTCAGGAAAATCTCAACTTTTCAATGAAACCCATTCCAGTTAAAATATTTCCAATCACTTCAAGAAATCTCAAAAAAAGTCATTCTAACCCGTAACAGGGGACAAAACTAGCCAAAAAATCTGGCGTTGAACAACCATTCCGATAAGGATCAAATAAATGAATAAAATTTGCCCTGCCGACTCATAGAACCAGAAAATTTCACGAACATATGAAAGAGCACTATAGACTGAATGAACGAACGAAAAAAAAGGCCAAATTGAGTAATTTTTGAGCATTTCTGGACGAGAGGCAATATTTTGAGGTTCCAGGACGAGAAAATTGGGAAATAGTCGATTCACCGAGACTGTAAGACGCTCTCTTTCTTTTTCACTGTCTCTCGCATTTTTCAAAGCCGGGGAGAGTCGGGCGCAGTGGACGCATGAAGGGAGTTCTCTAACACCCTCCCCAATTTCCATTGTCTCGAGCCCCCGGCGAAGCCCTGAGAGGTCGGGCGCAGAGGAAAAATTCAAAATTTTGGTATTTCAGAACAAAAATCACGGTGAATCGACTAAAAAACGACGAAAAAAAAAACTAAAAACTAAAAACTCTTTCCTTGGATCACTATCACAGGCACATTCACCGGCATTATGACCACAGAATCTTGACAAAAAATGAGGGATAAAATGCGCTCCAAGGCTAAAATAAAAGAAACAAGCAAGTGAATGGTTTCATAGTGCTACGGACCAGCGAAAGGATGCGAAAAAAAAGAAGAAGAAAAAGAAGAAAAATGAGGGCGGAAAAAAGGTTTTTGGTCGCGTTGAGGAAGAGAGATTCCGCGATTTGTTCGCTTCTAATCGTTATTCGCTTGAAATTGGACCTGGAAAATGAAAAAGTTGAGGACTTTGCGTTGATTTTTCGATTAAAACCTAAGCTTCAGATTCGTCGGCGTCGATATTTTCGAATTGGTCCGACTGGGGGTTTTCGACAATTTCCATGTCGATCACAACATTTTCCTCGGGGTGATTTGTTGGAGGCGGATTGGCGCCGGTCAGTGGAGGGATGACTGAAAATTTCGTAAAATTATTCGTTTCTCAAGAGTTTTTGGTGAAAAAAGTACTTCAATAATTTTTATTGACTAGAAACTTTTTGGTCGCAATTGGAATGGCTCAAAGGGTCACGGCCGCTTTGCGTTTGAACCCTTGGAACAAAATCAAGTAGATTTTCTGACATTTGAGCGCAAACCGTTTTGGGTCGGACGCCCTTTGAAAAATGCCAAATTTTTTTCCTATGTTCCTTCAAGATTTCTATCAAGATATTGTACACGTACTGCACTAACTCTATAAAGATATTTCACAAAAATATTTTTCTGTTTCGAAATTTCTCTTCAAGTCGAAATGATCAAATCTACGTTCGAATCTTCGAAAGCTAGAAGGCGTTCAAAAACGAGAGGGCAAGCGTTTTTTCCTCTCAGAGCCCTCTTGTTCACCAGTGCTCTCTAGCCTCGAAAACCCGACCTCAACCTCTTTCGAAAGCTAGAGAGCGTTCAAAAATGAGAGAACGATCTCATTTTCTCTCAGCGGCCTCTTGTTAACCAGTGCTCTCTAGCTCTCAAAATCCGACTTCAACCACATTCGCAAGCTAGAAAGCGTTCATAAACGAGAGTGCGAGCCTTTTATCTTTCTCTCAGCGCCCTCCCGTTCACCAGTGCTCTCTAATTTCAAAAACCCGTCCTTAACCTCCTTCGAAAGTTAGAGAGCGTTCAAAAATTAGAGGGCAAGCTTTTATCTTTTTCTCAGAGCCCTCTTGTTCACCAGTGCTCTCTAGCTCCGAAATTTCGAATCCTCACCAGTAGCCTCCTCTCTCGCCGCAGCGACGCTCTCCTGGATGTCCGTCGGAGGTTCAGGACGGAAATGGGGCGGAGGCAGGGTCGGCAAGGCTTTGGAGACGACGGCAACAGCGAGGCTCGGCGACGGCGGCGGCTCTTTCGGCGGTTCCGTGGGGCTGACGTCGACGGTGGCGCCGTCGCGTTGGACGGCGTAGGTGCCGGTTTCGTTGAAGACGTAGCGGTTGCCGAAGTGCTGCTCCTCGCGTTGGTGCATCTTCTTGGTGCGGACCACGATGTTCATCGGCTGGAATATTTTAACTCGTTTCCAGCAAATTTAATAGGAGAAGCTTGAAGTTTCACTAAAAACTCAAAGATAAAAAATCTAATTTATTCACCTCCGAGCTCTTAACAATGCCTTCACATCTCTGCGCTAGATAAGTGACGTCAATGTCGTTATCATTGGCAAAAGTCTCCAGATTCGAAGCGACGTCGAGTTTAAGATTCTGAATCGTCTCCGCGGTGACGTCACTCGAGTTTGCCGTTTCGAGGCATCGTTTCCAGCACGCCAACGCCTCACAAACAGCCAATCGAACGTTGGGGACTTCTAGAAAAAAAAACTTACAAAAAATTCTCGTTTCATGTCAATAATTTCATAGTCAAACTTACAAAAAAACCTCTTCAGGCCCCAAAAAAGTGAGATACCTTCTCTAAATCTCAAAATCTCTTCAGGATCTTGAGAACCTTTCTAAAGTCTCAGGAAACCTTCTCAAGATCTGAAAATCTCACTAAGATCTCAGGAGCACTTTGAAAATCTGACAGTCATCCTAAGATCTTAGGAACCTTCTCAAGACCTAAAAAAGACCTTAAGAACGCTCCTAGGGTCTTGAAACCCTTCTCAAATCATTAAAATCATCCTAGCATCTCAAAAACCTTTTTCAAAAACTTAAAAAGCGTCTAGAAACTAAGGAACCTTCTCGAAATCTCACTCAGATCTCAGGAGCACTTTAAAAATCTAAAAATCATCCTTAGATCTTAGGAACCTTCTTAAAGCCTTAAAAAGTCCTTAGGAACCTTCTTCTAATCTTGAAAGCTCCTAGGGTCTTGGAAACCTTCTCGAACTATCAAATTTACCCTAGCATCTTAAAAACCTTTTTCAAAAACTTAAAAAGCGTCTAGAAACTAAGGAACGTTCTCGAAATTTCACTAAGATTCTCAGGACCACTTTAAAAATCTAAAAATCATCCTAAGATCTTAGGAACCTTCTCAAGGCCTTAAATTTACCTTAAGAACCGTCTCCTAATCTTGAACGCTCCCTAGGGTCTTGGAAACCTTCTAGAACTATTCTTAGAACCTCGAAAACCTTTGTCAATCCTTAAAATTGTCTAGTAACTAAGGAACCTTTTCAAAACCTCAAAATCTCCCTAGGATCCTAGGAACCTCTTTTCAGTATGAAAATCTCTCTTAAGAACCTTAACACGTTCTAAAAACCTTTTCAAAGACCTCAATCCTACTCAAGTATCTCAGGAGCCGCTTCAGTACAACTCACTGTCATTGATGAGCCGCTCCAAGTGCTTCAGGAAGAAGACCTGGAACTGATGAACGTTGCACATTTTCTCCTTGATGACTTGGGCGCAGATCGAGGCGAATCTGAAGGTGGAAACATTCTGGTATGGAGCTGGAGGAGGGGAAGCGAACGTCTGTCTTCGGGTCCATTTCTGGGTCTCGGCGAAGCTGGAGACGATGTCTTCGACGAACCAGACCGACAGCGGCGCCTTGGATCGGTCAAAGTCTCCGTTCGACGTCGCCGTGTTCCATTCGTGCTCGATCAAAGCTCCGACTATTCGGGAGACCAGCATCACCGCCTCCATTCGAACTTCCGCCACTCGGTCTAGAAATTGAAATTTTATACTAAAAAAAACTGGATCCATCAATAAGTCTTGTGAACTTCTCCGAAGGCCAAGTTCCGTTAGAAAAGATCCAAAAAATTATTTTTTGATCACAACTTTGGAATTTAATCTCTCTGAATCACTCAGGAGTTGTGATGACTGCTATTTGTAACACTCTGGTGCAATTTCACGGCGTTTTTGTTAGTGGAAGATAATGCAAAACCAAAAATTAAGGAGGCGTGATCAAAATCACCGCCGATCCCATGTGACGTCCTGGGAAAAAACGCGTAAACAACAGGAAATATTAAAGACGCATCAATGGGTCCCGAGACGAATCTATTTCTCATTTTAAAAAAGAAGATTTTTCTGTTTTTTTTTGCAGTTTTAAAACACATGCCGCGTTGAAATTAATCACGCGAAACTCAGAATAGCCACCAGAGAGTGAAAATCATAACTTAACTTCGGTTCGCGAAAATTACATTGAACGCGGCGGGTGCCAGAGCGCCGCAGTGTGTGCACACGACACACTACACTTTACGGAAAAAATAGGGGCGGGCCGTCGCCGAAAAAAAACGCCGTGATTTCAGTTCGCCGAAAAAACGCAGTTTATAGAATTTCAAAAAGACTAAATTCCATACAGAAAAGTTGTAAGCAAAAAATTTTTTTCGTAACTTTTCTGCGGTTTCATTATTTTACTCAGCTCCTAGGAAAATTCTAAAAGTTGACCAAAATTCGTTCTGGTGTATCCTTAACCTACACATCTGCTTCTTTTTGAATGAAAATAGTTCGCAATTTCAGAAAACTTCTTTGAACAGATAAAAATGGGTTTCTTTTGGCTCCTTTTCCAGAACTAGCCGACTTTTAGGTTCATCCATTCAGAATCTACTTTCAATACCTTTGGTAATAATTTCAGAATCACTCATGAATGGGATGAGCATGACTGCCTCTCTCCCCCTTTTTTTCTCGTTTTATTGCCAAGTCGACCCGCCTTTCTCAGGTCCCACCGAGACTATCCCATGTATGGTATCGCTAAAGTTCAAAGACCCCCCTTCTAAGGATGTTGTCGTAATATACAAGATTGAAACAAGATTCCTCAAATTTCTGGTTGAAAGTACGAAATTCGGCCGATTTTCACAATTTCTTCTGCTTCAATTCCCAAGTAAGGTCACAAAGTTGTCCTTTAAGCTCATTTTTCGATCTAATATTTTCGCGGAATGACAGTTTTTAATGCTAAAAATTGACTTTTTTTTAAAATGAATCAATAAGAAAAAATATCTAATTTTCTGTAGAAAACTCGAAAAAATCACCATTAGCCAGTGTCAAGGCGATTCCCGACATGTGATTGTTGATTTGCTTGACGTCATAAAGTGAGCAAAGCTGAGTCAGTTGCCTGAAAATTTATGATTTTAATCAAAAACCGAAATCTCGAACACAAAAAATTCCGTATCTCGAAAATTTCCACAGTAACCCAAGATGGTAAGTACTGGGAAAATTCCTTGAATTGCATTACCTATCGATTAATATACAACGTGCCTAGAAAAAACTCGTCAATTCTTAGATACACAGGTGACAAACTTGCCTACCGTAACCGGGTTTTAAGCCATTTCGTTCTACCGTAACCCGGTTACGGTTGGAGGAAATGGCTTGAAAAACCGTGTAACCTGACGTCATATGATAGCACTGGTTGAAATTTCATTCAAATCAAAAAAATGTTTTTTTTCCTCTACACGTTGATTTTGAGAACTACAGAGACAGCGTAGTAATACTTCAAGGTGTTTTTTTTGTGAAACCTACCTGAAAAATTCCACTGGAAAAAAAAGAAAACGAACGAGATCAATTCATGACGAGATCGCCAGTCACCATGCTGCACACGTTGAGTTCCGATCGGGAAAAATTGAGGCAGCATTTGAATGATTTCATTTCGTTTTTCCGGTGAAAGACACTAAAAACCTTCAATTCTAAGGATATCTCAAAAATATTCACCTTAACAAAATCATAGAGATGCCGCAAAATACCCGTTCGAACGTCCAGCGAATCGTCGCTTCTGGAGAAAATCATAACTTTTCGAAAAGTTCGCTTTTTTTCTACCTCAGGGTACAAAAGACTGGAAGAAGATCTCGGTCAGCAATTTCGGAGCCAACGATGAAGGCGATTTCGTGGATAGAATGAGCAATAGAAGAGCGGACACGGATCTGAGAATATTCATGGCAAAATGTCATTTACATTCAATTTTATAGAGAAAACTCTTGAAATTCTCAACTTTTTCGTGTCAGGACCTTTTTTACAGGAAATTTGGCCATTTTATTTTCAAAAAAACTTACTCTTTAATCTCCAAAAACAAGAACACTTCAACAACAGCTTGAGGCACATTTTTGAAAAGTATGCTCCTTTAAAGGCGCATACAGGAAATCCCAAACAAAATATTTGGATGGTATGATCCTTTAAAGGCACACGAAGATATCCAAAATAAGAAAAATAATTGCACAGTTCGCTCATTTAAAAGTCAATACAGAGCATCGAAATTTTTTCGCAAAGTATGCTTTTTAAAGGCGCATACAAGGAACCGAAAACAAAAGTTTTTCATGATATGCTCCTTTAAAGGCACATGCAGAGGTCCGAAAGCTCGATACGGAGAAGCACTTGAAATGTCTACCGTCAAAGGGAAGGTTTGACCTCAAATTTTTAGTCTTTCACTTTTTAATTGTATATTTGAGGTTTTTGTACCCGCCAACGGACTTGAAGAACAGCAGAAACTTTTCAAAAAGCTCACGGAGCAAAATATTTCTTTTCTTCCGAATTTAAACCTTCTTGACTGCGCCTTAACCCTTACTATTGGAAAATTTCACATATCACTGAATTATTTTTCCCTTTTCTTCTCAAACCAACCTCATCGTCAAAGGCCAAGTTCTCGTAGACCTTCTTGAGCTGCGGCCAGGCATCTCGGCCCAAAGTGAAGGCGACCGCCGGGAAATTGTGAGCACAGTAGCGGTAGACCTCCGTCTCGTAGTTATTGTCGCTGGGCGGGGCCAAGATGCTCATGAAACAGTCGACGAGCTCGTGGGGCACCTGGAACGGTTCATTTTTTCGAAAAAGACCGAAAATCGGGTGACAAGGAAGGTGATTTTACTCTGAGATTGGGAGTTTTCTAAAAATTGGCTATGAAACTCTTTGATGTACCAGAAGAGTCTCTGAAAATCTCCCTAGTTTTCCTGAAAATCTCCCTAGTTTTTGAGAAAAGACAGCAAAGGAAAACTCTTAAAGTTCGTTAAAATACACCATTTTCGAAGCTTCAGACCTTATTTATCAAAAACTAGAAAGTTGGGCCAGTTGGGACTCCCAGAATCTTCTTCTGCTACATCAAGGAGTAGCCAATTTTGGTGGACCTCCAAAAAGTTGAGAAAAAAGTTTTCTAGAAAAGTTAGACTTGAAAATCTGGGGTCAACCAGTGAATGGCTTGAAACTTGGCTACCCTATCTAAATGACCACGAGCGCAAACCGTTTTAGGTCGGTTGCAGCCGCTACACTTCAAGCTAATTCAAGTGCGTCATTCGACGGAATCAGGCTTTTTAGTTTCATTTTTGTACAACTATAATAAAATGATCCTAGATACCTTAGCAGCACAAAAAAGTCTTTGAATCTTTAAAATTGGTCGCATTTGGAATGGCTCATTTCTCAAAAATGAACTTTTTCAAGTTGCAGAGCACTGAAAAATTCCGGAAAAAAGCAGGAATTAGGAATCAAAATCAAAAAAAAAATCTCAGGGTGTCGCATTTGGAATGGTTTTTCTCAGAAATGGACCATAGATAATCCAAAAACTTACAAAAATCTAAAAAAGGGCAAAACGAGCTCAAAATTGAAAATTTCGATTCACATCCTAACGCAAAAGATGACACAACCCGTCAACAAAAAAACAAAAAACATAAACAAGCCGCGCGCTTTTTTTTTTTCTCACGCCGTTCGTCACGAGTAAATAGTAAATATTTACGCTCGACCAGTTCAAATGGCCAAAAAAACAGCTTTTTTTGTCCCAGTTGTCAAAAAAAGGGGTGGGGTACCAACGAAACAACGGAAAAAAAGTCACGTGGGGGTTTCTCCAAGTTAAAAAAATAAATGAAAAAAAGGTCCACTACGAACATGTTTTTGACGAAGAACGGCCCTTTTTCGCTGACGTCCTCCATTTCCACGTCGTTTTTCCCTCAGTTTCCTGTGAAAAAAAGGAAAAACGTGACCAATGTGATTTTTTTGAATGGAGAATACACTTTTTTTCTCCATTTATAGAATATACTCTTTTCTCTCAACTTTAAAACAAGGAAAGGTTCAATTTTGTGAAGAAAAAACGAAAAACTCATAATTTTTGGAGATTGGATACAGTGGAGAGTGACCAAATTTCTCCTTTTTTCACTCAAATTTAGGTCCAACGTCTTTGTTTCAAAACTTATGAGTCCTATGACCATATCTGTTAATTTTTAAGCCTCTTTGAAGGAGGAACAGGAAACTTATGGATAAATAAAAAAAATCTGTTTGATTAAAATTTTATAGTTCATTCATAACAATGGTAGGAATGCGTATAGAAAACACCAATTTTTTGATTTTTTAAACAAGATTGAAAGATTTTTTGCTATATTATTTTGTCTGAAATCGTTTCAATAGGCTTCTTCTTCAGACAAATGAAATATTGAACAGTTTTTAGGCCTAAATAATTTCTCCACTTTCAGGAGAAGCTCATCCGGAACACACTCGAAGCTTTTTCCTTGTAATTGTAACCCAATAAAGCTAATATTTTGGGATCAAACTAGACATTTATGACCGTCTTCTCTGACTAAAATTTAGAAAAAGTCATCGAAATTTCAAGTTTTCTGACGCGATTTATAGACGATTCACGGCTAGCTTGGGACGCAAAAAGGCGTGGCCTGTCTGCACTCTCTACCAACGAGGGCACTGTCTCGTCTCTTTTCATGGCAGGACCCTTTTCTCGATGGCTCAAACCAGCCGTGAATCAGCTATACCTGAACCGGTGTGGAAATCCCATCCATTCCGGAGCCGAGAAGCACGTCGAGAGTGTTGTCAAGCGGAGCCTCGTCGTCGACGTCCATGTCGCTCTCCGACCGTTTTCGCGTCCTTTTCGGCGTCGAATTCGCCGACGTCGGCGGCCGGCCTTGGAGTGGCGGCAGCGACTGAAGGTTGTACGGCGGCGAAAGCGACGACGACGACGACGACGTCTTCGGCGACGTCAGGCCAAACTTCATCGAGGCTCCGACGCTGTTCGTGTGTCTAGAAATGAATAAGAATGATAGTTGGCTTGATGTTCGAAGGGCTTTTGTATGAACTATTCAATTACGAATTGAAAAAACGGCTTATATTTCGAGATATTACAAAAAAAGTAGCCAAAACCTGTTCGAATAGTTCAAAATTTCAAAAAATCGCTCAGACAATTCTATTTTTCATTTTTTTTTTTGAGAGGACATTGAAGAGATAAGTAAATGATTTATTGCTATATAAATAAAAAAAACGGCTTTTTTTCAAATGAACAGAAAGAGAAAATATTCAAAACGTGTTCAAAAAAATTTGAAAAGTTCTTAAGAACTCCAAAGTCGTCCCTATAGGGGCAACCTTAGGGGCGCTTGGAGGGTCCCCTCTAGGGGTCACTTTACCAACTCCTATAGGGGCCTCTAAAGTTTACAAAAGTGGTCCCTATAGGGGTTTCAGTAAGTGGACCCTATAAGGGACATTCTATTCGATAATGAGCTCTAAGCAAAGAAGCATTACCAAAAAAAACGCTTACTCTTTCGACCCCTATATTACCCCTTATTAGGACCACTTCTTCGGCCCCTATAGGGACCACTCTGGATTGTAACGAATCAGTAAAAATATTCTTTCATTCACACGGTTCCAAAAATCACAAAAAAGGTGAGGAAGTTAAGAAAATAAATACGTTAGTTCCACTATTTTTTAAAGAATCAGTGAATAAGGAAATCGATTTTCAAATCTAATAATTTTCAGCTGAATAGAATAACTTTCTCATGTTTGTTCTGTGACGGACCAGCAGTTTTTTATCGATTTTGGGGGGTTCAAAAAGCGTTAAAATGCCCCTTTTCACGACAATTTTCCCACACTGAAATTCTTCAAATTTTCTGCTCCGTTTCATTAAGTGCGCTTCTAAGATCATCATTCTTTTTTTTTCCAACCAAACTAAAATCTCTTCAATTTATCGTTCTTATCTCCGCTCTAGTGGAAGAATATCGCTAAGAAAAACTATCAAAAAACCAAAATAATAAATAAACTCAAAAGAAAATAAGAAAAACTGATTCCCAGACAATTTTCCTGATAAAAAAGAAAATCGTATCAAACGTTCAAAATATCAGCTCAACAAATCTTTCAGGCCAAAAGGCCGAGCGAAAGAAAACAAAATGTTACAGATAAAATCTATTTCTGATAATGTCAGGATTTTCCTCCGCTCTCAACTTTTTCTTCGCGAAAATTTCGTGGCAAAAATATTTTGGGAAAAACTTTCGGATTGTACGATTTCAGCCCAATTATATGAAAAATATTGGATAACAAAAATTTTTTTGAATTAATTTATCAGTATAATTCTTTACGGAAACCGTCGAGTTTCGCTTTTTAATGGCTATAAACGGGCAAGTATGCTCATTTAGTCAGGGAGAACAAGGCGACTTACGAGAATATTAAAGAATAAGGTATAAAAATAGGTTTCAACCCCTGGAAGATGATAACAAAAAAAGAAAATAAGGTTTCAAGAATTTTTTAATGACCTTAGTTCAGGAAAACCCGGGAGGAGGGCTTTCCGGCCTTCAAAATTGGTCTGCCCATGTATGGTTAGAGCTTATTCTTCTTTCAAAGATCATTAAAATTAAAAATTTTCACCCCAGAGAAAATTTCTTTATCCGTTAGAAAAAGACATTGTGGAGGCTGTGAAAGCTTTATAATGAAAATGAAAAATTCTTTTTTCAACTGAAATCTTCAACTTTTTTCGCCGAGAAAGAGCTATTTAGCAATTTCAAAACTACTCGACTCTTATTTCAAAACTCGAAAATCGCTGCTTAGCTCTAATCAAAATCAGAAATTAAAAAAATGTTCTAGGTTTACTATACTCGTCTACCCAGTAAAACATCCTTAAAAAAAGAACTAATTTCCAATTTTAAAGCTGATCGATTGATTCTTAAACCCCCCTGAAAAAAACACATTGACAGTTTAAAACTTGACCGATTGATCATTAACAAGTTGGACAAAAAGGTCAAACTTTTCACCTTCTCGGCGAGATTTTGTTGGGCGAACCCATTGCTCCGAAGCTCGAAGAACGGCTTCTCGGCTGGCGGATGACGTCGAACCGATCTTCGAGGTAGATTCCAGCGGAAGGCGACGTCGTCGAGGTTCCGAAAGGCCGAAGCTCTTCCTCGTCGTCGAAACTGAATTTCACTTCGGTCCTCTTATGTTCCAATGAGTTCAAAGCATGCAAAAAATTCGAAATTTGAAAAAAGCAATTCTGCTCCATGGCTGGGTGTCAGAAGTCAGTTATATTTTCAAACTGTCCGAAAACTTTAAAAAAAATCCTTTAAACTTACTCGATATCGCAATCGGCCGACCAGTAGGACAGCGGATTTTTTGGCGCATTTTCCTCCTGAAATTTTAAGTCATCAGGATTTTTCAAGTGGTTACTCAAGGGTTTTTCTTTTTCGGTGTATATTCTTACTATCAGCTATTCACTCAACTCACTATTTTCAAGTGGTTACTTAAAGGATATTATTTCTCCAACTGCTTCTGCAAGAGAGATCTTCCTCAAGTGATTACTCTAGTTGTTTTCAAAAACTTCAGCCTACACCTCACTGGACTTCTCAAGTGATCACTCAAGATTTTCCCATTTTCTAATGGTGTTTTTGAACTTCTAATCTCAAGTGATCACTATAGAGATCAAATAATCTTCAATCTACACCTCACTGGACTTCTCAAGTGATCACTCAAGATTTTCCTATTTTCTAGTGGTGTCTTTGAACTTTTCATCTCAAGGGATCACTTTAGATCCCTCAAAGTTTCTATTCACACCTCACTGAACTTCTCAAGTGGTTATTTAAAGGATATTATTTCTTTAACTGCTCTTGCAAGAGATATATCCCTAAAGTGACCACTCTAGAGTCCTCAAGCCCTTCCACCCACACCCCACTGGACTTCTCAAGTGATCACTTAAGATTTTCCTATTTTCTAGTGGTCTTTTAAAACTTTTCCCTTAAGGGGTCACTCTAGAATCCTCTAAACCATCCAGCCACACTTCACTGGACTTCTCAAGCGGTTACTTAAAGGAAATTCCTTCTAACTAGTGACATTTTAAATTGCAAGTGACCCCTCTAGTATTCAAAACCTTCTAACCACCTCTAACTTGACTTCTCAAGTGGACACTCAAGTGATGTTTTTTTTGAGTGTCTAATTATATCATGGAGTATTCAAAAATTTTACTTTACTTAAAGTTTCATCCCTTTAAGTGACCCCTCCAGAGTTTTTTTTTTTCAATTTCTCCCATCCACACCTCACTGAACGTCTCAAGTGGTTACTTAAGGTCTTCCTTTCAAGAAGTGTCTCCCTCAAGTGAACCCTCTAGGGCCCTAAAAATCTCCCACTCTCACCTCACTAGACGCTTTGGACCCCTGAGTCTCATCATCCGTCGCCGACGGTTCGGCTTCGAAAAATGACACGTCCAAATCGGCGCCGTCGTCTTCGTCGTCGCTCAACTCGTCGTTCGCCTTCTTCTCCGGCCCAACTTCCAGTCCCAACTTCGACAGATCATCCGTAGAGCTGCATTTGGCGGCGATGCTGTGATTCGGCGAAGGAAGGTCAAAAGGCGCCGCGTTGGATTGGCTGGAAGAAATTCAGGATATTTCCACAAAAATCCTACGAAAATTCACATTTTTGGGGAGTCGGATAGAGATCTATCGGTCGAAAATAGAGAAAGAGGCGATCTTTTTGGCGACGCCTTCTCCCAGGTGTTGAGCATCTTGTTCAGACCGGACAGGACGCTGAAATTGAGGAACAAATTCCCAAGCCAGGCAGTAGGTTTGAACAACTTTTCCAAATTTCCCGAAAAGTGTTTTTAGAACGCCCATGTAGGTGAATTTTCAGCCTGACTATAGAAAATTCGATATTTTTGCAGGTCAACTTTCTGTTCAGTTTTAACAATCTCAATATATTTTTTAAGAAAAGGAAAAGTCTTCTTTTAGACCAAAAAAAAGATTGCTCCAGAAACTCTCAAACCTAGGAATCAAAAGATAAGAATTGCGAAAAACTATGGACGCGACAACGTTACAAGGATGAAAAATTGAAAAAGAAAAGCAATGTTTTGTTTTTACATCCATTATCTGTGATAAGAAAGGGGGCGGAGGTTTTGTGAATTTTTCTGTTTCATTGAAACAGATTTTAAAGGACGGTGCACCGTAGCGCAACAGGTTGTGTGCCTGTTTACGGTCCAAAGGGTCATAGGTTCGATCCCCGCCGCGGCGCAACCAAGGGACTTGAGAAATGGGTAAATCCCGTCGTAAAAAACTTAGGATCTCCAGAGTGGTCCCTACAGGGGCAACTTTAGGTGCGCTTGGGGAGTCCCCTCTAGGGTCCACTTTGCCTTTAGAGGCCACTAAAGCTTGCAGAAGTGGCCCTTATAGAGGTTTTAGTTAGTGACCTCTTTAGGGGACATTTTAGCCAATATTTTTCTTCCTAAACTGAATGAATAAGCGTCCATTGAATAAAATTGAAAGACCCCTAGAGGGTCCACTTGATCTTTAAGAGGGGTCAGGCCCTGAACCCCTATAGAGGCTACCTTGATTTTAGAAAGACCCCTATGGCTTTAGAGGCTAAGAGGTCTCACCTATAGGGATCACTTTTTCGGCCACTATAGGGCTCGTTTTCCGCCCTAACCCCTGTAGGAACCACCTCGGACCTCCTAAGTGCAAGTTCAGATATGTCAATAAAGCCAGTCTACTGATTATCACTGATATCAGGATAAGACCTGATCTCCAAGAAGCAAGAAGAAGAACTTCAAGCCCCATCTCCCACCTATCCATGACTCGTTCCCCCCTTCGAGCCTGATGTAACTGTTGCTGAGCGACCGGCGAAATCGGCGCCACTTCCTGCGGCGGCAGAGTCTCGTCCATCGACGTCGGTACATGGATTCCTGAGATCGTCAGGGTCTTGAGCTTTTCCGAAAAGCTTTGAGAAACCCTCCGGGAGTTGACCATAACGCTTGATCAGAGCCTGAGGGCTGAACTGCTCGGAGAGGTTGGCGGCGTGGAGACGTTTGGCGCCGGGCGACGACGCCACCGACGGGATCGACGCCGTCGGACCAGCCGACGACGCTTCACCATTGCACAGGCAGATCTTAAGATTCTGATTGAAAAACTGTTTTGATAACGTATGTCTTTCAAAAAGACCCATTTTCACCTTTCCGTCTCGAATTTCAAGCCCAGTGACCGTGGGATTGGCAAAAGTCGCAATCAAGGGACCAAGCTGTTGGAAGGATCCGAAAGTCACCTGGAAAACGTCAAACCTCCAATATTTCAAAAGTGAGGCCCCAGTAACTGTGAGAAGAAAAAACTTCGTGAAAAAATTATGAAAATGTGCTCTATGGATTAAAAAAGAGCTTTAAAATCATTGTTTTTGAAAGTTGTCCTTATAGCAAACAAGCTCCTTCTGTTTGCGGCTACTTTTTTTCAGGTTTCTCCTTTTTTTGTAAAGTTCTTTTTAAGAATTAGCCATAGAGCGCACAAACTCCTCACGCTAGCGGCTATTTTTTCTCACCTATTTTTCACCACCTACTCTATTCAAAAACTTAACGACACGGATGATGAATCAGATTTTCAGAGAATTCTTACTGAGATTGCAAAATTATCTTTAGAGCGTACAAGCTCCTTCTCTTGACGGCTTTTTTTTCTCAGCCTCTTTGAACGCTTCCCTGTCGTTTTCTTTTTTGTTAATTTTTCCTGAATTATTAGCCATGGGGCGCACAAACTCTTTGGTTTCGCAGCTTTTTTTTTCTCACCCTTTCTTGTCAATTAATACAGACCCAAACCATGGATCAAATGTTAGGTAATCGTTTTTATCTATTCCTCACATAAGTTATCGTTAGAGCAAACAAGCCCCTTCTCTTGACGGCTAGTTTTTCTCAGCCTCATGAAAATTTGTGATGTTGCTTTTTTGTTAAGCTATTTTCAAAGTGATCCGCGATATTTCAGTAGAAAAACCAACCCAACGACACGGATCATGGATCAAATGGACGAAATTTCTCGCAAGGACGTTGCTCCGAACTTCATAGGAAGTGTGTTCAGCAACAGAAACGAAAACTTCACAGACGGCTTTCCTCACCGCCCAGTTCGGATCATCGCACAGGGCTACCAGATGCGGGACAAGGAACTGAATAAAAATGCATCAGAAGCATGAATTTTTTCAGGATTCTTCGAAAACTAGAGAGCACTGGCAAACAGGAGAGCTTTCAGAGAAAAAAAGAACGCTTGTCCTCTCATTTTTGAACGCTTTCTAATTTTCGAAAATTCGGACTCATCTTCACGCCAAAAAATCTTGAAAATTTAGAATTTTAAAATTGAAACCGTACCATTTCAGTGAATTTCTCGCCGAACATCCTCGCCAGCTCGCCGAATATTTGAATGGCATTCTGGAAAGCGATTTCTTTTTGTTCAAAACGATATATTTAACAAAAATACAAAAATTGATTTCAAAAATATTATTCAGTTTTTCAGCGTATCATCACATTGTATGCAATGAAAAAAATTATTTTATAACATTCAAAAAAAAACAGTTGTATTGAAAAAAAAGTAGCACGATTGGACATGCGCAAGTTGTTTCTTTTGATTTTTGATCCCAATATGAATTTACGACAACTAATTCTAAATGAACACAAAAAATTTCAGAGCTCGTGGCTCAATTTCCTCACGAAACCCTTCCTTAAAACCAATTCATCATTAGAACCAATTCTCTTTCTGATTTATAAGATAGTTTTCTTCATCCCTAGAAAAACTGTGCGAAAACACAAGTCAAGTCAAGGGAAAGGCCTTGAAAGAGCAGATGTCAGATGGGCTCCTAGGCCTTTTAATAGTTGATTCACCCATCTCAAAACTTACAAGTCATCTAATTTTCTCTAACCATCTCACTTCTTGTAACCTACACTAGAAAATCCTTAGTTTCATTTAAAAATTCATTAATTTCATTTCCTTCAACCCTGTCAAAAACAGTCAAATTATAATGTTTTCTTGAAATTCTAGGGCTCTTCTGTAGTGAAATTTCAACTGGAAAACTTAAAAATTCCGATTTCGACTTCCCTTTCCTTGATGATTCAATGGTTTTTTGGATACTTCTAGTTTTTTTCTTTGAAAACGACCAGCTTTATATTTTCCATGCGTCTCAAGAATCGCTCGAAAACGGCTCAACTAAAATATTTTTCAAAACATTAGGTCTTAGGCTCTTCTATTGGGAATTTTCAACTAAAAAATAGTAAATTTTCGATTTTGACTTCCCTTTCTTGATGACTCAATGATTTTTTGGAGACTTCAAGTTTTATTTTTGAGAATGACCAGCTTTATATTTTTCTATATATCTCAAGAACTGCTTGAAAACGGCTTAACTGAAATGGAACCAATTAAGTTCAATTCTCTTCATCCCCTCCAACAAAAAAACTGCGCGAAAACGGCTCAAGTCAGGGCAAAGGCCTTGGGAAGAGCAGATGTCAGCCAGCCGGCCAGAACATTCGTCTGTCGGCAAATAACGGTAATAAAGACCGATTCGTTGCGTTTGGGCGGCCCGCGGGACAATTAAAAGCAAGGCGTCACGTCTTTTGAAAATTCAGAGCAAAAGAACAAATTTCCCAAAGAGTGATATAGTCGATTTGAACGAGATATTAATCTTGATGTAGTCCCTTAAAAAAATAAATTTCGAGAATCCATCTCTTCTGGTAGTAAACCAATTTCTGGCCAGTATTCTTTTCAAAGTACCAACTGACAATCCTGAAAACTTCTACCTGTCAAAAAACTACAAATTCTGTGAAAAAGGGCTCAAAGTCAAAGAAAACTCGTCAAGAGCTGATGAAATAGAAAATTTCGAACCTTGAGCTATAATTTTTCATGAACTACAATTTTTTACACCTTCAGAATCTTTTTTTTTTCATAACGTTAACAAATTTTCAAAAACTCGCATCTTTATAACACCTTAATCTTGTAAAAACTACATTTCCTCTTTTTGAAGCTCATAGTGAAGGGAATAATAAACCTTCCTGGAAAAAAAAATATTCAAAAATTGATATCTTCATAATCAATTATTGGGCTGATTAAATATTTTGTTTAAGCCTCGATTTTACGATTAATCGTTTTTTGTCTGATAAATTACTAAATTTCCTCATTACTGATAAAGTTTCCTTTTTCGAAACCTTGAAATTCTCTCCATCTTACGTTTTTCACCATGAAGGTGTGAGAAATTTCGAAACCGAAACCAAAAACTTGAAAAAAGGCGCCATTTTCGAAGGCCGAATCTCCCGCTGACATGGCCGCCGGCCACCCATGGCAAAATCGTCTCCTTTTTCCCTTTTTCGAAGCGAAAAAACTAATGGCGCTTTGTGAGAAGGCGCTTCCATTTCATTTTTCCTCAGTTTGCCCTTTTTTGGAACGCAGAGGAATCGGCCGTGTTTTAACGATTCCCCGAGGAGGAATTCCGACTTTGACAATGAGAAAGGAGAAAAAATATTATGGCTTTTTTGGAATAAAATATAGTGGAGCAAACTGGATAAAAAAATTCTTCAAACTCCTTTTCTGATCTAGAAATTCATGAAATTCATGAAGATAAGTTCAAAACTAGCTTCAAATGCTTCTCCATGGAGCGCAAATTCCAGTGAAAGGCTGGCTATCACGGCTTTTTTTGAGTAAAATATAGTGGAGCGAGCTAGATAAGAATAATTACTTCAAATTCTTTTTTTCTGATCTATAAATTCATGAAATTCTTGAAGATAAGTTCAAAACTAACTTCAAATGCTTCTCCATGGAGCGCAAATTCCAGAAAAAAGTTGGCTATCACGGCTTTTTTTGAATAAATTATAGTAGACCAAACTAGATAAGAAAAACTTCTCCAAACTTCGTTTCTAGTCTAGAAATTTATGAAGATAAGTTCAAAATGACTTCAAAGGTTTCTCCATGGAGCGCAAGTTCCAGAAAAAAGTTGGCTATTTTTTGTCATATAACGAAACTTTAGTTCAAAAACTGACCTTGCTGGGATTGCCCGTAGAGCTCAATTTCTACAATTAAACTGGCTATTTTCCAAAATTTTCCGTTTCACTATATTCCAGCAGAGAAGAGCTATCTTGAATTTGTCCATAGGGCGCAAAATCCCAATAAAAAACCGCCTTTTTCTCATTTTACCTATTTTTCTTCTCATTTTTAACATAATTAGCTCGACCTCGATCTCTGTCAAAATTTTGGTGCTAACTAGTTCAAAAACGGATCTTTCTGGGATTATCCGTAGAGCTGAATTTTTTCAATAAAACTGGGTATTTTTCAACTTCTTCCATTTCAATAATTCCTTGCAGAGATGAACCATTTCGGATTTATCCACAGAGCGCAAAATCCCAATGAATAACGGCCTTTTTTCCACTTATTTTTAACAAAATTGGCTCAATCTCGATCTCTGTAATGGTTCAAACGCGTGACTCTTTTCTATTCCAATTATCCAATCCCAGGAAATCTCCACTCAGAGCGCACAAAACGCACATGACACACCATAATCCTTCCCAGTTCCAGGAAGTTCTTTCACATCAAAATAAGAGAGCGAGAAAAAGACGGGGAGAAAAAATCTCTTCCAGCTCTTCAGAATAAAAGAAAAGAGTACAATGGGAGGCTTGAATGGAGCGTGAAGCAAAAAATAATGAGTATTGGGAAGAAGAAAATAAATCGTAAAGCTGAGAAAAATCTCCATCGCGTTCAAAAACAAGCTAATCCCTTAACGTTTTCAAAATAGAAAATAATCTTAAGTCAAGTTTTGCATTAAACAATATTCGTACAGTTGGAAATCTAAACTAAGAAGTTCTCCTAAAATTAAAGTGAACTTAGAAAAAAATGGAAGAACGTTCCGAATGAAGCTGTGAAATTGAAAAAAAAGGTTCCATCTCAAAATTATCAACTTTAAAGATTCAAAAGTTACTCTAGAAAGACAGTGCAAACATTATTTAAACCAAATTTTCATTGAGGGTTCTCTAGTTCTCTAATTTTCATCACAAATCTCTCAAAATGAGCCAGAAACCTTCCTTTAGCCCGCTTTCTGGGTCACGATTTAGGATTTTTTGAACTAGAATTTTTGATAAACTTCGCCAGAGCGCACTTGACGCTGCTAACAAGCCCATGAATGGACTATGTTTCAGAATTGTCAAAATTTTTTCAACTTTCAGCCTTCGTACGACTTTTTTCATCCCAGCTGCTCACACCTTCATTTTCCCAGATTTTCAAAGGTTTTCAAAGTTTGGGAAATTTTCAGTCCTAAGTCATTTTTACCATACAGAGACACACCAAACAAAAAAAGCCTTATAATTAAGAAGCTAATGAATGGACTATACTTCATAACTGTCCAATGTTTCTAAATTTTGATCTTCCCACGAATTTTTTCATTCCAGCTGCTCATATCTTTCTTTTCCTAGGTTTTCAAAGTTTCAAAATTTTCAGTCCTAAGTCATTTTTACCATACAGAGACACGCCTAAAAGAGAAATTATTGAAATCAAGGAGCTTATGAATGAACTATACTTCAGAATCGTCGACATTTTCTCGATTTTCGGCCTTCCCACGAATTTTTTCATCCAGCTGCTTACACCTTTCTTTCCCCAGATTTTTCAAAGTTTCGGAATTTTTCGGTCCGCAATGATTTTTTTACCATATAAAAAAACACGCCGAAAAAAAGTTATTCCTTTAAATTAAGAAGCTAATGAATGGACTATACTTCTCGAAATGTACTATACTTCTTAGAAAAATGGGACTATACTTTTCAAAATTCTTGAAATTAACAAGCTAATGAATGGACTATACTTCAGAAGCGTCCATTTTTCTCAAATTTTTCGTTTTCTCCCACGCTTTCTTCTACTGCACCTTTCGTTCCCACGTCTTCACAGTTTCGAAACCCTTCTTTTTCCCAGCCATTTGCACCATACAAAGACACGCCGATCCCTTCTCACGTTCCGTTGGCAACAAATATACACAAGCGAGCTAGACGAGCCAAACGGCTGCCAAGAGAACGAGGAGGAGGAGGCGAAGAAAAGAAAGAAGGAAAAAAAAACCCGAGAGCGTGTGCGCAAATCGATGGATGGGTTGTGGCCTCCCCCCTCGCGAGTGTGTGTGAGAGGAGTTTTTGAAGGATCTTCGAGAGAAGAAGCCGAAATCAAACAGAAATCAGGAAATCAGGAAACCTGGCGAGGAAGAGAAAAGAGTCTCCTCATATCATTTCTCACGATTATCCGTTCCTCCAAGATTTGTACTTGAAAATAGCCTAGCTTTGAAAAAAAAGGCTACAAAATCTTCCTAGAGACGTTTTGAAGTGGAAAAAGGAGGTAAAGCTGAACTTGAAGCTTTTTTGCTTTAGTAAATTCTAAAGGTACTTCAGAACCTTCCCTTGGTCCCAAAAAATCATAAATCTTATTTTTGAAGAGGCTAACTGAAGCAATTTTAAACGACAGTGGTCAAAAGATCAGGGAAAAAATCAGGGGTCAAAAAATCAGGGATTTTTGAAATATAGTTCACTAACTGCCTTGTCAAACTTCACAGAACTCTCAATTATAAAGAAAAAAAGTTCAGTGTTACCTATTCAAACATTTCCAGGTCATAAACTGCCTAACAAAAAAATCCCACCACAAAAGTTCAAACATCCAAGTTTTTGGAAAACTGCCAACATTTTTTTTTTCTTTTTTCGTTGTCATCGGAACGTGAGAACCCAAAAATGTCGGTGGGTCTTTGTATGGTGGGAAAAAAAAAATCCGAAACTGTCGAGTCGTGGGAACGGAATCGAAGGTGCAGTGGGATGGAAAAAGGCGTGGGAGACAATTTCAGGCCATAAATTTTGAAAAAAAGGGACATTTTGGGAATATAAACTTGTCCTTGACTTGTTAAATGCGCTCTAATGAACTGTGCCATTTCTTGATAAATTGTTGAGATTTTTTTAAACAAATTTCTGACCCTTTTAGAAGGCTTCTGGGCAGAAAATTGAGAAAAATCAGATAAAGCGCAATTTTTTTTCCAACGGCCTTTTATACTTTTCAAGTGCGCCCTAACGAACTCCGGCCTGAAAATCCTGTATTTTTCCGTGGGACCGTTATTAATGATTCAAAGAGTTTGGCTATAGCTTATAACTCGAAATTTTAAGGATTAAAACCCAAAAAAAAGCCGTTCGCGTCAATACTTCACTGATTATCTTAGCCATGCTCCTTTAAATTATCATCTCGAATCGTTCAAAAACTAATCATTCCTAGTTATTTTTTTGAACAAAAAATTTTCTGGTCGCATTTGGAATGGTTTGAAGCGTCGCGGACGCGATGCGGTTCAGCCATTACTTTTTGAGCCATTCTCTATGCGACCATCGTCATTAAAGTCGATTTTTTTCAAACCTATTTCTTCAAAGAATGGAATAAAAAGCTTCCTACAACAAATCTACACCCAATTTTCAAAAATATCCCGAATTTTGCCTCTAAAAATCTTGCTACCAACTTTTCTGGCATGAATGATCGAATCGTTGAGGATCATCGAGTAGCGCGGCAAATAGTTGTGATAGATCCAATCGCGGTCCGAAACGGCATCCCAGACGATTAATTGGGTAAGAGTCTGAAAATGATTATTTTCTCATTTTCAACATTTTCCATGACTTCAAATGCAATCCTTGGCTTTTCTTCTTCTTTCTGAACTTGGAAAAAGACACAGACACATTGAAAATCTTTATTAAACGACAGAAAAATCACAGAAGATAACACAAAACTTTCCATGCGACAAAGAAATTCACATATTGACTTAAAAATCCCTCAAAAGAGCCGAATCATCATTAATTCTTTTCAAAGACTGATAAAAATGTTAAAATTTGAGAATCTCAAAAACATACGAGAGCCCTGGAAAGCTTGGAAACTTGGAAAGGTCTATAAATGGCTCAAAACTCTTTCGGAAGCTGATAAAAATGTTAAAAACTAGGAAATAGCGGTTTAACTTGAGGAAAAGCCTTCAACTATCAAAAAAAATCTGTAATTTTAAAACTCTGTAGGCGCTGAACGACCTTGAGAGTTCAAAAAGTAAAAAACTTGACGAATTCGAAACCAGGCTTCTTGTCAGATAATCTAGAAGCCCTCGAAGAGCTTTCTGACGCCAATATTTTTTTTCGAAGAGTCAAGGAACTACACTAAAGTTTGCAGAGCTCTTCAAACCGGACAAAATTTTTCGGTTTGAAGAAAATGTCTTTGAAAAATCAACATCCCATCCTCAAGGAAGTGTAGAGTTTGACTTCTACTTCTTTTTGACCGAAACCGGCTTTCAAAAGTCAATTTTATTTAAAATAAGCAATCTTTTTTCCTTGAAAAAAAAAACTAAAGATTTCATAACCTTCCAATTTGTTCTCTGTAATCCAAAAGATAGCCTCAGGGAACAAGAAAGTCAGGAAAATCCTCCCAAAAACATCAGAAGTTTCTTATTCCCAATGAACATCTTCAGACCAACCGAAGATCTGATCAATTCAAGTCAAGTTTTGAAAACATCCAAATCTCTGTCCGCAACCCAAGAGATAACCATCTCTCGCACGCTCAGGAAACAAAGAAAAAAAGAGAGATCTGCTGGCGTACGACCGGCGCCAGTTGTCCTCCTGCTGCTGCTGCTGTTACAATGAGTCGATGTTCTGCCGCAACGACAGCTGCCCCGTCGTCCAGTTTTTACACTCCGCCTTTCCTATACCTCACTCTTCCTTTCGACGCCAACCCAACACATGTTGCCCTGATCAATACTAGAGATACTCAGAAAGGGTTCCATCAACGGGAGTCTTTGGAAAATTGCGAAAAACTGACAGTTCTGAAGCAGAGTGAATCCACCGTTCTAGTGGTCTTGAACTTCAAAATTGGAACTTCTCTCAAAGAAAATTTTAAAAGTTATGAGGTTACAAGGATCGCAACCTTGTAAATTATACATGAATCCAAATGTTCCAGATCCTTCTCGGTGCATACGCGAAGGGTCTATCCAAATCATGATCTCCTATTTTTGGTCCAACTTTGATATAAGTCCGTAATAAGCTTTTTAGAATTTCCACTAAGCTTGTAAGGAACTGATTGAACAATTTTTAGAACCGGAATGCGATCAAGTTAGACAAAATGCCTCCAAGTCGACAAAGAGAGCCTTGCATTTCCTTTTTTCTAGGCTCAATCTCCAGTTTTTTCCTCTTAAAAATATAAGCACTAGAAAGAAAGCTACAGTAAGCTTCAGAGGATATCAAACAATCGCACCAAGACGAGAAACCTCATGATGTCGATTTTCAATCAAGTTACGACTGAACCTCACAAGCTCTAGCCGAAATCAGAACACTGAAGCCCTCTTTCAAATATAAGAAAAATCTATAGCCTCAAGAAAGACCCATTCTTTTACCTATAACAGGTAAGAACCTCCAATCAAAAAAATCACATGGCTGACGTCGCATACAGCACATCAAAGCTGGCTGTGATTTGATCATATAAACGACAGATCACCCACCGCTTTGACGTGCCAGTAGCGAGTATTGGTTACCTACCGGAATTGATCAGAAGGCGAAAAAAATATATATAAATAAAAGCGACAGCAGCAGAAGTAGGAGCAGCAGCACGGAGGAAGATATTGGCAAACGACTAGGAGAAGGAGGAGGACGACCGCGCAGGGAGAGAGGGAGGGAGGGTCAGGGAATCAGGCGGTACGGAGAGAGAACGGCTGACGGGGAGAGGCGAGGCAGTCAGAGTCACTGAGAGAGCGTGCGTCTGCTGCCTCCGTCCTCATCGACGTTGGCAGGGGCAGCAGCAGCAGGCTCCGCCCACTATTCTGACCCCTTCGCGCGTCTTCTTCGTTCTTCTTGTAGCTCCATCCAGTGGCTCCGCCCATTGAGCAGAACCGAGAAGAAAGTTGAACTCGATCCGATTTTGATCAAAAGCTCAGAAGATCTTGATCTCGACAAAGAGCTGAAGAATGCCAAGGGATAGAAAAATAATAGCTGGACGGAAGCTTGACCACGGAATCCGATTTAATCTTGAGCATGAGCTCAAGCTTTGTCATTGAGATCAACCAGGGGCTTTCTTAAAGAAAATCTAGAAAAAATAGCATTTAGTCTCCATCAGAAAGACTCTCTGCGCCGTTCTAGAGCTGAAAAAAACTTTAAAACTCCTAGCTTCTTTGGCGCCTCCAAAAGTTGATGTCAAGCCAATGTCAATTAATGCTTCAAGGTTTTTTCTCCTTTTCCCAGCTCTCAATTAGTGAAGTGAGCTCTTACTCATGTAAATCCAGCTGAATCATCGTTCAGATCAGATAAAGCCAAACAAAGTTTGAAACCAACGTCCAAAACTAGGTCTTCTTTGGTGATGTCAAGCCAATGTCCATTAATGCTTCAAGGTTTTTTCTCCTTTTCCCAGCTCTCAATTAGTGAAGTGAGCTCTTTCCCAGAACTTCATTGCTTGTAATTCCAGCTGAATCATCTTATAGATCAGATGAAGCCAAACAAGGTTTGAACGACATCAAAAATTAGGTCTTCTCTCGCGCGTTTTCAGAAGGTGCTTCCCATTTCGAAAATGACAAATTTCATCATCTCATGTAATCTTTTCCATCACGAAATCCCACTTCTTTTTTATAATCTAACTTTCATAAATCAGTTACTTGGAGAGTAGCTGAACGTATATTTTAAAATCTTGACTCTTCCAGAACAGTCTGAAGATCTAGTCAAGCTAAATGGGCTGGAAATTAGGGTATCACATATTTTAACCTCAAAGAACTTCTTTGTCGCCTCCTCAGCGGAAGTTTTCTTGGGGGTCATCCTAATAATCAGGCAAAGTCGAAAGGAAAGCTTAAAATCGAAGAGGGGTCAAAGTTTAGGTACTCTTCGGTTCCAGGTTACTGTGACGCTTTTTCAGCAGCTCTTGTCTACCTCAGAATCGTTTCAGACAAGACAAGGTATCTCCTCTCCTCTAGGTTTTCTCTAGGGCTTCTTGGACCGATTTGAAAGCCGACAGCAAGATTTTTCTTTCTCAATCGTCTAAACGGTCAAGCCAGACGAAGTTTTTAATCGAGATTATGTCTCCGCCTCCACACTTTATGAAGGTTGTCTCGTGACTTCAGAACCATTTTATAAACCGAAAAGGAGCTCAAGACCTCGGTTATGCCAAAAATGAGGTTCTCTGCCTTTCAGCAGCACATCTAAGATTAGAGACTTTTCTCAGACTGGCCGAAGATCAACCCAAGCCGAAATAAGAAGATCAGCTGCTTTTCACAACTTTTTTTCTGTTCAACATTCGCCAAAAAGGGAAGGATCCGGATGCGGATTATTAAAGCCGAAAGGCTTCAAACCGAGGGAATGCCAAAATAAGATTTTCTCTGGCTCAATACTTCTTTCTTGCCTTTTCAGTAGTGCTCCTCATCTCAAATTATTGACGTCAAGCCAGCAAATCTTCTCAAACTATCCAAAGATCAATCCAATTCAAAAGAAGAAGACCCGCTGCTTTTCACAACTTTTTTTTCTGTTCAACATTCGCCAAAAAGGGAAGGCTCCGGATGCGTGTTAGGAGGAATTGCGTGGGCACCCTCACTCGCACACACACACACACACGCTGCCGCCTCGGATTAGGGCATTCGTGCACGATTTTCGACGACAACGACGACGACGATGGCCGTCGTCACCCCGCTCTGTGCCCCAGCCCCCTAATAGCCATTTTGATTAGCACTCATGGCGACCGCGAGACGAAGGAGGAGGAGGGCAAAAAGACCGACAAAATGCGTAAACATGCGCACGCCGGCATGGCTCTCGCTCTCACTTGCCTCTTTTCAAGGTATTTCGAGCCAAATCTCCTGAGCCGAGAGTGCATTAATATCTGGGAGCGGCATTTTCTCAGAACAATGATACTGATATTTCATCCAAACAAAAGAAAGTTATCTTGTGATAGTTTGAAAAAGTATCCAATTATTAGTGGTCGGTCTTCATTTCCGCTCTCGTCTGAGACTAAATCCGACCCTGGACAAGCTGGGCGCCGTACTGTTCAAGCAGTGATCTCGAAAATCGTCTACTACTATAACAAGAAAGGCGGAATGCTCTACGCTCCGTCTACGCTTGATCAACGACAAAAAAACCCTTCAATTATTCCATAATTCCGCAGAGAACCTACTCTGAAGACTGAAAAAAAGTTTCAGTTTCAAAAAAGTATCCAAGAAAGATCTTCAAAGCCGTGAAATCCTGGAAGCTATTCTAAAAATCCTCGGATGGAAGATTATAAACTTCAAATTTTCGCTTCTCCAGTTTTTGAGCTGAAAACTCTCATTCAAGCCTGGATTTCAATGATCAATTTCTACTAAAGAAGAACTTCAAAGCCGTGAATTCCCAGAAGGAAAACTTATAAATGTCGTTGAAGAGCTGTTTTCATAGGTTATCCGATTAAAATACAGAAATATTTTTGGAGAAGACTTATAAACGTCTTCGAATCATAGTTTCAAAAATTAAAATTTTGAAAATATCACCTAAAATACACCAAAAGAAGACTTATCAATGTCTTCGAAGCACTACTTTGGAAAAATCGAATTTCAAGCAAAAAAGTCAAAAATATCCAGCTGGAATTCATCAAAATGTTGTTCATATTTGTACTTGATCCATTAATAAGAATAAACTTCTTGTTTTTGCGATTTCTAGTCCGGTTTTTCTAGATCAGACAGATAAAGTCTTTCTTGGAAAAGAGCTATAGATTCTATAATTAAAAGTTCTCATCAAAACGGCATCAAAGTTCTGAGCTCCTCCGGGAAAGGCGAAGTTTTTCTGAGCTTTTCAAACTTCTCAAGTCAAAAAATATATTCCTTACAACTTACAGGATGATTCGAAAGCTTCCAACGATTGTTTTTGACCGGAACTTCAAAAAAATGACAGAAAAAGTTTGATAAGCTCCTAAAAACGTCTCGAAACTCCTCTGCATCAATTACACTTCAAGAAAGTGTACTTGAAAACTAGAAAAAGGGGACGGAAGGGAAAAAATTCCATAAATTCAAAAACGTATATTTCTTCTTTTCAGTTCATTCTTGACCTTTATCTCAGCTTTGCGATAGTCTGAGGCATTGACAAACCAAAAAAACGTTATAAGAGCTTCAGCCCAATAAATCTAAAGTGCGGACGTTAGAAATAGGTCTTTCACTCCTCAAAACTTAATTTGGTGACGACTTTAAAGTGCGGACAGAAGGAGAAGAAGGAAAATACCTGCTGTTTTTTGTGAAAGGCTCATGACGGCCTTTTTCATTCCAATCTCATTGATAAACTTTCTCCGATGCTCTTTTAAAAATCTCGAAAACTTATGAACCAGTTTTACTGTATAGTGAAGACAGAAACTGTTCTCTGAAGCTTCAGAACCATCTTTTCTCTGGCCTACACCTTTGTATAAGTTTCTCAGGCCTCTCCATACCTTTTCAGCTCAAATATCTTTCTATCAAACTACAGGTGACGACTTTAAAGTGCGGACAGAAGGAGAAGAGGGATAACACTTGCCACTTTTTTTTGACAGCTTCAGGACGGCCTTTTTCCCTTAACAATCATTAAAAAAATTTTCTGATGCTCTTTTGAACTTCTCAAGAACTCATTAACCAGTTATAACGTAGTGATAGAACAGAATGTGATCAATAAAGCCTCAGAATCGTCTGTTTCTGGCCTATTCTTCATTATACATTTTCCAGGCCTCTCCAACTCAATTATACTGCCATCAAACTATAGTTTGCGGGCTTGAAGTTTGGTTAGTTATGGTTAGGAAAGAAGGAAAACAGCTACAACCTTCTATAAAAGCTTCAGGAGGGCCTTTTTCATTCAAATCTCATTAAAAATATTTTCTGGTGCTCCTTTAAAACTTTCAAAAAATTTATGAACCAGTTATACTGTATATTCAAGACAGAATATGAACTATAAAACCTCAAAACCATCTTTTTTCTATGCCATAAATTTTCCCAGGTCTCTCCAACTCAATTATCCTCCGATCAAACTAAAGATGACGGTCCTAAAGTGCGGACAGAAGGAGAAAAGAGAAAACAGCTGCCATATTTGCAATAACTTCAGGACGCCTTTTTCATTGAATACTCATTAAAATATGTTCTGGTGCTCCTTTAAAACTCTCAAAAAATTTATGAACCAGTTATACCGTAGAGCGAGAACGAAATATGAACCTCAGGACCATCTTTTTTCTTCGCCATAAATTTTCCCAGATCTCTCCAACTCAATTATCCTCCTATCAAACTACAGGTGACGACTTTAAAGTGCGGACAGAAGGAGCAGAGTAAAAACACCTGCCCAATTTCGCAATAACTTCAGGACGCCTTTTTCTTTGAATCCTCTTTAAAAATATGTTCTGGTGTTCTTTTAACCGCTTAAAACTTTATAAACCAGTTATATCATAGATTGAGGATATAATTTCATCTGTGAAGCCTCAGAACTCTTTGCCATAAATTTTCCCAGGCCTCTCCAACTAAATTATCCTCCGATCGAACTATAGTTGACGGTCCTAAAGTGCGGACAGAAGGAGCAGAGGGAAAACACCTGCTGTTTTCTTCTTCGTCTCCTGCACAACCTGGCCTCCTGTCGTACTTCTTTCGCCACTCGACAGCTGCCCTATCCATCCTCTTCTCATCGGAGGCCCGGTAATCCCTCCGTTTCTTTCTTTCTTCTCCACTTTTTTTTTGATGTTCGCCGACGCGGTGTGGGTAACGGCCATGTGGCGTGGGCGACGCCAGGCCAATTTGAAATTACGCAAAAAAAAGGGCGCCAAAAGTTTGGATGGAGACGACGCCCTTCTCAACTGCGCAATTGCAATCCGGTTTAACGGAAAAAGGAGCGTCTGTTCAGACGAAAAGGTGCGAAAAAGTGAAAGGGACAGTGTTTTGATACTTAACGTGAAATTACATCGCTTCTTCATTGGTGAAATTTAAAAGGATTGAGGGTGAAAAAAAAATATTTAAACCTGAAAGTCCAGATGTTTATTGAAATTTGGGACTTTTTGGAAACCTACCTGCCTCAAATGTGCACTAAAAAAAGAAATAGACTGACTAAATTGGAAGAAATTCAATACAAATCTAAAAAAAAATCTTCTAAATGTCTTTTTTCCAATTCCACAGTAAATCTGGTCTACAGTGGTCTGAAAAACCCGATTTTTTTGAAAAAAATGTTTACCCAAATTTTTGAGTACCGTGGTTTCTATAACATTTCCTCGAAATTTTTTTGGAAGCCTAGAAAAATTAAAAAGTACAGCCAGGCCCAAACTGACGAATATTTCCACTTTTCTGGAGCTATTTTCAGAAAATAAAAAAACGCCTACTTTTTTTCTTTTTTAAACCAAATTTTTTTAAAATCTGAGTTTCTCATTTCTAGTAAAGGTTCAGAAGAACTTTCTCAAGCTCCTCGTTCCCCCATTATCCCAGCGCTTTCATGAAACTTCAACTACCTCACTTTCATCATTCCTTATGTTTAAATCGAAAAAAACTGCATTTATTCAGCTTTTCCTACGAGAAGCATCCTGAGTAAAGGGAAGATGCAAAGACAGAGTTTGATCGGATAAAAAAACGTTCTCAACGAGGTCAGGAAAGTCTACACCTGCACCTTGGCAGCCTCGGATCATTCAGCTTCTCCTCCAACATAGGAGAATCGAGAAAGGGTATCGCGAGACCCTCTGAGGTATATTGCAGGCTCTGAAGTCTCACGATGGTACCTCGAGTATACCTCTGAGGATTTTGAGAAAAATCAGGGGACTTGAGGGAGACTCTGAAGTACCTCCGAGATGGCTCAGATATAGCTAAAAGGCATGCTGGAGGTCTCACGGTGGACACATTATGGTACCTTCTCGATTCGTCTGGGAAAATCATCTCCTTTCAAGCTCCAGGAAATCCCCTCCAAACGGTCCGATTTCTCCACTTCTCGTGCCCAAAATAAACTCCAATTCATTCATTATTTCTACACGTGAAAACAGCTTTCGCGTGTCGGTTGACATGTCCCTTGAAAATTGCTCAAACCAGACCGAAAAACGTTGGGGGGATGGAAAAAAAAGTGCACTCGACCGGAAATTTTTATGGCGTTTTGTGTTCGTGTAATCGCTCCTCAACATCGGCAAGTGAACAGAAAGAAAGAAAGAAAGAAATTACTGGAATCTTCGCCGAAAAGGGAGAAAAAGGACATTTCCATAAATGTCTTATGTGGAGAAGGGATCAAAGTGTTGCACTTTTTGGGACTGAAACCGGGAAAAGAGAGTCTAAAATTGATGGAGAATAAATGGATGAAAAGTTTCGATGAGGCTTAAGAAAAAACGGCTATAAAAAGCTTGATTTATGTGCTCCATGGCTAAAAAAAGTTCTACTCGACTTTATAGTTCTCGGAATCGCGAAATAAAGAATAATATAGCCGAAAAAGGCTGATTTTGTGTGCTTTCATGTTTAAAATCTGGTTTTTCGGGTTCTTCTTTTTAATTTGCTGTCATTCGTCATTTCACTTGATAGCGTGAAAATCCAGATTTTCAAAAAAGCAATTTAAAAAAAAGCCGAACCGTATAGTTTTCAAGAATATCATCAAAATCCCCAAACCCCTTTGAAAATCATTTCAGGTTGCCTAATGACTCTCAAATGAAGAGCCAAAAATTTACCTATCCAACCTGAAAAATACCAAATTTGAATATGCCATGGCAACGGAACCAAAAAAAGCTTTTAAAAGAAGTCAAATGCAAATTTATGCCATCACAGCTTGGTATGAAAAAAGCTTATGAATATTTGATTCGACTTTTGAGCCAAAAATGGCCCAATTTTCATGCTCCATGGTTTGAAAAGTCAAAAAATGCAGATTTTGGTCGCACCTCATAAGATAAAGACCACATTGAGCCTTTCATTCTATTGAAATAAAAAAAATCGGAGGATAAAAAAGCAAGTTTTCACTCTTATCATCTATGGAGCGCAAATGCTCCAAACTTTGAAGGCTATTTTTGCGGCTCATTTTCAAAAGCTACTCAGCCGAAAAAAAAAGAGATTATTATCTCAATTTATCCAAAAGAAAATTCGTGTTTCAATTAGCCATAGCGCGCGAAAGTTCCAAGTTGCTGAGGCTATTATTTCTTTTATTATTTTTATTATTTCCAGATCTACACTTTTCGACTTTTTTTTTGGCTACCCTCGTCCAAAAAAGTCTGAAAATTCTCGGCAAAAAATACACTCATAATTAGCTATAGGGCGAAAACGTTTGAGCGTTTGATTCTCTTGTAATGAAATAATTCAGTCAATAAAAAAGCAAGTTTTCACTCTAATTATCCATTGAGCGCAAATGCTCCAAACTTTGAAGGCTATTTTTGCGGCTGATTTTTGAAAGCTTCTGTTTTATATGAAGCAGATGATTATCTCAATATATCCAAAAGAAAGTTCGTGTTCCGATTAGCCATAGCGCGCAAAAGTTCCAAGTTGCTGAGGCTATTATTTCCGACTCTTCAATTTTCGACTTTTTTTTTTGAAAAACCGCATCTAAAAAGTCCGAAAATTCTCGGAAAGGCAAAAAATACAATTATAATTAGCTATGGGACGCAATAGTTCCAAACTGACGCGGCTATTTTTTTTCTGACTACTCAAAGTTTTCAAGTTTTCGACAAGTTAAGCATTGAAAACTTTCTCATTCTTTAAAAATATAGATATCAATAGTTGACGCCTTTTTGTGGACCATTCAACAAGTTTTATTAATATTCTCAAATCCAAAACCCCCCTTCTCTTCAGAAATTTCACCCCAAAAAGGTCAAAAATCCGTCTCTTTCGGTTGCTTTTCAAAGAAGAAATAGATTAGACGTCTCTCAGTGTGTGTTGGAAAATTCAGCGTCTGAAGAGTCTTCTACTACGTCACCGTCGGGACAAACAAATGTGGTCCATTTGTCTCCTGGCGTCGCGCCAAAAGGGCATTTCGTCGTGGAAAAAAGGCCTATAAATCAATCGGATCCCAAAAAGCCGAAACCAAATTATCCTTTGTGTGGTCTTTGTTCTTGTTCGAGTTGATTTCAATGTCGGAGTCTGGTCTAACGGTTCGAATAGATCAAAAGAGGGTTGAAAAAGGTGTTAAAGCTGGGAAAGCTCCTGAAAATTCACGGAAAATCCTCAAATTCGTCTTTCATTGACCATTGCAAGCCTATAAAAATCGTCAAATATTGTCAAAAATAATGAAAAATCATTTCCAGAACCTTCTTTACACATTAATTGTTTTCATGGGGCTTTTTGGAATTTTTTAAAGCTCCAACTTGGTTAGAACGCTATTTTCATAAACTTAGGGTTGAAGGCTTCAACTTGAAGCTGAATCTTAAAGTCTTTTTGGACCAAAATCGCAATTTTACAGGGTTTCAGCATATTTTCAGTCAAAAGAGTGAGTACATGAAGACTAGATGGTTCCTGGAACAGCTGAATATTTCAAATAAAGCATAGAAAAAGCTTGTTTCTATTTTTCACCCGCCCAAAAATTAAAAGATCGTTTTTTTTCATTTCTTGGTCCTCGACCCTAACAACAAATTTTTTGAACCGGCAAACTTTCGAAAAAATTCACAGATTCTTTGGTCGTAAAAGTCGCCCATTACCTGTGTTTAAACATTGGCAGAGCGATAAAAGTTTTCGGAAAAGTTATGGCTCCAAAAAAACTGTTTGCTCGTTAGTGTAACAGTGAGAGAAGGGAGCAGAATTTGACTTAATAATAATAATTTACTCATCCACAAAGTGAAAAGAATAAATAAGGTTAAGAACCGGTTTTAGGTCACCCTCACGAGTGACTTCACCGGATAGGGAATACATTAGATATCACAGTTGATAAAATACACGTATATGCATATTGAGATTTTTGAGATCATAGTAGCCGTCTAGGGATGCTGATGAATAATTCATTGTCGGGGATGTTGTCCAGATGAGATTTGAAAATTTTAGGAGGAACAGAGACGTTGAATCTAGAGCAGACTTCTAATGAAAAAAAGGCATTTTAACAAATTTCTGCATCTTGAAATTTCGAGAAAGCTGTAAATCTCAAAAAGTTTATAACATCAACAAAGCCAAAAAAGGAAAGCAAAAACGTTGAAGCTCAAAAAAATTCAATCTTTGAACTAAGCTGCTAATTGACTTTGATAAGGTTCCAAATAAAATTTTCTCAATTTTCTGAATTTTGGATTTTGAAAATCGTTGCTTCGAAACAAATTCACAGTTACGAAAAACGCTGTAACTGTTTCAGAGTATTGAGAAAACTCGAAAAATGCCAAGAAAAAAAATAAAACTTCAATGAATTCAAAAAATCTTTGTATTTTAGAGAAAAAAGTCCAAAAAGGGAGTTGAATACAGGTCGAAGCTTGAAAGAAGGTGTTTTACTACTCCAGATATCAACTTGAATAAAAAAAACAACGTATTGTCAAGATTTATAACAAAGTTATACCGTTCGAAAGCCAAAAAACTGGAATTTTGTTTTAATCTTCAAAAAGCACATGAAAATTACAAGCCTGTAAAAAAATTGAAAAAAACTTTTTGAGAATCGAATTCAATTTCAAAAGATTCAAAAATCAAGCTGTTAGCTTTTAAAAACCCAAAAAAAGGATTAAATTCTCGGGTTGAAAAATATAGGTCAAAAACTTCTAAATTCAAACCATTGTATTTTCTTTTAAAACCCTTTACTTTTTTTTCATCGTAGTTTTTGCCCTTCTCCTTTCTTTTTCCCTGTACCTTCTCGATGAAGGAATACCCCTTACAAATTTCCGAATCGTTCAAAAAGTCCAAACCACTTTCACTTCTTTCTGATTCAAATTCGAATTCGAACCATTGAAACTGAAACAAAGAAGGCGTTTCTTCTTTGTCGTCGCCAAAAATTCTGAATGTGGAGACACGTCTGCCATGCGCAGGTGCCAATGACACACAAAAAAAAAAGAGAAAAGAGAGGCGGAAAAAAATGGCAACGTTCGTTTCGTCGTTTGAAAAAGACAAAAGTGAAAGGAACGCTCAGAGATTGTTCTATAGATTCGGAAAGAATAGTCGTTCCGTTCGCGTTTTACAAATTTTTCTGAGCTCGAAACCGTTTCAAGTTAAAATATAGTTTATTAAGTTGATGTAGAAATGTAGGAGCTTGAAAAGTGAACAGGAAGAACGGCATTTTCAATTAGAAAAGCTTCAGATAGTAAGAAACAATGTCCGTAATTTACAGATTCACTGAACTTAAAGCTCTCTCATGGGAATTAGGTACGCAGAAAAACTATAGAAAAAAAAATCAACAGTGAAGATTGTCACTGAAAGAATATAAAAAAAAGCCAAACCGTTCGTCTTTTTCAAAATAAATTAGCTAGTTAAGGCGTCAAATAAATTAGGCCTGAAGATTTGGAACCATCAAATTGGAGGATACTGAGAGTTCCTTTTGGCGCAAAAATTTGCCTTATTTGAAAATATACGGTCCAATCAACTCCAGAGAGAACTGGTTTCTGGATTGAGTTCATGAAGAGTCCAATTATTACTGCCGTTTTCAAAATTTTAAAACTTTTGTCTCGCCTTTCACAAATTCACTACATAAAAAATCGTATTTAGTCGAAGAAGCTTTAAAAAAAATCCGTAAATTGACCAAGGATATATTGAAACCGAAAATCGGATCTTCAAGCGAATTTTCGGTCAATGAAGCTTTAAAAAATTGGAATTTTTCGTTACTTCATGAATCCTTTGAGCCCTTGAATTTGAAAAAAATAATATTTATGTTGAAATTTTCATTCTCTTCAACGGAAAATATAATTTCTAATTCAAAACAAGCTTCCTTGATTGCGAAACAAAAATTACAAATTTTTATTTGAAACCTAAAAAAATGAATTTTTTCTTTTCAAACTCACACCAAGACCCTCATTTTTCGATAATCCAGACCCTCAATTCCAGTGAAATTTCTCAAATTTTCTCTCTTTCCTACTACTATCAACCTTCAAAATCGCAACCCCCAAATAAGGCGATAAAAAGTAACAACCAAGCGACTCTTCATCAGCAAAAATGCCGATTATTCTCAGAGATAATAAGGAGGAAACTCCAAAAATAGTGCAGACCGATGCAGAAATTTTCACATTTCAGCATTTTTTTTTTAGTTGTGGTTTCGAAAATTTGATTCGTAGTATAGTTCAGAAGAGCGTGTCTTGAAATTCATCAAATCTGGGATTTCGGAAGATAGTTACTCGTATTAAAATGATCTTTTCAAGAACATGAATCGTCCGAAAAACTTAAAATCTAACTTCAAAAAAGAGGGATTTTCTAGAAAGTCTATGACTCCATTTTCGAGAAAAAATGACGCTTCTGATCCGTCTCGAGACCCTAAAATCACAGTCCAGTCAAAGAAGGTAATTTTTCATAGTTTTAGGCAACATTGTACTGAAAAAAACAACTACTGGGCTCAAAATCTCCTAAAAAGGATAAAAAATAGGAAATTTCCAGTCCTTTCGACCAATATTCGTTCCAGAATCATTACTTCTCCCATTCCGCGCCCAAAAATTCTCAATTTGATGATATTTTCGAAATTCAAGTCCTCATTCTTGTGGACCTTTTTCAAAATTTTCTGGGTCTACATTTTTATTTTTTTTTTTTCTTTAAAACCTGTATACTCTGTACATGTTATTTTGTTCTTGTTTGTTAATAAATATATCCAATAAGTAAAAAAATCTACTTCAAAAAGACCCTTGGAAACTTCGATCAGATTATTAAAAATTCGTAGGGAAATTTGAAATTTGGACTGTAAATTTGAAAAATTCTAGTTTTTCTTTTTGAAATTTAGTGCTTCTCTACTTAAAAGATAATCCCAAAGTAATTTGAAATATTGAGGAAAATCCTTTTTAACTTCCATAAAAAAAGCCAAAAATTGAGGTCCTCTTTTTTTCATGTTTACTCATTTTTTTATTTCAAAAATTTTCGTCAAATGATTGAAATTCAATTTCAATGCAGTTTCTTCCCAAAATTCCTCTTTTTTTCTTTTTTTGAAACCTTGGATTCTTCCAATTCTTTTTCATCTTTTTCATTATTTTTTTCAGTTGCTTTTTTTCTTATTTCTTTCCTTGCTTCATTGTTTCATTGTTTCATTGCTTCCTCCTTCCTTTTATTCATTCGAATCATTTTATTTCTTTTCGAATCAGTCGAATAATATCAGCAGCAACAGTCGAGTCAGCAGTAGAATATTTGAATATTCAGGGGACAAAAAGTTGTACGAATCGGACGGCGAAAAACAGAATAGTGATACGGCCAAGAACAACTCGTCTCACTACCCATGTCTTTCACCGTCAAACCGACATTTGGGGACAGGGGGGAAAAGGCGAAAAATGCTTCAATTTGCCACGATGGCAATGGCAAAAGGTTGATAAGAAACTCTTCTTTCTTCTTCTTTTCTTCTTCATTTTTCCACATTTCGTGATAAGTGATAACGTTTTTGAGCGTGTCTGTGTATCGAGATAACAAGCAGGAGAAGAATTTTCTCTTTCTCTCAAAAAGAAAAAAAAAAGATGCTGCCGATGCACTTTTTCGAGCGACGCACACAGATCAATCAAAATGTTAGAGGAGCACGTGAGGCGAAAAGGAATTTATTTTGCTCTTCCTCTTTTTTCGTCTTTAAAAATGCACTTTCATAAAGTTCATTTAAATTTAGATAGAGCCCAAAAAAGGAATCAAAACCGTTGATATTGTTTCCAAAGAGTTAATGGCTCAAACTGAAGCTTTTTATCGACTTTTTAAAATAAATTCTGTTTTTCTTAACTCGATTCCAGTTTGTCAAGTTTTTTGATTCACCCTGAGCTTCAGTATCGAAAAAAATATTTAAAAAGCTCAAATTTGGCCTATTTTCCTTTTAAAAAAAACTGTGCTTCAAAGCTTTTTTGGCACAAACTTCAGTAATGTCTCGAAAAGCATCTTGAAACGAAATATCGATAGGAAAAAGTCTAAGAGTTCTTCAAGGTCTAAAACTTCGGATCATAAAAAGCCGAATTCATCGGGCAGATTACTGTAGGAACCTCCTAGAGTCCAAGTTTCGAGTCCAACTTCTAAATGTTCAGGCCGAGAAATTCTATCACAGTCCATTTCTCACTCAAAAATCAGCTATAGGATCCAATCTACCTATACAGTAACCTACAGGTTACAGTCCAATCCTCGAAACTTACAGAAGAACCGAAGGAAAAGGCCGAAAGGAGACGCGGCGCCGCAGCGCCCGATGGCAAAATGCATACAACGCGGCACAGAGCGGGGGCAAAAAAAAAGAGAAGAAGAAAAAGACCGAAAAAAAGTCCAGCAGACGAGGGGAGAAGTGAAAAAAAAATGCACCGCCCGTGGGCAGGCAGAGCGATGGCATTGGCGAGACAGCGTTCGGTTTGTGGAGTGTCGTGTGGCTGGTGTCCCTCGTCTCGCTGCGTCTCTCCGATCGTCGTGCTCTCTTCCGGCTGCGGCGCAGACACGTCGAGACTCACACGCACACACACACACATAGCACACTAACAACACAGAGACATGCATACGAAAAAGAAAAAAAAAACGAAACGAAACGAGAAAAATTCGCTCCAACGTCAACAAAACGACTCCTCGTCGTCTCTTGGAGCGCTCAATTTTCCATCTTTTTTTCCCCCTCTTCTACTTCTTCTGCTTCTGGCATGACGATGCCGAAGATTCGAATTCTATTCGGATCAACAGAGGCCAAAGATTGCAATTTTTTAAAAATTTAGGCCACTGGAGGCTCGGAAAATGGCCTGTTTGAAGCAGAATACTCAATTTTAGGTGAGAAAAAATCGCCTCTTAAGTATGCAAAAGTTTGCTCCATGGAGAAAACAAGATTTTTTCGAATTTTTGAGGGAAAGCTTGGGTTCAAGGTAATTCTTTTAGCTTTTGATGTCCTCAAAACTTGAAATTGAGCTTTTTGTTGCGGCAGTTGAAATTTTAGGCCAAAAATTGAAAATTGAATTTTTGTTCATGAAGCGAAAATTCTTCGGTTTATCTAGACTTTTTTCTCATCTAAAGATTGAGAACGAAAGTTTTAACAATGGAGCACAAGTGTGCCTGATTAGGAGGCTATTTTTTCTCAAACTCATTTTAAATCAGTTTCTGCGATTCTCAACCGTCTTGAAATACGGTATAAAGCCAAGGATTGCATTTTTGAAGCCATTCCAATAAGTTGAAAAATTCCGCGTACCGATGCGGCCTCAAGGCGTTGATCATTGGCGGTAAACATCCAGGTTTCCGATTTCGCTTCGTATAAATCAAATAATCCTGGGACGATGCAAGCCCGCAGAACATCTAGAAGGCATGTCAAGGCTTAGAATTCTTTTTTTTTTCTGGGTCAAAAAAACCTTGACTGAGAAGCCGATGCTCGAGGAGCAAATTTACCGCCGAAATGGCTTGCCTTCGGACCTACAATGAGAAAGAGCGGTACAAAAATGTTTGATTTCTTGATTTTTTTGAATTTCTGCTTCATTTTTGAATGTGAATTCGGTTCGCGCTGACGCACTAACAAATAGAGAAAGAAAAAAGAAGAGAGACCGCTGCAAACTTCCCACCGCGCCGAGGTAAACACACACACACCGTGCCCCCAAAACTTTGCACTTTTCAACTTCAAGCGCCAAGGACTACGACCTTTAAGATCGATCAGCGGAAAGTGATTAGAAATGGATGAAGTCTCTTTTGGAGGGGCCGAAAAAGGAGTACGGCTAGAGTTTCAGAACTAGCGCAACTTTTGAATGATCCTAAAAAGCTCCAGAACTACCTAGAGACCTTATAAACTTCAGAAGCTATTCAGCTTCTCCCTAGGAGTCTCCGAAGGTCAGAAAGAAGTTCGGCTAGACTTCGAAACTAGTCAGTTCTTTGAAAGGTCTTGATGACTTTTGAGGCTTGCTGAGCTTCTGCAGCTTGCCGTTTAGAGAAGCTTGGAAGCCTATTCAAAGAACTTCTGGAGACCTACAGCAAGTATTCCACTACTTCTGCAGATCTTCAGATGGTGAGCTTTTCTAAAATTCCTAAAATATCCAGTCCAGTTAGGTTCAGAAAAGGTAGAAATCGTCAGTTTGAGCCTCAAAAAACGCCAAATGTTTGAATCTTTAGTCGTTCTAGTCAGTCTTCGATCCATACGGAGGCCAGGGCTACTTTTTCAAAAGAAGCTGAAGCTCTACGACGACACCTAAAAATAGCTTAACCGAAAAATCAGGGCAAGGCAAGCTCAACTTGTAGAAATAATTCCGAAAAGGCAGGGTTCTTTTTTGATCTAGTGCTACTCCTACCTAACAGGTTTTTAGAAAGGGCCAAAAAAGAAGAAGAAGAAGGGAGAGCTACAGAACCTCCAAAAGTCGAAACGGAATAGAGTAGAGGGAGGGGGAACCTCAACCGAACCGACCGTTCCAGGCCGTCGTGTTGGAGGTTTGTGTGTGAGGAGCCGCCACGACGACCGGGGGCAGAGACAGCAGACGGCGGCGGCGGCGGCGGCGCTGGCAGGGCCTTGCGAGGTAGGCGTGGCTTGCGCCGTGGCGTCTCTGCAGCCGCCGGCGCTGGCGTCGCTACTGCCAGCATCGCTTCAGCCGCATCCATGGTAGCAGAAGAAGACTGAATGGAAGAAGACGACGACGACTGGGAGAACTAGGAGTAGCTCTGAGAGGAACAGTGCGTGTGTTTGCGTGTGTTTGAGTGTGATTCTGGAGCCGAAGGCAGGCCACACCCATTTCGGCGCCATAGCGTCCAATCAGCGACCAAGGCCACGCCTCTCTCTCTTTTCTCCCTCTTTCTGCCACGCTCGGCGCCAAAAATCGACCAGGTTGATGGCACCTCCCACCATCTCTATCTACTCACACTCGTCCTTGTCCAAAATTCAAAATTCAAGAGAGAACAATTGGGAGTTAAGGAGAAGAAGAAGAAAAAGTCCAGATTGCCAAATTTTCAGTATGGCTAAGATGGAGAGGAATCAGCTTCATAAAATTTCAAAATCGACATTTATTGACATTTTTTCTTGGTCCATTCAGGTCGGATTTAGAAAAAAAAACGTTTATTCAAGTTCAAAGTTTACTCTACAGAAAAATCCGATTGTTTTTTTTTTCTTGAGAGTCAAGTCGGGCTGAACTAAAGCTTCTTATGAAAAATGGGAAAAACTCAAGTTTTTGAATGATTCCTTACACATTAACGCTCTAAGGACACATTTTCAAACTTAGGAAATTTCCTCTTTTCTTCTTTCCATCTCAAAAACCTCCTCCTTTGACTTTCACTTGACTTTCAAAAGAACTTACAAATGAAAATCTAAAAAAAATTGCAAGGCCCGATTTTTCACCATCTTCAAAGAATGCTCATTTTCCAAATTTCCTCAACTTTTCCAACAAAAATCGCCACTCAGACTAAAAAACAAAGACCCAACCGAAAAAGACTCTATCCTCCACTGGCGGCTAACTGCTTCCGGCCAAAAAGACAAGGCAAGACAAGCAAAAAAAAAAGCCGCAGACAAGTTGACGACGCTTGATAAATGAGCATGACACGAGGCTTCCGCCCAATTCATTCATTCATTTGGAAGGAACAAAAACCTTTAAAAACCAAAAAAACCTTTTTGGGGCTTTTTAATAGAAAAAAATCCTTAATTTTTTTGGTCTAGTGATCGCTTTCTCCAAAAAAATCTTTGATGGAGAAATGATTAAGAATGATGAAATTTCCGATTTTATTCATTTTTTTCTCCAAAATGTCAAAAAAACAGACTCATCATTATTTTTGTATCTTGTTTTTAAATTCAATTCGTAGCTTCTTCAGAAGTTCTTGATTCCCTTCAAAAATTCTGACTTTTCTGAGCGTCTTGTTTTTTGTATTTAGAATGACTCCGCTACAAAACCCTTGCACCCGACCCAAAACTACTTGCGCTCTGAACTATAAGAAACCATTCAAGTTTTCTTCAAGCCTACTCAAGTTCGAAAAAGGCCTTTTTCCGTCTCTTTCTTCCAATTTTCTAAATTTCAACCATCTCCTTCCAAAAAAGAGGAAAAATCCCAATTTCAATTCCGCTTTTGCTATGCTGCATTTTGTTTTGGCATGGTTGAAAAACAAAAAATAAATCGGAGGGGGGCTTAAGAGCAAAACACTAAGCATGCTCGAAAAAAGAAAAGACAAAAAAGCAACTTTCTTGCCTTCTTTTTCCCTTTGAATATTCCGAGCAAAAGTGGCAATAAATTGTTTTTTTTTTTCTCTCCGCTTTTTTTTCCCATGCTCCGTTTGATTTATCACCGTGGGGAAATGGAGAAAAAGTGAGAATATGAAAATATGTAAATATTTTTGCAAAAAGTATCAAATTTGTAGTATTCGATCATGGGTCTGTTTTTTTACTTACAAAAGAAGGAAATTAGGCATAAAGATAAATTTGAAAAAAATCCTTATAATTAAAACTATCCTTAGTTTAATTGAAAGTTATTAAAATTATTTTTATAGCAAATTCTATCTCAAAAAAATAGTTCAAGAAGCTCAAAAAAATTGAATTTAAAAAAAGTAAATCTCAAGGTGAAAGCTTGATTAAATCCAAAATTTGCAGGAGAAGCCGCTAGTTAAATAGCTAACTTTTCGAAATGCACCCGACTCAAAACTACTTGCGCTCAGGGGCATCAGAAAGCCCTACAACAAGCTCTGAGCCATTCCAAATGCGACCCGCGGCTTTTTCATCTTGTTTTCCTCGACTTTTTCTCGTGGGACGGTGTAATCAGTAAGTGAGGTTGTGAGTGAGTGAGTGAGAGAGAGGAGGCCATAAAATTGTTCCGAAAAGCTCTTTTTATTCTCTTTTTGCCTCGGGAGGTCTTTTCTTTCTGTATACGAGTCGAGTTTGGTTTTTTATGACCCCTGGCCATTTCTTTTCGGCTCAAAACGGCTTCTCAAGCCGGTTGGTTGGTTGGTTGGTTTTTATGGCCTTTTGTGTGTGTGTGGGTGCACCGATGGGAACTAGTTGTTATTTTGGAATTTTCTGAAGAAGAAAAAAATTACTGTCTTTTGAGAAAAGCTTTCCGTCGCATTAAGAATGGCGCGATGCGTCGCGGCTGCGAAGCGGTTACAAAAACGTTGCGCCCGACCGCAAAACGACTTACGCGTTGGCAAGATCAATACTTTAATTTCGGTCTTGAACCGCAGCGCGACCGCAACGCTTCGAGTCATTCCCAATGCGACCCGAAAATTTGCCTTTTTGCCGTTTTTTTGAGAATATTTGAACTATTGGATTCTTTTTGGTTCTTTTTTCTATTCTTGTAGATATTTCCGATTACTTTCCTTCTCGAATATAGGAATATTAATCATTTATAACGAAAAACCACTCCCAGTACCATAAAAGTCCTTTTCATCATTAAAATTTCATTCTAAACTGAAACATCCCAACTCCCAGCCCCCATTGAACACACAAAATGCCAAGCAGGAAGCGAAAAAGAGACTTGTTGGTCCAGAGAAAAGAAGAAAAACCGGCGCCTCGAAAACTATCGAAAGTCAGAGTTCGTCTGCAGAAACAAGAAGACAAAAAAAAACACAGAGGAAATATTGAATGGACCAAGGCGTAGGCGGAAACGAGAAGTCGGGAAGAAAGAAAACAGGAAACTCGAGTAAAACTGAAATTTGAAGAAAGAGGAGAAGGGAAAGTCTAAAGCTTGAAAAAATCGGGTGAATTGAAATTAAGTCTAGAAAGGTGATTTGGAAAGAAAAAAGCTATAAATTATCCGAAATTTGATTTCAGAGCTAGTTTTTGTGTCCCGAAATGGATATTTAGAATAATCATAGTTTTTTTTAAAAAATCGAATTCAATGGCCCAATATCTAAATTTATTCGAAAAAAATAAAAATAAATTCAAATTTTGCAGTTTCTTAATAAGCCCTTGTATCAAGACCTGAATTCATCTTTTTGTTTTTTTTTTTTGAAAATTCGCAATTTTTTTCAGTTATTTATTTTTTTCAAATTATCATTCCAGATAATTTTTTAAAGCACTGTCAAAAAAACAAACTAACAAATAATATTTGAAGTTTTTTTCAAAATAAAGTCCTCAAACTTTCAAAACCCCATTTTTCGCCTTTTTTTAAGCTTCACTGAGCTCTTGCAACCTTCAAAGATCATTTTTTTTTCAAACCCCAGAGTCTCATTCTAATCATTCGTATCGTTATGAAAAGTTTATAATCCTCCCCAAAAATTCCAACTCCAGCACCTCCACTTCACCCGTTCTCACAATTCCATTAGCCGTGCTCTTTCCAACCAAATCAAACCTAAAAAAAGACGCCGACATCCTCTAACGACGGAAAAAAAAACAATTTCAGATCGACATGACTCTCAAAAAAAAAAAGCCGCCGGCGTCCTTTTGCTCCGAAGAGAGAAAAAGAGCAAAAAAAAAGGAGGAAAAAAAAATCTTTTGCTCACCCCTGCCGTGGCAGACAAAAGGGCGCAACATATATAAAGCTGCACAAAAAAAGAATACCGTAACCCAGAAAGTCGACAGAAAAAAAAAAGTGCAATCATCGGGTTGGATGGTGAGTAATTGTCGCTGACTGGGCCTAGGCAAAATGTCAACCTTCAGCATCAACAAACCAACAAACTATACACAGAAAGGTGGCATTTTAGAGGGTTTATTTAACAGTAAATATCCAGTTTTAATATTTTATTTTCTTCTAAAGATAGTGACTTCGAGATTTCATGTATTTTGTGAACTAAAAAAGTTTTTTGTGCGTTAAAAATTTCTTAATCTCACAGTAAAAAACCACTACTGCAGCGGTCAAAGTTGCTCCAAAGATAAAATTTTCAATTACAAACTCGGACCTTGGTAACGCGAACGGGACGCGAATCGGACGTGTCGGGGCATTTCTAGTGACTACTTTAGTGGCCTCAACGCTCTCAAGTGATCCCTAGAATTGCCCAGAAACGTCCGGAGCCCGTCCGTTTTGTGTTACCAATGTCCGAGAAGGATATGAATTTCTTCCATTAATTAATAGTAATGTGAACTATATTTTGAGCGTTCATATAGTGCAGAAGTCACAAAAAATCAAAATTTTGGCAAATTGCGCTCCATGGCGAAAAATCCAAATTTTTCCTCACTTTTTCGTTTCATTATTGTGTAAAATCTGTGGCATTTTCAAATTTTTAAACTTCAGAAAAAAATCTCTCAAAGGCTACGATATCATTTAAAAAAATTATTAAACTTCGAAAAATTCATTTTTCTTAAAAAGAGCTCAAGTTTTTCGAGGAAAACGCGCTCCATTGATAAAAATTGCTTAAAAAGGACCATATCCTAGCTATTTTTCAAAAAAATTTTTCATTTCCATTCTTTTTTTCTCATTTCTATATTCCCTAGACCTCCCAGAGCTTCAAATCCAGCCCAAATCACTGCCATAAAAACTCAAACTTTGTTAAAAAAGGCGTATTTCTCCGTATTAAAAATAGCACATTTTTACTAGGAAAACGCGCTCTGTCGCTAAAAATTCATTTAGTAGCTCTTCTCGACAATGTTTATCCACACTATTTTTCTCTGATTTCTACTTTTCCTAGACCTCCCAAAGCTTCAAGCCAAGCCGAAATCACTGCCATAAAACCTTGAAACTTTGTGAAAAAGG